TGCAGCATGCTCCATAACCCCGAGCCTTGTCGTGGTATTTTGTCCAATTGAGGTCTTCTTACTTGCTAGAGTACAGAGATACGATACTCTGGGCCGGTAGAACGGGCGGATTTTGCGGGCGTGATATGCAGTAGGTGCTTATTATCATCAACGAACCTGATCCAAGGAAAGAATGTTGGCCACGTTTTCTGTCAGATGTGATCTGAACTCTTGCCACGCGGCTGGTGGGGGGTTACACCCACATTCTCGCCCCCAATACCAACTCTCCGCTGTATTGGCTCTCACTGGCCTGCCAGTGGTGTGGTTGAATTATCAGGGGTGGTCATCAGACCAATTGAGGTCCCAGATAGCATCGTACAAGACCCCTGCCTGCAGGTTCGCGCATGGGGCAATTCTGTATCATGTCAGCACACACACTTACAGCAGAATGCGAGGGCCAAGCTACGAGGCAACAAAGCCTGAAACATGCACCTCGAAGTATGCTGTTTCATCTCGATGCTTGTTCGCCCAGGCATCAGGTGAAGATGACCATACCTTCTTTTGCCTTTAGGGTAGGTGTATGGCAAGGTTGGCTAAAAGCGCACCCGCCAAAGCCGAGAAGATTACCCCGACCCCACAATCCATTCTGTCAATCACACTATCTCCAGGCCGTACGAACAATTCAAGAGGCAACAGACCCAACAAAGAAAAACAACACCTAAAAAAGAGAAAGTAAGAAACATGAAGACAAGCCACGCAACCCTACCTCCAAACCCTCTCAAGGGTTAGACAAGGAAACCCTGGCAAGCCAACCACAACGACGATCCCTTCCCCTTGCACCACACATCCCTGTCACTAAATCTGTTTTTAGAACAGACGAACCTCTCATGGCTTCGCAGCTTCGCCGCAACCACATGGAGGCAGGGAGTTGGCGCTGCACTTGCTGTCTCTAGACAGAGGGCTGCCATGAATAGATCATTCACCTTCCACGTTACTATCTACAGATGTTCGCCTGGGGTAACTTGGCCCCTGCGTCTACCCACAGACATGCTGGAAAGAGTAAACCTTCATTAGGTGTCTCGATCCTAAACAGGTGCTCCTGAATAGGACAATGGTAACCGCAGTGGTATTACATTACAGTGCACGCCGTATAGGAGTGCGATGGGGGATCTGCGTGCCCAGACTTGTCGATTCATATTTTCTGATTTTCCTAGGCACGGTCGCTGTCCGGGCCGTAAAATTGGGACTACTTCTATATTCAAGTTGGTGTATAGATTGATGGTGGACTTGGCTATTGTTTACTAGCCGCTGTCGCCCGCCGAGCTAATTGCTTTCACGAGGCGGCCGCGATAATTCCGGCGTAATTTAGGGGAAACACGAACATCATGGAATCAACCAAAAATTTGCGCTCATCCTAGTACACTATACAACACTAAAGTACGTGCGCAATAATGGCTGGTCACTTCCGCGACTCAGCCTTGTTGTGCCGTGTTTACGATGTGGGGGAAGCCGGGGAGCAGGAATGGACCACGGGTCTGAGCGGTTACCCTTTCGGGTATCGTGTTGTGCCTACCAGAGTAATATTCGCGAGGTCCGGATTTATCAGATTACACCACACCAGAACTAAATTAGAGTGATTTTCAAGTTAGTAAAGTACTATTGCGATAGAGGAATGGAGAAATTTTAGGCCAAAAACACGGTCGCAGAAATGACAGGGCTCGAACGCGTGCATTAATTAATAGTAAGCAAACATTCCAGAACTTGAAGAAACTCTACGCCTGCTCGAGGCATCACAATCTGACCCTGAGCTTGGCGGACCCGGGCGAGCGGCACCGGAAATTGAGTTCCTGCGCCAGATGTGCCAGGCTCGGAGTCGCCGTATCCTTGCACTCTCAGGTAGAGTGCACTCACTATCCAGTACATTACTAACAAGAGTACCCTAGGGTGCTGAGTGAGAGAGTGGCATGCAACTAACTCTGCCCTACCCGAGATGGGTCCCAATAGAGGCAAGTGAGCAAAGTCGCGCTGACAGACACCCGGGGCCGTGGTCATGGCTGAAAGTGGGGATGTTTCGACGGTACCCTAATCATCCTGTTTAGCGAGCAGCCCTATCACGCAGGCGGATGGTGATGACCGTTGGGGGCCAAACCATGAATACTTTCCAGATGAAAGTAGCGTGTACTACTAGGATGAATGGGAAGTTGAGATTGGAATTGAGATTGAAATTGAATTGCCTGAATGAAGTAATCGTTGCGGGTGGTGCCATTGTTGCTTCTGTATAGGACAGAATGTAACAGCGGTGATTAAACCCTAGGTACTCACCCTGGGTAGGTATACGTACTTAGCCGAGGGTATTGAGGGCACCGTAGGCATATAGGATCGCTGATACTCATTGGATCGCCCGCCTCGTCCCATCACCCGTCGTGCAGGACCGTTCGTTCCGAAAACCCCGTTCTTGATGCTCACTGGTAGGCCGGTGAAGGTTTGTCAGCCCTGTTTCAAGATGTAATTTTTGGTCATGGTTTGAGGAAGGGATGGCGTGGTACCAACTACAGTACTCCAGTAAGTAGGAATTCCAATTTGAGCATGGTCTAGTACCTTGAGGAATAGTATAGACTGTCCTGACACTGCCACCGATCGACGTGGAGCCAACACGGACACCTTGCAGGCCGTAGGGCAAAGCCAGAGCTACCAAACCATTCCCAAACCGGGTCGGCAGAGGCCTCATAGTCCGGTTTGGGAAGGCAGGATGGATGTGGATGGTAGGGCAGGAATACGAGTGCCAAATGAGGTCATGTCGGGATCGCCGACCCCAGCGGTGAACGCAATCCCTGCTGCGCCTCACACTCCCAACAGACCCGCCACCAACACCAATCACACTTCCCACCCGCCGCAACTCGACAAGCGTGTCTTTCGCGGTCCAATCTGATTCGCGCAAAGTGTGGCTGGCCCGGATCGTGGCGGGCGCCGAGGAACTGCCGCAGTGTTTCTCACCGACTGCGGGCTCGCCGATGTTCCTCCCTGCTCCTACTAGGGCTATGTACTGCATTGCGGATTGGGCCTGGCGGTCTTTTCCGGTGTCACGGATGTCGGGAATTACTCTACAGGAGCCACAGGGCACTGCTCGACCTCCACCACGGAGTATTCGGATGATGACTTGCCTCGAGGCTGGTGATGCAGCTCAGACTGATAACCCCGAGTGACATGTGGTGATCCACCATGAAGTCAGAGCGAGAGTCAAAGAAAATCACTGAGAGCCACTGAGACTGCGCGGAACAATCAGAAGGTACAAAATGGTCGGAGAATGCTTTCGCATGTGAGCCCGGGCAAGTATCCCTGGGCACGCTGGCAGGCACTGGCACTCGCCCTACACAATACGGGGAGACGGCCCAGATGCCAACGAACCATGCGGCTCAAGAGACCAACCATCCAAGCGAAGAGAGCAATCACTTCCAGTGATCGTCGTTGACGGGGCAGAAGGGGAATAGCGGGGTCCACCCCTGATCCAGCGTCACCTTGTACAAATACACCTGGTACAGTGTACACTTACACGCAGTACGGATCATACAGACAAAACCCGACCAGCGGGGCCTGCACGCGCTGCCAAAAGGCGTGGGGTGTTCCAGGTGCGATCGTCATGTCCCGAGGGTGTGGGAAGGAAGCAAAATGCGATTGACTGCCAGATCGTGTCGACGGGGGCACGGTCACTGGTCCGTCGGCGCACCGCAGTGGGTTAGGGTGGACAGCAGTGGACAAGCCAGTGGAGCCCCAGGTCCTAGAGCCCTCCACTCCGTGTTTTCTGGACAGATGGCGCCTCTGCACGGTGATTTGACGGGCCTGCCCTGGCCGGCGTGTCCGTGACCAGACTGACGGGTCGCCCTCACCTTTTCTCTCGTCCTCTCTTGGCCAACGGATCGATCCTGAACCTCGCAGATTCTTCTCTTTGTGTGCACTGAGTGAAATTCGCTCTCGACCTTTTCCGAGTGCATGAGATCTACATGCATTGTCCACAGTTGACACTTGTAGTGTAAAGTATGTCGAGGGCAGGCTAGGCTCGACTGGGACTTGACAAATCGACCGAGACAAAGTACACGGACTTGCCGATGCCTAAAAAATGAGGATGAGGCGCCTTTCCCGTGCAGCGATCTGACAGCTAGCGGTCCATTGCTTGGATTTCCTCTGATTTGACATGGCGATCGCTGCACGACTTCGCTTCGATGAGCGATCGCAGTCCTCGGAAGACCCATTGAATGGGCCATGTCAGAAAAGATAGTGTGATCTATCGCCCGCACTATTGGGACGATGCAGGTACTCAGACTTTCCTTGTCACAGAGGTGACGGAGATTATCTACACCATACCCAGAATCAAGTCGAAATTCCGTAGAAAACAGGGTATGAGCGCATCTCTTCCATTTCGGCGTAGTACATCCTTTTGGGCACTTGTGATGATGGCTGACACATCGTAGGAGGTAGGTAGGGTATGGGCTAGGCTATTGTTGGACGCCTGACAGGGCGACTCCCCGGACGTCTGGATGGTTCCCAGTCCCTGCTGCGCCCCCGGCCGTATTGTAATGACAGACGTCATAAATAAAATCATTTTTAATTTCATTTTATTTTTATTTTATTTTTTTGGGATTTTCGGAATACGTCTTTTGATTTATTTTATGAGATTATTATTTGAATAGATTTTCGAGAATGTCATCCAGACTAGACTCGACCATCTATAATACTAATCGTCTGCCCCCCTCATCCTCGTCTTTCCTCACGTCAAGACTTCCGTCACTGCGATCTCTTGTCTCTCCTCCTGCCGTCAGTGCTCATGTCCACTGCTTCACCACGCAAGGAGTTCTACATGCGCCCTCCCAATCCCTTGCAACATTTCCGTCATCTTCGCACGTTGCCTGTTTTTGAGATTCACGTTGGGTCGGCCGGGCCGTAATTCTAACCTTATCGTCGGTCTCTCTCCTTTCGCAAATGTTTACTACCCACCCTAGGTTACGGTACTAATAAATGTATAGGGCATGTCCCGCTCATACTTCGATTCCAACATGGAGATGTTCTTCCCCGTCGATGTGCCCTATTCGCACGACCTCCGCCTGCCTTACTACCCTAATGAGGTCTACGACGATCTGCACAAACCATCCCATTTTCCCTCCATGCCCGCCACGCCTCCCTCCGTCTCCACTGCTCAAGAACCCCCCATTCCAACGGGTTCGGCCTCCGGTCCGTCCATCGCCAGTGCGCCTTCCTCGGCCATTGGATCGCCATACTCAGGCGCTCAGGTCTACCACGACAACTGGGTGAATACCAACCACGGCCTCGGTCTGCCTTCTGCCGTCATGAGCGACCTTTTTTCCAACGATTACATGGGTCCGGTGGACATGGACGGGCTCTACCAGGAGAAATTCCCCGATGCATTTGTCGGTATGTACACTCTTAAAAAAAAAACACATAAAACACATGGGCAATGGCATTGACTGGTATAGACCCCTCCCTCATCCAGCCCGTGGGCCAGCCCGTCCAGCAATTCCCTCCCACCATCGCCTACCCTGAAAACACCTCGGCCTACGTGCCCCACAACTTCCTCCCTCATTCTCCTGCGACCTCACCCGTCCCCTACAGCGATCATGTCGAGCAGCACCAATTCCCCCAGCTCCATTCAGGCCTCAATCCCTCGCTGGTGATGCCGGGGCCGCCCTCGCGCCCCGTCTCCGTCTACGACCGCCGTTCCTCCATCTCCTCCATCCGCTCGCACCGCTCCCAGAACAGTCCGGCCCTCAGCAGCGTCGATGCCGACGACAGCAAGGAAAAGGGCCGCTGCCCCTTCCCCGACTGTGGCCGCGTCTTCAAAGACCTCAAGGCCCACATGCTCACACACCAGTCTGAGCGGCCCGAGAAATGTCCCATCGTGACCTGCGAATACCACACCAAGGGCTTCGCCCGCAAATACGACAAGAACCGCCACACCCTGACCCATTACAAGGGAACCATGGTCTGCGGCTTCTGCCCGGGGCCCGGCTCCCCGCCGAGAAGAGCTTCAATCGCGCCGACGTCTTCAAGCGCCATCTCACCTCCGTCCACGCCGTCGAGCAAACACCCCCCAACTGCCGCAAGCGCAGCCCCACCACCTCCGCCAGGAAGGGCACCAACTACAGCAGCGATGCGACGGGCAAATGCTCCACCTGCTCGGCGACATTCAGCAATGCGCAAGACTTCTACGAGCATTTGGACGACTGTGTGTTGCGCGTAGTGCAGCAGGAGGAGCCGTCCGAGGCAATCAACCAGCAACGGCTGGCGGAGGTTGCCGCCGACGAAGAAGTGAAGAAAACCATGGAGAAACACCAATTAGTCGATGCGGCCGGTCCGGTTCCCAGCTTGGATGATAACGACTCTCACGACGAAGACGACCTTAACGAAACCTGGCGATCCGGCCGTGGCGCCGTAAAATCCACCAAATCCACCACCAACTCCTCCCGACCCATCCTCGGCAACGCCAATGCCATCACGAAAAACTCCGGAAATAATACTACCATGAATGGCAAGCCGCGCGCCGTCGCAACCCGCCGCCGCAATAATCGCGGCAATTACCCGAACTCCTGGGGTTGCCCGAACAGCAGCATGAAGACCAAGAAGCGGGTTCTGTGCGTCTTTGACGGCCAGCGCCGTCTGTGGAAAGACGAGATGATGCTGAATAACGAGTTCGAGGTGCGATTGCGGTTGCCCGGTGGAGCGGGCGATGGCACACACCGCGATGCATACGTCACCGACCTCGATGTCGAGACCATGAAGCGGGCTGAGGGTGTTCTGTCTGCTTCGGACGAGGAGCGCGGTCCCTGGATGGCGTCTGCCATTCCTGGATCCCACTCACAGCTGATGGGGCAGCCGGCGATACTCTTGCCTGATATGGCGCACCACCATGGCGATGATGAGATCTCGATCAATGAGCTCATGGCTTGAATGTCGTCTTCCTCTTTCTCCCCGCCACTCTCTGTCCGAGGGCTAGTGGCCTGTATTCTTCTTTGAATGTTCATATTCTAGCAGTGGCGTTGAGATTTTCCCGGTTGTACCTTTTATAGGATGAGGTACTTGACTCGTGGCTTTGTCGGCCTGGGCTATGATTGTGATTGTTGATTGCTGATTGTGATACCTATATTGGGACTTGGATGTTTCTTTTTTGGATGAGTCTCCTTTGTTGAATCTCCTACATAGCTTAGCATTTCGCGTCTAGCTCTTGATCTGCCTGCTGGTCGGGTGGATTAATATGATACGATTTAATGGGATATGACTTGCCGAATGTATCCACAATGCAGTAATCTTCTATTCATTCAATTGTTCTCGTGCATATCCTCCACAGATCTCAAGCGCGTAGTTGGCAGGGCCTAGATCCCTCAGTACGTCGTTATTTATGGTCGAATTATATCACCGGTCCAATATAATTGGCCATTGGATATTCCCTACCAAATGCGAGCGGTCACCCTGAAAGAGTCCAAAAATACTCAAACAATTGAAGCAGTCAGACTCTGCCATAACCATCTTCCCTAAACTTCAATAATTCCGCCCATTGGAGTGGGTCATGTGCCCACTGCAGGTCTACTGCGCATGGCATGTACTCGGCCTGAGTTGTCCGGCGCCGCTGGCGCCGCTGACGCCGCACCGCCTTACGTTCTCCCCGCGATCTCCACCTTCCCATTCCACCTCAGCCTCTCGAGCAACAATGCAATTAGCGCTCCCTGAGAACCTCTCCGCGCTGGTTGCGCGCCGCTTCAAGGCCGCCAAAGATGGCGGACACCTCGTCTTCTCCTCCACACACCTGTCGCTGGTCACCGCGGCCGGGATACCGGTAAGCCTCCGCACTGGCTCCGACTGCATGCCGCGGCTTGTCCACAAGTCTGGGAGTAGCATGGACAGTCTGGGTCGGAGATGCATAAAAATGCTAACATCTATAATTGAAATAGTTCCAACTCCGCTACTGCCCCGCCCTCGCAAAGAAACCAACAAACCTCAAACCCGAACCGACCCCCAAAGCCCCGAAACCCGACCCCTTCGAGAACCCCTCGCAAGACCTCCTAATCGCTCGCTTCCCTCCGGAGAAACCCACCCACGCCCTAGTCCTAAACAAATTCCCTGTAATCCCAAACCACTTCATCCTCGCCACAACAGACTGGAAAGCACAAACCGACATCCTCGAGCAAGCCGACCTCGAAGCAACGTACGCCTGCCTGAAAGCATGGGACGCAGAAAAGAGCGCCAGCAGCTCAAAACGACTATTCGCCTTCTTCAACTCAGGCGAAGATAGCGGCGCAAGCCAACCACACCGCCACCTCCAGTTCCTCCCAGTAGAAGCAATGCGCGCGCCCGGCTCGGGGGCTGGGAACCGCTAATCGATCGGATCGAGACGCATTCCCGACGATCTTCGTCGCCCTCATCTTCGCCCTCTTTCCAATATATCCCCCACCTACCCTTCGCACATTTCGCGCTCCCACTTCCGAAGGATGCTGACCCCGAGACGCTGCATAAGACGTATCTGACGCTCTACCGCGCGGCGGTAGCAGCTGCGCACGACGATGTGGATGGGACGCTGCGCAGTGAAGGTCCGGCGGCTGTTAGCTATAATTTCGCCATGACGCTTTCGACTATGATGATTTGTCCGCGGAAGCAGGAGAATGCACAGTTGCCTGTTGATATTGCTGCGGCTGGTGATATTGTGGAGCCTGGGGTTGTTTCGTTGAATGGGACTATTCTTGCGGGGACTTTGATGGTTAAGGCGGAGGTTGAGTGGGATGTTATGAGGAGTCGGCCTGAGTTGCTTGGAAGTGTGTTGGCTGAGGTTGGGTTTTCCAGTACGGAGGCGCAAATGGCTCTGCTTTGAGTGAGCGGATGCTATGAGCTGTACATATCTCAGCTAGAGCTTCTGGTAGTTGGCGTTTACGAATTTCCACGAACACAACCAAACTTTTTTGTATTACAATCACATCAATTGAATCCACGTCAACTCCAGACACCAAACACTGTCAATGGAACAAGCAAAGCAAATACAGTCTAAAATCGACATATCCACCAGCCCTTCAAGTTAAAACAAAACAAAATACAAGCCTTCAGCAATTGACGTATCCACCAGCCTTGCTCAGAACAAACCAGCCCACAAGCACTCAGTAAGAAATATCATGAATCTCACAATACTTCTTCTTGCACGTCGCATTCCCAAACTGATACGAACCCCCATTATTCCAGATGTACTGCGCAACCTTCTTCCACGAAACCTTCGGCGGCTGCTGCAGCTGAACCTGGACCTGCATCTGCTGCATATGCGCCGTAGCCGCACCATGAGTCCGAGTATCGGCGACATACTCGCTGAAAGACTTATCCGTGAAAATGGCGACGGCTTTGCAAAGCAATTGAATCTATATACAAGTCAGTAAAGTCTTCTCTCTAACCAGTTAGAAGAAAAGCATGGAGAACTTACATCTCCATCAAGCCACTTGGGCTTCCGCACCCGCTGCTCCTTCGCCTTGGTAAGAGTGCGGAACCGACCACGAAGCGTCGACTCAGCCTCCTTGAAGCCGCCCATCCGCTTGATATCCTTGTACGACAGACCGCGTCTCTTGCACTCGATGAGGAATGCGTTGCGGGAGTCTGTGTAGTGGAGGCTTGCTTTGATGCTTGCGTCGAGAACTTCTTCCTTTCCTGTTGGGCCAGTCTGGTTCTCTGCGTTGATAGGCAGGACCGGCCTCGGGGCATGGATTTGGTAGTTCGTTGGCATGGGCGTTTGGTCTGCTTCCGGGGTGACCGGGTCCTGCTTGTAGGGTCCGTAGCGGGGCCGGTCGATGGGATATCTATATTGCGTTTCGAAGGCCCCGGGTTGGACGGGGTATTCGTGGTCGGAGTCGATGGCTGTGGGTGTGGAGGGTGTTTGAGGGTTGACAGTGAATGCCGGGATCGAGAGCATTGGAATAGAGTTCAAGCCGTTGCCCATATTCTGCGAGTACTGCCAGTCCGTGTAGATGTAGTCCGGGATATGGAACGGGTCCTCGGGGGAAGCTGCGGGCGCCACGGGTCCATTTCGTTCTGTGTCCAAGATGCCCAGGGCTCGCTTTGGAATGGCGTAGTTGGAACAGGGTGGTTGTGGTAAGGAACCGGCTCGTCGTCGGGTTGAATGGTGTCATGGCGAGACGGAAGTTGGAGACCAGTGTAGGCCTGGTGCTCCTGCTTCTTAGTCTCCATCTCGAAGGAAGAGACGAGGGAAGGTATTTCTTCGAACTTGGAGACGAACGGAGTTCTGTTCGACCAGCCCGTTTCCTGCGTCGGGAGAGGTTGCGCCGGATCCATGTTGGTGTCGGATGTGAAGGATGCTTCAAGGACTTGGAGAGGTTTTTGTGCGGTGTTGCGTCCCAGGTTGCCGCCACACGAGGGTGTTGCGTTCATTTCCTCTTTGCAGATTTCACTTGAGTGAAGGCTGATGTCCTTTGAACGAACGGCAGGTGTTTTCACAGTGCAGTCAGGCTGCCCCAGATTGACAAAAGAAGCTGACTCTCTAGCAAGAGAGGTGGGTGATATCTTGGAGATGATTTTGTGACGACCTTTCCTCTTCGCAGGTTGATTTGGAGATGGCTTTTGCACACGAGAAGAATTGGAGTTGTGACGGTGGTGAAAAGTGAAGTGAGTATCAGAGGCAGAATTGCACGGGTATTGCGCAAGCTCCCCAAAGGAAAAGTCGAAGTGAGAAGAACAACCAGAAATAAATCCACAACTGAGAGCAGGGATTCCTTTCTGGAGCGTCACGGTATCCCATGGCTGTGGAGATCCAGGGCTAACCAGCACATCCACCATCATTAACCTTTGGAACGTCAAGTAATGAGAGAGTGTGGGGAATACGGAAGCCTCCGTTCTCTCACTAGATTCACCGCAATTAATTGTGCTTGAAGGCTTGGTCGTACACGGGTTATCGCCGGTGCGTGGACGACCGCTAGTACAAAACTTCCTTTTGCCTTCACCTTGACCCGGAGTCAGTGCGCAACGGCTATACCGCTGGTTGATGAGGGTAACTGCAGGATACATCATGACATTAGGTTATGTTTATTGGGTTGATTTTCACTTGCACTTTACAGGGCTAGTATTTTACTTACCTTGCCACTGGGAGAATGATTTGATTTGCTAATCTGTCTCTCGATTCTTATTCGGATCCCCGAGTACGATATTCCAGGTCTTGTTTTGGAAGGTCGTGGAGGCAAATGTTGGCTCTGGAGGTGTGGGGAACTTGGCTCGCGGGTCGACGTTGATGCAATGCTGTCTCAGATCTGGAAGAAATCCAGGCGTTGACAATTTGAAACGCTTTGAGAAGCCACTTGAATTGATCTTCCTCTTTCTGGGTATCTTTCAAGTAGTTGTATCTTGAAGTCGAGAAGCATGAGAAGAGGCGTAGGGAACTCAGGGTAGATAAAATCGACGAGATCAACAACCCGGCCACGCTCATGTTAATAAAGCGAAGCTATATATCCCTGATAACCAGTCCAGCTCGGCCTAAGTAACCAAGAGGGACTCAACGGCTTCCCCGGAGTCCAGACCGTTGAACCATTCCCAATGGAGAGAAAGGGGGCGACAGAAACCAGATATCCAGAGCAGACATGGATCGTTGCCGAAATGACACCAACCCTAGTCGAACCAAAAATCTCCGGGGAGCTGCGATAGCCACTACGCTGATCCACTTCCCGGACGTTTCAGATAAATTCCCCATTGTACGTACTTGTGCCTCTGTTTCTGGTCCTCGACTCCGGGATTGAGGTAGGGCTGGTGGTTTTGAGTCAGACAGCAGACGGGTAGGGCACATTGAAGACAACCCGGATTGATCTTCCCTGTTTTATATAGGCTTGACGTCAGGAAATACTTACGCTGTCTTCAAGGCGATTGAGAGAAGCGTTCGACTTAGGTTCCTCTAGCTCAGTTATGGAGACCTCCATCTCGAGCCGGACTATAGCAACCCCAGCCCATACTGGAAATCCGCGGCCCTGAACCAGATCAACCCAGGCTGTGGGGGTCTGTCAGTGAACACCAAAATATCATTGCTCCGGGCTCCGCTCGATGCTTCATCTCAGGGTTTGGTTCGGGCAGTTTGACAATGCCCATCCTGAACGGGTAGCCACATGGGGGCTTGCTGGGGAGGCTCTCCATCATCCGCTCCAATGAGAAACAGCTGGTCCGATCCAACCGCGCAGAAAAAGCAATTTTAATAGGGGTAGCGGTATGCACAGCCAGCTGTTTCGACACTCAAAGGGATCGGGGTCAGCGACCTGTCTATCTCTGATGCGAAGTACCGAAGGCGACATAGGGGACGGTTATGTTCATAATTGAGGAGCCAACGCATTGCCACAACCATAGCAGCGAGGTAGTTATTTCTTTACGCATTGGGCTTCCTCGGCAGCAAAAAATATCTGTTCTGGTTGTGGCGAGGCCATCATCCAGCCTACACGCCCGTCCCCAATAACCCCAAGGACTGCCACCCGCTGCCCGAGACTCCCAGACCAACACAACCAGCGATTGGCCCTGTTTCAAAGAAGCTTCTTTCCCTGCGATGGGATGATCCGGGTGGCGTTGAAACCAGCAGGATGGAGAGCCAGCCTGCAGCAAAGGCGAACGCGCAACGGCTGCACTCTGCATCCCAACCCAGGGAATCCAGTCGTCCATTCGGGGGTGGTCCAACAGCCTTATTCAATCGGCTTCTTGCCATCCGTTGACCCACACTTTGGCATGCCAGTCTTTGTTGCATTTAGGCACCGCTTGAGGGAGGGGGGTTGGGATCGTCGGCCGAGGCGGAGATGGGCGAAGCTGAGTCGTGCGGATGACGAGATTAGCTGCAGCTGCAGCTGCAGGTCATGTTGAGCTATTTCTCCTGCGCCACCTCGATCATTTCCCGTGGATAGGGCATTATCTGAAACAAGTCTGGGGAAGTCGGGGTGGAAGGTGAGGTCGAATGACAGCATCTGCTGTCTTCGATGGGAAGAAATTGAAGTTGTGGTTTCTTTGGTAGAAATAGAAGATATTTGAGATGAGCTGGTCCTCCTGAATGTCAAAAACCTGCGACAAAGGCCTTGCGTAATCTCACGATATAGTTCGCCCACAACATCTGGGTGAAGAGATGCGGCTCGAGGTGGCCACCCACTCTGATCCCACCGCCGAAAGCCGTGAATGTCTCAGATGAAAGTCAAGCTGGCCCTACCAAGGCTGTAAGTACGCGATGTTGCGAATATCGAGCCAATGTTCCAACGATAGCAGAGACACTTCAACCCAAACCCCGCTGTCTATGATAGTTTTAACTACCACTGGAGGTTTCGGGAGCCGGGATATACAACTCCAGTGAGCGGGATGTTACGGGAAGACGAGTCAAGATGAGAAACAGTGCCTCGAACACAGTAAAATTTCTAGCCGAGGCGAAGCACAAGTTGGCTCCGCCGGTCGAGAACGAGAGCTGCGACTCCGCAAAGTTAGGAAACAACGATGGGCATCAATGCAGAAGCATCCTGGCTGTCTCCCTGTAGACGCGATGGGGGAGTTGTTGAAGTCTCCATGCTAGCAGCTGAACTTCGGGGACAAGACTCTGGAAAGGAGTCCTCATCCCTATCCTCTGCTAGCTGAGCCTCTATTTCCTCCGCGGAAGGTAATGAGACAGGTCGATTTGAGCCACTCTCCATAGCCAGGTGCGGATCCATCATCCCCGGCCCAGACGTCTGACACCTGAGCTGGGCGTTGTCTTTCCGTTTCCGTCGGCCAGCTGCGTCTCTCCGAGATGCAAGACAGTCCAAAAGTCGGTCAACAAGGAGCACTGCGGCCAATCAGAATCGAAGTCAGAGGGACGGAGGGGAGGTACAAACCGGTCAATAGAGTCAAGGTGAACGCATACAGTATGATCGGTGATTTCATAAAGGCAAATGCCAGTGGGAAATGGCTTGCGAACGAGACCAGGCTAGCCAAGAAGATGGCGAGGGAGATGCGCACAGCCATTGACAGACCCTGGTGCAACCAAAGTTCGTGGCGCCGAGAGAGCACAAGAAATGCCGTGAAGAGCCCCATAAGCAGGCTGGCCACGACAAAAAAGTATATGTAGACGAAGGCGAGAACTTTCATGTACATATGGAACAATTGCTGATTGTCGAGCAGGTTGATGTCCACCTTGTTTGATAGGGTGATATCCATACTGGAAAATAACGCAGCCGTCACGTTGCCCATGAGATCGTTGAACAGATCTTCCGTGTATTTTAAATCGAGAGTGCCGATGTCGGGGCTAGACTCGAGACACAGAGGCTGCTCCGCCAGATTTTCCAGGAGGCTCGAAATGGCCGTCCATTCTTGTGTAGCGCCCCGACTAAACGGGATCTCCATATCTGCAATCGTGCTTCGGATAAGCCCAACGGCCCGCTCGGCACTGGGGCGCGGCTCTTCGCATACAAATGAAAACGTCTCTGCCAAATATCGCAGCTTCAAGGTCACGTCTAGCGTCAAGGCAAGAATTTGTGAGCCCTCGAGGAGAAGGATGAGGGCCACGTGGAATGGGAAATGAAGCTGACACCAGAGCTGCTGCGATACCTTGCCAAGGTGGCGACGCGGTGACACGTCGAAGTAGACTTGCCAGAGTAAATACTGCGTTTGGTCAGCGTTACTCAGTTCGTAGGGCGAGGAACGGCGGAACCCACCACATTGGTAGTGACGCCCAAGATGTGCACAAACGACCACTTGGTCCATCCTCCGGGCCGCACCGTCTTGTTAACAATCCGAGTGATCGCAATGACACCTTCTCCAATAATGATCAGGGTTAAAAGTCCCATCCGGACGTTCAGGTGGGTTTCCTGGAATCCAATGCCAGCGAATCCAAAGGATATTCCCATTACCGTCCACGTCTCAACTCCAAACAGAACGAACCAAACAGTCCATATTCGAGCGCGAATCTCATAGGCTCGACTGAAGGCAAAATACATCTACCAGCCGAGTTAGCCGCAGAAGTACGTAGAAGTAGGCAGACCGTGAAATTTTACCCCTATGTAGAATAGAGTTGTTGTCCAGAATGCGGCAGCGGTGTATAGCAGCCCTCTTGCAGTGGGTCTCATGGATTTGCGAATGAAGTAGACGTTGACGGTATATTGAATGGCAAGGAGTGATCGACTACCGGCGAGTATCAAGCTGAGAGACTGGAAGGCCCATACGTTTTCGTCCTGAACATGAGTCGTGAAGCGAGAACCTGCCGACGCGAAGCCGACCATCGCACCGAGCTGGAAGGCTTTGCATGTTCTTTCAAAGACCGAGTCTCTGGCGAAACGGATGTCGAACAGCGTGACTTGAAGCCAGGTGAACCAGATGATCCCAAGAAAGCCAATGTAGGCACCCAGAGCTAGTATCACTGTCAGACCATCGATGTGAGCTATTCAGAAGGTCCAGAGTGTCCTCACCTTTGACATTATTGATCTCGTGGGTGGCGGTAAAGGTGGACAGATTCGCGACGAAGAAGAGGTCGAAAAACAGCTCGATCGGCGTCGCGTCAGAGTTTCGGTGGAGATGCGGAATGTTGTGAGTCTTTTCGATCGGACTCGAAATCCAGGGAAGCGTTTCACGATGCAGACTGGGCGCGTTAGGCCAGGAATTGGAAACCTCGCAACCTGACTTACTGCAGCTGGCTCTCCGAATCCACACCCTTACGCAAGAACTGACGGAATAAAGAAGGAAGCCAGGAATTAGGCATGGTGTATATTGGAAAAATCAAAGACGAGATATGTCGTGGGGTATCACAATAATCAATATTGACTCCAAACTCGGTGCATGTCGATGACGAAAAGTGTGTATTGCCAGCTCCAGAATGGCAGGCGCGGAGCGCAGACGCTGACCTGGGTCTTGCAGCAGGTATGTACTTGGAAGGAAGCCGCCAGGAAGATGAGATCACCTCTGTTATGATGACTCTTCAGCACTCGAATCTGAGGTGGCCATCGGCGCACCGATGCTTTCCAACCCTCGTGACTGCTCCAAAGCACCTGCAGATGCACCATTTGCACTCTCATCTATACCGGCCTCCTTCCTCAACCGCTCATAGTTCTCACCGGCTTCCTTGATCAAAGTCTGGATTTCGACTTCGCGAACAGCAATGTCTGCCTTTTCCTTCCTCAGTTCTTCCATGCGGCTAATCATCTGTTTCTTAGACGCCTCCATTGTTGCCAGATTCAGGCGAAGTCGGTCAAGACTGCTTGATAGCTTCGGCAGCGAGGTCATCTTGGGTGGAGTGCGAGGTCGGTCGATACCATCGGTCCTACTGCCCATGGCCGCCTTGGTTTGAGTGGCCTCATAAGCTGCCTTCTCCTCAAGATCCGAGTCGTCAGAGTCAGACAATGCCTCGGCATCATCAATCAGTTCACGCATCGCATCGCGGTTTTTTCGTTTTGCCTCTCGCTCCGCTTTCCTGCCCAGCGAAATCCTCCCGTCCTCCACATAGTCGTCGAACCCTTCTGCGAAGTCCTCATCATCCCGCACAAGCCTCGTGTCCTTCTGTTTCTCCTTGTCAACTCGCACAACTGCCTCCCAGTCCTCCATGTCATCGTTCCGAATTGTATCATCCTCCAGCGCAATGAAATCCTCCTCGCCTGCCTTGGCACCGTGCTCCAATGCAAGACGTGCTCGACGAGCCTTCTTTTCTCGAATTTCGGCTTCTGATGGGATCGCTGATTGCCCTGTCACCTGCATCACTTCGCCAAACTTGGCGGCAACATCGACGGTTTTGTCCTTTTCCTCGTCCGTTTTGAGCTTGGGTGTTGAGGGTGTTGAGTCGCGTAGTTCCTTCAAATAATCGTTGCTGTAGCTTGGTCGATCTTGTTCCTGGGAGACCCGTGGAGCTGCCGACGCATCTAAGGTGCGCTCAAAGGCATTTCGCTCCACTGCTTTGCGGCCAAGGCCATGTTTTTTGGGTATGACGACTTCACTGTCTTGCTCGCCATCATCGGTCATTGAGGTCTTGCCAAATGAAAGAACCGGTTTAGATTTTTGCTTCGTCTTTGGGCGTATTGGACGCTTCACAACAGGTTCTGGAATTCGAAAAGTTAGCTCATCCCAGATGTCGCGCGATACTTCGCATGTAAATTTAATAGGATAGACGAACCTTGCACCGCGCCCTCATCGTTCTCCTCGTCGTCATCGCCGCCAATCTTCCGGGGCTTCCTGCGAATGGAAAACTTGGAGCTCATGATTGCGGTGAGGCAAGAGCACCAGGCAGAAAGCAGCGAGTTGAGCATGCGTGAATGCTCGGAACTCGCCTCACATGGTTTCTGCGCTTGTGGTGTTTCGAGGTTCCCGTAGCCCGCGCTTAAGCAACAAAGCTGAATTTCTCCTCCTCATCGAATCACACACTCTCCTGCCACCCTCCCTGACCCACATAATTTCCCTTTTCAAACCTTTCCTTGTACGTTATGCTGTCTTATCATATCAGGGAACATTGTTCTTCCGAGAGATCGACTAACATTGCGCAGTTCTTCATTTCTCCAAAGACCAAATCGCAACCGCCAAAATGCCCAAGGGTCAGCCCGAATTAAAAAAGGTGAGTTCTACCGAGAACTCCGACAAGCGTATCCGTCGATCCAAGTATCCTGACTTAATACAGTACGTGGGGAAGCGCGTCATCGTGAAGATGAACGCGGACCGCACCGTCACTGGTATCCTGGTCGGTTTTGACGTACGTGTGCCCCTCCCAATTTCTCCTTACTCCCTCGCCGGCCTCCATCGATCGCGCGAAAACCATGTTCTTCTCGATATTTCCCTTACTCGATACGATGGCAGTTTGAAACGCGCTTGCGAGGCCAAGGGACTTGCGGACACGGTTAACTTTTTGACCACACAGTCATTCATGAATCTCTCCATGCACGAGTGCAACGAAGAGTTCGAGAATGGGGAGACTCTGCCTCTGGGCCAATGCGTATGCTTCAAACCCCTCCCACGAGGCTAACGAACCACTGCTAATAACCTTGCAGGTCCTCCGCGGTAACTCGATCAAGATCGTCGAGGCCGTTGACCGCGTCCACGCGTCCGGCAACTAGACTTCCGACTCACGTCTGACGCCTCCACAAGCAATTTCCAAAATACTTCGTTCATATTCTCCCGGCCGTTTCTTTCTTTTTTTCTGTCCTTCGGGCTAAGGAGTTCTGGGTTTACTTTACCGCGTGGGATTAACTGAAATTCTGTTAACACCATCCCCTTCCATGGTCTAGACGATGCTTTTCCGTAGATGTAGTTTGCTCTGGAAATAACCATCCCTTGTAGAAGGCAATGCGGGCTTCGTGATTATCCGAGCATGACCTTTTCCATGAATAACTACGAGTACAACGACAATGTAGATATCCGTAATGATAGGAGGGCGCGGCTACAGTAACCTCCTATTTATAAGGAGCGTCCTGGGGACATGGAGTGCTGTGGTTGGTGAAAATTGTCTAGGTGTAGAGACTTGATCGGCTGGATACTAGTTTTGTAACGATATTGGCATACCAGAGAAAGCTGAAAGGGCTATGGTAGCTTTGAAGCTGCTACGAGGCCTAGAATAGCGCTCTCTGGTCAACTTGCAGTTTGTTCTCGCTAAAAAGGGTGGTTTGAAACACTTGGTCTATGTGATTCATTAATTTTCGAATACTAAATACGAGATGGCGAGGGGTGAATCCAAAATAAGAAGAGGACAGAGAACATCTCATTTGATAGGTGTAATAATGACAAAACTGCTTTCACAAAACAAATACAGGCGTCAAAGACATCAACCTATTGCTTCTTGATGCCACTGCCGGGCAACTTAAGCTTGATTTTCAGCCCTCCTCCGCTCGCCGGGGTTGAGGGCGTCATCGACGAGGGCGTCGGAGTGGACGGGGTCCCCGAGGCAGGAATATGAAGTTTTGAAAGGCCGCTAGAAGACGGAGTGCTTGTGCGCGAAGCCGCTTTGGGATCCTTAAATTTGATCCTAGGCGGAGGTGGCATACCGCTGTCTTCGCGCTTCCGTTTGGAGGAGTCCTTGGACGGGGTGAGGCTGGTGCGAAATCTGTTCGAGCGGAGGAAGTGGAGTTTTCCGCCACCTTGATGCTTGACCTTCCAGTATTTTGGATATCGGAGTTTCAGGATCTTGGATGTGAGAGGGTCAAACAAGACTCGGCAGATGTCGACTAGTTCGGCGAGTTCGAGGATACTGAGTTCGGGGGAGTTGCATGCCGCCCACATGAAGTCTTGGATGGAGGGATCACTGCCGATTTCTTTCTTCAGGGCATCCAGGGCACCGGATACAGTTTGTCGACGCAAGAGATCGGCTTGACGAACTTCGGTTGTCGATTCCTGCTCAATGATTACGCCATCTGACTGGTTAGGAGCTGCTTCTTGATGTCGACCAAATGCGATTTGCGCCAAGGCACGACCGAAGATGCGCTGGCAGTGGTGCCGGACGTGAGCTGAGGAGTCACTGCTCATAGTATACATGAGCCATCGGACAAGCTCGATGTTTTGTGTGATATCGAGCTCGACGAGACAATCGAATGCCTGCAAACGAAGCAGGTCGTATGTGCCAACCCGAGTATAGGGAAGGAAGCGCATGATATCCATATCCTCGATCTTGGCCTGCATCAGTTGCATCTGGCATTGCAAAGCGGCCCGAGAGTACAAGTTCTGGAACGAGCTGGACCATTCATCCATACGTCTGTAGCGGTCGAATTCCGCGATTGTGTCCTTTTCCAGCTGCTCTTCAGCCTGAGCATCCAGCACACGCTCCATGTCGAAATTGGTCAGTTCATCGTCCGGGCGTGACTCGTTTCTTCCCAGCATGGCATGGCATAGTGAACGCATCAACGAGGCGACGTAGAAGTTGTCCGAGTACTACGAAAATATTAGCAAAGGACTCAGAAAAACAAGGGAACACATGTTGCACATACAGCGTTGTTCGAGTTGTCGTTGAATTTCAACTTGTCGAACAAAAATCGCTTCACCCGAAGGGGGGTCTTCCCGCTATTATCGCGCACTTTTGAGATGGCCGCGGGAATCTCTTGCTGGAGAATGTAGGCGGCTCGATCCTCGAAGTTGTTCGAACGGGTCATGGGGGAGTTAGGCAAGCAAAAGAGGTCTTGAAATGCTTTTTCCAAATGGAACAGTCCAATCCAATCCACCTCATCCTTGGCATGTTTGACTAACGACCTTGCGGCCATCGTTCGTATTCCATGGAAGTAGCGATTATCCATGAGAGTCCTGACAAAGATTGTAGAAATCAATGCGTGTTCTCGCTGGGCCGCCATGTATTGGAGAGACTATGACAGGATCAGTAAGACTTATTATCCATGTTAAGAGGGAAGAGGACTTACCTCCAACTGCGCCACAACGTCTCGGTCCTGCTGGAGTTGCGACAGATACATGTATCCAGGCATACCCAGAGACAGCCGACAGATCCACTCGAAATCTGCATCCATTCGAATCCACTCATATGACTCTTGGCCCATTCTTTCTTCGTCTTCCTTGGTCCAATCAGCCAGGCGCCAGGCCTGGGTTTCCTCCTCGGTCTGAAGGACGTCGCCCAGACAATAAAGAAGGACTTCCTCTTGGGCCTCCGCATCGCCCGATGCAACTGCACGTTCTCTTTGCTTCTTGTTTCGCTTGAGACGCTTGTATTTTGTGTTGTAAGGGATGTCAAACTTTGTGACTCCCTCTTTGATTTCGACGATATGTTCGTATGGTGTACCATCAGCTTCGTGAATACGGAGGGTCATGGACCCTGTGAACACAGGCTGGGGCTGGCCTGCGTAGACGTTCCGGACCTCTTCCTTGAGATCTCGGAGGAAGGCATTCTTATCGAGGTCACGAGCGGCCGGTTGTTCAGGTTGCACTTGCACCTGTCGGATCATCATTTCAACCACAAGCTTTTTCTTGTTGAATCTCTGGGTGGCTTGGAAGCGCGGGCATCCCGCGCCATAGACCCATTGTTGGAAGAAGACTTCCAACCTAGCGTGGCCTAGTCGTTCGCAAAGCTTTTGGAATTGTGATGTAGTAATGGCGCCATTCGGGATGTCACCCATTCGCGAGTTGAGGAAAAGTCGGGAGATGATTCGAGGCATGGTTGCTTTGCCACTAGCCTTCGTCAAACGGCGATCAAGGATGAAAAGAACCAACGGCGCCTTAAGAGCAATGAATCGATACTCGGATGGATCGAGTCTCAGGAAATTACCCAAATCATAAATGCCAGGACGTTCGTAGTCCAGCTCGCAGATCCTGTCAGACATTTGCTTGAGTCGGAACCGGTACTCGTTGGTGCCGCACAACTTCTTCATAAAGGTATCCGTGATGTACCAAGCTATGCCAACGGTCACCCAGGTATCGGCAGGTTCATCCGGAACGATGTGGATCCCGGTCCATTGGCATGCTAGAGCGTGAACGAGAGCGCGTGTTGAGTCGTACATAGGGTCAATGATCGTTTCCGGGAAAAGAAGGTGGTTGCTGCAGACTGCCAGACACGCCGTAGGTACGGTATCCGTCAGGAGATCGTCCACGAAGCAGATTTTGTAGCATGGGAAGGGATACGACCCATATGACAATGAGAAGAAGTCAATCGCTTGTGCCATGGGAAAGCTGGTATTCTCAACTTCTGCGCCGCGACCGGGTAGGCAGAAAGCATGGATGGGGATGGCATTTTGGCCGAGTTGTTCGTCTTGGTCACTCTCACGGAAATCCGCCAGGTTCACATGCTCAAAGGGGCCCACGGCGAACCCAATTTGCTGGGGTGACAAGGGTTCAATGCACGAGAACGAGGCGATTTTCATGGCCGGATCCTTTTTGTTGTCCGTAATATTGTCAGTCAGGTCACCGGAGCCTACAACAGTCATGTCCAATCCCTCTTCTTCACGGGTGATGGTCCAAGTTTGCGTACGCGCGCGCGAGGGACCGGAAGTTGCTTTGCTAGTTTTGAAGACGCCGCCGAGTGTAGCAGGGCATGAAACCGTGAGCTCCCACGTACAGCGGGACAGTGGATCGTCGATACATGGGAATAGTGGACAACCGACGCCAGTTTCCAGGGAATTTGTCGTGTAGGCATGCGGATAACGATTATCTCCGGTCTCGACGCCGACAAACTGTATTCCATCCCGAGGCCGGTCAATCGTGAACTCGATGCTCACAGTCAACTCCTTGAATTGCGTGCGGCTCGCCTCCGGTGCCCTGGTACCCCCCGTCCCATCTATATTGGCATCGAGTCCTTGAAGCGCGACTTGCTCTTGTGCTTCGACTTTGTTCAGCTCCCTGATGCGCACACCTTTCGGTATCGCGATTTCTAGCTCCGGAACGGTGGGCGTCTTCAGCAGCGTGTCGAGTTTCGATGCAAGTTTTTCATGATAACGATGTCCATACAGGCTGAGGTGTTCGTAGGGATCGGTGTATGTGGCTGTCGTGGTGACGTTGTTGACAGCGGTACGTTTGATCTCGCCTTGTCGGAAGTTGAATCGCAGCGACGTCAAATCCTTCCTGCTTGGGAGAATCGTGATCTCTGTTTTCCCCTTGATGCTTTTGCTTAACAAATCGATTTCCAGCTCAACTTTTTGGTTCGCTACAGCAAACTGTCGAGGGCCAATATGTCTGTAGTCCGGGAGTGCCGCGGCCGCGGAAGGCGTCTCGACAACGCCCGGCATCGCGAAGTCCTCGATATCAAGATGCGCGAAGAGCGCAGTGGGGCGTCATGTCCCTTCAGCTTCAGCAAACGAGCATCTCCAGAAAACAGCGGCGGTGGGGCGAGAGGGCGGATTCGAGAGGCGGTGCGATGTGGGTTGGGAGTGAAAGATGCGCGCGACCAGCTCCTTCGCGCAAGTGATCAACAGGGTAGGAGTGAATCGCGTGGGTTGAAGGGGCAGCGGAGGATGGTGGACGAGTGAATGGGAGGGCTCGAAGGCAAGAATGGGGGCCAGTGAAGCCGTAATTGTGCTAGGACGTCACAGCCACGGAGCTCGAGACAGCGCGACGGGCAACTTGCTGGCCGAGTCAACCTTGTGGTGGAGCGCAGCCTCGCGTTGCGGAGGTCCCACGTGACTTGCGGGCGGAAAATCTGTTTGAGACATCTTTTCTCCTCGCCTTTCCTCGCTATTTTTGGGCCGTCTGCACTTTTTTCAACGGGCGCATTCTGGCCAGGACTGTGCGGTTTTCTTCGTTGTCTGTTTCGTGCCGTTCTTTTCATCGCCCCGGTGTCGCTATCTACAATTCCCCGCCTGCAAAACGTGTTCACGCGACGCGGCCCAACACTCACTATGGACGCGATCATTCGAATGGTCCGAGGTTCGTCGGCATGATACTCTGCAGAGAGTGATTTGAGAGAGAAGATGAAACTGATGTCTTTTGCTTTTTCGCGTGCAGAGACCCAAGAGGGCCTCTCCGACGAGGCGCTCATGCCCCTGAAGTCTTACAAGTACTCCAGCGTGGACAAGTCCCCCATTTCGAACTACATTCTGCGACACTACGTACGAAACCCTCCGGTCGGACAAGGCATCTTCGGAGGAACACGGCTAACCTGTACGCGCGCAGTGGAATGCCTTCGTTGAATTGCTGCCCATGTGGCTCGCGCCGAACATGGTCACTCTCCTCGGATTTTTCTTCATCATTGGCAACGTGTTCCTGATCTGTATCGTGATGCCCGATCTGCAGGGTCCAGTGAGTGACCCCCCCACTGCCCGACAGGGATACACAAAGGCTAATTCGCTTCGTCTAGGGACCGTGGTGGTTGTACATCAGTTTTGCGATCGGTGTCTGGATGTCAGTATTGCGATTGACCCTCTCTGAGCCGCCGCGGCAGAAACTGACGTGGTACGGATAGGTACTCGACTCTGGACAATGTGGACGGTAAACAGGCACGCCGAACCGGAACTTCCAGCGGGCTGGGAGAGTTGTTTGAGTTTGTACCACCCCCAGACTAGCCGTGGGAACTAAATACTGACCTGACTATAGTCACGGAATCGATTCGCTGAACTGCACCCTCGCCAGTCTTCTCGAGACTGCCGCAATGGGCTTTGGTGCTTCCACTCTGGGTGCTTGGACTGCGCTTGTGCCGTGTCTGGCCATGTACTTCTCGACTTGGGAGACTTTCCACACCCACACTCTGTACCTGGGCTACTTCAATGGCCCTACTGAGGGTTTGATCATCGCTGTCTCGATCATGATCGCCTCAGGCATTTGGGGACCTGGTATTTGGTCGCAGCCCATCACCGACTTGATCAACATCCCGGCGCTCTTCGGCGACAACTCCGTGAAGGATCTCTGGATTCCCATCCTCCTGGGCGGCTTCTTCCTGGCCCATCTGCCTGGATGCGTCTACAACGTCTACGTCGCTCGTCGCAAGCAAGGCCTGCCTCTTGCTCCTCTTCTGAAGGAATGGATTCCTATGATTGGTTTCACCCTTTGCTGTATGCTCTGGATGTTCTCCCCCTACTCTGGCATTCTGAAGGAGAACCACCTAGTCCTCTTCTGCTGGACTATCTCCTTCGTCTTCGGCCGCATGACTACCATGATCATCCTAGCCCACCTGCTCAAGCAGGAATTCCCCTATTGGACTGTTCTGCAGGCTCCTCTTGTCCTCGGTGCTTTCCTGGTGAACCTGCCTCGCATCGGCATCCCTTTCCCCACGTGGCTCGAGCTGTGGTATTTACGTCTGTTTTTCGTTGTGGCCTTCGTCCTGTACTCTTACTGGGCGGTCCTGGTCATCAACCGCATCACCACCTTCCTCGGTATCAACTGCCTCACCATCCGTCGGGACCGATCCGCTGAGCGGGACCGTGCCTATCGCGAATTTGGCGAGTCTGGCCTCCCCCTGAACGGCGGGCGAGACAGCATCCAAATTGCTGACGATGAGGATGATGGCTTCAAAAGCCACTAATTTCCCGTTCCCTTAGAACTTGTTCTTCGAGGAACTAGCTCTCGCCCTGTCTAAAATACCTTCTCAACGTTATCATGGCATATGAACCACCCATGATGTGTTGTTTTTTACATACACCATATCATTGTAATTATGACTACAGCCTCCGATGATGTTTTGATGGTTTACATCCTAATTCTCCCGGCATGCATTGACGACTTGCATATTGCATTTTCCAGGATATTTTCCAGGAAACATCGGGGGCTTTTTCGCTTGCACATATGTACTTATCATCTCTTACATTATCACCCTGTGCCACCATAGAATGGAAATGATGTTCTCATCATAAAGAAGAGTTTTTTGAACCAAAATGAAGCAGAAAAGCCACTAGTTTGGTCGCGTGAAGACATCGTGCGTCGGAATGATATCTGAGAAAATTCCGCATTCGATCAAATCGTTCGAGCCATGCAGCCCCCTCAGACCATCTATACTTCTTGGTGTCGCCGGCCGGCGGTATTTGGAATCAAAACCTGCCGAATACTACCACACTTGAGCGACTCTCGAGTCCATCCACTATGAGACAGAACCCGCGAATGATTTAGCCGGTATAATAATGGTGCCTGCAGTGTTTGATCTAGACTGCTGCTAAATATCTGCTAGCCTTTGTCCTGCGAGCTTCATATTAAGATGCGTTCAGGCTCGCCAATTCCGCCGCCCAATGATTGCGCCCATCCCTGGACCCACTCGATGGAGTGAGATCCGACTCGGACCACAAATTATATTCCGCATCGCTCCTTAATCTGCGTTCATCATTCTTCGCTGGCGACATACGCAGGAACTCAATAAAGATGGTGTTATTTTCGGATATAGTGGACTTTACTCTCAGCTCGTCGCTGCAGCACTTCATCCCTGCGGCCCTGCTGGTTGCGACTCCCAAGGGCTCTCCATACCGCTACCTCGCGATCCCACTTTTGATATTGATGGGGAGCCTTTTCGTACGACCAATGGATCTCACAGCATATGTGCGAGCCAATGCGATCGGTTCTACTTTCACAGTCGTGATCACGGCAATTAATCTTCTGCTGGTCAACCCATTAGATGAACGCGATCTCGCGCGCGAGAAGCCAAACACATTTTTCCGCTCCGGCCATGTCTATTACACATTCGAAGTCTTTCTTATGCCCCGTGGGATTGCTACTCCGAGGCAGGTGAAGAATGTTCCTGAGCAACCTGCCTACCTCACTCGACACGGCAAGGAGATCCCTGTTGGCCGCTTTCTGCTTAGACAGGTTGTGATACTCGCTTGGCAGTTTTTGGTTGTTGATCTCTTCCAAGAGCTCGGTCGCCAGCGAGCATTGGAGTCGGGCTACCAACCTGGCTTCAAGCCTATTCCATATGATGTCCCGCTGGAAAAATGGATTGAGCGGGGGGCTACCCATATCCTGGCCTGGTTCATTATCGGCCGACTTTTGATCGACTGCCCTTTCAGACTTGCGTCTATCCTATTCGTTGGGCTTGGACTGGACACACCTGCGAATTGGCCACCGGCATTTGGCCGTCTGAAGGATGTGTATACGCTGCGACACTTCTGGAGGTATGTTCTGCTGCGCATTTGACTCTGCTAGTCACCTTACTAACAGCGATTGATAGCAAATTCTGGCACCAGTTCCTGCGTCAACATTTTACTGGGATGAGTAATTTCATTTCTCGCGATGTCCTCCATCTCTCTAGGCCATCCATCCTGGAGCGGTACACGAACGTCTTTATTGTATTCCTCCAATCAGCCATCATGCACATCATGATCGACTTTGTAGCCGGTATCCCTTGGAAACTTTCCGGCACGGTGGCATTCTTCATGTCTTTTGTCCTGGGGTTCATGATTGAGGACGGCGTGCAAGCTTTGTGGAACAGTATCTTCCCACCGACGAAAACTGAGGATGGGAAAATCCTCACGCCGCTGTGGAAGAAGGTCGTCGGTATGCTTTGGACTATGACCTGGATTGCTGTTTGGTCCACACCATACTTGGAACGGAGTATGCAGCTGCCTGCGAATGATCTTATGCCTATTGGCGTGGTCGACAAAACTGGGGTGACGCCAGTCGGAGGAGCGATCTGTGTTGGTGCCATCCTTCTGTGTCTTACTGTTGGTCCTGAGATCTAGGGCGCAGGATATTGTCGAATATTCACAAGAAAAGTCTGCGCAGAGATATATTTTATGATCGATTTTACAAGGCAGAGATAGAAGACGTTGTAATAAAGTTATGCGAATTCAAAATACAATCAGCTTAATCATTAAGCTTAATGTCACAGACTCAACATCCGTTCAAGAGTCCCCGGTGGCCGAACCACCTGATCCAGCACGTTTTTCTTCAGATTAATTCAACGATCTGAGCGCCATCTGCTGTCATGCGGCTTGATGGTAGGAACTTCATGAACCATTGTATTACGCGCAGTGGAGATGTCTATCATCTGAAGTATGAAAACCTCTTCGTCCTTTTCACAAAGCCAGCGTAATGGAGTATCCATGAAGACAAGTGAATAAATCCGCATCCAGACAATTAAATCAATATCCTGTGGCCGATACGTAGGTAGTCGAGGGATTTATTCACCGCGCACCCAGCGCCCCACAGATCGACGCGATAATCAAAGCTTTCCGCGAAAATTGTCTCAGGAATTCGCAGATAAACCGGCTGAGCTAGACGCGGAGGCTTTTTTCATGGAAAAACGCTCTTTTCAAAATCAATCAAGCAGATATCTTCCTCGTCCTCTTCTATCCAGTTGGTCCAATCTGCCGCTTTGATTAACTGCGCAGGGAGGCCTTCTGGTAGCGGCGAGCCGTCAATACGGACGACAGGTTCAAATTCAGGTCGACTGATGACCTCGAAGAGTTGATCGGCGGTTAAGTAGACAACGATAGATAGGGGAATGCGACGTTGCAACCGTTAATATCTGCGAACATGACGAATGTAATCCGCGAAAACTTATCAACGAAAAGGGCCTTACTTACCCCCATGAATGCCCCAGTACTATGGATAAAGCTGGTAGCTGCTAGAAGCTGTCTGGGTATTCGAAAAATCACATCCGCCTCCAGCTTCTCCCGGCAGTCACTATACTCGACGAGGACAAGTCCAGAGTGGGACCAAGCAATTCGAGGAGCAAACACTGACGGACCCGATTGGGGCCTTCATGAGAAAAGAATTAAAAGTTGCTGAACAATACGATGCTTCAAAAGGTCTCGATCTGAACAATGTCCTCAATGTTGTAGTATTCCTAGTTCTTGCGATTATGAGTCTGCCGTCATGATTTTTAATGAAATCCATACATTCCGACTGCATGGATTTGGCCATATCAAATCGAATTATCCCATGGGGTAAACCATCTTACTCCTGATCATCCGCTAGCCAAACGATAGGATACCCGCCCCACCCCAGTTGACGGTGCAACTTGTAACGGCCATATTTGAATGTGTCTCCGAGGGTGACAGGGTGGTATCCTCCAGGTCGATATCATAATATATTTTCCTGGTTATGAAGGAGGTCACTTGGAGTGAACAAAGGTCCATGCTGTCTTGTTGTCAAGGGAAGGCAGGTAAGATGTCCTTTCGGATGAAGTAGTGATTGCGGGACAGTCGAGGTATTGCACCCACATATCTTGAATCGTCAATCCCGTTCAACTCCGCTCAGATCCGATCAGCTCCGACGCTCAACTCCGATCAACGCCGCGTTCGCCTCCGCCCATCATGTCTAACTTTCCACCTCACGTCGAGCAGCGCGGGTGTCAGAGTCTCTTTCGATTTGGCAATACTCATATTCTCGTCTTTGAGTGCTGAGTCTCACCTGAATATGATAATCGCGTTCTTGAAGCGTATCCAAGAAGCGACTTCTGGGTTGGACATACCACAATGAGGACCTCACGGTATTCTACCTCCCGACAAAAGGCCTGTCGAACCTGCTCTTCCGCAAAAGCAAAATGCGACAGGCAAGCTGGAGGGTGCACTCGATGCGCGCAACGTGGTCTCGACTGTGATTTCGGCCAACAACACGCCTCCACAAATAATACTCGACAAGCGGATTCTAAGGAAAGACTCCCCTGCAGTCCCGCATCTCTATCGGACTCGCTTGTCACAAGTAACTTTGGAGATGGAAGCTCCACGATCGAGGGCGCGAGCTTGTCGAGCCTACCATCGCCTGGAACTATGGCGTCGACGATCGTCCAAGGATCACCAAATGCCTTTCCCAGTACGCAGGGCAGGGCACCCGTAGTATCCGGGGGCGCAGGAATGGCTTTTCCTCAATCCAATCTGGACTTTACCAGACTTGACCTTGCTTGTCCAATCAACGTGGACGAGATCAACTCTCGCTGGATGAATGCCTACATTCCCGACCCCCAGCAGCAAATTAAAAGATACCCACCTAGCATCATCTCATTTATACATCGGATCTTCAAGTCATATGTTGCGGCAGCAATCCGCGGACGCGGCCTACTCCCATTCGTCCACCCGGCACAAATGAAGCACCAGACGACCACTTCGCCGCTGACAACATGCCTAAGCTTGATCCGAATGTGCCAGAACCCCTTACCCAGAAGCGAAGGGGTAGCAGCAGCGATATTCCAGCGCGAGATGGATACCATCACGCAAAGCCGCGAAAGCTACGACGATCTCTCCCTACTAGCCGCGTTCCAGGCATACTTAATCTACGCCATGGTCCTCTTCTTCCGCCTCGGCATAACCCGCCACCACTCCCTCCGCCAAACAATGATGACCCTGCAAGAGCTTGCGCACGCCTCCTCGCGTGGTGGTCTAGTGTGCGTAGCCGACCAAACTCGCACCCGGCCCCGATGGGAAGAATGGATCGTGGCAGAAGCAAAGCGAAGAACTATTTACACGATGTATCTTTTTGATAGTGTCGTCTCGACACAGGAGAATCTCCCTACTTATCTTGGTACAGAGCTGCAAGGACTTCCTGCCCCTGCGGCGGGGTCTATATGGGAGGCTAGTAGCCGGCCTGAGTGGGAGCAGGCATACAATTTGTTTCTGGCGGAGTGGATGGGCCCTGGTCTTGCTATTGATGAACTTTGGCCGATTCCTCCGGATTTGGATGGGGCCGGTGTTGCGAGAAGGAGAGGGAGAGTTGATCATTGGTTAGAAGATGTTGATAGCTATGGGACGATGCTTTATGCGGTGGTGAGTTGTACGCATGGAGGTTGAATGCTTGAATACCGTGGCTTCTATAGCTTGCTATAATGCAGAATAAAATGACACCCATTCCACAGCTCGTCAAATGGCACCGAAATTCTAGGCAAAGTAATTTTTCAAGAGCTTGGAGAGCTCCGTCGAGAGGACAGACTCAGTCCCGACTACAGGCCAATTAGCATTGCAAAGGAACGGCACACAGGTAAAATCTCACGATGACAACAGTATCGATATTCTGCGCTCCCAAAATCTGCTCCAGCGCATTGCCAGTCGTCACGCACCACCTTGTCTTGGAAATTACAAGGTCCTTCTCATCTACCGTAAAACGAGAATCAATCTGAGTTTCAGGGGTCCCGGCCTTGAATTCACCATACGGAGCGATCAATCTCGCAAATGGCTTCTCACGTTCGACCTCGGGCAGTCCGGGACCGAAAGCGAGTGTCGTAAAAACAGACAATGGCCGATCGGTCTTCTGGTGCACGGCGACATTCCAGCGAGTCAAGTTTTGGATCAATGTTTGGCCTTCCTGCGTGCTTTCGACGGCTCCGATTAGGATAGCCATCCAATCCAAGTTGAGGATAGCATAGTAGTTGCCGAAGTTCGGGTGATTTTTCGCCGGTTGTTTCTGGGTCATTTTCAAAATTCCAAGAGGCAGAAGGAGATGAAAGAATTATTTAAGGGAGGCAACATACTGAAATTTTGATTAATGGGATGTTTTTGGATTTTCAGGTGTGAGCGGAGCTGAGAGGCCTCAACCCCGGTGACTCCCGTGAACACCGCATTAGCTTCCCGCGTGACGTATTTAAAGACCTGCTATCCCTCGCTACGACCTTTGATCCACCAAATCGAAACTCGCAATTCAAAACACGATCCTGCATTTCAGCGAAGCATACTCACACGCACACAATGCGATCAGAAGGAAGGACCAACGCGCCGTTCAAACCCGACACAAACCCAGCAGACCCCGAAGCCGAAATCCAATCCACCCCCGAACCACCATACAGTATATTCGACCGCAGGCAAAAATGGCTTATAGTGGTGATAGCCTCGACAGCAGCAACATGTAAGTTCCCAATGCCACATTATCCCAAAGCCATGGTTTAACACACTCCAGTCTCGGGCTTCGCCTCAAATATCTATTTCCCCGCTCTCCCAGCAATCGCAAACGACCTAAACGTCTCGCTAGAGCTAGTCAGTCTAACGGTGACATCCTATCTAATCTTCCAAGGCCTCGCACCCAGTCTCTGGGGTCCCGTATCCGATGTGCGAGGACGACGGATCGCGTACGCATGCACCTTCCTCGTTTTCATTGGTGCTTGTATCGGGCTCGCTCAGACGAAGAACTACGCTACCCTGATCGTCTTGAGATGTCTTCAAAGTACCGGGAGCGCCAGTACCATCGCCATTGGGTCTGGCGTTATCGGCGATATCACGACTCGCGCTGAACGTGGGGGGTTCATGGGGATTTTCCAGGCTGGTCTCCTTGCGCCTGTCGCTGCTGGGCCAGTTATTGGAGGTGCGTTGGCTGGATCTTTGGGGTGGAGGTCGATTTTCTGGTTCCTCATGATCTATGCGGCTGTTTTTCTGGTTGTGTTGTTGTTTTTTTTGCCTGAGACGCTTCGGTCGCTCGTTGGTAATGGCAGCGTGCTGTCTTCCAACCCGATGGTACGGTTTCCGCTGCGGACGTATCAAAAGCTTTCGAAGGTTGAGAGGTACTCTGGCCCTCCGCCGGAACTTCTGCCTAGGAAGAGTATTGATGTTTTTGGTCCTTTCCGCATCCTCATTAGCAACCAGGCTGCGCCTATCATTTTTTTCCTTGCGATTTACTACGCCGTGTGGCAGATGAGCATCACGGCCATGTCTTCTCTCTTCAAGGATCGGTACGGGTTATCCGAAATCCAAATCGGACTGACATTCATCGCCAACGGTATCGGATCCATAATCGGTACACTGATCACGGGAAAGATATTGAACATCGACTACAGACGCGTGAAGGCCAACTACGAGGCAATGGTCGGCACGGACGTTGAAGCTGATAACTCGGTATCCCGAGTCAAGACCAACGAGGAGGTTTTCCCACTTGAGAAAGCACGACTCCGGCTTGTGCCTGTATTTTCTCTGCTTCAGTGCTTGTCTCTTCTTCTCTTCGGCTGGACGATCCAGTATCCCCATCGAGTCCATATTGCCGTTCCCATTGTCTCGACCTTCATCACGGGCTGGACTGCGGTTTCCATGCAGTCTGTCATTATGACCTATCTGGTGGATATCTTTCATGAGAAGAGTGCTGGGGCGAGTGCTAGTCTTAACTTGGCTCGATGCTTGTTCGCCGCTGGCGGGACGAGCTTCGTTATGCCGTTGATTAGTGCGGTTGGGGTTGGGCTTACGTTCACGATCTGTGTTATTGTGCAGGTTGTTGCGTTGATTGGTCCTCTTGTTCAGTGGAGATTTGCTGCTAAGTGGAGAAAAGGCACCGAGAATCGTGACATGCAGAATCGGACCTGAAGCAAGGACTTGGGAGTTGAGATCGGCAGGATGCCCTAGAGGGAAGCAAGATATTATAGTGATAACTTAAGCATAGATAATACCTAATACATTATCAAAGAGTTGGCATCTCATTGATAATTAGATGGTTAGAGAGTACGCCTCGGGCAATGTATGGTGCAGCCACAGCTTAGCTGTGATGATGATGAATTCATTTGCCCGGTGTAGCTTGCTCTAAATATATGCTGCTATGCGGGAGTGCTGTCAGGCCTGCCGACAGCTTGAAGGTGGTCGCCAGCCCAGTGAACGATTGATTCCATGGGTTGCAACGCAAGCCCCTGATTGGTCGCCCGAGAATGTATGCAAACATGACAAAATAGACAAAATAAAGAAAAGAAATCCAAAACGAACGTCGCTTCCCCATTCGCTTGCCTTCGGGCTTTCAGACTCGCAGCTGCCAACCTACCGAAACGGCCTCGGCCGTCGAGGATCAACCGCAAATAAGGACCGTACGGGAGCATTGGAAAATACGCCATGATTTTGGGAGAACCCTCAGGCATATACCTCTTTCCCGGAAGGTGTAAATTGCGGAGGGTTGAAATCGATGGCAAGCCAGTGTAGATAGTGATGTAGTTGACCCGGTTACCCCAACGTGACCTGCGCAAATCGGCCAATGGGCTGACAGATCCGAGAATGACAAATCAATCAATCAATCAATCAATCAACGTCGCTTCCCCTCTACCCACTCTCCTTTCCACAATCAGACTTCATTCTCTGATCTACTTCATCCCCCACCGCTCCACAGCTTAGCTTCATTTCGTAGTTTGTCTGATATTGATTATGGTGTAGTATCCATTAATCCAAATAATCACTGTGTGAGGACGTAGCACAAGCTCAATCACGACTAGAGCGGAATTAGAAAATTCAAATGCTACCCATGCAAATGCATCAAAGGTATAATTAAGCCAGCAAGCAGACGATCATCGCAACGGCTTCCTCATAAACCATCAAACCTAATCACAAGTCAGCAATTCATCAACCTTCAACAACGCAGAAAACGGGCCATCTCACTCTTTAACATGGGCATGCGTATGCTTATCACGCAGCTGCCTCTTAATAAGGCCACGCTGGGGATGGGCAGCCCAGGTTATAGCAGTGTATTATGAGGCGTGGAGGCAGAGAGACTCGAAGTGGGTAACCCGGTGACAGCAACATGGGCACCGCGACATTACATTGCGGCTGAACGAAGCGCCAGCGGGGGCACTGGTCCAGTGAGAGTGTGAGCTCCTCCCTCGTCGCAGGGGTAGCGCGCCTCTGGCATTGCTTCCGATCAATTAGGACCCGGTAATGATCTAAAAATACCAGATCGGGCTTGGTTGGGCCGGGTCATCAAAACGTGATCCATGCTCGGGCGCGCGATAGTCTTGACTGGCTCAAAGCGCTTGGCATATCGTGCTTGTCAGTGTACCTCCATAGATGGCCTGTGGAGTGTCGAGAGCGTCTGTGAAGAGCGTCGAGGCCTGCACGGTCGAATGTTGACGAAAAGAGGGGAATTCCTCTGCGATCGAAATTCAGTGCTCGAGTGATCAGGCGCTCAGCAACACATTGTCTGGAGCCCCGCTACGCGGGCGCCCCCCGCTCGAGGACCAAAACCGGTTGGAAGCATTTTTTCATCGAGGCGGAGCCGCGCGGTGGCCCGTTTTCCCAGGCGCCGATATCAGGTATGTGGGGCTGATTCGTGCTGTTTGGGACGCTTGCCACCAATGCGCAAGGGTCAGTTCGACCGGCGCTGGAGCACCATGGTACAATCACAATGGACGACACGCGGGACATCAGTGTTGCCTCCTCTCTTGGCCTTTTGCTCCTTTGGAGTCTAAATTCTTGTTTTCCGCCAATGGTCTGCAGCCTTGACTGAGCGCCGGCGGGGATTCTGGGGATGAAGCACCAAAACAGCGAGCTGAGCGTTTGTGGAGGTGGCAACTTGCTGTGTTCGTTCACACTTGACGACAGACGGCCGTGGTCATTGGACGAGGAGGAGGTTGTTGAGATGTATAGTTTGCCAACTTGAGGACCCTACAGAAGGAAGAGCGCAAGGATGATCGACGATACCGCTACAGATAACAACACGTCATGTGACCCAGGTATCGCAACTGGCGATGTACTTATGCCTTCGACTACGTAGAAGGCGTGCGCAAAGGTATTAATGGGGCATTGGGGTCTGCAATGGGGTGCTGCACGTGTTTCATCTCGTGTAGTTCATCGAAAGAGCGGCGTGATTCGTGGGAAGCTCACCAGCGATCGCCGATCTACTTTCTCTTTGGAGCGCATATGATGTCATCTGCATCATCCAGGTCCCAGAATTATCTGGGGTACGTATTATGGAAAGTTACTAGAACTTGATGCTTGTTCTGACGTATCAAACTAATGTCACTATGATGGACGGGCTGGACAGTTGAATCACCTCTGGGCGTTTCCAAACTCGCGTTTTTCCTGAACCTTTCCATCAACTATACCCTTTTCTCCCTTTGCATAGGTCAACCTATACCAATTTGGAATCGCAAGGCAGGCACCCCCTGTACGCCACGCGATAGGATTACTGCATAATGAAATTTGCGCCTTCCTATTCCATAGCTTTGGATGCCAGTCACTTAGATATGCCGCTTGATATGCACAGCAAGCCCGCTACTGGGGGCAGTGACCCTCTGGCCGACACCCATGATCAAACAAGAGCGGTGCGAGGCCATGGCATCAATGGCATGGACTCAAAAATGCCCTCATACCCCGGTCTTGACCGATGGCAGCTACTGGACCTTCTGGGCACCGGTGCCTTCAGCCATGTGTATCGTGCCTCAGACCGAGAAGGCAAGATGGGCGAAGTCGCCATTAAGGTGATGAAAAAATATGAAATGAAAGAACCACATGTGCGGACCCTTCAATGCCAGCATTGCAAGTCACTGAGGAATTGAAGCTGACAATCGAACAGAAAGCGAATCTACAAAAGGAAATTCAAATAATGCGACAGCTGGATCATAACAATATCTCCAGGCTGATTGATGTCATCGAAACGAACCAATATTGTCATATTGTCTTGGAACTCTGCACGGGAGGAGAGCTTTTCAACCAGCTTGTGAAGCTCACGTACCTCAGTGAGGATCTATCGCGACATGTTATCTTGCAAGTCGCGCAGGCCGTTCTATACTTGCATCAGACAGGCATCGTTCATCGGTTTGTCAACCCATTTCCGACACCAGAAATCTATTAATAGACACTAACAATCTCCCAGTGATATCAAACCCGAAAATATCTTATTCAACTCGATTCCAGTGGAGCCCAGTAAAACCCCAAAACCTACGCTACCCGGTGAGGAAAATAAAGTCGACGAAGGCGATTTCGTGCCCGGTGTCGGTGGTGGAGGCATTGGTGAAGTCAAGCTTGCAGATTTTGGCTTGTCGAAGATTATCGCCGGTGCCCCCACGGCAACACCATGTGGCACTATGTCATATGCTGCACCCGAGATTGTTCGCGACGAAAAGTACACGACCGGTGTCGACATGTGGGCACTTGGATGTGTTTTGTACACCCTGCTCGCCGGCTATCCTCCATTCTACGACCCGAATACAAAGGTCCTGATGAAGAAGGTATCGACAGGAGACTATGCTTTTGACTCTCCCTGGTGGAACGATATTTCCAAGGATGCCAAGGATATAGTCTCCAAGCTCTTGACAGTCGAGTCTGACAAGAGACTCACCATCGAGGAATTCATCAACCATCCTTGGATCCAGAAAGCCTCCAAGACGACTCTGGAGACGGAAGAACCCTCGACGATTGCCGACACCGAGTCCCAGTCCGATGGTAGCTCCACTACGGCGCCTCCAACTCCTCGCGATGATCGAGATGACGGGACCCCTGTGCCCCCTGAAGCTCTGCACGAGTCTCACGTCGAAGCCCGGACGCCTGGTTTCATGAACGTGCGCGAGCTGTTCGGTGTGGTCTTCTCGGCACATCAACGCGAACATGACATCCGGGACCATGAAATTGCCTCCAGGGTTGAGAATGACACGAGGAAAAGCAAGACGAATATCCATGACAAACTGCACCTTGGAAACAGTGCTTTGCTTCAGAAGCGCGGGGTCCAGCAAAACAGGGCATAAGTTGCTCTGCTTTACGTATATTACGAACTTCATGTTGTACGATTAAGATCTTTTCAAGCGATATTTGACGATTATAGCCTGGTGTCTTTCTAGCTGGTCAATATGAATTCATTCATCTATTTGATTCTGCTTCCCATCAATAAGATCTACGACTTTTAACTAGCGTCAGGTTAACCTAGATTCAGGTAGGCCCGTCCCCTCTCTGAAGGCTTTACATATTATCGAGGCGGTTTTGTATGATTATGCACTTGGTCGAGTGGTATTTTCGAGTATCGTCCAGCACCACCTGCGTGACCTCCATATGCGGTCTACCTCGATGGCTTTTTATACCATCCAGCATTCAGCAATTCAAAGATTCTAGTTAACTTTATATTTCAAATGCAAGCATTTTTTATTTAAGAAGCAAACTAGTTCAAAAAATCATTCGTAAAGATGATGGAAGAAAAAAATATATAAGATATATATATATTTTTCGCAACAAAAAGAAAGGTCCCTGCCGGGGTCGAACCGGCGATCTTTCGGAGACGGGTAAACATCAAAACCGAACGCGGTAACCACTGCGCCAAGGAACCCGTTGTAATATTTCACCGAACTTTAGCGCTACTTAGACCTAGGCTTTTTCAACATCGAGATCAAGACATTAACGTCACTGGGATATATCAATGAAGAGCGCAAACCTTGAAAGGGTTTAAAACATCGAGACCGATAACTTCCAAGGTTCAGCTTCACAGAGTTCCTATTCCTTGGCTATTCCTTGCCTCCGAAACTGCATCCGAATGGCATCACGAATTCTTCGAGTGACAGCCTTTGCGGCTTCATGCCTGGAGATTTCCTGCCAGTGACACCGGCTTAGCAGTGACTATTGACTGAGACTATTTCCTGATCGAGTCCAAAACAGCCACAACGCTGCAATCAGTAGCAAATCCACTTCTACTGTCAAACAGCAGTACGTATGAAAATGCTTTGAGATCCTTACGAACAGTTGCAGCTATGTCCGCTACGTCCCCTGGTTTCCTACCTTCGTTCTCTGTCCCAGAAATCGACCCTCCTGTCAAGAACGCGACTTGTTGCTCCACAAGCTGGGGCTTTACCTATGCAGATCAAATACTAGGGGATTTTATGGCCAGTATACCCAATGTCTTCCACACAATCAACTTCAACACTACCCCCGACTGGAAGTGGGGGACCGACACCCCATACACCTACCCCGAAGACGTGAACACGATCGACTAGAACTACAGCAACGGTCCCCAGCTGCGTGTTCCGTCCCTCAATGTCCTCTCCGTCTACTACAGTCGACTCTCGTCATGGTACGAGAAGGGCGGATTCAACGATGAATGCGGCGTCTATCACGAATTAGGCCACCATCTTGACATCAAGTACTGGGAAATCCTCAACGAGTCGGACTCCAAGCACACCATCAGCCCAGACCTCTAGAACGAGATTTACGACGCCGTCACTGCTGCTACCCACGAAGCATCTCCGAAGACTCAGTTCGTCGGCATTGCACTAGCCACACGAAATGTAACTCATGTCAAGTCCTTCCTTGACCCTGCCAACCACAAGCCAGGAACACCCTTGGACTGGGTCAGCTATCACTTCTACGCCACCTCCGATACCCGACAACGCAGAACGAGGCTACGCAGAGCTTTCAGATGGTAGATACTATCTTTGGCGAAGTCGCAGAGATCGAGGCTGCTCGAAAAGCTATCTCGCCGTCAACACGTACCACTGTCAATGAGCTCGGCACCATGGGCTCGACGACGATTTACCCTAATTATACTATCACCGATGAGTATTGGGTCTGGTGTGGGGGTATCTATACCTACGTCTTCTCTAGGCTCGCCGTGATGGGCATTGATGCGGTCGGTGAATGTCAGCTCAGTGGCTATCCTGGTCAATACCCTTCTGTCTCGATGATCTATTACCAGGCCGGATGCCTACGGCTTGATTGCGTGTGCTGCAGTTGATTCAAGCTAGTTTTATCCCTGTTGATAAATTTTGTCAAGACCATGAGCGATGAGACTCGGTTCCTTGCCCAGGATTTTGAGGCTACCGATTGTACCAAGAAGATGCTGTTGGTCAACAAGCAAGGAAACGAGCTTTCAGTCTTTGTGACTGATTCCAGTGAGGCGTCTGCGGGAATTGTAGATGTCACGACGCGTAGTAATCCGTGGCGCACTGAGAAGGTCACTGGAAGTATCCAACTCCCTGCGTACGCTGTTGTCATCTTGAGTGAGGCCTAATGGAGACATGGCAGCCGCAACTGAGCAGAAAATGGCCTTACCCAACTTGTTCATACGTATTTGAACAATAAATCTGCCGTGGATCCGATTGCGATTCCGGCTGAGGCATCTCTGATCTGGTAGGTCATACAGGACCCACCCGGTGCAATCCAGAAGTTCGAGTTTGAAGGATATCGATTCCCAGATCCGTCATTTCGGGGTACTCCTTGATCTTGGATATCTCCGCCATCATTCTGAACGCAGCCCAGCCTGTAGGTTTGATATCTGGGTCGGCTTCTTGCAAAAGCTGAGAGCGAGTAGTAGAGTTGATTCCTATATTCATTAGTAAATCCTACAGGAGCCTTTGGGGGGAGAATACCGTCAGCAGCAACGACAATCAGCTTCGAGCTTCCTTCCACTCTGCAACAAGACAGTACCAGCCTCGAAGTCATATTTGACGACTTGACTATCGAGCATGATCTCCTCCCCAGAGTGAACAGCGTGTCTGTGAAGAATATTATGTAGCACTGCTCGATGGACGACAATATATGGAGCTCCGTATTGTCTCTCCATGTCTGCGACATCTAAAACGCCAATTGTAGAGCCGCTCTTGTAGACTTTGACGAATGTCTACTCCAGTGTGATGCACTTGGATAGTATGTCGTCTTTGAGGCCCCACTTGTAGAAGTAGTTCACAGCTTGCGGAGCCATTTTTTGGATCCCAGCGCCGATTTCAGCTAGGCGAGGTACGGATTCTAAGATCAAAGCGCCGTGGCCGTATTGTGAAAGTGCGATTGCTAGGGACATTCCCGCTATGCCGGCTCCGACGATGATGACTCGCATCGTGGTATCCCTTGGCTGTCCTGGCCAGGACTCAATGGATTATCGGTGAGTCAAGTCTGTCGCTGTCCACCGTCTCCGTAAAATGTGAGAGGCACCCAGAGGGTTTCACGTGGTTGGCAGGTACGCAAAACAATTTGCTAGTCGGGATGCCATGCATCGTGGGCAGAACGGCTGAGATGGGGATCTGGAACGAGGCGGAGTTCCCACAAAACACAGGTTACACGTGCGCTTCGTATTCAAGAACAGAGTAGCCCGGCCAAATGATCGTGTTTTTGATAGACAGGTGTACTTTAGAGAATATGCTATATTGAACTATGTCGTACTAGAAGGATCGGCCAATCTATATACGCTATACATGACAAAACAAAGCGTGGAAGAGAGGCGAGATTGATAAATAACAGCATTTAGGTTTAGGGTACAGTCATTACGGTACCGCTACCAGCATTGGGAATACGTGCAATTAATATTGCCTGAAGCAATAGATCACCGGAGAATCGTGTCACGAGTTCACGTGACTTCGTAGTTACCTGAGCTGGTACCTGAACCACAAGGCGAACTTCTTTCGGAAGTGGGCGTCTTCACGTAAGTTTCGCGTCCGCGTCCCAAGCTTACCTTTCCTCTCCACCCTCTCCACCTCTTCGCCATCATGGCGTCTCCAGTCCCCGATACATTCCTTACAGAGGTGAGTGCAGTGCTTTTCGAACAAGCTGAAAGAGATCGAGCCAACAGTCAATCTTTCAAGGAAAACATGGCTGCCTACCATCTGGGCCATCACCCAGGTGCTCCTCTCCCGCCTGAGCTCCAGGACGCCCAGCACGTCACGCCCATTGCTCCCCCGGAAGACCTCAATCCTGCAAACGAGATCGCACCTCAAGCTCACCGTGCCTATCATCAGAGTCACCACCCAGGTGCTCCTCTCCCGCCCGAGCTCCAGAACGCCCAACACGTCACGTCCATTGCTCCCCCCGAGAACACCAATGCAAACAAGGTCGCATTTCAAGCTCACCGTGCCTCTGTCGCTCCCCGCCCTCCCGCCATCATGGGGCCTTCGACCTTCAATGCGCCATTCCTCACGGATGTGAGTGCGCCTCAAACAGCCTGAAAGAGATCGAGCTAACAATTTCTTGCAGGAACGTATGGCCGCCTTCCATTTGGGCCACTTCCCCGGTCAGCCCCTCCCAATCGAGCTCCAGCAGCACAAGAACATCGATCCCATCAAACCAACCGACGCTCTTTCGAACCTCCAATCTGCAGACGCGACCGCTCAAATTCAAGGTGTTCCTGCGGCTCCCCAGCCCGCAACCGTGACTCAGACCGTGACTGCGATCGACCCTCAGGATGACACTTGCTACGAGGGAGGTGAGGATGACGACTGCCCGATCCTGGGGTATTACCCCGACGGCAATCCTCGTTTCATCACCGATGATGAAATCGAGTTGTTCAGACATAGCGAAATCTGGAATTTGCTCCGCGCGCGTGAGGCCCAGGAAAGTGAATATGAACCCGACGCAGAGCACGAGGCTATCGACGATCAAGCCCAGCAGGAGCTTGTTCTTTCTACCGAAGATCTGTTGGCCATGAGCAAGACCACGGATGATCAAGCCGAGCAGGAGCCCATCTCTGCTGAACAGTCCCCTACTATGAGCGAGGTCACGGACGACCAAGCCGAACAAGAGCCTCTGTCTACTGCTGAACAGTCCCCGGCTATGAGCAAGAAGCGAACCTACTCTAGCCGTGATGAAGACGGATATCAACCTTTTGACTCTGAGGACGATGAGAAGTACAGAAAGGTTGCGAAAACGTCCCGACAGTCTCAGGCAACTCGCGCGCATTTCGCATTTTACGGTGAGGACCCCCTTGAAGCTAGAAAGCGAAAGCGACAGAAGACCATCAACGCCGAACGGATGGAGAAGCAGCGGTTCCAATTCGAATTCGAATCTGACTATGTTCCAGACCAGCCTGTTGATCCTGACTGTGGAGAACTTGATTATGGGGAGGGCGAATCGTCAACCTCCAAGGAAAAGCCTTGGGAGAAGAACCGAAGGGTCAAGTCTTACGCCAATGATTGAGCAGCCGATCTGGAACCTTGAATCGGTCTGGAAGAGAACCACGCCAACGAAGGCTGAACCCAAGTCGGTCTTTTTTCTTTTTCAGGTGAGTAAGGCAATCTTTATCTTTCCTCCATTTCTATCTCTTTGCCCGCCGACCATGATGAAACAATTCAGTCATCCTTAGACGGAAAGCCATACCTTCTGCGGAAGTGTAAGGCTTTGACGACCTTTAATCTTCTCTCTGAAAGGCTTCTTTTCTTCGAGTTTTCTTACGTGATTCTTGATTCCAATATCAACATGCTAATGGCGTAACTTTGCTAGGTGTTCATTTTCTCATCGCCTTACGAGTTTACGATTCATGTCTTTCCCGGCGAACTGGACGATAATTCGACTTCCCTTATCAATCTGTACGATAATTTCCCTTTCCCCGCGAGCTGTACGATTTATCACCTCTTCTTGCGGGCTGTACGATCTGTCCCCTTCGCCGATGCCGAACAAATTTGCACCCCGAAATTCTCTTTTCTGTGCGCAAGATTCTCGCCCATGATTATGTTTCTGTCGCTTGGAACAATCAGCCACTGCGCCAGACTGAATTTTTCTTGCTGTTAATCGGACAGCATCGAGCGCATGACCAGGTGCCAGCTATCTAGCAATCGGAATGATTCAATCCTGGATTTTGCCACATTCATTGATAAGGTAAGGTAACCCTTTGTAAAATTATCGTATTGATATGATGCAGGTTTTATTCGTAGTGGTGTATGTGATCATCCCCCGATGAAGCCGAGGAAACACGCGATGCAAATATGCTAGGCTGCTAAAACCAGAAAATCCAAACGCCGTAAACCCCAATGGCCGATCAAAACAAACAACAGCGCATCCAGAGCCTAAGCATTATTTGCGCAAGAGAAACTGGCACTGCTGGGATTGTCATGGATGGCCTTTCCAGAAACCCAGAGACCGAGACCGCACTACAGACATACAGTTAGCAAGAGAAACCTCGCGAGATTGGATATTGCACTTACCAGAGCGACACCGATCGCAACAATAATCAGATTCACAGCCGTCAGGAACATCTTCCGCGGTGAAGAGAAATACTTTCCCTTGTTCATGAACAGCCAGAAGATACCACTCAGTCCGAAAGTGAACCAACTAGCGAACAGAGCAGTCTGATATCACGTTAGCAATCAACAGCAACACCTACTTCAAGAGGCGGTTGAACTCACGATCAAACTAAGCAGGTTGCTGAAGACCGGGATAGCAGAGGAAATGATCCAAGCAAGAATCCACAGACCAGCAGCGATTCCAACCCACGAGGTGATAGCCACCCAGTCACGCTTGTGCATGCGATCCGTCCCACGGAAAATACGCACATAGACATATTTGAATGCAACATGGCCATTGATAACACCAGCGATGATGATGGTCGGCAGGGCGATACCATAGGCAATCTTAGCAACAACCGGCGAAGCCGAGCCAAGAGCAGGCGAAGTGACTCCGTCACCGGCATAGCGGTAGATGACAGTGGCGGCGATCAGGTAAAGGGAGATATCAACGCCTTGCAGCAGGCAGAGGGACTTTGTGAAATCGCGCGGGTTTTTGAGCTCGGCCATCAGGCCGAAGAATGCGGCGTGTCCGCAGAATGCAAAGACGATGTTGCAGACTGCGGAGAATCCGTGGTATAAATCGGTCTGAACGACGGCGACGACGCCGCTGCCGGGTTTCTCGATGCCGACGGCGATCATGCAAATCATCACGGCGGTGATGATGCTTCCGAATGCTGGGGATCAATTAGTTATGTGCAAGCCATGGCTGGGACTCGAAAGTACATACAGACGAAGGAAAGCCAGGACATCTTGACCAGGGTTCGAGGCAGAGAGCAGATGAACGAGATGACCGTTCCCACAATGCCGAAGACAATCGAGCAGGTTCCATGGTTGGTGATCGTGTTCATCGCCACGGTGAAGGTCAACAGGTGACTCGACATGATGAAGATAAGGAAGAGAATTTGGCATGCGCCGAGGAACTCTCGGCCAATTTTTCCTCCAAGAACCTCTCCGGCATCAGCCATCGTCGTGATATGCGGGTACCGCCATTTCATCTGTCCGATGATGTAGCCTGTGTAAGTGGCCAGCAGACCAAGGCCGACCAAGATGAGAAGTGCGGGGACAAGACCCAGGCCAGCAATCGCAGCTGGAAGGGATAGAACACCCAAGGACACGGTCTCAGCAACCATCAGCAAACCGCATTGCCACCATTTCAAGACTTTGTATTTGACCTCTGCGAACTCCTCATCACCAAAAGCATCCTGCTTATACGGCGGCGTGATGCCAGCCTTCAAATCGTTTTCGAGGTCGACGTCCGATTCGAGTGTCTTCTGACGGGTGATAGTCCCCAAATCTGCAACGGCAGCCGGGCTGTCCATTTGCGAGCCCATTAGAGGAAGCAGTTCTGGCGTATATCAAAATTCGAGGTCGGCCCGTATAGTCGCGTCGCAGTATCGGTATAAATTGCTCCGGAAGGGATCGCACTGGCAGATTCCCAAGGTCAAAATGACGCGACTCAACAGGCAATGTCGAACAAAACACAGCGCGATGCGGCCGAGATAACAAATAACAAAGTTAATGAAGTCCAACGCAAGAGAAAAACCTTTGACTCAGCTCCGAATAAAGTCTCGGCCTCCCGAACCGGAGCGGCAAGAGTGGGCCGCAACCACCGATGGAGCCAGCCTCGGTCCCTCGGGACGAATCAGGCGATCAGTACGTAATGGGATCCAACAGAACAGCTCCCAGAACGGAGCCTGAAACCTCTTTAAAAAAACTGGGGAAGTCCTGAAAAAAAAGTTTCGTCGCCGATGCCGGCGCTGCTGTGCCTGTTTTTGCCTCCTTGTCGTTCGGGCTCTACTATGATTGCTGGAATTGCGCAGGGCTGATGGATTTCTTCCAATGGATAGCTCTGCCGATCTTGCAGGGTCCGGCTAGCTTTGTTAGCGCAGCCACAGAATCTTATCTTGCATCAGCATAGGGTTTTATTGCTGCTGCATACTAAACATTGTAGGTATGTAGTGTGTCCTCGCTGACTTATGGCTTTTACCCGTATGGCCTTTTGCTTTAGATCTGCCGCGACTTCGGACGTCGGAGTAAGTGGCTTCATTTCGGGTCCCCGGTGGCCAGATCTGGAATAAATGGGGTCATGCATTACGTGCACTTGTGAAATGACTCAGTTGGTACTTTGTTCCGAGCAATGACTTGATCAATAAGCACACACTAGACTACAGTACACTTACCGCACGAATTGATGGAAACAACTAGAAATATGTAAGATATATGTCAATTTTTCACTCTTATATCATCCTTGAACTGCGGTGGATCCTTTTTGTTGTGCTAAGGTATGCTAAGGTAAAATATACAACAATTTTGCTTACCTTCACGGTCTTTTTTTTGCATCGGCTTCCATCCGCCAAGACAAGGCTTCGCTCTTGATGAACATGGCCATCACAGTGCTGCTGGCTTCATATTTCGCAACAGGACTGTTCACAAGGCGAAGGCTGTCCATTGTCCAGTCCCGAGCAATAAGTGGGATGGAAGAAGATTTGAACAAGGGGACGCCACTTCGTCTCGTCTGTAAGATCGTCACCACGAGAAATCCCCCAGCCATGACCATCAAAATTGCGGGGAATGTAACCCACGCCTATCAAACTTTGATTTGGGTCTCCAGTTGGTACGAAGTTCCACTCACAATCCCCAGGCCCTCATACAAAGGAGTATTGTAGGCAGTTCCTATCTTGTATATGGCACCACTGTCCACGGAGAATTACGCCATTGGCTGCGTGAAGTCTGCCTTTGAAATATTATTGTACTATTCATCGGTGAAATTAACATTTCCGAGACTGTTGATATCGAGCTTCTTAGCGTGCCAACTAATTGATCTGGCCTTTTTCAACTGTTCATAAACAAAGCCAGAGTTGCTATTGTCGGAGAAGTCCGAATCAAAACGATCATTTTTAGGTGGAGACAATCTGAGAAAGATGTTTTGGTACTGGGCACTTGTGTCGGTGCGTGTCTCGACATGAGTTTCCTTAAGCTTGTTGCCGCTCATGCGGGCTGAAATGGACTTGGTACACCAGTACAAAGCACACTGCGTCGCATTTACTTTCGGTGCACTGTTACCCAAGACGGCACCCCATGGCTGTGATTCTATCATGGTGGTATTGCCGTAGTCGGATAGCTGAACAAATTGACCGCATCGAGGCAGATGAACCTGTCACGGTTTTGAGAAAAGTTGAGTTTCAGTTGTCGTGGAAAGATGTATTCAAGCCGTTCGGGAGTGAATAGGTAAGCAGAGGCACATTCCTTTTTTTGTTTTCCGCATGACTGTGTCGAGCTTGAAAGCAGATGGGAGATATCAGAGCACGATGAACAAACTGCAGAGTTGCAAAACGAGGGATTTCGCATTCCCCGGTCGGGAAAGAAGGAAGTACCGTGGAGTATGATCCACCGGAGCTGTTTGTCGAGCAGTCCGAGTCCAAACAGTTAAATGCGGAGGCATAGATTGACCCAATCATCCCTGTAGGCGGTTCATTTCCATCCGTGCTGCCATCAGGGGTGTATTAGTATGACTGCGCGCGAGCTCATGTTGCTGGATCATCAGATATGATTCGGCCGTTCTCAATTTTGACCATTTGCTGGACAAAAACCCGATTCCAGCGGCCAAGATTGTAGCAAGCGCTCCGATGGTCGCAAATTGCCTGCACGTCCAGTTGTTAACATATCTTCGACAAGAAACAAAGATGATATCGAACACACCTAAGGTTGGACGTGAAAAGGAACATGCTGCAACCTCAAATCCCTCGGCTCGTGGAGTCATAGGTATTCATGTGGGTCAGAGCTCTCCGGGTATTATTGAAGGATATCCATTTCCACTGGCTGATACAGCCGCCCACAGCGCCAATGAGGCATGCATTCAGAACGACCGATAGTAACGAGAACACCGTGTTGACTGTGATGCCGTAAGGCCAAGTTGGAAGAGCCTTTCCGTCATAGGCCACAAGAAATCCAATAATCGAAGCCAAGGTCGCCAGCATCCCCACACAGCATGCTATCTCAACCACCCATTTCTCGTTCACCTGCTTTGTAATGATTTTTTGGGACAATAATTGTTCCCGGCAAGTCTATTTGCTGCTGAAAATTGACATATTCGCCTTTTTGCTGTAACCCGGGGTTGGTTCGCGTTGTGTTGCGCGACAATTCGACACTCATAGTGTCAAGGTTGAAATCAAATGCACAAGGCAGTATCCGCGTTCCTGGGGTTTGTTCTATTTCCCTGGGCCCCTGATCTTTCACCAATGTGATTGAACAGCTGCTCTCCACTTGCTGTTATCTGTGCGATTCATTGAGCCGCATGCTGCTCAAAAGTATCAAGAGATACAATAATCGACACTTCGTAGCAGTGCTCTTGTAGATAATCAGGCCTCGTCTTTCCCATTCCACCTAAGCACACTGATAATGAGATCGGAGTACACAGTGGTCTTCTCTTATTAATGCATATTGTGAATGGTAATTTAGCCCCCAAACACAGTACTGAATATCCTATGCCATAAAGTGTGTTGTGCGTTGTATAGATATTATCATGTGGTCCCTTCAGCAATTTCTGCAAAATATAATTTCAGCCTGCTGAAATGGCCGTCATAAGCTACCGTGTTGGGGCTATTTTGCCACTTAATTACATTGCAGGTTTCCGGGCTCGCGGCCTTTTCTCATACGAAGAGTCTACAGAGTATACTCGGGTGATATCAACAGTAATCGAAACTTTCATATGGCTTTCACAATACTACCGTAGCTTCCAATACCTCAGCGAAGCTTGAGTCTTAAAGACTCCTACCTAGGTACCTTCCTTCTTTTGGGATTGCTATTTCGGATTCCGGTTGTCCCATATAGGACTTGCTTAGATCTATCAATTCGTCAATTTGCTCCGTGGAAAGAGCTTTCTGAATGATAATCATGTCGTCCTAATCGTAGATTAGCAGGAACCTCATAGCGTCTCACGCTCACACATCTCCGGAAATCCCCTACCTCATCTTTTAATGGATAGTGAAGGTCTAGCACAGCATGTACATGCAGCCACTTTCTTGGAATGCGCGTTTTGCCCTTGCGTGGCCAGGGCTTCTCTTCGTGGGGATGACGACTAGATTCATCCGAGAGATCCCGGCGGATAGGGCTCGTCATTCTGTATTTCGATTTCTGCTGCTGCGGCTCGGCATTGCCAGCCTCGGAATCCCTGCTTGGAGAGCGATGCCGACTGCGGCCAGTTCTCTCTTCGTCGTCGGGATTTCGATGGCTCCTGTTTATGATAGCTTCGAATATGTTCCCGGCTGATGCAAGCTTGGATGCCCTCTTAAGATACGCCCTTTTAGGATGAAGAGGACGATGATTCTCAGATTCTTGGGTGTGTCCTAGATCATATCGCACGTGGTTCTCGTTAACTGGTTTCTTTGTATACGTACTTCGAGCTTTGCTGCCCCTGGAGGATCCCACGGATAAACAAGAGGTCTCACTTGATCGAGGCCGAGAAGGCTTTCGAATTGCCTCATCATCGGAACAGTAGTCTTCAACACTACCGTTCATGAAATTTCCTTCGCTTGCTGTCGTCGCTGGACGTAGTGTTTGTGAGCCGTCGCTATCACTCTCATAATCTGATTGCGTAACTTCGGTTTTTATTTGTACCGTATTGTGGTCAGTGGTTTCTCTCACTGAATCATAGGCATCCGAAAACGACGGTAGCTCAGATAATGGTTTCATCCAAGGGTGTTCGATTGCCGCTTCAGCTGTCAAACGATCGCCGGGAACAGGCTTCATCAATAAGTGTATAAACTCGATTCCTTCTTTATCGACACCAGCATCGCCGAGAATGTTGCTAGGAAAATTCTGGGGGTGCCAAACGTAGGAAGAAAGCTGACCATTGACTTTGAAAACGGGCTGCTTCGTAAGCATTTGGAAAGTGATTTCACCCAGCGACCACATATCCGAAGTCTTTACTCGATGAATCCATATCTGTCAGGAGTTATGAAGCCAGGGGTGCCTTTCAATGTTGTCGAACTCTCGGGAGCATCTCCGATCCGTTTGCTGATAACAAAATCCGCAATCTTCACCCACCATTCCTGGAGTGGATGAGATTTTATCACACTATTCTGTGCCGAAATTAGCTTCCCGCTTTATCAAGAACAGGTCGACACTACCTTTGGCTTAAGGTCTCGATGCGCGAAATCATTTTCATGCATCATATGAAGACCTTCGAGAATTTGATAACAGATTTCTCGCGCCTGTTCTTCTGGAAGAGGAGGCCTGTCGCACAGGTAGTCGGATAAATCACCTAGCTCGAGATATTCCATTGAAATAAAGAGGTTCTCGGAGGAGCTGTACCATCCATATGACTTGACGAAGCATTTCTCATACTACTCGAATCAGTCAAAACCAAATTAGTGACCCATGTATGGAGTGATCAACCCTTGGATGTGAGAATTTGGCAATCGCCTCGAGCTCTCGATTAAAGTCAATACGTGCAAATCGACCACCTGTATCGATCTGTTTCACTGCTCAGACTTCCAAACCATGTGGAGACTTTCGCGCAGTTTTCCAGTTAGACGGTCGAATACCCACCGCCGCCTATGTTTTTTTCTGTCGTTTCCAGTGCTCTACTATTGAGATGTCACGGCATCGGGATCTCGAGTCGGATTCATGTAGGTATGGACCGTCTCGACGCTGCAGTCGGGCAGAAATCGGGTTTCTAGGTTTGAGTCCCGACTAGATCTGGCAGTCGGGTCATTTGTCCAACCTGGCCAGGATCCGAGCAGTCATAAATATTGATAGGGGCTCAAATTTGGTGGACCTGGCGTTGAGCTCTCAGGTATGCGGCTGAAAAGCGGAGGAACCTCGCTCCATGCCAAATAGCCCCCATGTTGTTGAGCATCACATGACATGCGCAAGGATAGTACGCCAAAAATTGGGGCTTTCGTTGGCTACAGTACTCGTTCGAAGTGGGTCGTATCGCAACTCTGGCAGTTCATATTTTGAGACGCTAATCTAATCCTCACTGTCCTCCGAGACTGCCTCATCCTGCATGATCGACAATTCATCTTCGAGCATGCTAACAGCAAATTCTCCAATTATCTCTTGAACTGGACCATGAAGCAGCTGCTGTCGAGGTGATTCAGGTTGAATTTCCTGGAGGGCCTCCAGGTAATCCGTGAGCGGAGCATAGTCCACGACATCGCCCCAGTTCCCTCGATCAACACCATACTGGTGCAGGAACATCTGTAGCGACTCCAGTCCGTCTTGCAAAAGCCACTGCTCAAGGACCTGCTGGTCGCCTTGCAATGGAGGCAGTCGGCCATCTGCGCGATCGCCATCTGCGTCTTCCTCCGCACTGTCTCCGCCGGCTTCATCATCGCCCTGGAAACCAGGGAAACGAATACCGCCTTCATTCATTTGGTCCAAGAGGTCGCGCAGCCATTGGGGCCGGCCAGCTTCTGGGATCCGTGAAAGATAAGATGGGTTCGGGTCGGCTTGTTGGCGATACGCCTCGGATTCGTAAGGAGGTAGGGGATCGGACGAGGAAAGTCGGCCAGATACAAAGTGGTTCGGGAGGTGGGTGGTAACGCTAGGAATGTCCGACAAGACCACATGACGGGCAACGTCCAAAGTAATTTCCGGGGGTTCGATGGCCTCCGGCTTTCCAGAGAGGGTATCAGCCACCTCCATAATCAAAGAAACTGCCTCGGGGGTGTTCCAGAGATCCTTGGCGCGTGAAATATACAGTTCGGTAAGGAGTTCGTGGGATCCGGTGGGAGGCATCTTGCCCCAAATCTGTTTAGGTACGTGCTGGATGTCTAGCTCCTGTGCCAGCCTGCTGAACACCCATGGGTAGCGAGACATGGCACGGAAAAGCTGCTCGCGGCATTGCTGAGGCTTGTTGAGTCGTAGATAAGCCATCACGAGAGAACACTGGATGTTGGGGAGGTCTGCCCAGTCTCGGCAGAACCGCGTCTGAGTGCACAGGTCGACAAATTGGGCATATTCCCTTCCTCGTAGGGCGAGGTGGTCGATGATCAATTTCATGCAATATGGGTCCGAGTCGTTTAGGCTGAGGAGCAGCTTTGCCCATTCGTAGGCAGTCCTCCAAGTTCCCTTCATACCCAGATTGGCGATATATCGCCATCCCACCAGCCAGAGCTCTCGGTTCTCAGTCTCCCAAAAGTCAAGTCTGGCTGCACCTTCCTTTAGGCGACCCCCAAAGGAAGAGTGGGCAGAACGTCCGATGTTAAAGAGCGCCCTCTCCAGGAGATCGGCTGAGACAGCATGATCGCCTTGGTGTTTGGCAATTTCGGAGACTTGCAGGAGTGTAGAGATATGGTAAGGGTTGTATTGTAGGTGGTGGATCAATCTTTGTGGATCCATGGACTCAACACAGAGGTCGAATTGTCTTTGCACATCCTCGTAAGCGGAATTGTGCACGATACGATATAAAGTATCACCCGAGGGAAGCTTCTCGGCATTGACCATGCCTAGACCTCCACTTGGAGCCCGTGGCCATTCATCTTTTCCTTGCATGAGGACATTCCGTCGCAATGTAACCCCAGCCAAGCTCTGACCCCGACTAGCTGGGGAGTATCTGCCAGACAAAGCCTGCCCAAGATCGATTGTTTCCCGGTTGCGATCTCGACGACGGCCAGTTCCTGCATCGGCTTGTTGGTCGAAATTCTCAAGCGCCACATTTCCGAACAGGCGTCGCATCTCGTTTGTCGCGTTTAGGAATTTCGGCTCCACTCCTAGCAATTCGTCGGTGGTCTTTGGGAAGGAACTGTTTCGAGCTTCTCCAGAAGATGACGTGGCATTTGTGTGCAACGGCTGTCCATCGGTAGCAAGATCCTTCAATGCGCGGTCAATCTCATCCAGAGATTCGTCCGGCACCTTAGTATGTTCCTTGGTGGGAGATTTAGTCTGTCCCTTGGCCTTCTTCGCCTTCTTCTTCCTCTTCTTACTAGCACTCTTTGGTTTTGTCGCAGTAGACTCTGGTTCGCGCTCTGAGCCTACAGCTACTGGTGCCTGCACCTCCTCTTCTCCCTTGTCTGATTCCCTTTCCACATTTTTGTTCTCGTCGTCATCTTCGTTATCGTCATTGTCGTCATCGCCGCCGGTATTCAAAAGATTGAAAGCATTGAACATTGGCTTCGGGGGCGCGCGGGGTTCGTCGTCGCTTGAGTCATCATGTTCTTGCGCAGATTCTTGCTGCTGCTCCTGCGCACGCAGCTTCTGCAGCTTTCGAATTGCACGGGAGGACATCTGGTAAGCCGTTCGGGCGCGGCACACAACAAGGGCAAACACCTCGGCAAGAAAGAGCAGCTGCAAAGTATTAAAAATGACACCGCGCCAAAGACCGCGGGAAATGACGACACTCCCCGAACCCAATTGGGCTAGCGCAATCAATTCCCCACGTGACCCCTTATCTGCCAGGCACGCATTGCTATTGCTCTGGGTTTCCCGCTTCTTTGACGGCTCTCACATTTACCTTGCGAAAGGTACCCTCTTCGAAAAATTCCGGCATTGCTGGGATTCTATCGTTGCGCGGAACCCTGATCCAATGAGTCGGGTGGTTGTTCAAGCATCGCGTGCCGTTCGGCCAGTATGGATACTCGCCGCTAACCGGCCAAGCGCGCAGTCCATCTCCAATACCTCGGTGCGAGGCCTACGGACCTATTCTAGCAGTCGACGTTCGACCTTCCTTCCGGTTGCTCTGCAAACATCAATGCATCTTCGCAGATTCTCGATCGCCGCCCTCTCGACCGCAGTCGCCTCCGGAGCCTGGTACGCCTACCAGGGTGACGCCAAAGTCCAATCGCTCGTTTCGCACGTTCGAGGATTCGCTTCGAGCGCAGTCACATCCGCCCACGCTGAGGACCCGTCCGATCCCACGCGCAGGGCCCTATTGGTGAGCAACGACCAGTTCTACACGACTACGCTCTCGGAAGACCAGCCTCTGGCGAAGACGACCGACGACTCGGATCGACGTGTTCTAAACATGTTGACCCCGGAACAGGCTACAGAGAAATTGCGGAAGAACGAGGAATCCCTCTTGGTCAACAGAGGCAACGGTGTTATTCGTTATGATTTCTCTCAGGTCCCCAGCAACTCGCCGATCGAGGACGACCATGCCGAGATGATTGTCGAGGTCCCATCAGACGTGGCAGTCAATACCAGCGGAAACCCCAATAGTGATTGGAACTTCTGGGCTGTTTTTGATGGACACTCGTAAGTAACTTAACCATGCGGTGATGTACACTCAAATACTGAATTGGAAATTAGCGGCTGGACAACATCCGCCAAACTGCGTACCAAGCTCATCGGGTATGTTGCGCGCGAACTGAACGAGACCTACAAGGCCGCTGCTACTGATGCGTCGGTCTTGGTGCCTTCATCCGAGGCCGTGGATGCGGCTATCAAGAAGGGCTTCGTCCTTCTGGATCACCACATTGTCAACGAAAGTGTTGACAAGGTCCTGAAGGCCCAGTCCCGGCGTGTCGCTGCCGAGCTCCTCGCACCCGCCCTTTCTGGTTCGTGTGCTCTTCTGAGCTTCTATGACTCTGACTCGAAGAACCTGAAGGTTGCTGTTGCCGGTGACTCCCGCGCAGTCCTCGGACGCCGTGGTCCCAGTGGAAAGTGGACAGCTACACCTCTTTCTGAGGACCAGACCGGTGGAACACCCTCTGAGATCAAGCGCTTGCGCGAGGAGCACCCCGGGGAGCCCTATGTTACCCGTAACGGCCGCATTCTCGGACAACTTGAGCCCAGCCGCTCCTTTGGTGACGCCACTTACAAGTGGACCAAGGACATCCAGGACAAGATCAAACAGCAATTCTTCGGTCGCACTCCTTCCCCTCACTTGAAGACTCCTCCCTACGTTACCGCCGAGCCTATCATTACCACTACCAAGATCGATCCCACCCAGGGCGATTTTGTTGTTATGGCTACCGACGGATTGTGGGAGATGCTGAGCAACGAGGAAGTCGTCGGACTCGTTGGATCATGGCTGGAGCAGCAACAATCTGGCAATGGTGGTAGCAAGGCATGGCTGCAGAGCTGGTTCGGATTCGAGCAGAAGAAGCTTCCCGTGGAGGCAGCCAATGATGCTTCTACCGAGGGCCAGCGTCGTCCGATCCGCCAGCAGCAATATGATATTTCCGGTGCGGAGAGCCGCTTCGTGGTTGAAGACAAAAACGCCGCTACTCACCTCATCCGCAATGCCATGGGCGGCAAGGACAGGGATATGGTCTCCGCCTTACTAACTCTGCCCAGCCCCTATTCTCGTCGTTACCGGTACGTTGCCCGATCTAAATTCGTATCTTAGGCAACAAATTGACCATGTATGCAGCGACGATGTTACCGTTGAAGTCATCTTCTTCGGCCAAGGCCCCGACTCCCGCACTGTTGCGATCAACAAGGAGGCTACTGCTGAGCAGGAGGCCGCCAAGGCTAAGCTTTGAATGAGCATATTAAATGTTTTTTATTTAAAAGCGTGAATCTTGATCTCAATTTCAGGGAGAAGTTGTATGTATTCTTTAGCGGACTCATCTACGGCAGGAATTCTAGTTCAATAGCTCGATACTCATCCTTTAGAAGGGACATGAAGGCTTTTTCCAATTTCAATTCGATATTCGCATAACGTGAAAATCAGCGGCATCTATTCTATTAGCGGTACTCTACGGTACTCAATGGTACTAACAGGAATGCATGGTCGGCGTGGGGATTTACAGTGTATGCGTCGCGTAATGACTTTGTATGCCTGCTTCGATCCTGCGTCTAGTGTGACCTCAACAAATCTCCTGTTTCTTGTATCCTTCTGATTTTGTTGACAACATGAGAAAAAATTTGAAAGGAAATCCTTGCTGACTCAAATTATGCGACAAAAAATTGCGAAACAAAAAAGACGTGGTTCCAGAGGGGGTCGAACCCTCGACTTTGGCGTTATTAGCACCACACTCTAACCAACTGAGTTATGGAACCCGCTTGTTGGAAGCAGCCCAACATTTTGAATTATGTACGTAAACCATACCGCTCAGCCATTGGAGTCACAACGGTGAACACCCACATCACCCCGATAAGATTTTCGATGAGAACGCGATTGAATTCGAGGGTTAAGTCATAAACCCGCAGATATCGACGTGTCCTGTTATGTTTCACGTATATTGTAGACGAAAATTCTCATTCTGCTTAATTGTGACCCGTGTTGCGAAAGACTTGCTTTACTACTGGTAGGCAACAATAGGACTATGGATCTACTGATTGAGGTTTTTCAAAAGTTTTGGTCTCCATATCGCTAGGTCAAATATTAATCTTGCACTACACGTTTTTAATACGGGCTTCGTGTCAAGGGACTTAGTATATCAGAGTTGCGTTTCATAAACTAAAGAAATGATTACACATCAGTAAAGCCGAGAAAATATATATCGACAAGGTCTGCATGTTTTCACAGGTATACATAATATAAATTTGTACAATCGCTCAAACTCCTTCAATTAAAATTGAATATGCCAAACCAGCAATGATTTTCCCGTTAGAGCTGGACTGACGCGGAGCACGCCGCTAGATTATCTGCCTGCTGTCCAGGCGTGGCACTTCAAACTTCTTTGAAGCCGACCGACGAGGTATATAGAGCGGCGAGCCAAGGCAAATTTCCTTTGCCATTTTCGATGCGACGCAGGAAATCACTGAATGTGATCCGAACCCTTCCCACCTGCCCATCTTCAGAGGCCGTGGGCACTGGGAGCGCAGAGCTGGGTTATCTTCAAACGGCAGCCTTCACGTATTACCCACGAAAAACCCGGTAAAATCTGACCGTCCCCAACAAGAGAAATCACAGCAACTTCTTCATGAAGGGATCAGACGTGGTAGGCGAGTTGTAAGCCGTAAACCTCTCAGACCACGCCGAAATGGGCGGCCTGGTGAACATATACTTGTCCAAGAACCAAGTCTGCAGAGTCGCAATATTGGTACTGGTAATCCAATAGATCATCAGCGCAGCCGGCATTTCATAGAAATACCCCGAGAGTCCGACATTCACGGCGAGAATCTGGATAAAGACACGGAGACCGCTGAAGAAAGATGCTTGGAACATTTGCAATTTGGGCATGTCCGCAAGCTCTGAACGTGGCGTAGCCTTCCATCCATTGCGAACATTCAGGATAATTGAAGCGGTTAGTATAGCAGGCAGAACGCCCGTCGAGTCGCCCGCCAACAGATCCGGGAACCAGAGAGCCCCTTCGTTCGCGAACGTCGATTCCACCTTTAAGTGTAATGGCACCTCGGAGCCGACGGTCGTATCTGCACCTGATATTATTGACAGGAGCCATGGAACTATTCCGTTTTTGTTACCGCACATGCCGCGCAGACTTTCCATGAGTGCGATCCAGACCGGTACCTGGGAAATATTGGCCCAGCGGTAGAAAGGACCAACACCCCATTTCCCTCGTAGGGTGGTCTGTTTGTGTGTAATTCGTTTTCGAGCCGCGGAATTTGATAAGAGCCCAGTCTTCATTTGCTTGAGATAAAGAGCGGTCCAGCTGGCGAGTATCGGTTGCATTTCTTTCTCCCTGCGCGCGTGGGACTTTGTGTAGATTTGGAGGGGGAGACCGACAAATGTTCGTACGGTGAGCGCTGTAAGAGGAATTGAGGCGACCCATGGCAAGTGGGAAACGGAGTGAACGCTGTGGATGAAGCCGGCAGTAATGTCTAGTATATCGTTGAGACTCTGGGCTGGCTTGGTCGGGTGGAAACGTCGAGTCTGCGACTTCAATGGCGAGGGGAAGACGACGTGATTCCGTCTCGAGGCCCGAAAGGCCTGTGAGCGTAGGGAATTCATCACTGGCGATCAGGCTTGGGAGAGATTGAAGATGCGGCGGCCAAACGATTGGAAGCTCCATTCCGCAGCAAAGCGGGTCAGGGCCGCATCACATGATGCGTATGTAAGTTACGGCGGTTGAAGCAACACGTCAACTGATGCGGCGGGACAAGGGCGTTTGTTGACTTCTCCACCCTCTTTCCCTCCATGATACTATGTGCGGTCCTTGGTGACACCTGAGACCATGGCCTCCCTGTCCAACGCCATCCTCGCTCTTTTCGTCCTTGCCGTCACCGCGATCTTCCTCCCGCAGCTTTCGGGGCGTGTGCTCGGCGTGGTCTTTCGCGGCGTAGGCTGGCTGATTCGTCGCCGAACTCGTTCTCGCCGTGAATTTGTGATCGCGCGGGCGCGGTCTGAAGAGGAAGAGCATCGTGCGCCTCGTCTGAAGGCCTCGTCTAACTCTTTGGCCCGGAGCCAGGCTGAGGACGAGGACTGGGAGAAGGTAGATAGCTCTGGACCCGGTGGGGTTCGCACAACGAGCTGCAGTGATAGCAGCTCTGGTGGGGAGGACGAGTGGGATGGTATTATTGGGTTCTTTCACCCATTCTGGTACGGTCACTCTGTATTTGGTACTGACTTTATGCTCGGCCTCCTTACTTACATGTTCATAGTAATGCCGGCGGAGGCGGAGAGCGAGTGCTCTGGGAAGCGGTGCGCGCAACACAGAAACGCTGGCCTAAGGCGATTTGTGCCATATATACCGGAGATCATGAAGTGAACAAAACACAGATGCTCGAGAGAGTCGAGAACCGATTCAACATTCCCCTACACGCCCCGACGGTTGTGCTGCTCTACTTGACAACGCGCAAGTATGTCGTCGCCAGCTCATATCCATACATGACACTGCTTGGCCAATCGCTGGGTTCTTTGGTGGTCGCATACGATGCCTTTACCCTTTTGGTGCCGGATGTATTCGTTGATACTATGGGTTACGCCTTTACACTCGCGATGTGCAAATGGTTCTTCCCCAGCGTTCCCACTGGCGCATACGTCCACTATCCTACCATTTCAACAGATATGCTTGCCTCCCTGGACGACAAAACTGGTATGCAAGGTGTCAACTCCGGCGCCGGAAAGGGCCTAAAGGGTACGGTCAAGCGCCGATATTGGCAACTCTTTGCTCAGCTCTACGGCTGGGTTGGCCGACACGTCGATGTCGTAATGTGCAACTCGTCCTGGACAGCAGCGCACGTCCGCACGATCTGGGGCAAAGACAAGACCAACACCAATGGTGAAGGTACCGCCTCGTCACCCGCAGTCGTATTTCCTCCAACCGCCGTCACGGAGCTGGAATCCACCATCACAGTCAACGCGGAGAGTGAGGCAACCCGGGAACCACTCCTTCTGTACATCGCACAGTTCCGACCAGAAAAGAATCACCCGCTCGTCCTGCGCTCATTCGCGCGCTTCCTGCAAGAACGAAACAACAATCCCGCTTACGCAAATCAACCTCAACCCCGCCTGGTGCTGATCGGCTCAGTCCGCCACGCTAGCCCAGACGAAACCCACATCTACAACCTCCGGCTCCTAGCACACGAACTCCGCATCCGCGACAACACGACATTCCTATGCGACGCCAGCTGGCCCGCCGTCCTCTCCCACCTCGGCACCGCCTCCATCGGCGTGAACGCGATGTGGAACGAGCATTTCGGTATTTGTGTCGTCGAATATCAAGCCGCGGGACTTATTTGTGTTACGCACGACTCTGGTGGTCCACGCGAGGACATCGTCGTTGACATTGGCGACGGAGCAACGGGTTTCCGTGCTGAGACGGAGGAGCAGTTTGCCGCCGCGTTCGAGACTGCGTTGGCACTTCCGGAACCTGAAAAGGTTGCTATGCGCCAGCGAGCGAGGCGTTCTGCGCTTAGATTTACGGAGGAAGAGTTCTCGAGAAAGTGGCTGGCCCAGGTGGGTAAGCTGGTTGAGGCGGGGCGCTAATGATGCTCGATACTTTTATTTTGATATTGCCTTAAGAAAAATATTTACCTCAAAAGGCTTTTCCATTGTCTGGCTTGATCTTGTAAATATGCTCGCTTAGTGAGGGTCTCATTGTTTTGCTCGAATGTTCTGCATCATATCAATACCCCCAGCAGATTCGACCGAATTTATCACACTGGATTTGCAACATTATTTTTGATTGCGAGCGTTTCTACACGATATGAACCAGAGGGTTGATGCATCCACACTGACATATGAGGGGAGAAGAATACAAGCAGTTTGCCAGAAAAACTAGTGCTCAAGCATCTTACACTCGGATGAAGCGGAGCGCGAGACAACGACAGATCTTCAGAGATGCTGTACTACTCTGCGGGCCGTGCGGACCAGGCGGGTACCGACGGACCGAGTACTTGGATAAATTGCATACTTCAAGCTACACTTCCCCAAGCCAAATCCGCGAGATCAAAGCGAACAGCGAGACAGAATGCCGAATCCAACCAGAGACGTGCAAACCATCATCGATGCAGCTTTCCCCGTACATCATTCACCAGAATGTCACTGTGCCTCTGCGAATGGGAGGCATCATTCGATGCAACATCTATCTCCCAAGGGGAGTCAACGAGGGACAGAGGTTTCCCGTCCTTGCAACATACGGAAAAGACATTTCCTACAAAGAGTATAAGAAATCATTACAAGAGGCCACAAGGAAGACTCGCTAACACTTCTTACACGCAGCTTCAACCTCTCCACCTTCCAAGACGTCAACCCAGAGCACCAAACGGAACATTCTGCGTGGGAAACTCCAACCCTCTCAGTACTGGACCCAGCATGGCTACGCAGTCCTAAGGGCAGACGAGCTCGAGGATTATCCTCAGGCCCACTGATCCAGCTCTCCTCATACACCATCGACGCATACGAAAAGATTATCCAATGGGCCGCGACGCAAACTTGGTCATCCGGTGAGGTCGGCCTACTAGGCGTGAGCTACTTCGCCCTCGTTCAATGGGCAGTAGCCGCCCGGCAGCCGTAAGGGCTAGCCGCCATGACCCCCCTGGAAAGGTTTATCAGACTACTATCGAGACGGAGAGCGGCACGGCGGGATTCTATCGTCGAAGGTTCTTCGTGTCTGGTATCATCGGCAGGTAAGAAATAATCAGTAGAGACGATGGGGATGTGCTGCGAGGAATCATGGGCTGGATACGGTGAACGGTGATCTTCATGAGGGTGAGTTGATCGAGTTAAACCCGCCGCATGATTCTGAGACGCCTCGTTTGGGCCTCAATTATTTTTAGTCTCGAAGATGTGATGGTGCCGTTGCTCAGTGTTGCGAATCTTGGTGGGTCTTGATCTTCGTGGGAATGTGGATGGGTTTTATCATGCCGGCTCGGAGTTGAAGTATCTTCGGTTCATCGTTGGTCATAAGGCCTCGTTTCATTATCCTGAGGCTGTGGAGCTGCAGCGCAGTTTTCTCGATGCCTTTCTCAAGGACGAGGATTGACTGGGTTGGCCGCAGAAGGAAAAGTCCCGACTGTTGATCTTGTTCTGAGGAGAGGTGATGTCGGGGTGAATGATCCAGCAACTGAAGCTTCTTTTCGACGACGATCGGAGCATGGGTGGCCTGTTGCGCGGACAAAGTATTACGAAGATGTATTCGGCTCCCAGTCAGGCAATGACCTACACACAGCCATCGATCACGACGCCAACGAAGCTAAGCTATCGCGCGCTTGGGACACCAGAGAATCCCCAACAAGTTACATTCACCACGCCACCCTTCGAGAAAGAAACAGAAATCACAGGACACATCGTCACCCAACCTAAGCGTCTCCGTGACGCGAGATTCTGGCTCACCACCCCCCTCTGAAATCGATCTGTTCCTCGCTCTCCGCCACTACGCACCCTCCGGCAAAGGGATTCTCTACACCGGAACCTCGGGCGAAGGAGTCCCAGTAACGAGAGGCTGGCTACGGTTCAGTATGCGGGCAACAATACCAGGTCATCTACGACACAGGGCCTGGCTTGCCGTATCGCGATTATTACTCGACAGATGTTCTCCATGTTGTTCCTGGAGATGTTTGCACTGTTGATGTGGAGATTTGGCCGACAAATATTGTTGATAAAGCCGGTGGTCGGCTTGCTTCGGAGGTTAGTTCTGGAGATACTAAGGATGGTGGGATTTATCAGCATGAACATCCGATTGATCGGTAAGCTCGTTGATTCTTCTCTTATATTTGGGGCTGATGGCTGATGTGAAATGCAGGGTTTCGTCAAAGTTGCAGGGAGTGAATCATATTCACTTGGGCCAAGTAGGTTCAATTATGTCGTCCTTCCTATCATTCCGAACCGAGAGTGAGATAACTTGAGTGGGAATCGAGACATAGTTTTTTTTGATATACACAAATGCCGCGTAGTTCAAGGATATTTCCAAGCAAAATTGAGAGCAGTGGGTTCTCATCTAGATCAGGAGCTATGGCAGACCTAGTAAAGATTTTGACTCTTTTCACAAACGTTGATCCAAAACCTCAAACTTCACAATAAGACAATTAGAAACCATTGTACTGAAGCTTTCATTTGTTTCAATCATAAAAAAGAAGGTCCAAAGCGTGTGCAGTTCCGCCGGTCCCAAACACCCAACAAAGCCCCAAGACAACCTGACACAATAGCTCTCTACCTCTAACTCTACAACTTATGGGTAAGTGCAGGTACACATGAAACCACGGCCCAAGCATAGCAATGACAACCGCAAGTCCAATGATGCCTACTCGGCCCCCAGGGCAAATCTACTTCGCACAGCCACGCCCAAACCAAGCTGGTGACGAAAGCCGTGATGACCTGCAACTCGAACCATAAGCAGCTCCTAGTAGGTACTAGTCAACCGGCAACTTTGAACCTGATCATGCCGTAGCCAGCCACTCGGTCTAGTTTCCCTCCTCGCCCCAGCTTTCCCAAAACCGCAACTCTCGCTTCTCATAACCACAGTTCGTACACACTTACCAATGCGCTTCAGTCAATGATCGCCAGGAGTTCGAGTGGGCTCGCGATGAACCGTGGGTCTGTCAGCGCCACAGCGGGGAGGTGCCACTTCCCACTTCATGCAGACCACAACAGGCTCCTGGCTGGTGGTAAGCTCCAGGTCCGTCTAGTGTGAAGCATGGTTTGGGGTGGCGGGGGCTGGTTACCCTGTTCTTTGTTGAAAACAGCGGCGTCGTTCGTGTCGCCGGTTCGCGTGGTTGGAATCCCAATCGCGGTGCTGGTCGATTTCATTCTGGACTGCGATGGGTCCACTGTCGTATCCTCTTGCGCTCTGAAGGTCTGGGATCCGGGGTGATTTCGTTCGGTCTGATCTGGCTCCTTGCTGGTTGGGCTTCGGATCATGTGATTCACCTGTCCGTCGGCGCATGCGGAGGACGCCCCGGAAATAACCGGCACAATATGCGTTCATTGTCAATGACTATTACTTGTATGCTATTGAGGCGAAACCGCACTTCGAAGAGCATCTCGCGTTTGTGCATGGCCTCTGGGTCTATCTCCACTAAGCCAAACCCCTGCCAGACCTATCAGCCCCTTTACATTTCGACCGTTGACGCGGAACCACCTCATCGCTATCGACAGGGTGGGTACTGTCCAGTCTCTTTTGGAAAAATATCTGAAATGTGGGTGAAATAGGGTGTTGCATAAGCTGGGATGGGGAGGCTACTCGACAGTCTGGGCGGCGAGGGATTAAAGGTTGGATCAATACTACTATACCTGTGTATAATTTAAAGGGCCCGCTAACTCTGATTGTGTTTATAAAGAGAACATTTACGTTGCCGTCAGAATATCAGTTGCGCAAGCAGAAAAAGGAGCCGAGGGATTGCGAGAGCTCCAATAATGCAGCTAGCATCTCACGGTCCTCGCCTGAAACATATAGTACACATGCTTGATGTCTTCAATCTGAAAAAGTCAAATGGATCTCATATATGCCTAGTGTATGAGCTTCTAGGACCTAATGTCCTGGACACGATTAATACACACTATTCCGGGAGACTAACTGTCTGGGAAACTGGCGAAGCTATTGCAAAGCAGAATCTAATCGGGCTTGATGTCCTGCACCAGCAAAAGATTGGGAATGGGGGGAAGTCTGTGAATGTTTTGAGCGATTCTCACCTAGTACAGACTTGCGTACTCGCAACTTGGCCTTACACTCTGCTATACATGAATAATCTCTCTGAAGATCATTTCATAATGAGGCTAGAGAAGCCAGAAATTGGCTTTGTCTCGGAAAAGGATCGAGCCTGGAATCCCCGAATACATAGTGAACCCAGCCTCATATCGGGCGCAATTATGGAAGTCGACCCCGGCGATCAAAGTCTGTATTTGGACAGTCATTTTTACACACCGCAGTTCTCCTGATACTGCACACCCCTTTTACCTGTTACAACACCGGAAATTTTATTCAATTATCGCATCGATTATCGCGTTGATTTGCGGAGTATGGGATGCATGGTGAGAAGATACATGAGGATAAAAACTACATACATTTCAGTATCCAAACTGATAGGTATACAGGTCATCGAACTTTTGACGGGCCAGCCACCGTTCGACACATCCTTGCTGACACCTACGATTCTCATTAGCCAAATACAAGAGTTGGCAAGCGACGGTCTACCTGAAAGATGGCAAGAAGAATGGGACACGAACACAAACTCAAGCGACGAAAGCACCGGGCCGAATTTACAAAACTGTCTGAAAGAAGTATACTTTGATAGACCGCACAATCCCGACCTGACAAGATACGATATAGCAAGACTAGGCACGTCGTAGGAAAATTACTGTATTTCGAGCCATCCGCAAGAGCGTCAGCGAGACAAATTCTCCTTGACCTGTGGTTTGACGAGTAAATTAGGCAGTTTACGAGAAATACCCATGTCCAAATCGTGAGCCGTCGCGCACCACATCACTTCTTCACTGTGGCTGTCCACCACACACAAGGGCCACTAGCCCAAGACAGCCCCGAGGCTTAGCCTTATCAGTCCTGGCGCCGCCGGTGCATCCGGCCGAGCGAAGACGGCCTGCAGCGTCGGATATTGTGCCGGATGCTAGTCAGGGGCGGCGTGCATTGCAGCATAGTGACAGAGACCGTCTCTGGCAGTCCAAGTTTCGGAAATATGGACCCAGACACTCTGATACGAGAATTCGGGCTACCATAACTAGGGTCTTACCTAAAGAGCAAGGAAGAAAAAGCAAAGAGGCGTTCCAGGCTGTGTTCGCAGCTGAGAACGGTGGCGCCAGCGCCGCCCCCCCCCCCCTCCCCGGGGGCGCCTTCGCTTATTGCTTCCAGGTGAACGATAGCGAGCTCGTCTGACACTGACACTGCCCAAGTGGAGAGAAAGAAAGAGGCTATAGCTTTGTCTGCTATGAACCCTTATGCTGGGATAATATGCGTCTGTACGGAATAGTCTTACCTCTCGTTTGAAAATGCCACCATGCAGGCGCTCAGACCATGCAGCTGGCCAAACAAATAGGACGCGTTTTTCTGCTCTGATATCCTGGTCTAAAATTCGCTAATTATACTTCTGTATTAGATTTGGTGCTTTCGCTATACCAGATAAGGCCCGTGCCTACATTCCAGCAGCAACCCTTTGTAGCGACAAATCACATAGAGCGAACGGCTTTATCCAATATCGAAGATGACCATGCAACTATACGACCTCGAGGAGATGGCTGTTCCACGACCGAAGTAAGTTCTACACTAATATTCTGTGGAAATAGCAACTAACATCCATTCTACAGGCAACAGGAAAAGAAAAGAAAGAGAGCCCAAAATGATCCTCCAGCAACACCCCAGAAAAGTCAAGCAGGCCGCATCCTAAAAAGAGCAGACGAGGAAGCTATAGCCACTCTAAATCGCATCACCGACATAACACTGCCCTCATCATTCCGGGAAGATGGCTGGCGCGAAGAGCGAAGTGGCAAGACCTACTCCCGATGCGGCGGATTATTCATCAAGAAATATCCCAAACCTCCACGCGGAAAATTTAAAAAAAGCGAGTTCCAGAATGAATTCGACTGCCTCAAATTTCTGCGAACGGAGAAACCCGGTATTCCGGTCCCGAGACCGATCTGGGCGGGCGAGATGAATGGCTACTGGTATTTGATTACGGAGTATATTGAAGGTGCACCGTTTGGGGAGATAACTTATCGACTTAGCCCGGATCAAATTGATCGTGTCATCCGTCGCATTGACTACATTCAGGAATCCGTGCACAATATTCAAGCCGATGCTGTTGGCGGTCCATCTGGAATTATAACTACCCCGATCCCAGATCCCTCGACAGACCACGATAATATGAAACTGGTTTTCTGCCACAGAGATCTGCACCAGAATTAATGTAATCGTGGATGAGAATCTGGAGGTTGTGGCTATTATTGATTGGGAATCTGGGGGTTTCTATCCTCAAGACATGGATCAGGCCTATTATAAAGGTTGCTGTTACTAAATCCAGTTCTCAACATACAGTTCCAAAGGTGATGGCAGGAGCTGCCAAACACTCCACCCAGGTCGAGGATGGTTGCTAGCATTTCTGTTTGCTGATGGATACATTTGATAGACTCTGTTTTCATTATGTTTATAGAATAGACCAATAGATCTTCTTCAATCTCAATTCACTTCATCACACGACAAGCCGATCTGATAGTAAAGCAGACTCGAGTCCACCCTCTCCTTGCAGCAAGCGATCCAAGCGTCGATCCACCATTAGACATAACCACCGCGATCCCAAACGGTCCGATCGCCTCGCAAGCACCTTCGCGCACGGTGCACTACAGTGTAGTAGGAGTTGCCTCCGAGAATCCTCCAACGTAATCGCCTCCTCAAGACAATCTTTTTAGGGGCGATGTATTCGGCCACATTCAAGCAGGCACGATCGCACAGTGCCTGCTCGGCACGGCTCGGTTGCAAACCGGCCTTGGACGTTAACACAGAGTATTAAGGTGCCACGCCCCGAGCGGGTGGATGGATGGGAGGTATCCAGGGTTAGGTCAACGACGGGCTTGTGTCACAGCTGCTGCTATGTAATAGAATGCGGGCTGGATGGATTCGGACAATGCGACGAAATGAGCTGGAGGGGATCCGTGCGCGTTTTCTGCGGTTGGCGCTCGGGCTTGCAGGGAAGTTGCGTGAGACACTCAGGGGAGGATTGACTTATTGGATTATGCCAAAGTTGTATACAGTGTCTATAAGAGTGAGATGATTGCGATATCTCATACAATTGTAGAAAAAGTAGGGCTTTGGGTATTTGTCTAAGCTACGAGTACAGATAAAGCGACAACAACAGCGACAGCAATCAGCGCAGAGTGATGTACTCCAGTCAATAGTATGGAATGGCTCCTTCTTGCAACCCCCACCCGCAATATATCCTCACGATTTTCGATGATCCGCTTCCGCCTCCCACCCAATAAGCAAACATCCTGCAATTGCCCGGGGAAATACTAGTGCAGGAATGCCGTCCACATCGGATAAGACGCCCGGGTTTCATTGCGGGGTTGACGTCTGGAGAAAGGAAATGAAACTAAATCCACAACTAGCTGGGGTCTGACGGCGCTAAGCATCCATGCCTAAACCGTATTTTCTGGGAAGCAGTAATACTGGTTATCGAATAAGGGGTGTCTGCCGTCGCTGGACGCGGTCTAGCTCGTCATTGACTATGCTGTTCGAGGGTAAGTTCAACTCGCCGAGTCTAAGCCGGCTCATACGAGATCCTGGACTCGGCTGTTTCTGTTGGGCTCGCATTGGTGGCGTGGTTTGAGCTAGCTCTTCCCTCTAGCTGCTATTGCTGCTCACTGCCTCGGACTAGTTATCTGCTGTCTTTGGATGCTGTTGGGATCAAATGTCGTGGAGAGTACTGCAAGGATGCTGGGATGTATACACGGGATTGGCACGCCACGCGGGAAAGTCTGCGCCAAACCTTCGGTTGAGCCGGAAATGGCAGATCTGCATACGCCGCACGCCTGCCACGCCCGTGTGGTATGTGCCGTCGCGAAACAGGGTTTGTGAATATCCTTGTAATTAGCGTTCAGTACCCAGCATACCGACAAGACCTGGGTCTGCTACTAACTAGTCCAGGATGTAAAGCAGTGATGTCCAAACCGGAAATCCAGCAAATGGCCCAAAACAGCTAATTAGGGGCCCAGACCCTTGAATGACGTAACTCCAGCGCACGGACGTGCGCTCGGGCGAGGGCTTTGCATTCCGACGTGCGCTCTTCTTCTCGACTAGCTTGATGCCATGACTGGGGGCTCAACACGAACTCGGCCTCTTGCAGCCGCCATCCTACGACTACACAGTAGTATCAAGTCTCCCCAAAAGATTCGACCGAGGCATCACCGAGGCAAAACCCCGAGCCCATCCCGTCGCATCCATCCCGGACGTGGAACCAGCAGCCAGCTCGATGTCGTCGGCATAGAGACAAACCCCTGCACGACTGCACGACCCCTGGCTCGCCGCGATGTCCGGGCGAAACGTTAGCGTGGCCGGCCGCAGCCCATCAGAGAGAAAGCGAGCATCGTGAGAAATTCACGGGCCACTGACGCTGGAGGCCCAACAAACCTTGTTCGCCAATTCCAGCTAAGTGGGAAGAGAACTCTGAGTCTCTAGCTGCTCTCCAATGAGGACGTCGGGCCGAGTTTTCTCGTTGCTGAGCCGCGCACCCGTCGCAATGGAGTGGGTGGTGATTGGCGGGCCCGGCCAAGTATGTCAGGTTCGCTCGCCTGGACGCCTACTTGAAGTCAAGTCAGTGGCAGGTCAGTTTGGACCGGACTGGACTGGACGAGTCATCGGGGGTGGATGGGAGGTCGATGGATTAAGGCCAGGAGCGAAAAGGCGGGAACCATGGGCCTGGCGAGTGTTGTACAGTTCCAATGATGGCTACATCGGACGGATTGAGTTGGGCACGCTGTGGTCCACGAGGGGCCGTCTAGCCTGGCATCTTTTGGGTGTGGCTTGGAGTGCGCAGACTAGAGTAGTCACAGAGTCCCAGCACGGAATACTTGCTGTGTAGGGGCCCAGAATCAGTACTCTAGGTATAAGGTACTATAGTGTCGTCGTAGTAGATGCTGTCTTGGTTGGTATAGACGACGTAATGATCTCGCTTGGCGGTCGCCACCGAGATTTCCCAGGTGGGTTAACGGTACTCTCGGATGCCATGTGCCAGATAATCTGAATTTGTTATAACATGTTAGTCCCAGTCTCTGATGCTGTCTTTTTTAATTTTTTTTTTTTATTTCCCTCTGGAATCTGATTTCGCCTCCTACCCACGGACCATCGGAGTGTCGGCCGAAGCAGCATCTTCGTCTGACAGCCCCACCCCCTTCGTCTCGTTCGTGCTAGAAGAATCCTGGCCAAATTAGCGGGCAATTTGCTGAAGAAGTTGGGGGATTTGCCCTGGTCTCTGACACTAGGTACAGTACTCAGACTATTAAGTAGTAAAGTGCTGGTGCTGGTACTTCCTTGGCATCCGATCTTCGCTCTGCCCTCCTCGACCATTTACCCACCCAACTCTCCCTTTCTTCTCCCCTCCTCCCCTCTCCATCCTAAATTCTTCCTCCACGCAACCACCGTTGTCCATTCCTTTTTGCGGCGCCCTGGACATTCCTTCGAGAATTGTATGTATCAAAACCCCGATATCGCTTGCTCCCCTCGAGGCCCAGTCCTGACCACCCTAGATTGATGATAGCATCACCGCGATTGTCTGGTCCTTTCCTCCTCTCCACGTGTGTGGAAGCAGCCGACGCCCTCGTGCAGTAGCAGGTCTACTTTCTCTTCTTCTTCTCTCGCAACCTCCCTGCGCCCGCTGTCCGGTACACGGGTGACCTCGATATCCTCCCCCTCCGTCCCAGTCACCGACACCGCAAGTAATGCCGGTCTTGTCGGGCCTCCCAACTGAGCGTTTCGTCAGCTCTCGTTGAATTATACTCTATATATACAAGAGACTTAGGCAACAAAGAGGATGCCCAACTGTAACCTTGTCACAGTTGGTTCGCACACCTAAAATAGAAGACAAAATTGGGAAAACGGGACATCCGCCACCAACCAGAAACAAAAGGCACAAAGAAGATGAAAATGACCGAATCCCGGTCTGAAATTGCGGGCTTAGAAGAGGCGGACCAACCGCTTGTTCGAAATGCCCATGTCTCAGGCGACGCCAAACGGGGTCCCAGCCGTCCCGACGAGGCGTTGCAACCGCCCTCCACCGACAAGCCCACCAAATCAATCGCTCAATCACCGATCAACCCCGAAATCGCAGAGGCACAAGCGACGCTCCGCCAGGCATTCCCGCATGTGTACGCGACCGGTCGAGCCCCCTCCAACCGCTCCTCCTCGAGCTCGCTCCAGGCGTTGAATGAGGACACCGTCGTGGATGCTCGGTCGGACCAAGGGAGCGCCGGACGCAGCCCTCGACGAACATCGCGACATTCAGACACGCGACCCGACTATCCTGTCTACCCCGATCAATCCTATGCCTCGCTCCAGTCTCAAATACATCCGACATGGCAACCACCGCACCTCAGATCCCGCAGTTCCTATCCGTCACAGACCGACCTCGCACCGCGATATGCCCATGCGCGAGCAGCCCGCACGGCGGGCAACACACCGGTCTCAAGCCCAGGCTTGTTCTCGATGAGGAGCCCCCGGACGACCCCGCCGATGGGTTCGGATGAGGAAGGCTGGATTGGCAGTCCCTATCTTCATCCCACACACCTCCAACCGCCCAAGGAAACCCATACCGCCGAGGTGGATCGAGATTTGGTCACTGGCAACAAGCTCATCAATCAGTACGAGATCCTCGAGGAGCTCGGCCGAGGTGAGCATGGAAAGGTCAAGCTGGGTCGACACGTGACGACCAAGCAGAAGGTGGCCATCAAGATTGTCCAGAGATACTCGAACCGCCGTCGTTTAGGCAAGTTGGGGAACCCAGAGGATAAGGTCAAGAAGGAAGTCGCCATCTTGAAAAAGGCTCGGCATCCGAACGTCGTCAGCCTGTTGGAAGTGATCGACGACCCGAATCGGCAAAAAGTGTACATCGTGTTGGAATACGTCGAGAACGGGGAGATCATCTGGCGCAAGAAAGGTGTCCGCGAGATCGTCCATGTTGACAAGCTCCGGCTGGATCGTGAAAAGGCCGGCATTCCCGACACACCAGCTTTCTTGGAAGAACGCCAACAATTCATTCGCACCGCACAGCACCTCCGCCGACAACGAGAAAGAGCACGAGAGCGAGTCGAAGCGCAGGCCGCAGATGCACAGCAAGGACCCATTCCGGCCTGGAGTTTGGAACACGGTGCTGAATCCGACGAAGAAGTAGAAGACGAAGGTGAAGGGCTAGGGCTTGCCATACGGCGGTCGTCGACCCGCTCGACGGTAGTGATCGATGACAACTCGCCTAGTCAGTCCTCTGGACAGGACGCGCTAGCCGCCGTGGAAGGTAGCATGTTTGGCGCCTATACGGACTTTTCCTTCGAACGTCGGTTCAGCACTGCTTCTAGTAGTTTTGGCTACGCGCCCTCCGAGCCCGAGTGGTCTGCCGATGGCGATGACATGTCCTACGTTCCATGTTTGACTATTTCGGAAGCTCGCAACGCCTTCCGAGACTCGGTCCTCGGTCTAGAGTACCTTCACTACCAGGGTATTATACACCGTGATATAAAGCCAGCCAACCTCCTTGTGACCAGCGGACATCGGGTCAAGATTTCCGATTTTGGAGTCTCTTACCTCGGACGACCGATGCGCGACGAGGAAGAAGAAGAAGAAGAAGAGCAGCTTTGTGAAACCAATGCCACCGAGCTGGACGATGCTCGCGAGCTGTCCAAAACGGTCGGTACACCTGCCCTTTACGCGCCCGAACTTTGCTACACCGGCGATGACTTTGTCGACACCATTGGATCGATCCCCAAGATCAGCGGCGCTATCGATGTCTGGTCTCTGGGCGTTACCCTATACGGAATGATTTTTGGCCGTCTTCCGTTTGTCTCGGACGACGAGTACAGCATGTTCCAGACCATTGTGAAGAAGGAAGTTTTCATCCCACGGAAGCGTCTTGTTCCAGTGATGGATGAGTCTTTCAGTCATTTGCCACGAAATGTTCGCGATGAGAATGAACTTGTCTACGAGGATATTGACGATGAGCTATACGACTTGCTCCGTCGCTTGTTGACCAAGGATCCTATCAAGCGAATCACTCTCAAGGAGATCAAGCACCATCCGTGGACTCTGCACGGTCTTCCGAACCCGCAAATGTGGGTGGAAGAGACCGATCCTGGCTATCAAAGCAAGGGCAAGAGGATCGAAGTTTCCAACGAGGAAGTCACCAGCGCCGTCAGCAAGGTTCCCTTTATTCAGCGTGTTCGATCGAATGTGGCCAAATGGTTCACGGGTCGCTCATCAAAGGATAAGGAGCATCGCAAGCGCAACTCCAACAATTCTACAGACACCCTTTCCTCGGTCTCAAGTGCTGGTGCCTTCGGCAGGGCCTCTCGGGGTGGCGATAGCCGCCGATCAAGCTTGCGAGGTGACGAAGACATATTACGCAAAGGCGAGCATCCTCTGGCCCAGAGCGTCACCGCCAGTCCAGTAGAGGAAGAATCACAGGGTTCTTACTTCGAACGGCCTCTCAGTATAATCGAGACGAAGCCCGCTCCCGCCGTCCCAGCAGTGACTCCACGCCCTGGACCTCCTCGACGAGCCAAGTCGTCCATGTCAACCGCTGAGTCGACGAAGACCGTCAAGCCATCCAGCTACGAGACAACCCCAACTGGCCGACCTCGGACCGGCGCACCGTCAATTATCGAGGCCCTTGGCACGACCAGCATCGGCAGCATTTTCAGCGGTGCCACCCGGCGTGCTTCTGGGGCATTTGGCAGTCGCAGTCGCCGTTCGTCCCCGACTGGCGAAACAGCATCACTGGATGGAGACCGGCGGTCGGAGCCTAGCACTGCGGTAAGCAATGCTTCCGCGGTAGGCCACATGCGAGCCTCTGGCCTCTGGCACGCCGACGTCCCATCACTCGGTCCCGCATTGGCAGGCCACCGTCGAAACCGATCTCAGCAACTTGCCGGCAAATCATCCGCCGAGTCCTTCAACCTCACCAAGGAGGCACTCCTCCGCCGAAGACGAAGCGATATCGAGCCAAGCGCCGACGACGTGCTAGCTCCCAAGGTCGAAAGCGCCATGTACTCGACCGATTCTCTGCAGCTGCCGGCACTCGGCCCCCTTCCGGACCCTGGCGAAAACCAGATTGCTGAAACTCGTGCGAACGGACTCAATGCCTCGACACCTTCTGCCGCTACCATCTCTTCATCCTCTGCAGACGACTTCACCAGCGGTATGTCTCAGAGTGCCTCTCACCCCAGTATCCCGTCTGTGGTCTCCGGCGCCTCATCGTTGTCCGGCGACGGTCTCTATATGGGACCCAAGGATAAAGACTCAGACGAGTCTTCCACCGTCCCCTCCATCCTCCGCACCGGCGAAACCGTCAAAGCGCGTCTTCCCAGTTCTCCGCGTCCATCTGAAGAAGACGAGTCGCGGTACTACTGTGACGACGAAGATGAAGACGAGTCCGAAGATGAAGGGCTGGTCATTGGCAAGAAAAAGCCTCCTCCCAAATCCGGAGAGAGCAAGCCGACACTCAAGTTGAATTGAGGTCTGCCGCATAATATATGACGAACCGCCACCCCGCCTCCACCCTCTCCCACCTCCCTGCTTCGACTATATCTATATACCGAGAGGTCGTTGTACATCATTGTCCCATTTCCGGGGTCATCTCACGACATCCTAGAGTTTGTCATCATACATTCTACAGCTTGTACATATACTCGCGCCGCGAGCTTTCCATCTATCCACACCAGCGAGAAATTCGCGTCAAATTCTTCCGCCCCCACCCCCTTTCTCTTCGATTCTTCGATCTTTGCTGTTCCGCAACACTGATCTGGCCCCGATTTTCCTCTTTGAGGCTCGAATACGAAATGTAATCTTGGGGGCAATGTTTGGATTCAAGCAATTGGATGCCTGTGTGAGGTCTGTCTGAAAATGGGGTTCTCAAGCTGCTATGATAAGTCACGAATTGAATAATGGGGTATTCCCGAGTATTGTTACTTTAACTTGAACTTTTATTGGTATATTCTTTTTTCATGACACCCTGACTTCTAATACTAGGACGGTATATACTCGTATTCGTATGAAGACCACCATAATTCGATATTTAGAGTGGTTATACCCTCTGGCGGAGCATCTCGCTTGCACCATCCGATCTTCAGATCCACGCAAAGGATTCAATTCCACCAATGAAATGCTCCATACGTACAATTGTACTTCAACAATCTAATCCGATCAACCTAATCGTCGCTAAAATATTCTGCATCACGCAATCTGGAGAGAGCAATACCCCTTTCTACTACCAGATGCTAGGTACATTCTACACTAGTGTAGTAATGCCGACGCCCCAACCAACACGGGAATCTTCAGACATTTCTCCATCGGAGCTGCCATCGTCACACCGGCGTTTCATGGCCGCGACTAGTCCCAAGCGGGACATCTCCGGAATAATTATGTGCCTACAGCAGGTAAACCGGATGTCTGAGGGGGAAGGTGTCCGTTCCGGATGGAACTGGTGTTCCATGTAAACAAGTGCTTGCTGCAGTAGGAGTTAGTGTAGAGGAGGTGGGGGGATATATCGACGTCCTCCTCCTTTCATTCCCTCTTCAACTCATCAGGTCCATCCACCACCTCTCCGAGAAGAGTCACAATGAAGCTCCCAACCCTCTTCCTCGCGACCGCGCACATCGCCTCCGCAGCCCTATCCATCCGCGGCGCGGACATCTCCTCGCTCATCGTGGAAGAAAACAAGGGTATTTCGTACAAGAATGTGAATGGCAAAACGCAGGTTCTGGAATCGATCTTCGCGGATGCGGGGATCAATTCTGTGCGCCAGCGGCTGTGGGTGAACCCCAGCGATGGGAACTACGATCTGGACTATAATGTCGAGCTGGCGAAGCGCGTGCAGGCGCAGGGAATGTCGACTTATTTGGATTTGCACTTTAGTGATACTTGGGCTGATCCGAGTTCTCAGGTATGTCGCCACTCCTAACTTTTTTACATACCATCTTAACCTTTAAGGCTTTGGGGGATATCAACTAATGCTCACAGACAACCCCTCCGGATGGTCCACAACAAACATCGACACCCTCGCCTGGCAAGTATACAACTACACTCTCGAAGTCTGCGACACCTTCTCCGAAAACGGCTTGACGGTCGACATAATCTCCATCGGCAACGAAATCCGCAACGGCCTCCTCTGGCCGCTAGGCAAAACATCCAGCTACAGCAACATCGCGCGCCTCCTGCACTCCGCCGCCTGGGGCGTTAAGGACTCTTCACTCTCTACAACGCCCAAGATAATGATTCACCTCGACAACGGCTGGTCCTGGGACCAGCAATCCTACTTCTACGACCAAGTTCTGGCCTCCAGCACCGCGCTCGAATCCTCTGATTTCGACTACATCGGGGTATCATACTACCCCTTCTACAACTCCGCCGCGACCCTCGCGTCGCTAAAGACCTCGCTGACGAACCTGTACTCGACGTACGGCAAGGACGTGCTCGTCGTCGAGACGAACTGGCCGTATTCGTGCCCGAACCCGGCGTATTCGTTTCCGTCGGATTTGACCAGTATCCCTTTCTCTGTTGCGGGTCAGCAGAGCTTTTTGCAGAAGTTGGCTGCTGTTGTTGAGGGTGTTAGCGGGGGACTGGGCATTTATTATTGGGAGCCGGCTTGGGTTGATAATGCGGGTTTGGGGAGTAGTTGTGATGATAATTTGTTGGTTAGTTGGCAGAATGATGAGTCGAGGGCTAGTTTGAGTACGCTGGGTGGGTTGTGATTACGTTCTTTTGTTTAGTAGTGTCTGCCTCGGTGGTTTAAGGTTTCTGCAATGCATTGGGTTTCCGAGTTTGGGCATTGTATACTACTATACATGAAGTGGGGGCGGAATGGTCGGGCTCTTGTTTGACGAGTCAGTTTAGGTACACTCTAAATTATTTGCACTACCTTAGGGTAGGCTGCTAGACTATTGCGATAAGTATCAATGTCACTACCAGCAATGGGTCTTATCGAATACATTGAATGCAGATGAATGCAGATTGTTGCCGTGTTTTGTTTTTTTGCTCAAGTCCGCTCCATTTAAAGTTTGCAGAGGCAGACGAATTCTTACAGTCTGAAATAAGTCCATCACATACCGACTCGAGAAGGTCAACTCATATTTTTAGCTTCTTCAAGGCAGCCATGAAGAGCCATGAAGATCCAACGGTCTCAAGGCGCACTGCAGTCTGCCTTGCCCTAACGGATCGGACCCTTCATGGCCCGAGCCCAAGGCGCTTATGCCGCAACAGGTATAGATCCGACTGGAGACCGTGGGTGAAACTCAGCTGCGTGGCTGTGCAAGAGAGCTAAGGCTGTAGTGTTCTGCGCGCTCCACCGATGCTTGTTGCAAGATCAAGATACACACTGGCAGTACTCGTGGGCAGAGGCACGAACTCGTAGAATGATGACTACCTCTTTCATCGCCTCAATCGCATTGTGTTCGTGGCTGGGGATAAAAATAGTCGTGCTGCCTATCTGTTATCGACAGTGGGACAATGTGGGGAGACCCATCGCCAGTTCTTCTGCACCAAGTCGTCGTAGTACGGTGAGACACGATCACCAGGGGCCAGTTCGAACGAGTGGGCCTCCACATCCTGCCTTTACATTTCACCTCTTGCTCACTGAGGGTACACTCGTGTACTAGTAAGAGGAGGTTACTAAGGCTTAGGGCCCAACTCTCGCGCAGACCGCCTTGCGCACGTGAAGCCGCCTTTAATCGGGTACATCCCACCGTTCGCCAGAACCAGCATGCTTGCAAGCTGACATCCGCCTCCATTGCGTCCTCCTGTGCGAATGACACCCCGTCCTCACTGGTCTATCCTCCCTGCGTTCTACGCTGGACGTCATCCCGCTCCCTGAGATAAACCCCCCTCTCCCCGATCCCGCGCGCGTCGTGCGACTCCCTTGGCCATTAAATCCGCCTGCAATCGCCCCAACTCACTCAAAAGCCGCTGCGACATCCCTCGCCGGCTTGTGTTTTGTGTTCCTCCATCATGGCGTCCCACGACCAATCCCAGGGTTCGGCCGCCTCTCCCGGAAATATGGACAGCCACCATCGCAGCGTGAGCCCGTCACCCCACAATCAGCAGTATCACGACCCAACCTCCGGCTTGGGCCTGGATCCCTCCATGTCCGCGGCCTTCGCGACAAACCAGCCCTTCAATAATGCCGACCCGGCCATGGCAGGCGCAGACTCATACGGCTATTCGGGTGGCTACCTGTCCGCTGCCCCGCCAGCGCAGAGCCTCGTTCCACCCTCCGACCAGCAGTTCCCTCCAGCGATCAACACCGGAAACATCCCTATCTCGCAATCCTTTGATCCAAACCTGGTCAATCAAATGGATCAGGGACAGGCCGGGCTGCGACTCCCGCAGCCGGATGAGAACTTCTCCAACCTGCTGAACACGAACCCCGCCGACTTGGACTACTCCGCGTACCAGAACCATAGCCCCCATAGTACCAACGCATCGGAATACGATTCATCACTCCTCCTTGACCCCCAAATGCATCAGCGTCCTTCCCCAATGCACCAGGCAATCAACCCGGCCGATCTCGTCAGCCCGATCTCCAATCCCTCCGCCTCCTCGCACCCTTCCTCGCAAGATCAACAACAATCGTCGCCGGGCCCCATCTCCCCTCCTGGCTCGACCCCGGGCACGTACTACACACCCCAACACTCGCGACACACCTCCTTGGACCCGTCCACGGCGGCGTATCTGAGTGCGCAGTCAAACGCGGATTGGGGGTCGGTCATGAACAATACCGCATTCCAGGGCCACCGGAGAGCACCGTCTGAGGTGTCGGAAGTGTCTTCGGCCAACCATTCCCCGTACTTGTCGCAGCACGAGTATGATGGTATCGAGAACAATCGCTCACCTTCCTTGGCCCCGCAAAGCGACCCCGCGCTATACGATAATGCATTTGGTATCGAACAGTTCACCCTGTCGGAGCAGCACCAACAGCAGGCCTTCAGCCCTCTTCACAGCCCGTACATATCGCCTCGTTTGATGCCACAGCAGGGGGGCGAAATGGTGCCGACTAATGGGGCCTATCTCAATGCCAACAATACTTCCCAATTCCCGCCCGCGCCGACCGACATGTACGGGATGCCGGGAGATGCCATGCTGAACCAGGGTCTCGACAATGCTGGTGCCGATATTGGTCAGGCGTCTTCAATGGCTCCTCCTTCTATCAACGTGGAGTTTGCTCCTCCATCAAGAAATCCGAGTTTCGGTCCCTCTAAACCGGCGACTGACCTGGACTCATTGAGTCCCCCAGCAATGCGTGAGTTACAGTCATGGCGTTTCAATTTCGAATCACGAGACACTAATATCGTGACAGGTTCCCGCGTGCGCAGCAAATCCGATCCTTACACCCAGACCGCATCTCGGTCAAGATCCCCCGCCAATTCGGCCACCAGTCTGGAGCCCGTGGCCCCAAGTACCCCACGCTCGCTATCTCCTCATTCGCGCAGCAGCCCCGGCTCACGCGATGCATCGCCATCTCGCTCAAACCGACGCCTTTCCACTTCGTCCATCGAAAGCCGAAATTATATTTTGGATTTGGCCGACCCCCTGCGTCCCGGTGCAGCACCCGGAGATTCCAAGCGGGTCCAGAAACACCCAGCAACATTTCAGTGTAATCTCTGTCCAAAGAGGTTCACCCGTGCCTACAACCTGCGCTCCCATCTACGAACCCACACCGACGAACGACCATTCGTGTGCACAGTCTGCGGCAAAGCATTCGCCCGCCAACACGACCGAAAGCGCCACGAAGGCCTCCACTCCGGCGAGAAGAAATTCGTCTGCCGCGGCGACCTCTCAAGAGGCGGAAACTGGGGCTGTGGCCGTCGGTTCGCGCGCGCCGATGCCCTAGGCCGCCACTTCAGATCTGAAGCAGGCCGCGTCTGCATCAAGCCCCTCCTCGACGAAGAATCTCAAGAGCGCGAAAGAGTCCTTATTGACCAACAGCAACAACCCCAACAGTCATCCGGGCATCTCCAACCCGTGCCACAGCCTCTTGTTATGCCCGGGGCCCCTGGCATGGACGGCCAGTCCGGTAGCAATTTCATTCTCCCCGCAGCGCTTCTGGCACAGTACCCCGCCCTCCAGACCTTGCAGTGGGATCAAATCCCCGCCGCAGGCGATGACCCGAGCGACATCGGCGGTCGCAGTAGCTTCGACGCAAGCTCGGGTGGTGAATTCGGCTTTGATGAAGATGAGTCGGGGATCAGTAGTGTCTCGGGTGTGAGTGGTGGGTATGCAAATAATCAGGGTGGGATGTACGGTGGTCAGATGTTGGGTGTTAATCCTGGTGATCCGGGGTACCAGGATCAAAAGTGGAGTGGATGATGCGTTTGATGCTTTCGTTTATACCCCCTTCCCCTCCCGTTTGGGAAAATTTTGGAGATTTTGGATCTCGGAAAGAAAAAGCTTCAACCTTTTTTTCTTTCAACTTTCGTTACTTGCGGCCCGAGTGCCTTATAGAAGCTTTTGGCGTTCAGATACATGGTTTGGTGGTTGATTTTTCACAGTTTTGTTTATTTCGTTTGCCATGGTTGGCAATGGGGTGTTTTTTACTATTTCTATTTGCGTTTCAGATACCGGCATTCGCGTCTTGCCATTTCTTTTCCCATTAACATTCTTTCTTTCCCCGGCGTCGAGTTCGCGCCTCAGCGAATCGATGTCCGTCTTTGATTTGATGATGATTATCTCACCATGAAGAGTGATTTTTTGATGGTTCTTCTCTCCCATACCCATTTTACCTTTTTTTTCTTTGGTTACTGGATTTTGGATACACCTCTATGGAGTACTTTACCATGCAACGATCAGACCAGTTGCTTTGAATGGAACCATTCGCATTTGATATTGTGCATCTATGATGTATTCTTGTGTAGTTTGTATTTGGCAGGCACTTGCTTTGTAGTTCTAACAACTTATACCGATGCATTCAATACCCGAGTAAGCATGAATTCGCGCCTCATCCCGCCAGTCAAGATTAGGCACCATCATTGTAGGCCCATTAGGCATCTCAGGTAGAAGCTCCTTCACTTTATACTTCAATTCCACCCTCCCCTGCCCAGGAAAGTAAGCATTCGGCACCCTAGGATCCTCAAGCCCACCATCCCGGCTCATAGGGAACTCCGCCGCAAATTTCCGATACACTTTCCAATACCAATGCTCCTCGCCAAAGCCCAGTTCCGTAAAATGCTGATTGCGGTGTTCCAACTGCATGCAGTGCACAATACTTTCTTCGAAGCTGTCCCGCCAATACCCATACCCGCACTCATATTCCGCGTACGAAATATTGCGATTGTCCGATAGGACGTATTCCCCGCCCTCTTTCGAGGCAAAAATGCACTCGGCCCAGGTATCGTTGGCTTCTGCGGTATCGTTCACGATGTCAAGCGTCCACCGATCCATGGCCATGAAGAAGCTGGGTGGGCTTCTGTAGTCGCAGTTTTCCGACTCGAACCAGGCGATTAGGCCTTTCATGTCGTGTGTTTCGAGTCTGTCGGCGAAGTAGATCCATTCCATGTATTCTGCTTCGTCGAAGTTTCGTTCAATCATGTATGCTTTCACCTTTCGAGTTCCCCTGTGCTCATGGGTACGATGATGAAAATCTTCCAATTGTTTTCGAAATGGTGAGATCCTTGTTTCTATATCACGGATTAGCTTAACTCACACTCTGTATATCTAATAATCTCACCTTGATAGAGGGCACATCAAACCCCTCGGCAGGAACCTCTTCCCCTGAGAACAACCTTCCCCTCAACCGCCGCGCTAAGCAGAACATTCGCCCTTCCAAACGGCGCACGCAGAGTAATATGCTCCGAACAATCCTCATTTCGGAACAGAATAAACGCAGTCCCATCCCTCAACAGACCGCTCATCCACAAAAATCAACGACTCCTCCCTCCCCACCCGCTCAAACATAGGCGAAACGATCGAATCATCCGGAACAAAATCCATCGGCCAGGGAAATATCCACCAAACGCTGGGGCTCCGCATCAGGCCGATCAGGCCAGTCTTCATCGGTGCTCGCAAGGCTTTTCATAACGCGCTCTATCTCTGCGTCCTCGCACGGAACAACGAACACAACTCTCCATGTTGGTGGGCCGGAGCGGAAATCACTACCATACCACATGCGTGGGAGCTGCCAGTATGGAATTGGGGGCATCTTGAATTGCCCTTGGATCTTGATATCTTTCGCGCTCTTCTTATAGAGGTTTGACTTTTTCAATAACCACTATAGATGGGGGCCGGGCTATACTAAGCGTTGTAGGGCATGGCTTGGGGCAGTTGAATAAGGCTTGTCTTTCGGGGTGGTTGCCTAGTGGTGCCTGATTTCGATGGCTAGATATCTTGTTGGTGGCTGATTGTGTCGCAAATTCATGTAGTGCCAAAGATTGGCTTGCGAGAATTGCCTTGGTTGCTTTGGTTTGATAATGGGGGGTCATGTCTGATGCAATGTGCGACGTTGAGATCCTCGGGGGTTAATAGGAGGTTCTTCAACTGGTCTTCGAACAGTATGTTTCAAAGATTCCCGTGGACTCACGACGGACAACGCGGCCGGTGATGGTGAATGCATGCGGAGAGGGAGAGGTTAAGGTCTCGAAAACTATGGTAGACAGCAAAAGGTCGTGGATGTGGATGCCCCAGCCAGAAACTGGGGTGTATCTGCAACAGCTTCGTGAAAACTTGAATCTCATAGCCATACAACTTTGTCAGTCAGTGAAACAAACGTCACATATCCGCAAGACACAGTGAAATGGATCAGAAACCATTGTCGACCTTTTTTACGAATCATATCTCATCTGTCATCAGAAGCGAATCCGAAAGCACTGCTAGTGGACATCACCACTGGGAACGATTTGGTCAGCCAAAATGCCCACGCCAAGATCCCCCGTGTCTGCATGCCTGCAAAGAAGGCACGGGCTAGAACGACTGGGGTTCCAGCCTTCAATTACGTACACGGACCAAGTGTTCCCATTGGCGCGAGAGGGTGACACACCGCAAAAAGTAAGCATAATTATGCATTGGACCTGCAATAAACATGCACAAGCTGAAAACAGGCAGCCCTTTTTCGAGAGCTCCAGCTAGCCACTCATCCATCCCTCGCAGCGCGCATTTCAGCAATCAGGGTCGGCAGGGATTTCCAAATGATCAGCTCGGTCCGAACCTTGAATACTGGCTCGAGACTATCCCCTGAATTCGCTTCAATTCCCATATTTTTTCTGATCCAATCGACCTTCCAGTTACTAAATAGATCTGAATACGGAGCTTGTTACCCTAAAAAAAAGGAACAAAGCGCTAGTCCCATGCCACATTGAGACAGATTTACGCGACACGCAGCTTGTGTAACATCGACAAACATGATGCACCTCGTCGAGCAGATCGCCACGATAAGGGGATATCATTCCACGTCAGAAAAGCCGATCGACTACAGTATTTTTGCCAAGTTGTTACACAATTGAAGTCTCAAATACCAAGGCAGCCTACCACTGCTTTTACCTGAAGATCGACGACAGTTCTGTTCAGCTCGCATTCCAAAAGCTGCAATGCGTGCATATGAGATATCCATCCCCAGCATCTTTCAGCTTCGGCAAGTGTGGTGACGAACTATGGAGTCAATTTCAGAAAAGCAAATCGAGCTTCTCTGCTATAAATATGAGTTATACACCTGTACTCTTCGGGTCCCATCAACTCGACAATAGGGAGTCTTCCACATTGTCGACTGAACAGACAAGATGCGGTTCTTGTCGACCTTCCTCCCACTCCTGGTCTTTGGGGTCCAGACCGTCCTTGCAGGGGCTAAACTACCCAAGGTTGTTCCTCCGCAACTGCCAAGCAATGACTCCTTCTACAAGCCCAAGGGCGACTGGCAAAAGAGCAAACCCGGAGACATTTTGGACTCCCGAGAAGTCAACATCAGCTCTCTGCTCCCGTATGCCCGGAGCAAGGCCAAAGGATTTCAACTGCTCTACCGCACCCGCGATGTCCACGGCAATCCCGACGCGACGGTGACTACCATCATCGTCCCCAAGTTCGCAAACTATAACCGGGTTCTCTCCGTCCAAAATGCATACGACTCCGCCGATGTCAACTGCGGTCCCTCCTACGGCCTCCAGTGGCTGGCTTCGGGCTTCGGTGCGTCCTGGAACAAGCTCAACTTGGCCTTCCTGATGAACTTCCTCCAAGCCGGTCCGATCATGAACATCCCCGACTACGAGGGCTCCAATGCCGCGTTCACCGTCGGTCCGCAGAGTGGCTATCAGACTCTGGACTCAATCCGTGCCGTGTTCAACTCGGCCAAATTCACCAACGTCAATCCCGATGCCAAGGTCATTATGTTCGGATACTCCGGTGGTGCTTTTGCTACCGAGTGGGCCACCGAGAAGAAGGCAGAGTATGCGAAGGACCTTCCCATCATTGGTGCTGTTATGGGCGCGCCACCTCCCAATGTCACCAGCACGTACCTGAATGCTGATGGTAGTGATATGGCCGAGCTGAACGTTGCTGCCTTGCTGGGCGTTATGAACGCTTATCCCGAGATCAACGCCACGCTTCGTGCGAATCTTACCGACGACGCGGAACAGCAACGACGTTTCTTCTTCCCTTTGCACAAGTGCGGTGGTGGCGAATGCAGTCAGCTGGGCACTCCGCTCGCTGGCTCCAACGTCGGCGATTTCTTCAAGAATGGCTCCTTCTTCTTGGAGAAGTACAGCGAGACCCTGAAAGAGATCGGAGTAATGGGGCAGAACCTCACGCCCAAGAGCTACCCGGGCTATCCGCTTTTCATCTTCAACGGTGATAAAGACGAGCTGACCTATCCTATCGATGATACGATTCAACTGGTCAAGGACTGGAGAAAGAAAGCCTTCACCAGAGTGTGCCACCTGACACTTGAGGGCCTTGACCATACCACTGCATTGAGGGGGCTCCCTTACGCTTGGTCCTGGATCAACAAAAGATTTCTCGCAGTTGAGCACGGTTTGGGGTTGGTGAATCTTTGCAAGTTCATCGGCGCTGATCCCGATGACGGCTGGCCTCGTCCTCCCAAGGATGGAAACCCCGATGATGGAAAGCCTGACGAGGGTGAACCTGATGAGGGCGAGCCGGATGAAGGTGAACCTGACGAGGGTGAGCCAGATGGGCGTGAGCCTGACGAGGATGAACCGGATAATGGAGAGCACGAGGATGACTTGATTATTGCAGAGTCGGAGATGGATGAGGCGGAGACGATGCGGCCTTTGCATGACCTGTAGAGATAGTAGATGTTGACGGCGTCTAAATTGTGACCACACTCTTTTACCTGTCCATGTAATCCTGTTCTCGGTCGATGTGGCTTATGTAGTCGGAGATGACTAAATGAAAATATTTCGTCCTATCACTTGTTGCTATTTGCACCTTTATAGTAATAATTCGTACTTGATCATAATTACCACTGAACCAGTGTGGTGGCAGTTTTATCACACATCCACTCAACTAAAGCTTCATGCACAACAGAAGTAAATATTTTTACCGAGGCCCTCCTTTCACCTACATAAGTGTCTACACTGTATAGCCATGCCCGCTCCTACTCCGTGTATTCCCCCACCATATCCAATCTATCGCCCCACCAAATCCCAACAACCGACTCTAGCGCAGTTTTAGGATATGGAAGATAAATACATCCTCAGAGTACAGATCTGGTGCCTGGACCCACTCGGGTTAAACATCCATATTAACCTCTGATTAGTACGACAGGGCATCGTCCGTGCCATTTCATCATAACCGTAGCTACATCAGCCCATATATCGACATTTACAGGCTGGGCAGCTCTCGACACGCAATCGTGCCGGCCCCAGCGCCACAGCACGACGGTTGTCCGGGCAACGGCGTTGATCGTGCGCAGATCAGGCTCTCGGCAATCTATTCGCCTCCCACTTTTTGCGTCAAAGAGCCAGTAATAAACTGAATGTAGTATTTAGGCAGTCGGGAAAGAGCAGCGACCGCGCTTGATTGGTGTCTCCACCGCCATCCACGGTCGAGGCTCGCTGGGCGCTTCCCGGCCGTGTTTACACCATGTGCGAGTTCCCGCCGAGGCCAAACCTTGGGACGGGGACGCAAGTAGGGATGTAAACACCGCCTTTCATCCTTTCCCGAGCTCCGATAAACCTGCTCTGCTCGCTTTCTCTGCACAATACAGCTCTGTCAAGCTCGGAGATGGTGATTCAAGCTGGGTTTTGACCGAGACTCGCTTTATCTGTCGCGTGGCGCCATGCGAGCCGATCCTGGAATGCATCCCTTGAATTGATCATTTTGTCTCAGATTGCGATCGCAGATATGGGCCTCCTTCGACGTGTCAAGCGTCGCCTAGCTGCCCAAGGCTCACTACCCTCCGTGCTCCTCCTAGCTCTGGCCGATATCTCCGCTGCTATTCCTTACACCCCTTCCTCGATCTTCCTCTCCCCGCGATACAATGACTCGCTTGCCTACCTGCTCCAGTCCGATGCGGGCAGGACACAGTTTCTCTCATTGAATATCTCCGGCGACATCGATACCTCCAATACGTCTTTCAATACCTTGCTCGATGAGACGCCATTCCACAGCTCCGATCAGACATCCGCTTTCGTCCCCGCCATCGACGACCGGGGGATTATTACGGTTTACACTGGCGACTGCCACAGCAATCAGGATAGCTCATTATGGCAGTTCACGCCCGACAACAGCAGTGCGATTGGAAATGGGACCTGGGAGCAGATACCAATGAAGCTGGGTGACAAGCAGACCCAGCCAAACTATCTGGCTGCTGGATTCACCTTTGCTTCAAGTAACACCAGCGCTAGCTCGATGTACACATTTGGTGGAATGTGCCCATTCGCAAACAGTACCGACGATACATGGGTCTCGGCAGCAAACTATTCCCAATCGATGATCGCCCTCACGCACAAGTCAAAGCAAAGCGCCGAATTCGATTCGGCATTTGTTGGTGATCGTGCCCCTCCTGTTCCGGAGGCGGGAATGGCAGTGGTTCCTTTGATGCCTTCATACTCGCCGACAGGAACGCAGCGAGATTTTCTGTTTATCGGCGGACATACACGCAGGGCATTCCTCAACATGTCCCAGCTGGCTATCTTTTCGCTGCCACAGGAAAGCTGGAGCTTCGTCAACGTCGAATCTGAGACCAGATTACGGACGGATCTTGCTATTCGGGATTCCGCCACGGTCGAGCCACGATCAGGCCATGCTGCTGTTCTTTCTCAGGATGGTACGAAGGTCTACGTGATCGGCGGCTGGGTGGGAAATACATCTACGCCCGCAGACCCTCAGTTCGCAGTTCTCGAGCTTGGTGAAGGCTATGGGGACAAGAGCGAGTGGACCTGGAAGACCTCGTCGACGTCTACCTCGGAAGTTGGCATCGCCGATGGAACTGGTCTTTTTGGACACTCTGCGGCCCTGCTCCCAGGAGGCGTTCTGATGATTGCGGGAGGATATAACATCCCAAAGAAATCCTCCAAGCGCGCTATCTCTTCCAACGAACGCAATTCCCAAGTCTATCTCTACAACGTCACCTCAAGTAGCTGGATGAAGTTGTACAAGAACCCCTCCGCATCTCATTCCGCCACGACGTCAAAGGCACACAGCGGCGGCCTTTCCTCTGGACAGAAGGCCGGGCTGGGCGTTGGACTTGGACTGGGACTTCCAATCGCATTGCTAATAGCATTCTGCGCATGGAAATACGACCGCAAACGAAGAGTCCGAGGCAAGCGAGACTCGCAACTTCGCGAACTGGCATTGGGAGCAGAACGAGCTCATTTCTGGGGCCGAAGTGACCCGCAACAAGCGAGCAGTATTCGCAGCTCCCAGATGAGCGAGAAGCAAGATATTCCTGGTGCAGCTGGCTGGACCGGAGCCCGCAGCCTCAATACGAAGCCATCCTGGAAAGACCGAGACCAGAATGATAGCCCAGCTGAGCGGACGGGTCTTCTGGCAGATACCAGCCCAACTAAACAGAATCGTCCTGTCGGCCAGCAACGACCGTACAGAATGTCTGGATGGGAGTACCGGCGCAGCGACACAACGAGCGACATCCACCCCATCGATGAGCGCGAAGAGGACGAGGCTATTTTCCGCGAACGAGTGATGGCGACGATTCCCACGGACAAGAAGCCCATGATTCACGACCCTGACGATCCATTCTCCGATACGCCGTTCTCGACTCCACGAAGTACCATCTTTGGTGTTGGCCTGGGTCCATTCTACACTCGACGAAAGGACGGTGGCTCCGTCGAAGCCGATGGCGATACGTCGAAAAGTGACCGGACGTCCACTAGCCTCTCCGATGCCTCGAACTTCTCGTTCTCATCTGCAAGGGCGACGCCAACCGGTCAGGTGCAACAGGCCCGCGGTGTCGTCGTCGATCGTCCCCTAAGCTGGGCAAGCAGTGGCGGACACTCGGTGGCTGCCATCTCGACTCACAGCAGAGAGACCCACGAGGACGGCGCGGCCGCTCACTCCGTCAAGTCCTTCTCGACGGACTCCTACTCAACAGCCCAGTCTACATTCTCGCAACGCCAGGCTGAGAACGAATCCCTCCTCTTCGACAACACCGACGCCATTACCCCCATCACACCCGTCGAGTCCTCCCCTTCCAAACTCCCGCCTTCTACGAAGCCCAGAACTTCAGACTGGATGCTGCAAACCGTCCGTCGAGCCCTGACGCTCACCCGCCGCGGTATGAATAGCCACGAAGAAGATGAGTCCGCACCACTTGCCTCAGGCGTTGACCGTCGAAGCACCGTCATGATCCCCAAGCAGCAAACCAACGCCAGCGGCGCCAGCACGCCGCGCCGAGCCGTGAGTGCGTCGGCCGAACTCTTCCGCCGCAAACAGGGCGCGAGAGACTGGAATGCGAAGAAGAGAATGTCGGATAGTGCGTTTGGGGGCCACGCTCGACGCGCGATGATCTCTTCCTCGGTGCTCCGGGGTATCTGGGCGATGATGATACCTGCGACGACGAGGACTGGGACGTCGAAGGCGCGGCGGAGAATCGCAATGTGCAGATGACGTATACTGTTCCCCGCGAGAAGTTGCGTGTCGTCAATGCGAATGCTGGGGATAATGTCTCGGAGCGGTCGGTTAGTCAGGGACGGAGTGTGAGTGCCGGCACGAGGATTGTGAGTCGGTAGACTGTCGGTAGGGCAGAGTTCTTGATGTGTTCTTTTCAGCGTGCTATGATTCCCAGATGACTTTTCCTTCGTGGAATGATTGTACAAGATGATGTTTATGGTCATGGACGATCGTTAGGCGTGGCGTATTGAGTTGTTTTTGTTGCTTTACTTCTTCCGTGTGTTTGATACTACGAGAGCTTTCACGAGTTTGAAAACCGATTGATGGATGGAAAGTTGATAGATCCATGGTGTTTGTAGCCTGTTTAGGCCTGATGGAGTGCACGGATGATGGCGTAGATACGAATCGCACAAAATTGACGTCTGATTTCAATCTCCCCAATGCATTAATCAATGCTTCTGTAGAGGCCCAGGTTACATAGTATGTTTTCATGTATTCATTGCTCATGCTCGTTTAGCAATTTTGTATATGGCCCAACTGACCAGACAGGTATAAACTCCGAAATGACAACTTCTCAACAAAAAACGAAATGATATCTATATATTCTCATGGCCCGTGAAATACCGCTTTTATATAATTCTGCGTCCCAAGCCGCGTCTACGAGGCGGGAGCACCTTTGGGAGCAGTCGCCGGCTTGGTAGGCAGGGTCGAAGGCAGCGGCGGGAGGAGGTTCTTCGCGCTCTCACGCGCATACTGAGCCATGAGGGCATCCATGATGACGAGAGAGGACATGGCCTCGACGATGGGGACGGCACGGGGCACGACGCAGGGGTCGTGACGGCCCTTCGCTTCCAGAACACCCTCTTCGAAACCGTAGGTGGCGGTCGACTGGGCCTGGCCGATAGTCGCCGGAGGCTTGAAGGCGACGCGGAAGTAGATCGAGGCACCGTTCGAGATACCACCCTGGATGCCGCCGGAGTTGTTGGTCTTGGTGGCCAGGCGCTGGGTGCCGTCGGAAGAAGAGACGCTAGTGAAGGGGTCGTTGTGGATGGAGCCTGGGACCTCGCAGCCGCCGAAACCAGAGCCGATTTCGAAGCCCTTGGTGGCGGGGATGCTGAGCATGGCGTGGCCGAGCTTAGCTTCCAGTTTGTCAAAGCAGGGCTCGCCAAGGCCGACGGGGACATTGCGGATGACGCAGGTGACGGTTCCGCCAATGCTGTCGGCGTTGTCGCGGAACTTCTCGATGACCTTGGTCATGCGCTCCGAGGCGGCGGTGTCGGGGCAGCGGACGGGGGCATACTGGTCAACAGTTTCGCGGGTGATGGTCTCGAGGAGCTTCAGGTATTCAGGGTTTGTGGAGGCGGTGGGGTGTTCGGGGGTTGGGGGGTAGAGGTGCTCGTTGCCGACGGAGGAGACGAAACAGACGATCTCGACGCCGTGGGAGAGTTTCAGGTATTTCTCAGCGATGGCACCGGCGGCGACACGACCTAGGGGATGTTAGATTGGTCGCGATTGTGTTGTTTATGGCAGAGCAGGACTCACCAATGGTCTCACGGGCACTGCTGCGGCCACCACCGCTGCTGGCCTTGACGCCGTACTTCTCGAGGTAGGTGAAGTCGGCATGGCTGGGACGAGGGTACAGGTCCATTGTGCTACCGCCGTAATCCTTGGGGCGCTGGTCCTCATTGCGGACCAGCATGCCAATGGGCGTACCCAGTGTAATGCCAAACTCTGTGCCTGATTGAATCTCGACTCGGTCCTTCTCGTTCCGCGGGGTAGTCAGGGCACTCTGGCCGGGACGGCGACGGGTCATCTGAGGCTGGATGTCGTCTTCGGTGAGTTGCATGCCAGGAGGGACTCCGTCGACAATGCAGCCGACCGAGCGGCAGTGCGATTCACCATAGCTGAGAGAAGGTCAGTGGCAGAACACCTGCAAAAGTGGTGGAGGGGCATCATACGTGGTGACTCGGAAGTGTTCACCCCACGTCGACATGATGGCGGATGGCTTGGGTGGTCGGAGGCAATGGGGAGCGAAGTGTGAAGAGGGAAAGAAACAATCCCCTCAGTCTGACAGGTGACAATTGACGGACAATTGACTCAGAGGTGCAGCTGCAGGGAGAAACCCAGGACGAAATGCCGCGATCCAAAAAAGCCGAAATTCGAAATCGACTCATGCCTGCCTATCTGGGACTAGCGCCCCCGACTATCGGCTCCGCCAGCTGCGATTGTTTGACCCTCCTCGACATTTCTCGCGCAAGCTCCTCCATGCCCAATGCTCGCAACATGCCGCTTGCGCCTTGCGCTCCGCGGCAGTAGTGCGCAATGGAGACGTTTCAATTCCTCCTACCCAGTCCATCGCTTCGCGGAACTCGCCAGCCGCCCGTCGTCGCGCCATCAGATCTACCAGTCGCTATCGACGGACCCTTACGTCAATCTATCGATCGAGCACTTCCTCCTCGAGAATGCCCCGGCCGATTCAAGCGTGCTATTTCTATACATTAACCGACCATGCGTCGTAATCGGTCGCAACCAGAACCCCTGGCTGGAGACCGATCTCCGCGCGTTGGACAATGATCGCCGGCCGGGCGCTGGTCGGGACGATGCGGCGGTCTTCGTTCGACGACGGTCTGGCGGCGGAGCGGTCTTTCACGACGAGGGAAACCTCAATTACAGTGTGATCTCGCCGCGGACCTCGTTCACCCGTGATAAGCATGCAGAGATGCTGGTTCGCGCACTGCATCGCGCTGGTGCGGTCAACACCAGTGTCAATGAACGACACGATATTGTGATAACGCCCGGAGAGGAACTGCGCAATGATCCAAATGAGCCTCCGACTCGGAAAATATCTGGCTCAGCATTCAAGCTCACCCGGCATCGAGCTCTGCATCACGGTACTTGCTTGCTAGACTCGCCGAACATTCACGATCTGGGCCGCTTCCTGCGCTCCCCGGCGCGTGGTTATATTCAGGCAAAGGGTGTTGAAAGCGTGCGGTCGCCTGTTGGAAATGTCTCGCGTGCAATGGCCGACTCATTTTTCTCCATGCAGGGCGTGGTGGAAAACGTGATCGAGCAGTTTGTATGTCTATACGGGGTCCACTCGGATGCTCTTCTGCGGGCCCGTCGAGCCCATGCGCTGGAGCCAGGAATCTTTGCTGGTGATACCTGGGTCTCGGGTACTGTGGGCGAGCTCCAGGGAGAGCAGGAAGCAGATATCGGGAAGGGTATCGCTGAACTGCGGGTAAGTTGAAAACGAAACATACACTCAACACCGATCGCATCTAACATCTGTAATAGTCGCTGGAGTGGAAGTACACCCAGACTCCGCAATTCACTTTTTCAACCTATCCCATTGAGGGAGATCCTCGCGAGCGGCCACCTTTGCCGTCCTCGCTTCCTGCTTCGGTAAGTTCAAACCCCGAGCCAGCAATAAGATAGTATCAATTCTGACGTATGCCAGACCCGCGCATTCTTGCGTTTCAAGCACGGCGCTATCATCGAGAGTAACATATCCGTCTCTGCGGATGAGGCGGCTGCTTCGGAGCAGGCCACTCGCGTACACGAAGTCATCAACGGACAGAAGCTGCATGAAATCACCGTCGAGCGTTGGGCCGAGATGTTGCAAGAAGGTCTTGCTGGGACAGATGGGGTGAATGAGACTGGCGTGCAAGATCTAGCCCTGTACCTAGGGGGTCTTCTCGGCGGCCATTAATTACCACTCCCATCTAATCACCCATCTCCCTTGATACGAAGTAGTGGCCGTCTTGCATGTACTATATTTGCTAGCGACCCTTTTGTATAAATTTTCTACACTGTACCATACTTCACCATAACTTATTGTGAACTGCTGTTTGAGGAGATAGCTCTCTTCACAGCGATCTAAGCCATATTCCGGCTGATTTGAAAGCATTTTGCCCTCTCAGCTTTGACTCGCTTATGCAGTAGGCGTAGGCCTAAATTTAGAGCCCGTCAATGCATACTGCCAACCCGTCTCTCCTTTCCATTGCCAATCGGCTTTTACCCCCACACTTTCTCCGCAATTGCAGAGTTATGGTGCGCCAAGTATACCTGCAGCCGCCCAGTCTGACCAACCGAACCACCACAAATCTATTTATGAGGAGCTACCAATCATATCCAGCTGAATATATGAGCCCAGCAAGCTCGCCTCCTGTAGTCCGTCTCACGGTCTTACTGTCTCGTCGAATGCCTATCATCCCACTTTCTGGATATAATGTCCATCTCACCCGCCAAGCACGAGTCCACTTCCCCGCAACACCAGACAAAGGAAAGATCGCTCGGCTAATTAGCAGTGCATCAAGTACATAGTCTACTGAGTATACTACCACTACTACTGTTACAAGTAGTAGGTCTGGACTAGTCTCTATCCGTCGCAACCTCGTGGGGATAAGACCACCCCGTATTTCAACCTTAACCGCTTGTCACCCCCACATTCCCGACCCAGAGCTCCACGCCTGTCAGGTCGACTAGCACCAGCCAAGTGCATGGTTGTATCGCCTCCCCGCGCTCTGGGCATGTGGTATTTCCCACTGCATGATCCCCCGTCCGCCCGAGTCCCCGGATTCGTGGAGAATTTCCATCCGGGTCTGCTTGCCTTGCTCCGTCCTTCTTTCCGTCTGTTGGAGGCGCGCGGCCAGCCATGCTTAGCTTGCTCTGCTCGGGCGACACCTTCTTATATCGTGCACTTGCCTGTCTTCCTCCTCCTTTTGCTGTCAGTGTCTACATGCTCAATACCCGACGGCAATCTGCTGTGCTCGCGGTCTTTCTCGATTGCCGCTGTTGAGCTTAAATAGCTGCTGAACTGGGATATCACCCCTGCATTGAACGGATTGCGACACATTCTCTCTCACCTCACTAGCATCTTCACGCAGATCTTCTGGTTGCCGTCGCAATGTCGTGGCTACTTCAGAAGATCGTTCACAATGAGGCAATGAGAACGGACCCGAAGGAGATCTACGGATGGAGGGTCTACGCGTTGGCATGCTCGGTCAGTCTTCCTATCCCCAACTTCCTTGATACCATCTAACACGTTTACAGGCCTGCTGCGGAGGAATGCTTTTCGGCATGGACTCGGGCATTATCGGTGGCGTCCTCACAATGGACCCCTTTGAAGCGTACGTGAAGCAGCACGAATCAACAAAGAAAATCCTAACAAGCCACCCAGCAAATACGGCCTCGAAGGCCTCGACAAAGTCGCCCAAGCAAACCTCTCCGCAAACATCGTCTCCACACTGCAAGCGGGCTGCTTCTTCGGCGCCCTACTCGCCTCCCCAGCCGCAGACAAATGGGGCCGAAAGATCTCTCTCATCGGCGCCGCCGTCGTCGGTATCATCGGAGTGATCATGCAAACCGCAGCAAACGGACATCTCGAAGCGATGTACATCGGCCGGTAACACTCCCTCCCCTCACCATAGCATCTGCATATTCGTCAACTCTAACTCTCTATACAGCCTAATAACCGGGTTCGGCGTCGGTGCCGCAAGCATGATAAACCCCCTCTACGTCTCCGAAAATGCGCCCCGCGCAATCCGCGGTGGATTGACAGGCCTCTACCAACTTTTTATAACAATGGGCATCATGCTCGCTTTCTGGATAAATTACGGCTGCCTTTTGCACCTCGACGGAAGCGCAATGTACCTCGTGCCGTTGGCAATGCAAGCCTTACCCGCCGTCATGCTCTTCGTCGGCATGCTACTCTGCAACGAGTCGCCCCGCTGGCTCGCGAAGCAGGATCGCTGGGAAGAGGCGCGGGCGACGCTGTGCAAGGTTCGTGCGCTGCCGTCGGACCACCCGTATGTTGAAGAGGAGTTTGCGGCTATTGCGCTGCAGCTTGAGCAGGAGCGTGCCCTTATTGGGGGCTCGAGCTTCTGGGATCTTATGAAGGAGATGTGGCTTATTCCGGGGAATCGGAAGAGGGCTATGATCTCCGTCTTTCTTATGATTTGCCAACAGATGACTGGGACGAATGCGATTAATTATTATAGTCCACAGATTTGTGAGTTCCTCCCTGGGCTGGGCTGGGTTTGTCGCAAAGAAGTTGATACTAACATATCACAGTTAAAAACGTGAGCTTCACTCTCGAACTATCCACCCCGATACCTCGAAAACGTACTAACAATTTGAATGACCAGCTTGGCGTAAACGGCAACGCAACAAATCTCTTCGCAACAGGCGTCTACGGCATCGTAAAAATGGTCAGCTGCGGTGTCTTCCTGGTCTTCGTCGCCGACTCACTAGGCCGCCGCCGGTCCTTACTCTGGACATCCATCGCGCAAGGTCTGGCAATGCTCTACATCGGACTATACGTGCGGATCGCACCGCCCGTCGAGGGAGCCCCCGTGATTCCCGCAGGCTACGTCGCTCTCGTCTGCATCTTCCTTTTCGCGGCATTTTTCCAGTTCGGCTGGGGGCCTGTCTGCTGGATTTATGTTTCTGAGATACCGACGGCAAGACTGCGGTCATTAAATGTTGCGTTTGGGGCGGCGACACAGTGGCTTTTTAATTTTGTTGTTGCGAGGGCTGTGCCGAATATGCTTGCTACTGTTGGGGCTAATGGATATGGGTGAGTTCGGTTTTTTGGATTGCCTAGAAGGTTTTTGCTGACTATTACAGGACTTATATTATCTTTGCGTGCTTTTGCTTCTCGATGTGTGTCTTTGTTTGGTTCTTTATCCCCGAGACGAAGGGTAAGTTGGCTGGTCTTGTCTGTGAGGAAGATTTTTTATTAATTGCTGGGACAGGACTTTCGCTCGAAAAGATGGATGAGCTTTTCGGAGTCGCTGAGCTCATTCAGCAGAAGAATGCTGATCCCGAGTTGGCTTCTTCTGCCGGGGATGCGAACAAGATTCCGGAGGCCCGGTCACAGGCACTTGAAGAACAGGACAAATTAGGCAAGACTCAACAGCACTTGGAAAACAGGGAATAGGCGGGCTATTGAGTTGAAGTTTATGGGAGAATTTTTGAATAGTTAACAAGGACTTTCACGAATCTATTCATTTGATGTTGATGACTCGTTTCTCAGGTACTATTCACGTGACAGTATAGAAACCCTAACTTACAGGTAATTGGAACTTCACCCCATCCATCCATCAACCATCTTGTCTCGCTCCCAACAAGCACTTTCATGTTGTAGTACACATTACCATGCGCATTACTGTATCTCTCCGAGATCGCTTTGTTCGTAGCTCATGCGAAGGCGCGGGCGAGGTCTGGCGCGTGTGACGTTTACGGGCGTCGGCTTCGACGAGCGAATGGAGACCGTTTGGAGCCTGGAGAAAAGACAAGGGGTCAGCCGAAACTGAGTAAGAGTAAAATCACTGTAGGCACCCTCGGGTCAAGACTCGCAACATGCTGTGATGGATAGAGAGCAGAAGATGGGTAGTGGAGTCAGGGCGAAGCATGAGGCGGGCTGTGAGGCGAATTGGGGTTAAGGTGTAATTGGTATCAAATCCTGAAGAGGCAGGCTGCCCGCCACTCCCACCCAACCACCCCCGGCAGGACAGCACCATCAACAGGGAATGAGCCAGTGGGTAATGGAGCCAGGAGAGAGGGCATGGGATGGGCTGTGAGGCGATGGAATGGGAAGTAGTGGGCTGTTAACGGCCTGTGAGGCGAATTGGGGCTAAGGTGTAATTGGCATCGTAACACTGAAGAGGCAGACTGCCTGCCACTCCCGCCCATCCACCCTGGGCAGAGCAGCGCCATGAACAGGGAACGAACCAGTGGGCAGTGGTGTGGAGGGGAGGGGAGGGGGAAGGGACTCCCCGAGTAATGCTGGGTATGACCGACCAACATAAGTCTACCGGGGGGTTCCCCCTCGTCATGAAGATATGAGTGAGGGTTATAACTCTTTGACCCTTACCTTGAAGATGTATCGTCAATTATTGCGGGCCGATGTTGCCGGTCGATGCTGCCGGTCAATGTTGCTGATCGATATCGCTGGATGATGTTGCCGAAGTAGATCAACACCTGGGGAAAAGACAAGAAAGGGGGTCAGCCGAAACTGAGTAAGAGTAAAATCACCGTATGCACCCTCGAGTTCAAGACTCGCAGCATGCTTTGAAGGGAAGAAAGTGGGCAGCGGAGCCAGGAGGAAGGGCATAGAATGGGTAGCGAGGCGATGGAAAGTCAAGTTATGGGCTGTTACGGGCTGTGAGGCGAATTGGGGGTTAAGGTGCAATGACATCGAACCCCGAAGCGGGCTACCTGCCAATTCCGCCCACCCAACCCGGGCAAGGACAGCACCATCAACATGGAACGAGCCAGTGGGCAGTGGTGTGGAGGGAAAGGGAAGCAAAGCTGGGTATGACCAGTCAACACGAGTCTTTGGGGGGGGGGGGGGGTTGCCCCCCCTCGTCATGAGGACATGAGGGTTATCACTCATTGACCCTTACCTTGAAGATGTATAGTCGCATGGTCTCGCTTTGGGCAATGTCGCCGAACGATGGTGGTGAGCCGGATCGGAACCTGGAAAACAATACATCCTCTATCAGTCAAAGAGATTGACTGAGTAAGGGTGAACGTGACGCTCGCAACTTGCTTGAGGGGAAGAATTGGGCAGGGAGGGGAGTTTGCTGGAATCCAACGACGTCTCTGGAGCTTCCTGGACTAGGGTCAGGAACTTCTCCAGGCTGCAGTAAGTTCGAAGACCAACAGATGGAGCGAGAGAATAGCAATGATCACTTGGACACGTCGGTAGATCAGAGCTAGCAAAGCTGGAGATGTGCAACAATCCCGAAGGGACACCCTTACCTTGAAGGAGGATCGTCGTGGAGACGAGTAGGAGGCAAGTTGAAACTGTCTTGTACGGTGGACATGTACGATGCATGTCGGAGCATGTCGAAGTCACAAAGCATGACGGACGTGGATGAGGCAGGTCATCATGAAGGTCGGGTTGTGTCATGACATGTCATAAGGAACGCGAACACAAAAGCTGTCGAAGGCATGGTTACTTTGCGGAGGAGAAGAGGGTTCGTGTCGGGAAATATGGAAGCAGAAAAGGCAAGTAGGAGGGTAGGCGACACATGTGACCTGAGACGAGGTGGGTTGGGGGTTGCAGAAGAGACGGAGTGGGAAGCGACATCAGAGCGGGACGAAGGAGTTGAAGAAGAAAGAAAGAAAGAAAGAAAGAAAATTCAAAAAGACGAGACAGCGGAAGGGGTATTTGTAGATGGCGCCGCCTGGGTGGGGAGTCATTCACTGAGTTCTGGGATGGGAGCGCGTACTTGCCCTGTTCGGGAAGGCACCCATTCACTAATATCGCGGTCCAAGAAAGCAACGACGCAGCGGCCAAACCCAATATACTAGCCCAATCTACTAGTTTCGATCTTGGTGTCCAGCAGCCAGCGTATTGGCTCGTTCACTGTTTCTGAAGAATCCACACTCGCTTTGGTCCAGGGTTTTGTAGTATACACTTGGCTACGTTACTCGATATATTCGCACATCTGCGTGCTCATACTGCGACCAGCACAGTGGGAACCAGCTCACCACACCGGCGCGAGTACCCGCTCTACTGGTTTTGTCTTGAAGACTCTCTTGAATATAAATTGTTGTCATCGCTCGGTCGTGGTTTGAGGGTCATTATACTTCATCCCCCGTGTCCCCGAGTCAGAAGGCGCGCCCGCTGCCAACAGTCCGCGCCGTCAATTACTACTAGTATGAATTCGGAATGACAACTGGGAGGGACGAAGAGAGTCAGTACGTCACTACGCGTGAGATCAGCTATGCCTGCAGGAGAAAAAATGATGCACATCAGGGTCATGGCGTCGTATGAATCGTAAGGGGGCTATATACAAGATGCCCCAACCGCCCAGGGAAAACACAAAAGAAAACTAACAAGTCGCTGTCGCTATGCATATGATGCCCGCTCAAATAACAGTATGGCCGGGCCAGAATGTGGCCAGCGGCCCAGGTTGCTCAACGCTGGAAATGAACAAGAATTGAACAAAAAACGAAGGCAAAACAAAACGAAGGCAGGCCGAAAGAAGAGAAATAGTAGTAAAAATAGAAATAAAAGTGAAAATAAACAAAAAATAAAATAAAAATCAAAAAAACAACTCAAAACACCACCCGGCTAGGGAAACGACGGCCGGGCGTCAGCGCAGACTGTTGCGTCTGGCTGCGCGTCATCCGTCGAGGAGTTGGGCGATCTTCGAGGCTGAGACCGCCCAATCCAGGGCCAAGATCGTTGCGTCGGGGCGAGTAAGGGCCGCGGCGGGCAGAAGGAGGACCATCTCCACCGACGCTGTGCCCATACCGGATATTGAAGTTGGTGGTATCCGGCAGGGTATCAGCTTCGGTGGAGATGGTCTCGCTGTCTGACTCTTGTTCGTAGTCAGACAATTGCTCGCGGGCCCGAAGCGAGTCCATCGTGAAGCTGTGGCGAGCGTGGCCCGTCGAGGCCACGCTCGCCGGGAAAGATCCGAAGGTCGACGAAGCCATTCCGTGCTTTGGCACGGAAGGCAGAGCGGAGGAGATACTGGCTGCGCCAGGCTGGAAGGACGGGAAAGAGGACAGGGGGTGGCCGTCTGCTCTGGAGAGAAGGACTGGGGGATCGTCGGGCTACTGGCCGACGACCCAGTAGGGGACCAGGCAATCGCATGTTGCGACGCCTGTCCATACTTGGGAGAAGGAGAGCGTGCTCGATGCTTGTTCTCCGGATTTTGGTGAGCGACCCACTCATCGCGATAGAAGGAGAACAAGTTCAGCGCCTCTTGAATGGCCATGAATGCCAGTAGCAGCTTGCCATATCGATCGAAATACTCTCGCTCGAAAGACTCCTGCGGAAGATGTGCACCCAGGTGGACAGCTGCACCAAGCTCGGTGATCAAAACCAGGATTTCCATGCCATTCCAATGAACCAGCGGCCGCTTGACGACTTCCAAGAGAGCAAATCCGGAGATCAAGCTGGCACTTCCGAGTGCGCATGTCTCGATGTAGTTTCCGGGGATCCCCAGCTGGTGGTTTTGGGAGAAGACCCACACGACGATGGAGGCCAGCAAGAGAATCAACCGAAGGTACAGGAAGATGATTTGGCGCGGGGTGTTGGGCTTGTAGGATTTTCGTTCCTGGGTTGGCTGATTCCAATCATCTCGAGGGGCTTTGTCGGAGCCAAGGTCAAAGGCATTGTCGAAAAGAGTTTCCAGGCCCGTCGCAGTATCGTGGTCACTTGAAGGGAAGAATCGAGGAGGTCGGAAAACGGGTTCGGGACTGGCGGAATGGTGCTGCCATGGGGTCTGTTGCGGTGGGCTCCGGTGGAAAGGATTGGGATCAACAATTTGCTCAGTATGCCGGACGGGGGTTTGGCGAAGTTTCCATGCGGGTGGCTGAGGAGCGGCCGGGAGACTGCCGTGGAATGGAGATGGTCCCTCGAACGACGATGGACGGTTGCGTTGGTAGACGCTGACTCTCGGTTGAATCTCCTGGGGGGCTTTGGTTGGTGTCCAGTCCATATCGTCGGATTCGGGAGGAGGTGTAGGAGGAATCGCTGGGGAGCTCTCCACGGCTGGTCGAGGACCAGCGAGTTTGTCGAAGGGGAACCGCTGACGAATCTGATTGTTGTTCGCAGTCGGCGTGAACTGGACTGGACTGGCACGAGCAGTGGACACAGGGGAAGTTTCGGTGCTTCGTAGCGGTTTTTTCTCCCACGAGTTGTCCGACCAGTTCACCAAAGGACGAATATCGAATTTGACAGCACGCCGGGAGATGCAGACAGACTATTGAACGTTAGCATTCTGATCGAACTAAACAGATTAAGGGGGGCTTACCAAGATGGTGAAGATAATCATAAACATGTGCAAAGCCGCAGGCAAGGTTGCCTCAATGCCACTTGCAGAGGGATCCTTGAGCAGGGACCAGAACACGCATCGTACCACCAAAGCAATAAATTGAACTTCATAGTACTCGGTCAGGCCCTTGAAGCGGCCAGACCGACCTTCAATCTTCATGCGCAACTTGGGGTTCCACCAGAGAGAAAGAAATCCTGCGACAAGCGCATGGCCTGCAGCGGGCGACAGATCGAAGGCGCAATCGGTTGGGAATTTGCCAGACACAAAGACTCGGTGTACACAAGAAGCGAAGTGGAGGGGTGAATCCAGGGGAATGTCGCTATCTTCGAACGAGGTTGACGGGGCCGTGAGACCACCAATCGTAGACCAAGCAAGTTGTCCAGCAATACTTGCCCAGAAAAACAGAGCACCGATATAGACCAGGAGACTCTGCCAGCTACGGTTGCGTGCCTGGCGCGCGGTCTTTCCAGCGCGCGTTTGGTCCATCATGCGACGAAGGTGATCTGCCTTTGCTTCGTACCCAGCCTGCTTGATGCGCTGTCTCACTCGAGGCTCGCACTTGTCGCAAACTTGGGGGTACAGGGATTCCTGGCTTTTCTGATACTGAACATAGTGGCTTTCGTGATCCAAGGAAGGGTCGTCTGAAGGAGGTTGGTAGGCGGCAAGGGCGTGGGTAAGAAGGTGTTGGTTGCGAACACATCGAGAGCAAAACAGGTCCGATTGTTCGAAGCCAATCGACTCAAAGCGGGGGCTCTGCGCATCGCTTCCGTAAGGGTGTGGGTTGGTCTCAGCAGTGGGGGGGTCTGTAATCTCTCCGTTCTAAAGCACAGCATGTCGTTAGCTCATTGTTGTCATTGTTCAGGGTGCCCTCGAGTCGAGGCGCGTACCTGGTCGATGTAATTATCCGCCTCGCAATGATCGCAGTGGAATTTTCGAATGCCGCCAGGAACTGCCTGGATCGGCTTGTTAGAGCGATACCCGCAGCAAAAGCAAGCCAGTCGTTTGGAAAAGAGCGCCATGACATCGAGATCGCGGTAGGCGGAAAAGGTGAGTTGTTGTCAGGGCGGACAGCGACGGCCACAAAATAGTAGCAACACTGCGGCGCACAGACCACACTTGCCCAGCACGTGTGAACGCGCGCCTGCCTTCAATTTCACAGCGGACACAAACGCACCTCGACGCAGGCACCAGACGGGTGGCAAGCGACTTGGTCTCAATCTACTAGCTCAATTCACCAGGATGCTCTTAGCCTCGGTACCACCACTTCGTTGAATTGGGCTTGAATTCACATCAATTTCTCCCGTGTTCCGCTCGTGACATCATGGCTTTTTCAATAGACGTTTTCTGGGGGATCTTCTGGCAGATCGTAGCTCCAGTGGCAGCTCTGGGCCTTCTTGCCATAACTGTATGCCGCAAATATTCGACTTGGTTGGTATAAAACTAACATTTGTCTTGCAGATTATCTTGGCCTCGCTATTTATCTCCCACAATGCCAAACTTTCAAAAGTCCGCCGCCGCGGTGGCCCCGTTCATGTTCTTATCGTTCTCGGCAGCGGAGGTCATACGACAGAGATGCTCTACATGTTGAACAAGACTGCTTTCAATACCAGTCTCTGGACTTATCGGACCTACGTCACAACTTCTGGCGACAACTTCAGTGCGAGGAAGGCAGCCGAGTTCGAGGCCCAGGTCGGAGGTAAGGCCACGAAGCAAACATCTCCCAAAGAAGATGCAACATCTTCAATCGCAACACATAATATGTTCCAAAGGGGTTCCCACCCTGGTGAAAAAGATGAGAAGACAGCGCCAACAACCAAGAACCCCGCAGAGGACAAATTCCCCACATCTGGCGAGTCCTTCAGAATCATCGAGGTCCCCCGAGCAAGACGTGTCCATCAGTCATATCTGACAGCGCCCTTCTCAACCCTCCACTGCTTCTGGGCCTGTCTCCTTATCCTCACCGGGCGATCTCCGAGCCATCAGTCTCTCCCTCAAACACTCGAGACTGCCCTCCCAGATATAATCATCAGCAATGGCCCAGCCGTTGCCGTATGCATGATTATAGCAGCCAAGTTTCTTCGCTTCTTCATTTTTGTTTCCCGTTGGCTCACCGGTCGAGGTTTTTCACCGGAAATCGCACGGTTACGAACAATTTACGTAGAATCTTGGGCGCGAGTTCGTCATCTGAGCGTTTCTGGGAAACTACTTCTTCCTTTCGCCGACCTGTTCATTGTGCAGTGGCGCCCTCTTGAGGGACTACGTGCTTGGTGGGGCATGAAGAGGACAGAACATAAGGGCTGGCTGGTTATTTGAATTTTGCAATCTCAGCATTATACCCAATACTTTATCATGCAATGCTAGAATATCCATTCAAAATAACCACACCAATGCATCAGAAATGCATTTGCTACAGAATCACGAGTAGTGTCAAGCTTCGGTTCGACCACGGCTTTCCTCCACATGCCGATGTGGGGTTAATCACGATATGTCTTACAATTGTTTTGACTGGAAGATAAGGACCACAATGGTGCTAAGGTAATAGTTGATTCCACAAGGCCATAATCGCCAGGGACATAATCGCCAGGACAACTTCTCGAGTGGACATCGGAGTAAAGTCCGCGGTGCAGCGCTCCAACCGAAGCCAGGCCCGACATTTGGCGCAGCACCCGACGAATCTGCCTAGTCCGAGGTCCCATCAAGCCCCGCATCCCCTCATCGGAGTGGCAGCCCTCAGAGATTTGGAGAAGCTTTTTCTACATCTTCCCTGTAGATACACCAATTTCACCTCAGGGAACGACTTGTCTCGACTCATTAAAATAATGCCGTATCCCTTGCCTGGACGCAATGTCCTGGTCACTGGTGGCTCAAGGTATGACATTCAGGCTATCCCCAAATGCGGGTTGAATGACCAACTAACCCCAAGACGATAGAGGCCTCGGTGCTCTCGTTGCACAAAAGTTCGCTGCCGAGGGAAGTAACATTGCCATAAATTATATGTCGAATAAGGCGGCCGCCGACAAGGTTGCCTCGGAGCTTGCGAGCAAGTATAATGTGAAGACCATTGTGATTCAGGGTGTATGTCTCCTTTTCCCTCGGCATCGATGTCTCTTCATTCGGGGTAATCTACCCAGAGAAGCACATTACTTATTTGTTAATTCCGTTTAGGATGCTGGAAACCAGGCTGATTGCGCCAATGCCGTGAAGACAACTATCGAGCAACTCGGAGGGCTGGACGTCATCGTTTCGAATGCTGTAGGCTGGTCTGATCTTCCGATCTTACAGAATAACACTAAAAATGAGAAAAGGGATGGACAAAGATGACCAACTTTGCCGATTTGGACGCGATGGACGATGCAGATTGGGACAAGGTACTCATCCTTTGCTTTTACCGGACCTCCGAACTGATCAACTAAGAATGACACAGTGTTGGAATATGAACGTCAAGAGTGCATTCTATCTCTTCAAAACCGCCCTGCCAACATTCAATGCGAATCCCGATGGTGGCGCCTTTATCATCACCGCATCGACTGCGGTAAGGAATGTCCTCTTCAGATGATAACAACAAGAACTAACAGCTTCTCTTCGTTCCAGGGTGTGACCGCCGCCGGCAGCAGTCTGCCTTATGCTGTGACCAAAGCAGCTCGTACGTCGAACATCCTATTACTTCTTTAGCGACCCATGGCTAATACTTGCGCAGTCCTCCATCTCATGAAGTGCCTTGCACAAACCCAGGGCTCGAAGGTCCGCATCAATGCAGTGCTGCCAGGTCTTCTCCTCACTGAATGGGTAAGTCTTTTGGCTCTGGTAAGATTATGTGGACATCGCTTACAATGACGCAGGGCCAGCAGTTTTCCCCTGAGAAAATCGAGGGCTGGACTCAGAAGACGGTGCTCAAGCGAGTGGTAAGTGAAGCTTTGAACTGCGTTCTTGACTCCTCTCTGATTGTGCTCCTGTTAGCCTGAGGTCGAGGATACTGCCGATATGTACGTGACGATCGCAAAGAACTTGTCTATGACTGGGCAATCGATTCAAGTTGGTACGTATATCATATCCAGGCTTATTGATTATGACATACCTTACTGATCTCTATATAGATTCTGGATTCGCAATCCGGTAAAAATCAAGGATTCTATCACATGTGTCGAAGCCATTTTCGAAGAGATGAGAGAGCGTTTCCTGCAGGAGGCATATTACTATTCAAACAAAAATATCTTACATTTCCACCTAAATTATCTAAGCAAGCGGGTTTCGAAATGGCGTAAACTCCGCACCACCAACCAAGAACGACTGGTCACCAAACATGCGAGCCTTTACCGCAGCACGAAGACCCTCAGCAACAGCCTCTCCCTCGACCTTCATCTGGTTAATGCGCAGCAACTTCCCATCCTTAGTGTAGACAAAGAGAGCTCTCCCTTTCTTCGGGCCAACAGGATACGGCGCATTCGCGAAAGGAAGTCCGGGGACCAAAGCGAAAGAATCAGAGCCCTTGGGCGGCTCCACTTCTTCCAGGTCTGTCATGATAATTCGCCTTTGGTGAAAGGACGTTTTTGCGTCCCCTGGGGCGGTTGGGACGAGGGCTCTGGTCCATAGATCCCCGAGAACTCGACTGCGGCGGTTGATATCCTGCAGAGTCCAGTTGGCCCAGTCGATGTGTCGGTCCTCGGGCTTGATCTTGGATGCGTGGACCAGGGTGTTTCCTTCCGATGGGAGCCAGCCCGCTGCTTTGACCGGTGGCACAAATAATCCGTCATTGATGCCGTCCACCAGTAGCTGCGCACCCTTGGGTGCAACGAGGTTCAGTAGCTCAGGGACGGTACAAGTGTCTGGGTTTGGAATTTCGAATCCAGGGGTCGGTGTTTGGGAGAGAATTACGCCGTGGTCGAAGTTCTTGGGGTGCAGAGTCTGCAGAGACACACCCGTAGAGGTCCGGCCTGCTAGGAGAGTGTGGTGCAGCGGCGCTGGGCCGCGGAAACTGAAAACTCGCGTTAACTTGCATTTTTGGTAGCTGGCGCCGTGTGATAGAACATACTCTGGCAGCAATGAAGGATGGACATTGACACCACCATACTTGGAAGCATTCAGGATGCGCGGAGGCACAAATAGACCGAAAGAAACAGCAATGATCAAGTTGAAGGGACCGTTCGCAGTAACCGGCGGCTAGTCGAGTTAGCAAGTTGTCTCATTTTTCGGTGGTAGAGACCTACTGTCCATCCCGTGAATGTATCAATCTCATGAATTGGGAGAGAGAGAGCTGACGCTGCCTCTTTAATTGGCACTGTAGAACATTTAGACGAATTCGTTAATTGTTCTCGATGTTCACCTACCCTCTCGGATCTTTTTCATTCCTCTTCCCACCCTTTTTCCAGGCCGACAAACCACATCGATGGAGGAGACGCGCTCTGGTTGTTTGAGGTGATAGGCGTGAAGCGCTTTCAAGGAGGCAATACTAAACTCGTCTGAGCCGCAGAAGAGAATGCGGAGAGGATCATGTGTCTTGGTGCTATACAACCGAAACGCGGGTCTTCGGATGGCAGACGAGTACCTGCAGAGCCCGAAGGCGCTAGCTCCTCGGACAACAAACATTTCTGCACCCTTCTTCAATAGTTTATTCAGACCGAATGAAAGGACATCAAGGTAAGTTACGATGAACTGCGATGCCGGGGAAACTCCGCTATCGATAAGACACGTGATGTCAACATCACCACGGAGGTTCGACGTCGATCGCCGCAATGCGCCAAACCCCCAGCTCTGCGACTCCTAAGTACGGCCCTTTAGATCCGAACGATGCCATGCCTGAAAGCGACCCCGACTCGGTGATCCCGGCGCAGCTGTCCTTCCTCGCCATCTACAACCCAACCCTCGGACCCACCGATGAAACGTTGGAGGACCAGATCGTCTTCTACACTTCGAGATCCGAACTCAAGCGAACAGAGGGCTCAGCAAGTGAAGAAGCCGGTGCGGTGCCACCTCTAGAGAATGGAAAGAACGAAAGGCTGCGCCAGATAGGTCTGGCGCAAGGGATGGTGAGCTTTGCCAGGTGGGACACCTCCACCCCGCAAATGAATGATGCTGATACAATCGCTCGCGCAGTAACTTCTCAACGGGAAAGCCACTGGAGTATGTTGAGACCGATAGAGCGAGATTTGTTCTTTTGGAGTTGGAGCAGGACTGGTGGATCGTTGCGGTAGGGTCTAGTCAAAGAATCGTTCCGATAACGTCAGTGTGAAGCTAATCATATTGCGCCAGTCTATCGACTTAACTCGTCTACCTGCCGACTCGAGCCATGCTTCCTCCACTGGGAATGGAGAAACATCTGCATATCATTATTCGGCAAGAGAAATGGGGCCTCCTCAATTACTCCTGCAACAACTGCGCCGCGCCCACTCGGTCTTCCTCCTTCACCACGGCGTCTCGCTAGAAGAGCTCTATGGACGTGTTGGTCGCCCCGCATTCTGTTTATTCGTCGAGCGCTTCTGGGAAAAATTTTCCTGGAACTGGGAGCTTCTTCTGACGGGAAACCCTATCGTGGAGATCTATAATGGAATCAAACTCGCTGCAGGCGGAGAGCTGGGCATTGGTGTTGGAGAGGAAGAGTGGGGAAGTGGTGAAAGAGAAGTCCTCGAAGACTTTGTCTCCCGGACAGACGGTTTGCTGGATCTAGTCGTATCTAGATTTGGCGAGCCCGCTCGACAAAGAGATGATTCCACGCCGGCATCAAAAACTGGTGATGAGGATGTCTGGTTGGGGCTGGACACAGATCCCCGACCAGCAGATGGTGTCGTCTTTTCTGGGCTTGGAAATATTTCCCGGTCCTCCTTAGCCAATATCTCGCACTGGATGGAATGGATCTACAGATATGGCGACGCAGCTTATGGAGTAGGGCGGGACCCGAACTCGCTGCGTCGACGGAGACCACGAAGACGGGACAAGCAGCCATCTGGAAATCCCACTTCTCCTAAAGCTACCGCGCAGCCTTCTACTCCCTGAGAGGGATCGCAGCCATACACCAGGAATACCGCGCCCATTGGTAATGGCAACGCCGGAGCCGACATCAGATTTAGGAGAGAATGGCGCCGAAAGCAAAACCGGAAGCTCTCCGTCATCGAATGATCAGGGATTCCCGACTGAGACAGTCATGAAATATCTGACTCTTGGATACGGTTCTGCGTGGAGCTTCTCCAAATCACCATCTCCTGGAGAGCCAGCCGAATCGACGGGGAACACTACACAGCAAGCGGGCGATGCGATGAATACGGCTCGATCACCTCCACCCAATGAGCTTCGAAATGACTCAAGAAACCGAACTTCAGGCCGTTTCATCTTGGGTCCTCGCGACGACTTGGATACTCTTGATGATCTAGAAGAAGAGAGCCCAGCACCCGGTTCGGATAATGGCAAGCCAAAGAGCCGGATAGTGCACAGGTTCCTCCATACTCACTCTTCAGATGGAACACCCAAGAAACTCCAAGCAATCATTTACGTGGTGGGTACTTCAGTCCACCCAATTTGATAGTCATCAACTAACAATCCATAGAACCAACCATTCGTCTTCACATTCCTCTTCGACCCAGCAACCTCTTCCCTATCCTCCCCGTCCCTCTACTCAAGCATCCACCACCAACTGGGCCCTCTCCAAAAACCCCTCCTAGTATCGACCTCGCCCACAACAGCCTCAATCCGCATCTCGCAGTCCGACACCTCAGACCCCAACAAACGCTTCTCAACCCGCACTCACCCAGTCCACGACTTTGTCTACGACCCCTCAACCCTAACAATCCGCTCCTCAATACCCAACATCCCAACCCTGCCCTCCATCAGCCTCAAACCAACCCGCACCCCATCACCATCTCCCTCCCCTTCCACCTCAACTCCGAAACCCGCACCTTCCTGGTCCCGCATCGAAAGCCTCGCAATCCACCACCGCCTCCTAACAACATACATCGACACCCGCTCCAGACCCCTAGAGTTAGAAAGAACCTGCAAGACAAATCGCGGGTGGTGGATCGTCTGGATGCGGATCCCTTCGACTCCCACGCTTTCAAAAGCATCATTAAGTGCAACGCTCTCCGAAGCCGAAAGTGGAGCCTCAGTTTCAACTTCACCTGTCCCGCCACAAGAAGCCTTCCTTGTCCGGAAAGCGAGTGACTATATCGCTGCTGGTCATGGACGGGTCAGTAGTGGAGCGCGCTTCTTTCGGGATCTGGGCGGTGCGTCGTCGAAGTCGGGGTCAAGGGCTTCGGAGACGCCTTTGAAGTTGGTTGAGGGGATTGGTATGGATGCGAGGAGGTATATTGAGGGGTTGCTGAAGTTGAATGGGTAATTATTTGCCTTCATTGTGGATATTTTTCTTTGAGTTGATATTCGACGAACATAGCATGCGGACCCAATTGAGATAGGCTAGTATTCGGAGGTAGATATAAATATCGTTCGAAGTTTATTCTCTTTGGCCGATTTCCCATTATTGGGTTTGGTTTCAGTTCGTACTCTACAATATAACTACACTATTGGTTGCTTATGGGCATCTACAAGCTACACTCACACATACTCGTCATACAATCAAAGTGGTCCATGCATTAGCTGTAATCAAATCAATAACAGAAAAAACCGATTCGAGCTCTTCGCTTGGTGGGAATCATCTATCATCACAGGGCATGTGAACACACAGTGCACGTCCACAGCGTTGCCAGTCTCATTAAACCGGGGCTACATACTTCCTTTAGGGGCTTTTTTTGGTGTTTTTTGTTTTTTAGAAGAGTTTTATACTGCCACGGCAAAATGGGGCAATTTGTCATTGGAGAATCCGCGCGGATTTGTGGGGAATGGGAAGGAGAGAGATAGAGAGAACAATAGATATCAGGGTGAAGGGAGACGGGGGGATGGGAGATAAAGGAAAAACGGGAAAAAAGCCCACAGGGTTATGATGAAGACAACGCCTCCCTAGACAAATTCTGCAAAATAAAGGCAAAAAGGAGAAAAAACAAGGTCGATCAACTGCAGGCATGGGTGGTGGTTTAAAGGGGTGCAAAAAGGGGGGAATCAAAATCATCCACGACTCAGGCGCCCGATTTCGAAAATATTATCCACGAATTTTCTCGTATGCGAGCCCAGCAGCAGTCCCCTTGTTCTGGGAATAGTAACATTTCAAATTTGCCCGAGTCTCGACGGTTGGATCTTTTCGCTCGAGCCGCACCACTTTCGTTGGTGTAGTTTACAGGACCAGACACTTGCCGCTGCGCTTCCCCTTGTTCTTGCCGGTGCCAGCCTTGAGCAGAGCCGCGCGGGTGGCGGACTCAAAGACCTCACGGACACCCTCGTTGGTGCGAGCGGAGCACTCGAGGTACTTGTAGGCGCCGATCTTCTTGCGGATCTCCTCACCCTGTTGTATATATCATTAGTCATACGGTTCTTCGCGATGGAGGCGCACGGTACTCAACCGGCGAGAACGCGACGTACCTGCTCGGGGCTGACGGGCTTCTGGGAAGTCTTGTGAAGCTCCTCAATGGTCTTGGGGTCGTGGCGCAAATCCTTCTTGCAGCCAACCAGGATGATGGGGAGACCCTGGCAGAAGTGAAGAACCTCAGAAATCCACTGTAGGGATGTGTTAGTGCGGACTTTTTTTCATTGATCTCTCATCGGGAGAGCCGGTTCATGTGATTGTGATTACGCACCTTCTCCTGAACGTTATCGAGGGAGTCGGGGGAGTCGACAGCGAAACAGATCAGGATGACGTGGGAGTCGGGGTATGAGAGAGGACGCAGACGGTCGTAATCTTCTTGACCAGCAGTATCCCAAAGGGCGAGCTCAACGTGCTTGCCATCAACCTCGACGTCGGCGACGTAGTTCTCGAAGACGGTGGGGACGTAGACCTAATATCGAAGCAGTTAGCACGTGCTTCTGGTCGCGGATGCGGCTCCGTTGGTGCTGATGCAGGTAGGCGGTTGTTTTGGATAATCGGCATTCGGGGTGTTCGGGGGCCCGGACGAGGGACCCGATGGGTTTCAGTGAATTTCTTACCTCGGGGAAGGTGCCCTTCGAGAAGACGCTGCGAGGAGGGACTGGTCAGACGGCCTGCACGGAAGGAGGTGCCGGGAAGGGGGTGGAGTGTCCCAGCGACTCTGATGTCAAGTGTACTCACATGAGCAGACAGGTCTTACCGCAGGCACCATCGCCAACGATAACGAGCTTGCGTCGGATCTCGGCCATCTTCAAAAAGGCAGAAAAGGTCAGCGTCAAGCGAGAGAAATCGACTCCGGTCTATGCAGAGCTGTACAAGGCGGTTGCCGTGATGGATAAGGCGGTAGGCGGGGAGGGGGGAGAAGGGGAGGAGGATGAGAAAGGGACAGGTGCAGGTTTCGGGGGGCGGGAGTGAAGGGAGAAGGGAGGCGGCGTACTGTGAAGAAAAAGGGGTGGTTTCAACGGCTGTGGTTGCAAGAGGACAGAAGAAACCAGCTAATGCTCGCAGCAGAAGCCAGAGATGATGGAAGTTAAGAGAGAGTCCGGAGGATGGGAAGAATGATGGGTGGGAGGAAGATAGAGGCCAGACTGCGCCGGGCGGTGGACGGGGTTTGTTGTGGTATTGTCGGACGCTGGTACCGTCACGGCCGTATCTCTGGTATCTCCTGGTATTTTTGGGCGGTGTCTGTTCCTGGCGGCCGCCAGCGACGGCATCTCTTCATTTTCTACAGCGATGCTCTGCTTCCCTGCCCACGCGCTCATTCCATGCCCCTCGCCCGTCGCTGGTCCCGTTTGGCCCTCATGGTGCTGCGTGCTGGCAGGATCTGCCCCGGTAATACCAATACCCACCAGCCCTGGCAGCCTATGTGTGGCTGAGCGGGTATCCGCGTCACAAGAGGTCCACTTGTTGAGTGCTTGGACGGTGTCTGTGGTGGTCTTTTCTGGTCTTCTCAGTGGGTTTTCCACCAGCTGCGAGTCACAGCCACCGTGGCTGTGACGTCGAAGCGTTATGCCATGCTCGGGGAATCTGATATCATCCCCCCGGGATGGGAAAAGGGGTCCTCGATGCGATGCGAAACTCTAAGGACCCTGGAGCTGAAGCAGTGTGGCTTGCTGCAGAGCATTGAATCTGGTTGGGACTCGACAGAGTGAGCGAGCTCATCCGCCTCAGTATCGCCTATAGCGCCTGGGCGATTCCATTGCCGACATTCCCAGTGCCCATGACTAGGGGAGGAGTATTTATACAAGGCACTCTGAGCAATTAGGGCCTACGATGTATCTACAAGGTAGGTGTATCGAATTGCAACAGTGTCTCGTGTAACACGAGCCCGTGGCTAGTGCGAGTACGGTACACTACAATAAGACGAAGACGCAAATTTCCGGCCTCAAAGGAGGTCGGGGCAGGGTACTTTCCACGACCAGAAACGACACATCTGCTGGCGCGTGCCGGGGCATTCGCCCGGGTTGAACAGTGCATACGCGCAGCACCAGTCACTTCGTACCGTGGTGTGTGACGGAATGGTTGCCTGCGCTGCCAGAATGCTTGACTCAATTGTCCACTGACGATCGCTCCGATAGTTTCCTGCGCCTCCGTTCCTTCACTTCCTCAACGCTAGCCTTAGGGCTTGAAACCTCTTTTTTTTCTCCCCAAATCTCGGGCGATGGACCTGCTCCGTCCGGTTAACGGTGGCCACGGTGGAACTGTCCCATCGATAGAAAGATTCCAGGGGCCCGGCTCCATCTGTGCACGTCGCACATCTGCCGATGTGCCCCTGTGCCAAACCAATCACCTCCCTACCTCGTATTGCTTCCGATTCTCCACCGTCGAAACGTGCATACCTGGAGCTGGAGCTGGCGAAAATCCGTCGAGTGGAGTCGGACCAGAGTGTAGCCGCGTCTCCACGGCTGACTAAAAATAGGCTGCTCTTTTGCAAAGGATAGGGAGGCATTGTGTGAGACAATCGAGAAAAAAGGGAAGAAAGAAATAGATACTCGAAGAGTTTAAAAAAAAAATAAAAATAAAAATAAAAATAAAAGGAGGTAAGCTAAGACGGATATGTCGAAGATGGGGCTTTTCTCGGTGAATGCTGCGAGCTACCCGTTAGCTCGCGGTGGAACTGAGGCCGGCGCCGAACTCCCCAAGGCCATCTCCGCGATTCCGAGTCCCCTGACTGGTCTGCTAGTACCTGGGGGCCTGAGAAAAAGCGTGTCGCGGTGTTGTGATGTGCTATAGTACCGTTTCCGGCCGGTTGGGGACCTCCCACTAGCGAAAGCCATGGGGCCGGATCGACGAGGACAGCTAGCGCCTCCGTTCTCCAGTATCCATCGCAGGCGTCATGGAATTTGTCAGTCGGGAGTACCTATGATACCTACAAAGATACATGTTGCGAATGTCTGCGTACGCGGCAGAAGTACCAACAGTGCCACCCCCACTACCGGATTGATCCCCCGGTCCCCCCCGTCTTACGCTCCTGGCTCCATTTGAGCTGAGCTGAGCTGAGCAGTCTGGCCTCCCGAAAGGGCGACTTGATGTGCGTGTCGTCGGCACCAATCGTCGGACTCGGCCTGTTCTCCACGCCAGACCCGTATGCGACTAGCCCACTGACACACGTGGATTGGTCCGTGGATATTTCTTCATGTACAGACATGTGTGTGAGGTGGTTGCGACTGGACCCAAGGCTCTTGCGTGTGTGTATCAGATGAGTGTCTGCGTCGGATCTGCATCGGATCGGGCAAGAACTCTTGGCCCTGCATTGTTGGGCATAGGGTGTGTTGGATATGCCCGGGTTGCTGGGCCCCGTGGTTGATGTGCTTGTGGTTGGTCTGTTCTATGTGAAGGGTCATGCAGTTTAAAACTCCGATTTAACTGGCGTTGAGGGGTCTAGACCTCCTTGGGGCCTGATGGGCCTTAATCCTGGCGATGAGGTGTCAGTAGTACCTAACGTAGGTATAAGAGGCTCTCCGGTCTACCTGTACAGTATGAGGATGCTGTCTGACAAGGTAAATCTGTCTCAAATAGACTCTAATACGCTGCCTCGGGGCTCGAGAGGGTTTTTTGTATAAGACCGCGGCATTCTAGCGGCAATCGTTCTCGTGTTTTTTGGGGGCCAAATTTCTTCTGACCAGCTCATTTATTACCTGGGTATACTATTCCCATGACCTGTCCTTTGGCCTTCTTCTAGAGCCTTTGAGAAGCCGGCGAGGTTCTTCATTCACCGTAGATGGCGGTCAAGTGCTCTTTGTAACCTATTCCCCTTCTTAATTCGTCCTAGTGAACCATTGCAATTTGCTGTTGCCCTCTCCAGTGGGATCCACTTGGATTTACCTCAGATCTCCCAACCTTGTCCCATCGACAAGACCCGCTTAATATCTATATTCTTGACCTCTCAAACATACTAGTAGTAATCGTTCACAACGTTCCTCCTGTCTCAAAACAACCTCACCCGCTGCCAGAACCAACACATAAACCTTAAAACCTGTGCATAAACCAAAGGCTCTGAGAAATAAGCGTACGACTTTCAGCCCCCGCCCGCCCAAACAACTGGGCTCGCTTGCCTCGAATCCTCTTCAACAGCAGGCTCTGATATAAGGCTATGAATTTCCAAAGCCGACCTTATGCAGCCTAGTGGGAAAATTTGGCGCTTTTCTAAATAAAAAACTTTCCTCAAACCCCCGAGCGATGTGTTTGGACACATCGTATCTAAATCGTGCGCCCCATGCCAATCCTCTTCCTCATCCTAGGATCCAGGCCCCATCCTCAAGGCAGACGATATTAGATTTGACGATATTAATATAGGTCTGTTCATCGTCGTGAAGTTTTGTTGCATTTGTCTCGTTCCTTCAGTTTCGTCTTATCATCCATCATGCTCTCTGTGGACCAGGGCCACCAACACGACTCCGAGTCGCAACGTCTAACTCCTCAGATACAGGAGTCAGACCACGACTCCGAGACATCTTATTCCGAGGGTGGTCGACCGGGTCGATTCTACGCTTCGAGTTCGATCAAAGAATCAGAAGCAGGGTTCTCTACGAGCACATCTTCAACCCGAGTATCGCTTCTTCAAGAAGTACGACAATACCCACGAATCACACTCTATACAATCGGCCGCGCAATAGCATTCTCTTAAGCGGTTACGATAGCGTCATAATGAATGCTGTCCCATCATTAACGGCATTCAAAAAGGACTTCGGAATGTAATACGGCTCCGACCAAAACGACTACATCCCATCAATGTGGTTCTCCCTCTGGAGTGCATTGGACTGCGCTGGACAGATACTCGGTGCACTAGGTTCCCCATCCTAGCAGGACCGCTCAGGCCGACGGATCCCAATGATCGTCGGATGTGTCGTCTCAGCCGGCGCCGGATCGTTTACACGGCGAATCTAGCCTCCACCATTAACGCTCGACGAGGCATTTTCCTCATTGGCGAGGTTATCCAGGGTGCATCGCTGGGAACTCTGGCGGCAGCTGCGCAAACTTATATCTCTGAGACTATACCGACGAGTCTGCGTGGTTCAGTGATGGCTCTGTACCCGACGTTTATTTTACTGGGCCAGCTTGTCAGCGCGGCGGCGTGCTTTGCTTCGTCTGATGGTGATGCAAGTAGTTCGTATCTGGTCACCTTCATCTCAATGTGGCCGTTCTCCGTCGTCTCGCTCATTTTCATCGTGCTTGTTCCGGGAGCCCTTCTTTTCTTTTGCGGAGCGGTGGACTCGTCGATGCGCATCGCTCGCTTCAGAGGTTATATTCCACTGCTCGAGACTGCGGACAAATATTAAGGATCTGCAGGAGTCTCTTGCGAGAGAGACGGCGGAAAGCTCGAAGGTTTCCTATCGGGATTGCTTTCAACGCTCGGATCTTCGACGGACGCTAATTGTCTCCTTTGTTTCGAGGATGCCGACTTTGTTTGATTTTTCGCTGCTGTCCGATGCTAGCTATTTCCTTCCGATTGTCGGGATGGATGATAAGAGCAGTCTAATGATGTTTGTCTTGGGTGTTAGCCTTGGTTTGATGTTAACGCTGTCGGTGTGTGGATTGCCACACGCGTTAGGCGCCGGATGCTCATATTGAGCTCGTTGTCTGTGACCTCGCTTCTTTCGCTGGGAATGAGTATTTCTGGCTTTTTGTCGAGCACTGTGCCCATCTGGTAAGCATTCATCTTCCTCCTTTTCTTTGCAGATTGATCATCTAATATATTCCAGGTATACGGCCGTCACGATGATGTTCATCGTCATAATTTGCGGAGTCGGCGCCTGGCCCGCGTCATACTCAGTAGCGGGCGAAACATCCTCTCTGCGACTGAGGGCCAAACGCAAGGTATCAGCACGATTGTCGCGGATATTGCGAGCATTGTCTTCGGTTTTGTCTTGCCATATGTCTATAACAAAGACGCTACGAATCTAGACGCCAAGACGGGCTTCCTGTTCTTCGCGATCTGTGCGTCGACGGTCACTGTGACTTGGTGGGCGGTTCCGGAGATGATGGGACGGTCGAGTATGGAGATTGATCATATGTTCAAGTTGGGACTGCCGGCGAGGAAGTTTCACGATTGGCGGGAGAGGGATGGGATGGATGATATGGTGGGGATGATTGGACATGGACATTAAATTATAGGAATCAGGAAATATTTAATGGCTCTTCCATCTTAGTCATGTTCAAACAGAATGCATTGTATGGCTTTGGTAGGCTATGGGTTTCGTTCGAACCTGTCTGTCCATCAGAGCCCTTACATTAGTGTTCATCTTGTCGGGATTGTTGTCAACATATATCTCTGCGTATATAAAACACCAACACCCGCAACAGAAGGAGCGAACAGTCCCTAAACAATCAACAACTCGTTCACTCAACGAATTTCCAACGTAAAGCTATCAGAGCAATATCAGACGCGCGAAGAATTAGCAATACCCAAAGTACTCTGTACAGGCTGACTAAGTAAATTACTTTCATGTGTCACGTGCCACAAATGCGGCCGCAATTTTCCGTCCGCGATTGCGACTGTTGACGAGCAGCATCAGCATAGACAGCTATCGCTGGGCCACCACCGCCAAAATGCAAAAGGTCATCCAACGGACGGCCACGGCCAGGAAGCAGGCCCAGAAGAAAATCTTCCGGGCCTCACGACGAGACCAATTGGCGGACCGCAAAGACAACATCCGCGTGCGAAGGGACTACAACAAGGCGATGATCGATAGCATCAACGCCGCCCGGACTGCTCGCTGGGAGGACTGGCAGAAGGGTGCTATTGCCCCGAAGCGAGACTCGGGCCCCGAGGCGCACACCTTTGGTGCCGTGGACTCTGCGTTGATTCACCCCCCGGCCATCCCCAAGGGCCAACGCCGCAAGCACATTCTTTTTGCCGCGGGAGACCGAGTCTGCGTGGTTCGGGGCCGGGAGGCTGGGAAGATCAATGAAATCACCCAGGTTAATGAGGAGAGTGAGACTGTTTTGATCAAGGATGTTAACACGGTGAGTGCACGAGTTACCCTCAACTCCGGTTAACGTTACTGAACGGTGGTTTCTTTTGCTCTAGGTCGACATCAAAGTCCCCGAATGGGCCAAACACTCGATGGGAATCAAGACCGACGTCCTCGCACAAACGCTGCCGATACCCATGGACGACATTCGTCATGTCATTGCCTTGAGCCAAGAGTCCGAAAATGGAATCTCAACCACACGCGACCACATTGTTCAACACGCCTACGCTGGGTATCCTCACGTCGAGCGACCCGCTTGGAGCAAACTTCCGCGCTTCACTCGCTATATCTCCGGTATTGACGTCGAGATCCCCTGGCCCACCGAGTCGGCGCCAGAAGTGAAGGACGGCGAATATGATACATTGCGATACGAAGTCGACCAAGAGACCTGGGTTCCGTCGTTGGATAACGCGCCTTTCCCATCCAGTGTCCTGGACGAACTCCGAAACAAGTACTCTCGATTCCGTACACGCCACGACCCTGAGTATGTGAAGGAGAAGGTCATGGAGGAATACCGCCAGCAATATCTGGCCAGCCAGTCCCTGCTGACTCCACCTGGGGAGCGCAAGGAGTTTGCGATCGCGAAGAGCAAGGCCGCGAAGCAGGAGAAGATGGATGCCAATGGCAACATGCTTATGGACGATGAGACGCGCACCTTCATCAACCGGTTTATGCAGACTAGCCTGGGCGAGCAACCGCGAAAAGCTGGCAAGGCCAAGAAAGCGGCGGGCAAAGCTCCGCAGACCGCTTGAGTGCATAGCCAAGTGAAGCGCCCCGTGACTGTGTTTAAGATAGCGATTGTGTATAAACTTCCAATGTATTCTACTTTGCCGATTTGCGATTTCGCGTCCAATTCACATATTGAAGTGAATGCGTATTTTTGATACACAAAGCTGAATTGCGTAGTTGAGAAGGCAGTGATTGATCTCTTCACTGGGCCGAATGTAGGGTCATTCACTCGGGCCGCCAGGGGAGATTTAATGGCACTCCCGCGACCATTCTCAAGCCCAATTTTCTTTTCTCTCCCCCTCCCTTCTCGCACTGCTGTTTCGCAACCAGTAGTCGCATAAAATGTCGTTTGCCGCGATTAATTCGGCTCCTCCGGCGCCCGCCGCTCCGAATGCTGCCATCGAGGAAGCATTCGCAACGGTGCCGGCGCTCAAGAAACGAGTTTACGCTGCCATCGGTACGTAGCGCCGCGCGCATCTACACGAAAATCCCCTCGACCCGTCCAATCTCCAGATGACTGACATTTTGCGATCAATTAGACGAATCTCCCCAGCACGCCTCCCTTTTCGAAGACATCTCCCGATTCACCTCTAGCCTGCTGGCCAGGCCTCCTACCTCCGCCCTCCCTCCCGCATCTCCCGCCGACACCAACGGCCCTGCCGCAAAGAAGCGCAAGCTCGAAAATGGAGTTGGAGCTCTGCAGCAAACCGCGCAGGCGCCCGTTGATGTAAAAAGCAAGGACGCCCAAGTCCAATACTACATCCAAGATGTGTCGTTCTCAATCCCTCAGCGCAAGAAATTTACGTTGGAGATTACCTCCTCGCCGAGCGCGATTCGCGCCCGGAACCAGTCGACTAAGGAAGTCGACTTTGGTATTCCCCTGGACAAAATCCGTGAGTTTTTTCTTCTTCGGACCTAACCAACATCCTTACTTAGGTAGTAACTAACGTGTATTCGTTCAGGCCACGCCGTCTCCGTCGGGGTCCCCGAGAAGGCCCAAAAGCAGTACAACTTCTGCATCATTCCAGAATTCGGCGATGGAATCACACCCCCGTCTGAGGGCACCACGGCTTACGAGCCAATTGTTTTCACCATCAACGACGGACCTGCAAAGGCCGCGTTTGCGGGCACCGGAAAAAAGGTAGCCCAGAATGCTGACGAGTCGGCCGAGACCTTCCTTCGGAAGGCCCTGAACGAACACCTGCCAAACACAACGGTGATTCGCCCCGAAGAGCGCCAGTTTGTTAGCGCCAACCCTGAGCCTCATCGGACGGGCGAACACCGGTATAGTGTGAAGGCGTTCCGGGGTAGCAAGGAAGGTATGTATACCATGTTATCCCTGCAACGAAGGGAATCGGCTCTTGTGGAATCGTTTGCTGACTTCTTTGATAGGCTACCTATTCTTCTTGTCGACTGGCATTCTTTTTGCCTTTAAGAAACCCCCTCCTCTTTTTCTCCTTTGACACCATCGAATCGGTGTCATATACCTCCATCCTCCAGCGAACATTCAACCTCAACATCCTTGCTCGTCCCCAGGGTGGTTCCGAAGAGGACATCGTGGAGTTCGAGTTTGGGATGGTTGACCAGGTTGACTTTGACGGCATCGATGAATACATCAAGAAGCACAGCCTTCAAGATGCCAGTCTGGCCGAGGCTCGGCGCGCAAAGGTCTACAATGTCAACCATGACAAGAAGGCCGAGGCCGAGGGTGCGAATGGTATCGTCGAGGAAGAAAGTGAGCTTGCCAAAGCTCAACGAGAACTCGAGGATGAAGAGGACGAGGAGGACGAGGAGGATTATGATCCTGGTAGTGATGGGGAGAGTGAGGGGAGTGGGTCGGATGAGGATGAGAGTGGTGATGAGGATGATGATGAGGATGAGGATGATATGGATGAGGACGAGGAAGATGACGGCCCTGGTGGCGATGAGAATGAGGAGTGAAAGGGGGGAGCGATCCGTAGCAAGAGAATCGGAAGACCCGTGGCCAGGTGAAGACAGTTTTATCTTCAGGGCCCTTTTTCTCGCATTCATTTTCTTTCGTGGTAGAGCAGTAGTTCTGAGCAGAGTAGTAATTCTGGAGCAGACCTGGTACCTGCAATATTTAAAGGCAATCAACCCGTGTTCTCACTATCAGTATCACACTAACCCTTCCTCACAATTTGTTCAAATATCTCTTACTATCGGGGGCTTCCATCACCCGCCACTCAAGGCCTCTCCTACCACGGACCTCCAATATCGGGACCAATGCTAATTGTCATGAAAGTGAAGATACTCCAGATGTGGCAATTTTACAATTTTCCGTATGAAAACCACCCCTTGCAATTTTCTCTTCCCTTCTTCATATATCTCCTATCGGTGCACCAGGGCCTCTTACCGCGTATCTCTCAGAGTCCTCACTATGAAAACTGCTCCACTCCCTTTCCTCTCCCTTCAGCCTCCAAACATTATCTGCTGAGGGATACAGAGATATGTTGGGGATCATATGTCAGATATAATCGATCAATTCGAAATCGACAGCATCGATGAGGACGTTAAGAAGCAAGACGTACAAAACGCCAGCTGAGCGGAGGAATGGCATAGAACAGTCCACAATGCAAACGGCACCAAGAAGAACAAGGTCTAGGCGATACACTGTAATGTTGAGGGAGAGAGTGAGTTTTTGAATCCACAGCGCGAGCCCCAGGGAAGAAATACGAAGAACAAGAATATTCTGAACAAGAATTCTTTTACACACTGAATTGGTGTTATGCTTCTTCAATTAACATTTCACCTCATTGCAACACCCTAGTTCGTTCCTGCGTCGGGACCGAGAGGATCTTAAGATCGAATCCGTATGATCGATCAGGTCGATCTCGATGGCGTTTAGTTTATTACGCGACATGACCATCAGGACGCCAGTCTGGCCGAGGCTCTGGTCAACGATCCCAACAGTTTGAAAGGTATACAAAGTTAACTGTGGCTTGCATAAGATTGGGCCCTGTGGTCAATTGAAGCCTTTGAACAGTTAGCCTACACCCTGGTCTTACACCTACACCGTCTTCTGGTCGATCGCCGAGTGGGTCGGAGACGTGTCAAATGCGACATAGGATGAATCCCTCTGCCTGGGTGCTGGCTGCTGCAATAAATAAGCAACAGCCCAGGGCGCCACGGCATGTAGTATTGGCTTGTGCATATACAGACAATACAGTCAACACTGTATAGAATTGCTGTAGGTGCCTCGGGTCCGATGTCCATCCGATCGTACCCTAAGGTTAGTTGGGCGAAGCTCCCGGCCCGCCAAGCCCCCTAATCTTACCGCTTGATTAAGCGCATTCCAGGCGAGTCCAGACATCCGCCTCCCCTGAGCGGTAGGGAAAAAAGGAAAAACTCGGCAATGCAGAACGGGGCCTTTGTCTCGATGGGTCTTCCCTATCAATACAAACAATTTGCCCCCTGTTCGTTCTGATCGGATCCGATCATTGTACTTGAGGTAGAAAGTACTAGGTGGTGCCTGCAGCAGGGTTTGATCGGGAGAGGCCTGGGCACACTAGGTGTCCTAGGTGCAGGTACAGCTAGGGCCGACCGCTAGGCGTTTCACGGAACAGAAGTGGGCAGTAGACAGACCTAGGCAGACTCTGCGGTGGACTGTCACTCCTAGACGTATGAAGTGTTGTGTAGTGCAGTGAGTGTGGGTAACCGCCAAAGTCAAAAGAAGTTTGGTAGCGTCGCCTCCCCCGTGAAGCACCGTATGGTAACTTGTATCTGAGATACCAGCCGTTCCCCCCAATTTCGCCGCCTCCCCAGCCGCTGCCCGGTCTCAAATACACCCCCAATACAGCGTATCCTCCGCTCCAAGGGCCTTCGCTGAACTTCTCCCTCTCTCTTCCTCCATCCCCCCCCTTCCCTGTCCTGCCTTGGAACCCACTGCTCAGTGCGGCTCGTACTCGCAGTCGAGTACCTCGGGTGCTCTCTTCCTTTTCTGCTTCTCAACAGCGTTTTTTTTTTTTTTAGTTCGCCTTCTCCCTGCGGCATTCGGCCCCCGTTCGCAGCTTCGTCTGAAACCCGACCCCCGACTGAGACCAACGTCCTCGCCCAAGTCGCGGCCACCGCCCCCCTTGAAAGCAACAACAGCTCGCCAATTCGTGTATAGCACACTCAATTCCGTCCAAATCGTCGTGTTGACACTGCGTTCCGTTTCGTCAGACCCTCGGCCGTTCTTCTGACTCCTGCGAGTATCGGGTACATCATCGATATCGTGCATCCATTGCCCCTTCGGGATCACTGAGGGTGAATATCAGGTGTTCCTGTGGTGTATGTTACTCCTCCATCCCTTTGGCCTCATTCTCACCCTCTCGTCGGGTGCCCTTCGTCGACTTTCCTACTGACTTCACGTCCGTCTCAGACAGTGTCTTATCACGTGCCCTGCGTCCCTGAGGCCATTGCCCCGTGATCGAAACTTTCTGTTCTTGGCTTCGCACAACGCGTCCCCATGGCATCGTCTTCGTCAAACGTGGTGGGAGTCCACTACCGAGTGGGCAAGAAGATCGGTGAAGGTTCATTCGGTGTGATTTTCGAGGGTACCAACCTTCTGAACAACCAGCAGGTTGCGATCAAATTTGTAAGTCCCCCTTGACCCGTGACCTATAATCCACTGAATACTGACGACCATAGGAACCCCGGAAAAGCGATGCTCCCCAGCTGCGTGATGAATACCGCACATACAAGATTCTGGTCGGATGCCGTGAGTGTTTCCCGAGACTTTTTGGTCTTGATCAACGTACTGACTTTCTGCTTTAGCTGGTATTCCCAATGTCTATTACTTTGGACAAGAGGGTCTGCACAACATTCTGGTGATTGACCTTCTTGGCCCCAGTCTGGAAGACCTCTTCGATCACTGCAACCGCCGGTTCTCCACCAAGACCGTGGTGATGGTCGCCAAGCAGATGGTAAGTTCTGGTGCCTTGAGTGTATGTTATGGAACTGACTCTTTGCTCTTCAGCTTTCGCGCGTCCAAACGATTCACGAGAAAAACCTCATCTACCGCGATATTAAGCCCGACAACTTCCTGATCGGCCGCCCAGGCACGAAAGCCGCCAACGTGATCCACGTTGTTGATTTCGGCATGGCCAAGCAGTATCGCGACCCCAAGACCAAGCAGCACATTCCCTACCGCGAACGCAAATCTTTGTCCGGTACCGCTCGTTACATGAGTATCAACACACATCTGGGTCGTGAGCAATCACGACGGGATGATCTGGAGGCTCTGGGGCACGTCTTCATGTACTTCCTGCGCGGCGGTCTCCCCTGGCAGGGGCTGAAGGCTGCCACCAACAAGCAAAAGTACGAGAAGATTGGAGAGAAGAAGCAGACCACCGCCATCAAGGAACTCTGCGATGGATATCCAGGTACGTCATTACCCTCATTCACGATCGACCACCTTCTAATTGTGGCATAGAATTCAACAAATACCTGAGCTATGTGCGCAACCTTGGTTTCGAGGATACCCCTGACTACGATTACCTCCGCGACCTCTTGACGCAAGCCATCAAGAACGCCGGTGAGGTGGAGGATGGCGAATACGACTGGATGAAGCTGAACAACGGCCGAGGCTGGGACTACAAGTCGCACTCATCACAAGCTCACCTCCACAACTACCACCAGACCTCGTCCGGACGTGATGTGGCCCACGGACAGCAGCTTCGCAACAGTCAGCGGCCCGGTGTGACGGCCGATCGTTTAAACGCCGCGCAGCCCCCGCCCCCATCTCCAGCCAAAGCCGGAGCTGGGAAGACGCGCGAGCGGCCAAGCGCCTCCGCCGGGATGCCACCGAAACGCCAGAGCGGGGGCTTGGAAGCGCACACTCCAGCCGCGTCCACCCAGGCACAATTCCAGAACTCCAATGCTCACCTGCCCAGCCGGATCGGGAGCCCCGGTAACCCCGGCATGGGCAGCCAGCAGCTTGGAGGGACTCAGGGCAATAATGACTCGCAGCCCACTTTCGTTCAGAAAGTGATGAAGGCTCTGTGCTGCGGTAGGTGAAGTAGGGCCATGTGGCCAATTCCAGAACCCGCGGACCAAGCCCGCTCATCCTCGAGATCCAGGTTGAACTCGACTTTTTATATTATGACGCGGCGGCACGTTTCTGGATTGAACATGACCTGATTCCTCCTTTGCTCTGTCTGCCCGCAATGTCTTGAATCACGCCGAAAGTCAAAAAAGTCGGCATGGGATTGCCTCTAGTTTCTTTTTGCGTCTGGGTCTTTCTGAGGGGTGATTGTAAATGATTCTTCATGCGTGTGTGGCCAGTGGCTTCATTTACATCTCCATATCCTCTAACCCTTTTATTTTCTCTTTCACCAACCCCTTTCCCATTCGACACTTCGGCCTACATTCGACTGTGGGTAGAACGGCCTTTCTCTCATTGATGTTACGTCTTCATCACTCTTTCATGGTGCCACGGCTCGGAACGGCGAACTTGAGGATTTTCTGTCTTGTGTTTTCGATTTTGCTTTTGCATCACCATCCTTGGCATGCACTGTCTAATATTTTTTTCAATGGCAAGCGCGAGCAGCAGTGGATTGCGTTCGATGGTCATCTCTGCGCTGCTTTCGAAAGAGTTGATCTCGATCTGAGTAGCCTGATCTGCTACACGATAGATGGATACGCCTCAGGAGCAAAAGTGATGAACCTTTCTGCCGGACAACAGACCTCAATTCTGGAGCATAGTCTGGGATATCTCCCGACCTTGTCGACCTCCACGCTCACGCCTTCGGTGTCTGAACATTCTCTCCTGCACGGCCATCCTCACGACCTCTTCATACGCGTCCTCTTACCATTTTCGCATCCGCCGAATTCCAAAGAGTCCTTATGAAAATCTGCATGGTCATGATTCATTCGCCTTGCTCTCAGAGTCAGAAGGATGCATGCACATATTTTTCTGGTTCTTCGATTCCCCTCCGCCTCTTGTCCGTTTTTATTGTCTGAGTGTTTTCATCCCCCTTTCGAATCTACTGCCCGTGTCCATAATTGTTTTCCGTGTTTGTTCCCTTGCTCCGTTCAGAAGCGAGTCTTGTTTTTCTGGTAGTGTTTGGCATAAGATAGCATTGTTTCTGAGTTTCTCTGCTTTCGTACAGCGTACATACTGTCTTCTCGGTGTAGTTGACGATAATACATTGCGTGTCATCTGGTTCATGTAAGCGTAGCTTGTGTAGAACTATCCATGTGGATGTGGTTGATTGTGTTGCTGCGCCATTTCTCATCACATTCCTATTGTAGTGTCAGATTCAATTCGACGATATCCTCTTGTCATGAGTACGAAGTCCCCGATGCAGAACAACATTCGACATACCGATCATCCCAAGTCCAATGCCATTACTCACAGAACCCAGTACGTCCAACTGAATAGACATCCAAACTATGCCCAAGTATGTCCTCGCAACCCCCGCAACAACGCTAACACCTCATCAACCTGCAACATGACACCCCAACAGGCTACAAATCCATTACATAGGAACTGTCTTTGTGTCCCCACTCTCGAATCACCACTTCTTCAGCAGTGAAACAAATGGCAACACCCCACAATCATAACTGCAGGTACCTACTCCATCAAGCCACCCACGCATGAATACTAGCCAATACGAAAAACACGGCGAGCACATTGACCAATGATCGAGCCTGCCACGCACAAACATCCTGAATCAGATGATACGAGCCGGTATGGACATGACACCTGCTACTGGAGGTATGGTGCTAGCAGCTAGTGAGGACTAGTTTGTGTTGTGACTGCTGAAGCTAGCCTACTGGAGCTACATTAGTAGAGTGCTCAAAGCTGTAGCAAGCTCCTTTAACCACAGGTGCCCCCTCTTTTCCATTTCTAATGTAGGTATGCGGCCAGCAGCGATCGACCGGTTAGCAGCGCCGGATTGTCCTACCTATTTCGAAAACCCCCTCACTTCTTGCTTACGTACAATACTTGCACTACAGCATCTACCTCGGCTCACCCCCGAATTTTCTACTCTTGGTTCAATGGAATGACAGCTAGACATTGGAGGCCTAACGCTAATAGACCTCGAGACTGGCTACCCTTCCGAGAATGCATGATTGAGTTCGAAGGGCGTGTCCTTGTGGAGGTGTAGCTGGCTAACCCCGCTTTTGGGGCGTGCTTGGATGCGGTGCTTGGCGGGATTTTTGTCATTCGTCAGCGTCCACTTTCCTCGTTATTGGATCGATAGAAACTCGGGGTGTAGGCAGAGACGTTTTGGAGGTGGGGTTGTGGCTGGGTTATTTTGGCTTTTAGGCACTGGTGTGGTGTGGCGGGTGTTTTTGATTTACACTTTTGATCTTGTTTTTGGCGTATCGAGACGCTGGGATAATTTAGGTAGATAAGGTGGTCTGACCAGACTATGGATGTGATGTTGGTGCTGTTGTCCGAGGTTTCATGTTTTGTGATTGTTGGTCTTCACGGGATCACATCGGACGCGGGGCCGAGGTGGTGACATACCAGTTACGCCACCCAGTAAGAATCCAAGGAATAGGATGAGCTGATTCGCCTGTACGAAACCATCAAACGAATCGAATCGAATGTCTTCACCGCGAGAGGTTTCTGGTGACATACCAATTATCTGTAGACCATACCACAGCAACCTCCAAGTTCACGCCGATAGCTATATAACCTCCATATCGACAAATGTAAATCTATATACCCATAATCCTTCTCCTCTACATCGTGACTATAACAATGGACCCCCAAAAAATCTACACCGAAGTCCAAACCCGCTACGGACACCTCGCAGACGAAATCTCAGCCACGCGCCAATCCACCAACGAGAAAATCGCCAATGCATTCGGATATAGCGCCTCGGACCTCGAGTCCATCCCGCTCGACGCGAATCTCGGCGTTAGCTGTGGGAATCCTGTTGCCGTTGCGAAATTGCGCGAGGTAGGTGCAGATCGTAGTCCTAAAGATGTCATCCATGAATGCTGGATTAATCCACGATTTCACAGGGAGAGACAGTCGTCGATCTAGGAAGTGGTGGTGGCCTTGACGTTCTACTCGCTGCGCGTAAGGTGGGAGTTAAGGGAAAAGCTATTGGGGTTGATATGACGAGGGTGAGTATTATTCCCAGCGTAGTGTATAGATCCAGAAATCTCTTCTGTATTAATTCTGCTCGTGAATGCAAGAGCATGATCAACCTAGCCCGCAAAAACGCAGCCAAAGCAAACCTCCGAAACACCCACTTCATCGAAAGCCCAATAACGTCCATCCCCCTCCCAGACTCCAGCACCGACTGCATAATCAGCAACTGCGTGATAAACCTTGTCCCATCCGCCGAGAAACATCTCGTTTTCGCGGAGATGTTTCGCATCCTAAAGCCCGGTGGTCGCGTCGCTGTTAGTGATATCCTAGCTCGAAGAGAGCTACCATGGGATTTGGTTGAGAATATGGCGCTTTATATGGGCTGTATTGCCGGTGCGAGACGGGTTTGTGAATACGAGGAGTTTTTAAAGGGGGTTGGGTTTCAGGGTAAGTATTTATCACTTTACACACGGCGTGGTGTATTAGTTGAAATGATTTGAGTGGTGTGGTCGGGATATGCTAATCGAATTAAATGTGATAGATATCCTCATCGTTGACACCGAGAAAGATCTAAATGCCTATAAAGACCTGGTGCAGAGCCAAGCCCAAACGGGCTGCTGTTCCCAATCGAACAGCAAAAGCAACGAGAACGAGAACGAGCAGAAAAGCGAAACCCGCCCTGCAGAAATCAACTTCAACGACTGGGCCGGTAAGTTCGATACCTAACCATTGTAAACAAATCCATCCCCGCTGACGCTTGGCGACGCAGGCTCGTTCCAAATCTACGCGATTAAGCCTTAGCTTTGCATAGACTGCGCATGCAGAAACCATACGTCATAACCACTCTCATTCCGGAATGCAAATGAAAATGATATTGCCCGTAGATTAGGTGTGGAAAGCTCTTTCAAATTCCATAGATAGGATATGTGAATCAGTAACCCCCTGGCCAAAACACTCAAAAGCACACCATTCTTAACTCGACATCCCTTACTCCCCTCTTTTCCTAGCTTTGAACCTACGTCGTATCTACATGGATATGGCGTGTAGATCGGTGCCGCGCGCGTTGCACCGGATTACCAACTGGTATGCGAGTAAGTAGGGAGTTGTGCCCGGCTCTGAAGTGGAGCTTGCAGCGCCGCTGGTCGGATTGGATATCGGATGATTCTGGAAGGAGGCACGGGCATCTGGGACTGGATTTGGGCTCGGGCTTGTGGTTGACTGGGTTGTGGGATGGGTGGGTGCAGTAGTGTCGATCTGGGGTGGTAGTGCGGAGGAAAATGGTCCGGGATGGTGCTGGGACTTTCCAGTACACTTGTTTTCAGTATACTGGTTTGTAGGATTGGGCCTGGATGCGTGGCTGGGGTGCTCGTGGGGATTGTGGAACTGTTCAGTGCTAGCTGGAATGGTGACATCGTCTGCGTTGGTGTGTGACTTGTAGGTGGAATTTGGGAGGGAAGGTTTGCCTTCCACGTCGATTATTTCATCATTTCTAGAATGCAGAAATTTTTGGAGGGTTTGTGGTGAATTCCAAACGTATTAATGGCCAGGTACTTTCTGCAAAGTAGGAAGTAAAGCCATCGTAGATGTTTTGGGAGGCGAGTCTGCGCTTCATGTCGTCAATTTCATATTGTAGACGCTGCGGGGTATTGTGGCAGTGGGAGATGCGGGCTTGTAGGGTTGTCTCGATTTTTTGGAGATGGGTTTCGAGATTGTGGATGTACTCTTGACGGCGGGTTCGGGATCATTGTTGATTTTATACGGATGCGCGCGAGATCTTCGCTCCGGTGCTGTCAATATCGAGCAGCACTGTTTCCTTCAGAGTAGAATTCTCACCTCTGTCTTTGTCTTTGGTCGTGGCATTTTCTCTTCAAGTTCTTACTAGTAGTAAGCAGTAGTAGCAGCTATGGTAGGTAACTGGTATCTGACCCGACTCGATGAAGGAGTACAACACTTCCAGCTTCCACCCCACAAACTTGAACCTTACAGCTCGAAACTCGTCACGCAGTCACCGATCACACCAATCAGCTCAACGTGGCTTGTCACACTTGCAGCCTCGCCAAAAGGGGAAAATGTGGTCTTGCCAAGTAAGCCAATCACACCGCCTGAGTGACATGCCGCCAAATGCACTAGCAACTTCAACTTGGAAGGACATACCTGCTACTCCTCCCCGACTGCACCGACAGCCGAATATACCACCCTCCTTCATACGCCTTACGCGCAGTACCTACCCTGAAAATGTCCCAGGATCCATCCCAGCCCTGGCACACAGCCTACCCCACCCCCAAGTCCCAGGCAGCTACTTTACCCCGCCAAGAAGTGCTAGGATGGCTTCGCGGGGAAAAGGTGGTTGGGCGGGACTTTTTGTTGATTGATGTGCGTCGTGATGATTTTGAGGTTGGTATTGACTCGTCATAACAGGATGTTATGCTGCTTTACTTTACTTTGCTTTGTTTTACTAAGTGTAGTAGGGTGGTACCATCCACGGCTCATTGAATTTGCCCGCGCAGAGTTTCTATACGACCATGTCGACACTATATGCATTGGTGAAGAGTAGTGGGGTGAAGACTGTTGTTTTTTATTGTGGTGAGTTTTAACTGCTCATGCCTCTCCAGTTGGGTCAGGTCAGGTCTAATTCTCATAGGCTCTTGCTGCGGCCGAGGACCCCGGGCTGCCGGGTGGTTTGCCGATTACCTCAACGATAAAGAAGATTTTTCGCTGCAGAGCGTGATCCTCGAAGGCGGGATTAAGGGGTGGGTTAAGGCGGGTTCTGAGTATACCGCGTTGATTGATGGGTTTGATGCAAGTGTATGGAAGCAGTGATGGTAGCTGTAGAAGCTAGCACAGCACTACCCTGTACATACACTTTTAGTGGTAAACCTGAGGGATTGAATCGGGTCAAGCCGCACTAGCTCATACTATGGATTTGACGATAACGTCTACAGGGGAAGTATGCGCCGTATGACAACATCACTCCACCAACATCCTGAAACAAGATATAGCATAACAAGGTACTCAACCCGCTCATTCACCCCATTCTGGCCGCCCTCATACGACAGCCGATCAAAAATACTACTGTACAGGAAGCACCTGTCTCATGGTGAAACAAGCCAGAGCGCTTAGGATGGCCAAGAAATGCACATCATAAGGCTGGAGCAAGATCTCGGCGCTTCAACATACACCAGAAAAACAAAGCGCAGAAAAGATATCATGAAGGCAACCCTTACCTGCTCGGAGTGTTGCAAGCCCTGAACAATTCTTATCCGCCCACGCCCTGGTCTCTTGACGGTTGCGACATAATTACGGGTGTATAAACGACGCCGACTAGCGCGCAGATCCTCCGACATATCCATGGAATATAGGAGTCTAGCGTGCTCTCTCCCGTCTGTATTACGCCCTACACCTACTGTGTACTTTACTTGGGTAGTGACAATAGGAGTGTCGGCCAGCGCCTGCATACTTTGGACGTGGCAGGGATTATCTCTGCAGAGTGATGATACCACACTACCAGTAATCGTAAGGCGTGGTGGTGTAGGGCGTGTATATTCATAAGGTTTGGGCAAGCAGGGGACCCCCGTGCACATCGAGTCTAGTCTGTAGTTAGGCGATACAGTCGTTACGACAGAGGTGCCTGGTGTATTGCGGGATGGTGCGATATGTGATGCAATCCCACAAAATAATGGAAATAGTTTGGAATACTCAAATCCTGAGGAGCGATCGCGCGATCTAGACCATTGTTGGGTGTCTGCCATGTTTCATGTAGCCGCCCTGCCCACTTCGGCTTGGACATTTCCCGTGCTCCACTGTCTGTAACTGCATCGTGTAAGTGAGCGCTACTGCGCTTACACAGTAGGAGTTTCGTGAGTTAGCGTTTGCAGTATTACCTTAAGTATCGTAGGCAGTAGGCAGTAGGCAGTACCGGGTGGTAAAGTAGGCCATCGGCTGGAATCTCCAGACTGCCTGGGAATTATCCCGTGTCTTGCAGTAACCACTACTCAAAAAACTCAATCTTTGTATTTGTACCACACAGCCTACTGTAAAATACAACATCAGTATTGCTGTGTGGAGGATGGAAAATTTCTCGATCCATCCAAAATCTTGATTTCGCGCGGAATAGTGGGGCCATGACCTCATGTGCGGCTTCTGCCGTCCTTCTCCGTTTGATCGACCGGCGGAGATTGACTGGTGGATGTTTGAATGGGAGACCATTTCTACAATCGAAGAGAGGGAGAGGGAGGGTCTGTGAAGTGGTGAAATGAATCTGGCGATCTCAGACAAGCCTGTTTTAGCCGGCGGTGGGGTGATCCTGATCCCACGGGTGTATGGCGATGTATGGAAGAAACGGAGAGCATTTGATGACCTTGTAAATATCTCTGTATCGGAGTGGAGAGAGTCGAGAATCAGGGTTAATCAATCGGGAATGTATCTCAGCGTATTCCCGCTGCATGTCATGTCCAGCTTGAGAATTCAGGGGGTGAAGCTCCTGTCTCCCACAGTACTGTACATATGTATATCGGACGACCAGAGTAGTGTGCGGGCACACGACTCACTCGACACCAAGAGGACTGTAGGACAGCTGCACGGGAATCCCCCACGGAAAACAAGAAAATCAGAGCTTGTCCAAACTCAACCAGTTGGGATGTCTAGAAGGCCTTGGCGCTTGCAATCCTTCTGATTCGAATTTCAGTGTAACGTGATCATCAATAATTTTCTGCACTAGCACACCCCACTTATCTTTCCCAGGGAGTCCCTACTGCAGTCGACAGGGACATCCCCCACGCACTGCAGCACCGCATGGAATAGTCGTCTGGAGTGCAGCTGCAGCAAGCCACCCGGCCCCAAACACGAGACACGAGCTCAAACTTAGCCAGCTTCTCCCTCCACTGGTAGACCAGTGGGTGAGAGCTGGCGCACTCGCCCACCACGCTAGTGTAGCACTGTACCCCAGGGGAAAGAGGGGCTTCCATCCAGGAGTGCCGTGACCCTTTCTCCCCTAGGATAGGGTAGGGGTGATTAGACTAGCCGAGACGACGCCGTTCTAGATGCAAAGGACAGTGCGTGGTGTGGGGAACCCTTGCGGCCTGTGGTGTCGTGTCGGGGGAATTGTGGAAGGCCCTGACTTGCTAGAGGATTCTGCTCGGTGTGGTGGTGGGTGATTTGCGGAGGAGAAGGTGGGGTGAGCTCGAGCTTGACGCTAGCGTAGACGAATTGGGGGTGGTGCAGCCAGGGTAGCCCTTTGGGTTAGGCGAGGCTCGGCGTGCACGTACTACTACAGTAAGTACGTGCTGGAGTAAGGAGGCCGTTGGGACTCACCTAGGGTATGTATGTACGCTGTCAAGTATGTAAGCGAATGGTGACCGGCAGTTGATGTCTTGTTTACTGTGTTGGCATGTGGGCAGATATAGAGACCAATTGTTACTTATCTACACTTTCTATGTAGGGTACCCCTACATAGAAAGTGTAGGAAGTACCCGGGGATAAGACATGCCTGCATCTATCGATCGACTTCCGCACCGGTTCATGCTATCGCTAAAGCTTATTCGCAGATCCTGACTCTCACATGTATATTCATACTTTACAGTCTGGCAGTATATCTCAATATTGGGCTCCTATATGATATCTGTGCTGGTAAGATAGCGTACGCTTATCTCGGGTTCTCCGCTTTCGGCGACACTTATCGCAGTGGAGCTTCGCAAGATCCCCCAAAGCCGACTTGGCTCGGCTTCATTCGGCATGTTCACCGATACTCAGTGGGGGCATTGCTCATGAGCAAAGGGAGGAATGGGTGTGTTCGGTGAGGCAACACAAGCCTCGGGATGTTTAGGAGTTGTCTGCACCACGTACAGACTGCCATGTCGACGCAGGTGTACCGTCGAAGGTCTGTTCGCAGTGGCGACGCGGACCTTACCGAAAACTCTGACGTGTGTTCAGGCACGAACCCATACAAGCGCCAGGGGGATCTGTCAGGAAAATTTTTTTCTGGGGCGGGTGTGGCGATCTTTGGCGATCGGTGGAACGCGGATATCTTCGGCCGTAACAGTGAGTCTGCTACAACACTGATATTTACAGTATATACAGAGTTTATTGTAAAAGTTCTGACAGAATGATTGAGTTGGTATGGTGAACAGACCATACCCCTGGCTAGCAGGTAGTATCGTCTAGTGGCATGCAGGATGGGCCGAGCGACAAGGGCGCATTCTTCGCATCTACACACACAACACCACACACACTCACTCACTCACTCATCCCATTCATCTTAATCTTTGGGAAGGAAGGTTGTTGGGGGGATGGGTGGGTGTTGGGTTGTGGGTGACAATGAATGGATGATTTGAAAAATTTCATCGAGATGAATGAATGAATCATGACACTTGTCTCCGGAGGGATCCCTATGGCAGGCCAGAACAGTGAGATTCGGATAAGGCGAGCAGACCCGTGGTCCATGTCTGTTCCATTTTCCTTTTTCGAGATTTTTTATGGAGCCAGGGTTCTAGTGCCATTCTAGAACTCTAGAAGGCGCCGTGTCAGCCGCACAATCCGTCCCTAAGGCATTGTGGTGGCTGATACTAGTGACAATGAAAGCAATCGGTCGCTAAGACCAGGCCTGTACTAATAATATTGTTAACGGGGTTTTGTGGTGGCCAACCAGACAGCCATTGCTGGGATACGGATGGCTCGGACGCCCTGTACTTGCTTACAGGAGTAGTGTTTACTCCCTGTTCTAGAATAGACAGAACATCCCTGGATTGTGTGTTCATGCCAGAGTCTATAGGGTTACACAAGAGAACATTCTCTCTTGCAGTAAAGAGGGTAGGCTAGGCTGCCCGGGGTGTCATCTGCAAATGATCGACTATGACGCGAGCGCTGCGCAAGGAGGAGTGGGGCGCCGAACCGTGGGTCGGGCATCCGAGACCGGCAGCGTGGGCGCATCGCCGTAGGAGATTGGCAGACTCAGGCAGCGTTAGGGGGGAGGGTCTTCGAGAAGATTCGTTCTAGGAGGGATCTTGTCAGGCACTTGCTATCATAAAAGACTGAGTTAGCCTAGACACCCTAGAATAGGTGACTCTGGACTAGGATTAGGAGTATTCTCACATTGTGTAGGCATCCCTGGATTCACTGGTACTGTACGTTCTGGAAGCCGACAGGATAAATTACCGTATCGTGTACCGTCCCACCGTCGCCACTCGATCACCCCATCGCTCCACTTGGGCGCAGATTCATTACACGAATGACACCACATATCGTTACGTGTATCGTCACGATCGACGAATGATTCTGGAACTTCTGGTCGTGGTGGAGTCGCCCTTTCCTTCCTTTATTTCACTATCCTTCGCCCTCGAGGCACTGCCTATTCCGTTCTCTCCAATCTCTCTGCCTCCCACAGCACACACTCTCCCTCCCTCTCTCCTCTCTATACATGTTGTGTCTCTTCTCCCAATAACACACCCCCTCCCGCTCCAAACTGGAGCCGCGTCTATCTTCCAGGGGAGGGCCGGTGAGAAAACGCCGCCGACGGTTCCAGGCACCCCGCCGCTCCCTCAGCGCCATGCTCAAGAAGAAGTCCCTGGCACCCGCTTTCTTCTGGAACACCACCCCCTCTAGCACCCCCGAACTGTCGCCCACTTCGTCTGACAGCGACTCTGACGAGGATATGGAACCTGCTGGCTCCCGACCGGTCAGCCTGGCCGTCTCGGCGGGAGCCTTCTGCCCCATGCGCCCGACGCTCGACGATGTTTTGGCCAACGCCGCCCCGCCCCCATACACCCTCAGCGCCTTCATGGCTTACCTCTCCCAAAACCACTGTCTCGAGACCCTCGAATTCACTCTCGAAGCCAAACGCTACCGCGATACGTTTTACTCGCTGGTCGACCGCCTCGGCGAGGACGCTGTTACCTCGGATGGCCCGGAAAGTGCGCACCTGCGCATGCTCTGGCAACGGCTGCTCGTGGCGTATATCCTGCCCGGTGCCCCGAGGGAAATCAACCTCTCCAGCGAGGTGAGGGATGGTCTTCTGCGTTACCGGGAGGTGTTGTTGCCGCCGGTTCCTGAAACGCTCGATTCGGCTGTTAAGCGGATACACGAGTTGATGGAAGAGTCGATTTTCCTGCCTTTTCTCAACGCACACACCATTTCGCCCTCCATGCCGCCGCAATCCGAACCCCCCCCTTAAGTCCCGAGGATACCATCAACCTCTCCAGCACGAGTCTGGACGAGAATCCCATGAAACGCGCCCGGTCCCGCGCAAAGCGCACCTCCCCTCAATCCTCAACAAAGGATCTACCGGGTACAGGACCAAGCGGCCGCTCAGCCCTTTCTCTCGGTGCGGTACACGCCCTCGGCAAGCGTGCGTCCGGTGCTCTACTCACCACCTCCGGCGAGTCCGTCTCCGTCGCTTTGACAGACGACTCCAGCCCGCAATCCAGCCCCACCGTCGAAGAGCCCATGACGCCGCCAACCACGCCGCCCGCCTCGGAACCTCATCTCCCGATGCACAGCCCCAAACTGCGCACCGAAAACCCATGGAAGAAAATGGGCATGAAGCTGGGCTTTAAGAAGCGCTCCGGTGGCGCCAGCGGCTCCCGCGCAGACCCCAAAATTCTCGGTCTTGAAGATTGATTCCTTGCATCTGCATTTACGACTCCTCACCTCATCTCCTATACCATGAACATCACGACTTCCCCCTCCTAAGGGTCTTCTCAATGACCTCATCGACTCTCAATCTCGCATGAATCCAAACACGCATCCATGAAATTTTAGCGTTATTGGCGGTGTATGAGACGATGCATCAGCATACGAAATACGGCGTTTTTGTCAAACTTGGAACTCAAGCGAGTTTTCTTTCTCATTTGTTATTTTATGTCAATTTGACCTGCAGAAGGTCATGTCATACCATCATTTATAGACGGCGGAAAGAACCTGTCCGTTGGGAGAGGTTCGGCGTTTTTGTGGTGAATCGGTGATTGTGTTGATAGTGATCAATAGACTTGATACCCCTCTCATCTTTCTACCTTACAAAGTAGAATTGCAAATGCTACGAGTAATATGTAGTGGATCTAGGTGGATTTACTTGGCTATGCCAGTAGAGAAGCAATTCGCTATGTGATATTTCAATCGTTGAAGTTTACGTCGGTTCATATCCTCATCCTAGGTTAATAGATACATCACTCAATAGGAAACTTACCAGGTTCAAACACCATTTAAATTATCACCTGTTTCACCGGTGCTAAACTCATACATAAGACCTGATGAGATAATCAACTCCTTCACATTACAGCATCCTTAAGCTCTTAGACTTACCTCCTCTCACCCAATTTCCTCGCTTCTCATCTACGCCTCATCAACCTTAAAAACAACCCTCTTCCCACCCTTCACCTCCAACCCCGATGCATCAACATCCCAACCAACACCCTCGAGTCCAGCAAGGTACCCCTTGAACCGATTCTTGTCGTTGAGTCTTTCCAGCGCGGCAGAAATGAAGTTCAGGACGACAGTCTGATCACGAAGATTACCGGGAGAATATTCTGCCTCCTTCACATCGAGTAAGTCCTTGCTCTTGGTTTTGTTCTTGCTGGATTGGTAGATTGCATGTGCGACGAGTAAAGCATGACACCACGCCTTCAGTTGATCCCGAGGCTTCGCGTTTTGCTTAAGTAGTATTGACGCGTGGGCCTGGCTCGTGTTTTGGTCTGAGTCTGAGAAGAGGTAGAGGAGGTAATGTTCGTTTTTGAACATTGCTTCGAGACGGTTCAGTGGGAAGTTCGTTTCGAATGAGCCCGATACTTTTCTCATCGAGGCGTGGGAGAAGAACGTTGAAAGTGAGACACCAATTTCGGCCGAGCCGAGGTCTTCGCGCGTCGTCAAAGTGGAGGAGGTGTATGTGGCAGGTGCGTTCCAGAAGAAGGGAGTTCCCTTGAACAAGATTCGTTCTTTGTGGGCTGTTTCGGCCGGAGTGGGGAAGTGCAGGTGCTTGCTGTGGTTGATCTTCTTGGGAACTGTCTCGGTCTCTGCGGATGGTTCGATATCGTTTTCCAGGAGTGAAGAGAAGACTATGCTTGCTCGCTGTCGGTTTAGGGATGTCATGTGCACGGAGCGGACGGCGAGGTAGTTGAGGGTTAAGTGGCTGAATAGAAGCATAATGAGGGCGCCCCAGGTTGCTTTGAAGCCGGTGATGCGGGGGACGATGAGGGAGCCGGCCTAGGACCTTGTTAGATTGAATTGATTATTTGCAGGTGGTTAGTATTAGATACGTACCAGCATACCCAGCAGCGAAATGACCGTTTCCTGAGACGAGTCTTTCTGCAAAGAGACGAGACATTAGCACCGCAACCCAAAAACATGGGCTGAAAGGAGTAAAAGGGGAGATGAGATGTCTTACAGCGTTCAATTCAGCCAAACTTCCCCACTTTGCAAAGTGCGCGCTGAGACTTGCTTTCGAGCTGCCGCCTGCAACGCCGCAGAGCGCCTTTAGGATACCTGCTGTGCTGAGCACGCTGACGCGGATCGACCCTGCGGGGACCATGGGTGAGAGACATTCTAGGAACATGCCAAGATCGTTGAAGATGTCCGCAGCGAATCGGTAGGTCTTGCATTCTGGCTCGATAATTGTGCCTACCCGGTGCGCGAAGAGGATGGTTGCAATCCGTCCGGAGGTCTCTTGGAGGATGTGCAGGAGGAGGGCGCTGGTGGGTGATGCTTCTGCGTTACCAACGCCGACGCCTATCATATCAATGTCAGTAGTGGGTGTATATTTGGTGATTAAGGTTTATATACCTTGAAGAACTGCTCGGGATGCGAGCAGGCCGGCGATGGAACTGCAGAAGGCTTGAAGGGAGTCCTGTGTATTTGTTAGGCTTGATCAAGCTGGATGCAGTTGTTCTCTTTGGTGGAGCTGGTCGTGTTGATATTGACAAGAAACTCACATAGATTTGGTATCTGGGGATAGAATTAGTAGGTACGAATTCAAATCAGATTCAGGACACTCACGGTAGATAGTCGTCTGTCACACTGTTCGGGTACCCGGCAGGTAGAAAGACCTCACCGAGCGTAGCGATCAGACTGTTCGTCGTCCACGAAGGTGGGTGCTTTGAATCAGGCTAATTGCAGAGTCAGCCCAGCTCAAATCCAGTTCAAATCCTTTTCATCTTCCACATAGAAATAACGATGTGGTGATGGTAATTCGATGCATCATATCCATCACGCTGAGTCCACATAGTGCTGGCTGAGAGATGGAACACTGAATCCAAGATGTCATTGATGATCATCAGATTCGCATGGCCAAAATCCAGCTGAGTATCGGATGCCATCCGTGACCGTCCACGGAGTAGAAGTCACCGATATCCCGCGGAATAACCATGCAGGAGTATGCAACACCTGGCAGTCTCCACCTCGGCTTCGCATCCCGTGGATCTCAACTGACGTCCCAGACACGTCTCGGAAAAGGAAGCCGATCAGCAGCGGCAGGAATGGGGGATGCTTACCGAAATGTCGACTCTCGACGCGCCATTTTTGGTCGCATTCTCAGTGTACACGAAGACGGCGGTCTGGGTTTCGGCTTCGTCCGTTTCGTGCAAGATCAGTCGAGACCTGGGGGGTGCCATCTTGAGTGGTGCGGAGAGGACAAAGTTGGGAATGCGGGCCTTACAATGTTAATGTTGTGTCTACCCCAAGCTTGCCGCAGGCACTTCCCCAGGGAGGCACGTGCGACGCGTCAACACCATAGTTACTAGGTAGCAGCAATGAGGTAAGCTACTACATTAGGGTACTATTGCTGTTGTCTACGTGATATGAAAGCAGCACTCTTGAATGGTTTCTTCATTCCGGTGCTCCCAGAGCCGAATATGTCACAGGGAAACGCGATCTCCAATCCTACCGAGTCAAAAACCCAGAATGTGGTATCTAACAGAACCCGCATATCGCTTTTGACGAGCAACTGTATGCGCTTGAAAATGTAACAGTAAAATAAAACACCCAAAACCACCAGCGCCTGGTTCGAAAAATAAGAAGAAAGAGAGCAGTGAGAACAGTCCCGTACCATCTAAGGGTATCGGAGAGATCCGTGCAGACGGCGGACCATAGACAGGGTATAGATGTTGGGTCATCGCATTCCAATTGCGATGCACCCGAGGTAACTGCCACAGTCGCCGTTGTCGACATGTAAAAAAGAGACTGGCACCAGCAGCGTATCGTTGATATTGATCCGTCCACCACGCAACTTCCATGAGAAATGTCGTACTCCGTCGCTCATGAATATGATATTATCTGTGCCGGCAGATTGAAAGAAGACCCAAGCTCGGGTCAGCTCGTGTACCGGTTCTCTTTTTTACGCGTACATACTAGCACCGCCAGTTTCGATCGCCTCCATCTCGGCCTCGGTGAAGGAGAGACGGCCGAAACGGGCAGGCAGCTCTGTGCGGTCGAAGAATTCGCCCGCCTGGGGACGAACGGGGCCGAGCGAGTGGCCGGACTGACCACCAATGCCGCTATTGAACGAGGCGCGACCGAGAGGGCCGTGCTGCTGGGCCTTGGCGCGGTAGGCGGCGAAGGAATCGGGGAGAGCACCGACAGGAGAGGCGGGGTGAACGCGAGGAGTGTGGTCGACGGACTCTTGAAGTGAATTGTTAGCTTCCTCCCAAAGGTTTTCACGGAAGACGGGTGGGTGGTTGGGCTGGAAACGTACTAGGGGCCGATCGCTTGCCAACGAAGCGGATCAGAGGGGTGCGAGCAGTGTTGCAGAGAGCGAAGGTGGCACGCATTGTGATAGTTGTGGGTGTGGTGTGTGGTGTGTAGGAGGAAGAGGTCAATTTCACGGGGGTTGTGTGGAAATCCAACGGGCCCGGTTGTATCCGAACCGACCCAGACGCGACAGCGGTGCGAATTGGAGGCGAAAAGTGGTGGAATTGGTGTAGAAAGGAGGCAAGTAGCTGATGGACGTGTGGAAGGAGGTTGACAAGCAGTGACAGGGTTTGAAGAGAAGGAGGGGGAGAGTGGAAGACGAGGAGGAGGTGGGAGAAGCCCGAGATAAGAATTCTGGCGCTGGGCCGTTACCGTTTTGGGACAACCGACACGGGGCCGAGCAGTTCGCCGTACTGTCTGTTCCTACCACTAACTGCAGCGGACTCTAATTCTCTGACGAGAGTCACGTAATCGGCTCGGACTACGCTTTGGGGTGATCCGCTTCATGATCCGCCAGCCGCCCACGGGCTTTCGCATTGGTAGGCGGCGCCGCGGCGAACCCCCAGTTCCCCCGCGTCGTGAAGCGTTTCCGATGCATCTTGCATCTGACTCCGACCTCTCCGCCCTCCCGTCATCTCCGATCGTTACCCATCTGGCCCTCCGGTGAAGCTTCCCCCATTTTCTACTCGAGGGGGATCGTCCTTCCTTCACGGGCTTAGCCATGAACCAATAATTGGTTCATTACTTATTTTTCAGTTATCCCTGATCCCCCGCAGAACTCTGTCAGAGCGATCCGGGGTACATCGGTCCAAAGTGATCAGAGTATCGCTGAGGGTGACTGGAGAATAACCAGAGGGATCTCGTCCAGAACCTCAGGCGAAGATTCGCCCAGTCTGGCGCCTACTTTGTACCTGCGTACTTCGCAGTTTGCAAGGGTGTCTCGAGTGGCGAATGACTAATGCTGTTAGCAATCAGGCTTGCACATAATTTGCGATAAGCAAAGCTTGGACCCTGACTAACCAACCCGGTTCCTCCCGCCTTCTGTCAACCCACCTTGTTGTGCCTGCGCGATGCATGAGCTGCTCCTGTTCGCCTCGGTTCCGGTCCACCAGCATGCTGAGCTCCTCCAGCAGCTGGCCGGCCTCACGGGCATGCAGCCACGCCACTGCTTCGAGCGTCGTCTGATCTTCAAGGCCTACCGCAAGCCCGGCCAACCCAATGCCCGCGTCGGCGCCAGTCAAGATCTGCAAAAGGGCGACCTGCAGCGTGTGAACAAGATGCTGAATGGTGGCATGTTCTACACGCAGCTGGTCGGGTCTGTCCAATCGGCGCATTTTGGCGCAGCAGCAGCAGATGCTGTAGCCGGAGGAGCTCCTGCAGCTCCTCCGGCGGACCCCGATACCAACATGGATGGCATGGACGAGGCCAACCCGCCCCTCCCGCGAAAGTCATACGACTTTGACCAGCAGCGCTGGAGCCTCGAGTTCAGAGATATCCCTGAAGCAGGCACGCGGTCCGGGGTCACGGCCCGGGTGATGGCGACCGCCGCCCTTCCGGCTGTCGACGTCGTTCAACTGATGAATGCGTGGGGCTATAGGTATGTGGCGTGGTCAATCCCAGATCTGATACACTGAAATGGCATATGCCTATCGGAAACTAACTCCCGGGACATAGTTTTGTGACCGAGTATATCGTCGAGGGCGACATGTTCGTCCAGAATGACACGGCCATCTACCTCCATCGCGTGCTACACTACCCGACAACGGGTGACCAGGAAATCCGAAGTCCCCGTCGTCAGCTTCCGAATCTTGATCAGATGGCTCCGCTTGAGAAGACCGGGAGCTATGTTCTGCAGGCTTCGATCACCGTCCAGGATAGTACTAATCAGGACGCGATGAAGACTGCGTCGCAGCACCTATTTGCGCTGCGGGAACAGCTTCGGTCAGCCGTGAAGCTGGAACCGGCTGATCGTCTGGCTTTGGATACGAGGGTGAAATGAGGCCAAGGGATGCTGGCTGGCCTGGCTTTACCTTGTGCCGGCTGTCATGGTGATACCCGGAGAGGCAGCCTCCGACTACGTTAAAAAAAATGAACATGATTTCAAAACTACTTTGTGGTAGACTAAAACTACTTCCATTCGTAGCTTCATATCTTCTGTAGCTCTAAATCCTTACAGTAGTGAAGTAATCATATCCCTCTCAATACTAGCTGAGGGTATAATATCAATACTGCCACATCGAGCGGTCGACCATGTGACTTCGTGATCGAAACGCGTCGCATCAGCTCCGAATCCATTCACCACCACCACAACAGCCCTCACCTCCACAATCCGACCCGGGCCTACCTCAGGGTACCAAACCACCACCACGTCTTCCCTCACCCGCTGCCTCGTCAAAATGACCCAGGGGGGCGCCAAAAGAACCGCCTCCCCCACTCGGCCCATCTCCCCGCCTCCGCTCCGGCGGAAACTCGAGTCAACCGTGAACAGTAAGAGACAGCAATGCGCGAGAGGAGACCTGAGCTGAGTGTGGTACTAGGGAATTTCTTCACCCCCGCTTCGCAGAAGAAGTCGGCCCCGGCTCCGGTCACCTGGCGCGTTCTCGGCGCCGGTGTCATTATCGGGAAACATGCACCCGAGAATTATGAAGGGGTGGCTTTGCCGGAGAAGAATCGGAGGGTAGCTGCTTTTGATCTGGTGCGTACACTATTGTGATGCTGTATAGAGTAGATTCTGGTTGGGTTGGGGTATGCTAATATCTGTGGTGTCTAGGATTCAACGTTGATCAAGACTGCGTCTGGAAATGTCTTTCCCAAAAACGCAGACGATTGGAAATGGTTCGATGCGTGTGTTCCAAATGAAATCGGGAGACTGAGCAAAGAAGGGTGAGTCTCCTCTTACATTACCCCATACACTAAGTACAAGACTAACCTCAACCATTGAAATAGCTACCAAATCGTCATCTTCTCCAACCAAAAGAAAATCAGCCTGAAAAAAGACATCAAAGGCGCAAATGGTGACTCAAAGAGTCTATCAACCTTCAAAGAAAAGCTATCACGCATCATGAAACAATTGGAGGTTCCGATGAGCGTCTACGCGGCGACTGGTGATGCAGAGCATCGTAAGCCTCGTCCGGGGATGTGGAAGGAATTTCTCGAGGACTATGACCTTGATGTTAAAGGGGTTGATTTGGTGAATTCGTTTTACATTGGGGATGCGGCTGGGAGACCTGGGGATTTCTCTGCGACAGATCGGTGAGTTATCAGGACAGGTATCATACTTGTTGGGATTTCTTGCTAATGGAGACATAGGGGGTTTGCGACTAATATCGGTATCCCATTCAAGACCCCGGAGGAGTTCTTCTTACATATGAAGCCGGTTGAGCCGAAGGAACTCTTTGAGCCGACCGCGTTTTTCAAGGAGGGTAATGTGCCTGAGCCTGGTATGTTCATTGTCTTTCCTGTCGACCGCCTACTTGCGGAGGGATGCAATTGCTGGCTCTCTGACAGAATCTTAACTAACAAGCCTGATAGCATTCACCCGCAAATACCCTCTCGAACTAGTCATCTTCTGCGGAAGCCCTGGATCCGGAAAATCAACCTATTTCTGGAACCACCTCGAACCACTCGGCTACGAACGTGTCAATCAGGACTTGCTGAAGACGGTGAGTACCCCTCCTGATCTGAGCTGTCAAATATCTCCATTAATAATTTTCTATACTAATGCTTAATTAGCGCCCAAAATGCCTAAAAGTCGCCCGTGAACTCCTCGAGGCCAAGAAATCCGTGGTTGTCGGTGAGTCATCTATCCCGTTCTGCACCCTACCTCCAGCGGCGATGCGGTGAGGTGGTCGCAACTACCGGCATCTAGATACCCATTTGGGTAGCACTGATGCACATGGTGCGGCAGGGGTCGGGCACCAACTTTCACCCCACAACCCAACCACAGCCCTTCATACCTACACAAACAAAGCCAAGTCATACTAACCATGCAATCTTAAAAAGACAACACAAACGCAAACACCGAAACAAGAGCCTACTGGATAACCCTCGCAAAAGACCTAAACGTTCCAATCAGATGCATCCACTTCCTCTCCCCGCTGGAAATATGCAAACATAACGCCGCAGTTCGGGCGGCTACTAAAGAACTTGTTTGTTTCCCCTCCACAGAGAAACTCCACAGGATATTACTAACACTGGTGTGATAGAACCCCGAATCAAGAGAACCACTCCCCGGCATTGCATTCGGCGATTTCAAGCGCAGATATAACCCGCCTGAAATGAAGGAGGGTTTTGAGGATATTTTGGAGGTGGAGTTTCGGTTTGAGGGCGACGAGGAGGCGAGGAGGGTTTGGGGGCAGTACTGGATTTAGATATTCAATCCGAGAATCGAAGTTGCATTTTGTTGGCCTGTTGGTTGATGGTGGTAGTTCGTGGTCGTTACCTTGGCTGGCTCAGTCAACGTGTGCAGGGATGGATTGGTACCAACACTCCCACTCTTCCATTAATTGTCAATCCATATCTCTTACGCTAGTGTAGGGCAGTGATTAACGTTGACTTGGTACCTATCACAAGTGCAACCACTGTCGTCACGACTTAGGTACCTTAGGTAGGAACCATGGCCTGTCCTGTTCAGATCCGATTCGTCCACGTGGTATGCAGGAATTCGGTTCGGGAGGCCTGAGATGGTTCCTCGGCCAAACTTATTTCGTGCTGTACCTCGACATTAGTACCTGACGTAGGGGTGATAGTTCGTAGCTTGGTGAGCTGTGATTGCGAATACGGCTGGAATTGGCATTAGCATGTTGCGAAGCTGAGCTCGAGTCTAGGCATCACATCTACCCCGCCTTTTAACATCCCCATCTCTAGTACTCTAGTAAGGTGGAGTGCGTATATATGAAGTAGTATATTTGTGTACTGATACAGCTCTATCAATGAGCCGGCTATAATATGTACAACGCTTTTAGAAATAATAAGTGCAAATCAGAATCAAGTCTATGGACAGAGCGATGGGTATATCGTGGCTATTATTCCGGCCCAAACCGCGTCGATACCCAAACCAAATGGGCTGACACTGAAAAGAACGGGTGGTAATGAATGACTTTGAAAAAGGAAAGACCTCCTTAGGAAGGTATGACTCATAAGGAAAGGCATGATCGGGCAGGCGAGGAAGTAGTCGCACTATGTCCGGTCGGGAGGTCGTGAGTCGTAACGTAAAGTAAAGAGAGACATTATGGTCGTGAAGTCCGCTTTTTTTGTGCTTTTTTGTTCTTTTTTTTCTGGGCGGGCCATGGTCTAGCGTCATTATTCGTAGCTCGAGAGCAATTTAAAAAAAAAAAAAAAAATATGATCGAAAGAAAGTGGGTCGAGTCGATCAAGGGCGCGAAACGAGATCCTGGAAGAATCGGAAGAAATTCCGCTTCTTCAGAGACTTGCTCCGACAATGGCCCAGAATACCTTTCTCCGTTGCAGGCGCAACAGTCATTGGACCCACGATGTCCTCGTCGCCCATTTCGGGAAACTTGGCATTGTCGTGGAGGCCTGGGATGCGGACATGTTCGCAGGGGTTCCGGGTGGAGTGGGTGAGAGTCAGTGCGACACCGTCTTCGGCGCCGAGAGTGTTGAGTAGAGACTCGTGTTGGATCTTCCATTGTCGGTTGATCGATTCCCACTTTTCAATGGTGTGTTTGTAGATGTTGGAAGTCACGCCGTAGTGTTCACCAGTTCGCACGAGGTGTTTGGCAAAGTTGCACCGCGCAATGTCCCAGTCGGCCCGGAGCTGCAGGAATGATGCCATTTCCTGCGTCGCGGGTGTGTAGGGCTCGGGTTGGATGTTGAAGTTGGCATGACCTAGCTTGTTGGCCCATTCATCGTTAGGCGAAGTAAAAACGAAAGGCGAGACGGTTGCGCCGACTCCAACTCCCGCTCCCACGCCGGGTGGTGCCTCGCTGGACACGGTGCGGGAAGTGCTTGCTCGTGGACGACTAATGGAGGCCATGCTGGGTTTGGAGGAGAGTGGTGGCGAGGGAACGCCCATTCCAGTGATGCGGAAGCTCGACAGAACGCTGCAGTGCGAATCCTCGGTCTCGGTGCTCACGTCGGCGACGGAGGGAGATTGCAGAGGGGATTGCACGCGAGAGGCAACGGCGCTGGTTGGGTCGTCACCCATGAATGGCGGGAGGAGGGGGGTCGTAGCCTGTTGGGTATCGTTGTCGTCCTGACTGAAACTGTTGGCCTGGACGATGTCGATTGGGCGTGCGCCAGAGTCACTAATGCGCTCTTCGAAGATCGTTCGGGCCGGGGAAGGCGGGATCGAGTCGATACGACTGATTGGGCTGACGACAGGGCTGGCTAGCGCGGATGAGGCGGTCGAGTTGGCGCGCGAGCGCAGATCGTCTGGGAAGGTGTCGCCCCGCTCGAAACTGCCTGAGGCCCGTTTGGACTTCCATCGGGTGGACATGGTGGAAATGTGCGAGCTGATGCGCGACACGCCTTTCATGGAGGGGGTGTCGGAGCAGCGCTTCTTGGGAGAGTGCAGGTCCATGCCGCCGTCGCTGAGATCGTAGCTGTCGGGCGGGTCCATGGGGAAGTGGGACTCGTCGGCGGGTGTGGACATGCCGCAGTCGAAGTGTTCTATATGGGTTAGCATGACTCATTCAGAACATGAGGGTTTTGAATGTAGGGTACATACGGAAATACTGATCCTCCAACGAGTCACGAGCGCACTCTTCCTCCTTCACCCCGGTGAGGTGACTCCGACTCGGGCTATCCATGGAGTTTCCCAGGCCAGACGAGGAGACGAGCGAGGAGACCGAGCTGGAGAAGCGGTTATGACCGTGTCCGGCGGCGGAGAAGAGCGAAATGGCGGGCGACGCCGGCGCCGACGCATGGATGGTTAATGGCGACTGGAGATGCGGGGACTCGGGCGCGTCGAGAGACTCTCGCGGGTCGATGATATGAGTGTGTTTACGCATGGCGCGAAGGGCGAGGCCGCAGGGCGTCGCGGAGGCTGGGTTTGAGAAGAGAGGGAATCTCGCAGCATGAGGAGAAAACAGAGAAGAGCGTCGAGCGGCCCAGCTGTCCCTCGGCGAGAGACGTGGCGGTGTGATAGAAGAGCCCAAGGACAGTGAAGCACCGCCAGCGCAGTGGTGGGCCAAACCGAGCTGGCCACGAACACGAACTCAGAAAAAGAGCCGTTCCCCAATAGAATCGAATCGAATCGACAAACGGGCCGGGTACGCCTGACAGGGAGATCCCCGGTGTACGACGTGAAGTTCGAGCGGGGGTGGTGGCCGTTGTTGAGATGGGATGAAAGAAGAAAGAAGAAAGCGCACAAGAGAAGAATGGAATGGACGAGATCGCAGGCTAGACTTCGGGCGGCACTCGCAGCGGCACGCTAGACGTTAGTGGATTCTTTGTTTCGATGAAAATTGGGAAGTGCTCCGTTGCGTTCCGGCGGTTGACAGCGCAAAGTGCCTTGGTACACCGCCCCCAATGCGGTAATTAGTGGGTCCAGAACAGTCTGGAAGGCTTCCCCTCTTTTCGCTTTGTCTTTTCTCATTTTCGTCCACTCCAACACTCGGTGTCCACGACTTGACTAGTAAGTATGGAGAGAATAGCTTGTGGAACATCTACTGCTCAATTCATCGATCGGCATACATACATAGCATCGATCCATCGAACAAACATCACCAATCACCCCGCCCCAATTTGTCGTGGAGACGGTCGTGTGTGAGATCGGCGAGGGCCAGACTGCGCCGGTGGAGCGCAACTGAACTATGATGCCATCGGATCCAATTGCTTGTTGATGCATCGTTATTCGGCCTGCTCTCTTCAGCAGGTCTGAGTCCTGTCGCACCACAGCGTGAGAACCTAACCTTACCTCAGTTCCCTCCTACATACCTACTACTGTAAGCTACCCTAGGTCGTAAGGCCGAATCCCCCGGTCGCACGCATCGTCTCCCCGACTCTCACAGCCTCCGATCATACAGCCCGAGGTGCCATCCGTGTCTCAGTCATGGCTAGAGTTGCAATGTCTCATCTACACTACTTTCTGAGATATCGTATAATTATACTGTAGTTTGTATGTAGCTACGTCAGATCCACACGGGGGCTTGGGATGGTGTCAGAGGCAAAGGGGCAACTGGGCCGTCCCAGGGTTCCAAACGCCATCGGCTTATCCCACCGCTGTCGCTCTCTCACTACTGTTGGAGTGTACCCGACGAGAGGCTACCCGAGTATACCCTTGTTCTGGTCAATTGCCACAGCGATATCGCTTCCCGTTTATCCCTTTGCCTTTTTTTTTTTTTTTTTTTTTTTTTTTTGTTGTTGTCTTTTTTCCCTTTCACCTGATCACTCTAAAGTTGTAATATTTTTTTTCATGATCTATTTCTGGCGAACCCTGCCGATCGTTGAACCTTTGCCTGTTCATCGCTTCGGGGTCCAATCAGGCCCACCAGCTGACGACGACCGATTAAACCCCGACCGGGATGACATAATACCCCTTCCGTGTTAAGCAAGTCGGTCCACCACTGGGGAATTTGACGGTGCCAGAGCTGCGGCTGCTGAAGAGGATATGAGGGGATGGCTTGGCCGATATACTTGGCGCATTCACATATTGGGCCACATTGAAATTTCTGTCGAACATGTCGGTGATGAACAATAGCCATTGAAGCAAACAACACAAAATTTGTCATGTCCTACGACATCCATATTTCGTCACTGTATACCTGAGCTACTATTGAATTTGTAGTGTACTATGTGCAGTAGGCGTGTCTGTCAGCTATGTGACATCGGCACCGGCATCAACGCCCCCGCCGGCGGCTCATTCTTCTGCTTAAACTCATCACACATCTGCTCCATCGTCACCCACTCCACCCCCTCGTGCTGATTAATGTACTCAATAATCCTGCAGCTAGTCAGCGCACGTTCGCCCGTTCCTGCTCAACGCCTGCAGATCCGATCCGATCCGATTGTCTTACCTTTCGTGCATGAGGAGAACATGCGGCCGCCCAGAGACATCCGGGTGGATCGTCATCGGGAAGACGAACTCGTCGTACTCGCGGTAGAAATAGTCGAAGTGATCCTATTGCATGTCAGCCAGGCCAAGTGTTGTAGTCATAACCACGTCTGAAACAGACTGCAAGTTATTGTAGTGGATACGAAGTGAAAGCAAAGGGCGTAGACTCACCTTCCAAATATCCTCCACATCCCGCGGATTCACCCACCCATGACTATTCGCCGAATTCTTAATAAACATCATCGGCGGCAAATCATCAATATACCAACTGCCAGGAATCTCCACGAGCCCCGTCATCTGCCCCCGCTCCAACGGCTTCATCCACGTCTCCGCCTCCTGCTCATAATTGATCTTCGTCCACTTATCCCCCGTCCGTAACCAATACATCTGGCAGTCCTCATGCGACATCGAATGATCATACTCAATCCCGTAGGAAAGTAACTGCTCCACCATCTCACTGCTTGCCTCCCACCACGGCGCCACAATGCCGCGCGGGGGCTTCCCGGAAAAGTCTTTGAGAAGGTGGTACGTTTTGTCGAGGATAGCGCGTTGTTGGGACGCGCTCATGGCCGCGGGGTTCTCGTGTGAGTAGCCATGCAGGCCGATCTCGTGGCCTGCGTCTCGCACTGCGGCGCATTCTGTTGGGAAGGTCTCGAGCGTGTGTCCCGGTATGAACCAGGTTGCTTTGATGTTGTATTTCGCGAAGAGCTTGAGCAGGCGTGGCGTGCCGACGTGCCCAGCCCAGAGGCCTGGTTGGGTTAGTTTGGGCGTGTTGTTGGGTGGTTGGGGTTGGTGCTTACCCCGACTGATGTCGCTAACGCTGTCTTCGCCGCCGTAGGAGCCGAGCCAGCCCGCGACTGCGTCGATGTCGACACCGTAGCTTACGAGGACGCGCTTTTTGCCCATGTTGGAATTAATAGTGATGAGTTGGAGATAAATTAGGAAGTAGGATCTGAAAATGATTGCGAGTGCTTTTCAATTAATTTCTAGTTAAAATTGAGGAGAATGCTATCGCATCCCCCCATCTTGCGCTTGTATCAAAGGTGGGGGGGGGGGGGGGGGGGGGGGGTTCGGGAGTTCCACTACATTGTGTTCCGTTGCCGAGCATGGGGTACTCAGGCACAGCGTCAGATCGGGGCGACATGCTGTGCCGTGCTGTGCTTGGAATGCCGAGGAACGTGGAATGATGCCGTGATTGAAGTGGGAGCACAGACCCTACCCTAGGGTAGAGTATTTTAGAATTTTTCCTCGTGCTCCGGATTATACTAACGATAATCAAGAAAAGATAACAAGAAATCGTAGAACGGCTCCAAATAAGGGCTTCAATAGTGTACATAGCCTAAACCTCTATCCCTCAAAAATCCCCATCTCGACTCACACGTTGGGAGCCTGGTATTCCCTCTCCGACCTCGCAAGCACCCTCCCCAACCCCCGATGAACCTCCACCTGCAACGCCTCAAACGGATACCTCTCCCCATCAACACTAATACACCCCTCCGAATCCAACGGCGTCAACCGATAAGCCGCCACTTTCCTCATCTGCACATCCTTCAACCCACGATACCTACCTTGCGGCAGTCTCACAATCGCCTCAAGAGCCCCAACCCACCCAATCGTGTCATCCACAACCATCAAATCCAAAAGCCCATCATTCGGCTCAGCATCCGAAAAAAATTCGTGTCCTTCGCGACTATCTTCATCTTGCCCGTGTAGAAACTCGCCAGCTGCTCCCGCGGCATCACCTCCCAATCCTCGCGGACTCTGTCCTCGACGGTCCCGTACTTGAGCGGGAGGGAAAGTCCACCATGTACCTGCCAGTGCCCCGATGAAATCTCCTCTCCTTGCTCTGGGAGAGTCTTAACAGCAAGCAAACAAGGATAAGCCGTCTTCCTAACAATCGTCGCAAAAACCCCATAAATAAACCTCTGATCCCCCATCCACCTTAGATGCTCCGTCTTCAAATCCGAATCCGCAAGGACACCCAGCGACTGCGAGAGGAACGAAACAGTATGCCGATCCCCCTGCGTCACAGACATTAAATCCAACGGCATATTCACTCCCTTAACAATCGCCAACGCCGCGACCGCAACATCATCACTCCCAAAAAGATTCCACGCCATCGCATTGCCTGATCCGCATGGGATCATCGAAACAGCCACTGAGCCCAGCGCGTCTTGCGCGTCTTTCCGCCGCGCAAGTCCATTGAAGACTTCGTGCGGGAGCCCGTCGCCGGAACAGCAGACTATCCCGTCGTATATTAGGTCGAGGGACTGCGCTATTTCGCTTGCGTGCCCGCGATACTGCGTTTCTTCGACTGAGAGGGTGCAGTTTGCGGCGCTCAGTATTGGCGAGGCGATTTTGTGGAATTTTTCCATGGCGCCGCTGCAGAAGGGATTTATTAGGATCTTGAGAGTCTTGTTGGGTTTTGCGGAGCCGTAGGCATGGGCATTTAGGGTTGAGGCCCAGGTTTGGGCTTCACTGGTTTTGCTGGGGTTTATTGGGTATTGCAGGGCATTTAGGAATGCATTTTGAGGGGTCGTGCTGTCCATGTAGGTTATTGTTAGGCCTTTTTCGGTGATTATGGCGTTTAAGATGTTGTAGAGGTCGATTTGGCTTGGGCCGGGTTCTGTAGTGTGTTAGTCTTGATTTCGGTGTAGTGTATATTCAATGGGGAAGATTGGAGAAGGTATCCTGATACATACCTTGTTTGGAAAGGAGTCCGCAGCAGCGAGATCGCTTTATCTTTCTCCTGCTGGCTGGATCATTATCTGCGATCGCAATTGTTAGTCTACCTTGTTTTCTTTGGGCGTCCAATAAATTGCAAAAGATTGGAGCTTTGTTGAACACGCACCGATGATATGAAGCGATTTATCTCCCAGTGTGAGAAACGTAGAATCGTCTACTTGTAATGTTTTCGAAGGGTCGAGCGGAGCCATCTCGAAGAGGGAGACAGTGCACGTGCGAATACACAAGTCAGACAGATGAACGCGCCCTGGCAGATGTGTCTAATGATTAGTCGGTACAGCACTGGATCGTCAGGGTTGCGGATCTGCCTCTTCTGAGAGCGTGTGTTGCGTCCAGTTGACGCGAATATCGGGCGGAGCATTGATTACATAATGAAGGGGCTTCTAATTAACGTAATCCACGGCCGACCTGTCCACACGGCCGACCTGTCCACTTTCACCGCACCCTCAATAAAATTGCGGCTTTTCACCCACGAGACAAAATTATATTAGACTATCTAATCGCTGAATATATAGCTATTTACTAGGACAACTTCTTACAGTATGTCCTATAGTCCCACACCCACTGCAGCGCCGTGGAGCTCGCTGGCATGGCCTAGCAGTAGGCTCACTATGTTGCTCGTTCGGCTGCGTATCAAGCTGCTGAACGCGATTTTGACCCTCATCTCTAGATAAAAAGAGATCGTCGCCTATCTTACCACGCCTTCTTGCCTTCTTTTTCAGTTTCCGCTCATTCTCATCGCGTAGAACCTTGATTTCTTGTTGGAGAAGAACGTTCATGTTCATTGCCATCTGCGCAGCCTTTTCAAGATGTTGAATATGAGAAATTGGGCTACTAGAGAGCATTCTTTTTCGAAGGCTTCTCTGTAGACTGCGAACCTCATGATATAGCTGGCGAGGATTCTCAGGTGTTTGAAAAGTAGAGGATATTGATCCTTCGACAAGAGGTGGTGTTGGCGTCCGAAGTTGAAATGTAATCTTTTCGAGGACCCGGTCTTCGTTAAGTGGCTTAAGACCAGCTCCTGCGAAGCCATTCCGTATATTCTCTAGATTAAAAACCATCTCGCGTGCAGGAGGATATAGGTGTAGGAAGTCTTCCTTGTCGATATGATTGTTGCCGGCAGTCATCATTCCTTCAACCAATTTCCCATAGGAACGTTTTAACGGGCCGAAAACACCAACATCGAGTGGTTGTAGTAGATGAGAGGTATGAGGAGGCATACAGAGACAGATAATTGCATTCTCTTTGCAAAAAGCATCAAACTCTGCAGTTTGGTGGCTAGAATGGCCGTCGAGAATAAGTAATCGCTTCGCACCGGTTGAAAGGCGTTTAGAATATGGCTCAAATGTCTCTTTTAGCCAAGCAAGGCCTATTTCATCTGTTGTCCAGCCATTTTGGCTTCTGGCAAGAACCCAGCCATTCTTGATAGCAGGCTCTTGATACCAAGCGGCCTGGTGAGATCCAGCCTTTAAGATGACCCATGGAGGTATAGAAATGCCTTTCGAGCTCACACATTCAATGATTGTAACCCATTCGCGATTTCCCTGAATAACTCTCCGAGGTCTTTCACTACGATCTACCGCAGTAATAACCTTAGAGGTTGAACAGAGTCCCATTGCAAAGCCGGTTTCGTCAAAGTTCCAGATATCATCCTCATGGATACCATGTTCTTGAATAGCTTCGCGTACGGTCGCAAACCACTGTTTTATAACCTTTGGATCCTCCTGCTTTGCTCGCTGGTATGTAATCCTCTGGTTATATCTTGTTTGTATTTCAGGGCGGCGTTTTGTAAAGGAGTAGGCCCAGTTAACCCCAAGGGTTGCTGAAGGATCCTGTAGACGCGCTTGGAGTAAATTCTGCGCCATTCCACGTAGAAACTCTGGCCGAATTGAAAATCCTCGTTTATCAGCATCTAGTAGCCGTTTAACTAGTGCTTCTTCTTCAGTCGCTGTTAATTTATGGCCGCTAGCGCGTGTTTCCGACCGTGGTTTGATTCCTTTCAGCCGAGAGAGTAAGGTGGATTTAGGCACTCCAAATATTGCCGCAAGCCTTGATTTTGATCCAATTTTTTTGTTTTTGTAAGCCGCAATAGCCATTTGCATTCGATTTTCTTGGGAAAGAGGCATTTTGTATGCTGGTGGTGTAAAAACAACGCGTTGAAAGATGTTGCCGGAAGGTTGGACGCGAAAGTGGACAGGTCGGCCGTGTGGACAGGTCGGCCGTGGATTACGTTAAGTGGGCCCCGGTTGTGGGGATAGAAACCAATAAGAAGGCAAGGTCTTGTGTATGTGAAGCACGCCCTATATTTTTTCAACTTTATCGACTTTCGTGGTTGAGAGAAATGATAGACAAGGAATCCACATCGAGTGTCAGTTTTTATCTTTTTATTCTTATTTCCTCCTGTTTCGTGCCTGATTATCCCAGCATCCGAGAAAACATTCCCGGCTCGGAAGCTACAGCTACAAGATCGGATAGTAGATAGCGTGTACTTGACTAAAAATTTCAATTATACGCTGCAGTAAATCATCCTTCATATATCGTAAACTCATTCTGTTTCAGTCCACAAGTAACCCCTAAAACCCAACAGGGCACAAGGTACATCCCTGTCACTTCAAAGCTCCAGCCCCAAAAAGCCCTGTTTCTCTGCCATGATAAAAGAAGCACAGATCTTCTCGTCCTCAGAGCCAATAGTAGGAGGTGGTGTTAATTCTCGCTGCACTTGCGCTCGCAATGCATGCACCTGGCGTCGGTAAACAGTCCAGATGTTTCGCGCAGTCTTCAATTTCGTCGCTGTGAACAAGACCTGAAGAAGACAGAGCAACAATGGCGTCGCTGTAGGAAGTTGATTCCAAAACCTCAAAATTGAATAGGCCATTGCGCCCGCTTCAAAACTAAGCAGGATGGTAAATGCTACAAAGCCGGCGAGGAAAGCCTTGTGTATTTGTCGGAATCCCTTGGGTCCCTTGGGTCGAAACTGGTGGAGAAGATATGTCAGATGGGCGATGCTGCTTCCGAGACTCGAGAATAGAACTATGCCCCGATAAGAAACGTCAGTAGAAATGATACGACAGATAACCAGACAAGGATAACAAACCCCAAGTCAAAGAAACTTGACAATAAACCCCCAGCCGAACAAGACTCGCCGGCGAGAGTGGCAAAGGGAGAGTCATGAGCGCCGCAAAAAAGCCCGGGATACATGCCAGCATAGCCATATGATGCACGAGGTAAACCAAACCCAGATGCTCATCGTAGATGAGATCAAAAATACCCAGGGCGCCGAACGCCATCACCGAAACAGTGCACATATCCCCGAGCGTCGGGCCCGGAATCCAGGCCGGATCACTCCATGTGTAACCGCCGACTGTATGCAGATATGCGGGGGTCCCCATGAAGATGAAGGCGAAGGTTTTCATGACCAGCCCCACGTGCAGTGAGCCCACGCGTCGCTGTTCTTTGCGTGTTAGGGAGACGTATTTTGCGCCGTATATTTTGCTGAGGTGGCGCGGGCTGAAGGTGTAGTGGTTTAGGAGGGCGCAGAGGGTTGTTAAAAGCAGTAAATAGGAGGGGGCGAATGTTGCTGCTTTCACGAGGGGGATGCATTGCGTGTAGTCTGGTTGGCCGTGGCAGACTACTGTGTAAAGTTGTTCCATTGTCTTTGTGGTGGAGGCGATCGAGAAGATCCTGGTGGTTCTTGGTTCTTGCTGGGCATTCTCTTGTTGGATTTATACTCCTTTGGCATTGTAGTGCCATGTTTTCTTTTTGCATTCTGCTGATAAGCAATGGTGCCTCAACGTGGTGAAATGCCATTCTCGCTAGGATCCCTATCGGAGGTCAAAGCATGCCGAAGATCTCTTCGCGTCTTCTGTTTCGGGTCGGTGTTCTGGCCCTGTTATTAAGTCTCGCCAGGTACCGCGCCCTGCGCCCTTTGCAGAACAGGAGGTTCGTGATCAAGGGGGCGACTCCTCGTTCTGAAATGGACCAGGGTAAGTAGCACAGGTCCCTGTTAGAAGCATGGTAGCTAGTCTGGACCACTATATGGCCGAGACTGGAAAAAGCAGTATAGATTGCCTTACGTCAAGAAAGTTCAGTTCTATCGAGGCGATGTTTAGCATAAGATGCAAGACGTAGCGCACTACACTCGAGGGCGAATATTTTCCAGCGGCAATAGCTCCACACTCAACCCTCCCACTGCAGCAATTTGGAATAAATTGTAGACTGATTGGTCAAAGCACATATCAGTCGAGGCCAAAATATGCAGACAAATGCGCAAACTCACCGATCATGCGCAGCATGGCAAAACAGACGATCTCCCCGGGCCCAATCCAATATTTGATCAGCCCTGCCCATATAATGCCCAAGGTTGTTTTAAAACAGCTAAATAAGACATGGAGCAGTCCGGTGAGAAATCAAAAATCGCACCCGAAGTCATGAACGACCATCCTGCGGATTCAGACTCCAATGCCGACCCCAAGTCTCTGGCTCTTGGGCCTGGCGTGGGGTCGCGTCTCCGACTCCGAGTTACGCTTTTGGCGCTGGCGCTTTTGATGATGGCGGTTATTTTGAATGTTTCGTCTATTTCGTCCGCTTTGCCTGTATGTTCCGCGCTTTAGGGGTTGGCAGAGGCTGACTTGTTTTCGCAGACGATTTCTCGTGATCTGGGGATTAATGCTATTGAGGCGTTTTGGGTGGGGACTTCGTCGCTCATCTGTTCTGCTAGTAAGTGAATCCTTCTTGTTCATTAACGCACCAACGTCAGTATTGATAGATGAGGCAGCCTTTCAGCCGGTATATGGCTCGCTGTCTAGTATCCTCGGCCGTAAGCCGGTGATGATGATGGCTATTGCTTTTTTCACGGCAGGCACGATCATATCGAGTCAGGCTTCGAATGCCATCATCCTCCTTCTCGGCCGTTCCATCCAGGGTCTCGGCGCTGGCGGAATTCACAGTCTTTCAGAAGTTATATTGACCGACGTGGTCCCGCTCAGGCTTCGAGGTCGATATCTAGCCTACCTCAACTCGACGTGGGCCTTCGGCTCGATAACCGGTCCAGTCATCGGCGCAGCATTCGCGCAAAAGGTGACTTGGGTATGTGATCTCTTTCCTGGTCGGTCAAAACATCAGTTGACCATCAATTAGCGATGGCTGTTCTACATCAACATCCCGCTCGTCGTTTCGGGGTTTATCTTGATGATGATGTTCACCAAACTCCAGCCTCTGCCGGACTCTATGCGCAAAAAGCTGCACAATATCGACGGTGGCGGAATCATTCTCTTCACTGGGGGCATCACCGCTGTTCTAATTCCAGTAACCTGGGGCGGCGTGATGTACGACTGGGACTCGTGGCAAACGCTGACACCGTTTTTGATCGGAGGCGCCTGTCTGGTCTTTTTCGTCGCGTACGAGGCATACATCGCTGCCAACCCCATGATCCCACTCGCCCTCTTTCGCACACGCACTCTCGTCGTCAGCTATGTTGGTACAACCACCATGGGGTTGATCCTCTCATGTGGACTGTACTATCTGCCGTTTTATTTCCAAGCTGTCAAGGGCTATAGCCCGATTCTTTCTGGAGTGGCTTTGTTCCCGGTGACTTTTACCCTGGTGCCAGGCGCCATGGCGACTGGAGTCCTCATCAGCCGAACAGGTTTGTACCGAGGTATGGTCTGGGCCGGCTGGTTGATCTCGACGATCGGTCTGGGATTCAACTGCTTCGTGCGTGTAGACTCTCCCGACGTGCTTTGGATTATGTGTCTGGTAGTCAGAGGCCTGGGGATGGGAATGTTACTCTCATCTCTCAATCTCACTGTTCTGGCTGCCGCTGCGCCGCAACGTGAGGAGGCCGCCGGCGCTGCTACCATGTACACGTTCTTCAGCGCACTCGGCCAGACTCTCGGTGTGGCACTTGGTGGTACAATATTCGCCAACCGCATCCGTGCAAGTCTGCAGGCCCAGCCATCCCTGGAAGCTCTCCTCAGTAATGTCACCAGTGGTCACCATGCCGACTCGGTGGCTCTTATCCAGATGGTGGGTGATATTTCGGATCCGGCGACGCGACATCAGGTTCAAAAGGTTTATGTCGATAGTCTTCGCGTGGTGTGGGCGTTTTGTTGTGCGCTGAGTGGTGTGGCGGGTCTGTTGAGTCTTGCGACGCGACATTATGATATGTCCCAGCAAGTTGTTACACAGCAGGCTTTGCGGGGACGAACAATGACTAGGTCGAGGTCGAGGTCGAGGACAATTGAGTCCGGGGATATTATGGTGGATCTGCATCGTCGTGATCTGTCCAAGGCGAGCGGCTCTTTTCGTTCAGCTGGTGATCCAGACGGCCCAGTGCATGTGTGGTGAGCCTGGGTATTTTGAGGCAACTGGGAGACTAGCGATATGCCAGCCGTGGTGACTTGAATTCCATGGAGTCTCTTTACATCGAGAGTGAGCTGGCTCAGTGTGTTTGGGTTTGGTAAAGCTGGTCTTTGTGGGATGGTCAATGGTCCAATTTCGAAGGGGGGGGGGATATTTGTTGTCTGTTTCGTACGTATCATGCTTGATCAGTCAATAGTGAGTTGAAAAACATAAAATTATATATGAAGTCATACTATCAGTAGTATGAATTAAGGAAGGATCAACGAATGACAAGGTTGAAGAAGTCACGCGGCCTGACCGGTCGTCTGAGGCAAACACTCCGAAACGATTCCCACCATCCGGACCCATTGCGTTTTGCTCGGGTTCCGCCACTTGTGCAAAGTAGATCGCTGGGTTACAATATCGCCGGACTTGACTGTGCGGTCTCATTGTTAGACAAGGTGAGCTCGACTTCGACCACGACCAAGATGATAATGTCGAGGCTCACGGTGACATGCATCGAGCTTTCTGCGCTGGGAGGAATATCGTTATACCACACATTGGCGCCGCCGCCGGGTGGAATGAGTGGAGTTCCGTTGTTAGGGAGTTTTTGAATCTCTCGGGGTCGTCTTTCTTGTAGGGCGAGACGGGTGGTCGCTCGGTCCAGTAGGCAAATCTCTGGACTCTGCTGCCAAGGTTGCTACTTACTTCTACGGATTCGGGAAGATCGGTGGAAAAGAAGGAGCTGCCGTCTGCATCGTTGTTTTGTTGGCGATGTAGCGATTTGGATTTTGAATTTGATTGTTGGTCATGATGAGTTTTTGGATCTTTTGTAAAGTGAGAATCGGGAGTAGTCGAATCTGAACGATCTATACCCTGGCGACCGCCCCGAAATGACACCGCGTCATGTGGGTTGAGGCCGGCTCGCCGCTATAAATGAAATGAAGGGAAAAAAGGTGAAAGCAAAAGAATAAAAGGACAAAATAAATAACTTGCTGACCTCTTCCAAAACGGCGTGGGGCAGACAAATATGACAAACTTAAGAGTTGCCCAAAAAAAATACAAAATATGTAGTCGCGCCCGGGATCGAACCGGGAACCTTCTCGGATGAGATGCTCACTAGCTGTGAACGAGACGTCATAACCATTAGACCACGCAACTTGTGATGGAATATGAGGTAAATTATCCCTATATGTACCTGGACAGCAAAATTTAGGCGATCCATGGATCGTATCTACAATGTTTTCCGCCCAGACGTGCCAACACAAACTGCGACATATCGGCATGAACACTGTACAAATAAAAACTCGCCAAAATAAAAAAGAAAGAAATATCTACTATTGGCTATACCATGGGCCCTCGAAAGTGATCGCAAAAAGTGGATGTGAGTGATCACGGTGTTTTGCGATATATATTTGCACATATTGGAATGCAGCGCCATAGAGTGTTCTTAACCTGACACTGGATACTCAACCACAATAAAATTCTCCATTTCAAATTGGACCACCAAGACCAATATAGTGCTGAATCTGCTTAAAAGCTCACATATCGCAATGTCTTCACAGCGCATCATGCCCATGCGTCTCAAACGGAAGACCAATACAAAAAACACCTACAGCAACCCAGAGCGCAGCACTCGCATAAATCGGCGCACTCGTAAAGCCAGTCTGCGAAGAAATAAGACTAGCAACAAGACCACCAAGGCGAAGTAACGCCGCCGCAGTACCGGTCCCAGTCCCGCGGTGCGGAGCAGGGAATGACTCCGGGGTAAAGGCGTACATGACGGCGTATTCTGTGGAGGATTAGCCCAGTCTTGCAATGACAGCATACATGAACGTTGAATACATACCGAAATTGGCCAACAAACTGGTCACACAGGAAAAAGCCAGACTCGCGGCCGAGTTGTTAACTCCCACGTAAGCGAAGAGGAATACAGCTGTCACGACAGCCGAAATCCCGAGGAACCAGCGTCGTCCCAGACGCGTATTGACGCATACAGCTGCGCATAGCGGGCCGGCGATGCCGGCGACTGAGGTTATGCAGTAGTTGCGGTAGGTCAGGTAGAAGGAGGAGTTTTCGGTGAATTTGGTCGCGAGGTAGGAAGGGAGAAAGTTAAAGTAGAGTGGGTAAGCGATGCCTAGGGAGTTTTAGCAAGATGAGATAATTGGATGAGGTGAAATGTACTTACCCACTGTAAGCCAGATTGCCCAGATGATGGTGGTTTGTCTGCAGAGTTTCCGAGTCGCGAAGAGGGCTCGGTAGTGCTCGCATTTGAAGGCTTGTATGTTCTCGGCGAGAATCTCCTTGGATGAGAGCTTTTCGGTTGTTCTGCCGCCTTCTGTTATCATTCCTAACCGGGCGTCGATTTCTCGGAGCATTCCCACTGTCAGGGGTTCGGGCTTTCTGTTCTGTCGGGCGACGTAGTTGACTGCTTCTACTGCGTCTTCGTCTCTTCCTTGGGATAGGAGGTATCTTGGGGTTTCGGGGAGTTTGAAGACAAAGATTCGGACGAAGGTGAAGAGGAGTGCTAAGCCGCCGAGCACAATAAGGGTATATCTCCTGTTAGATTGTTAGACCTGGCATATATGCGTTGGGACGTCGACATACCATCCCATATTTTCCTGACGGCGACAAGTCTCGGAGGTAGCATCAGTCGGGCAGCTGAAATTGGCAAGGAAGACCCATGCGACCAACGAAACAATCAATTGACTCAGGTTCCACCATGCCGAAAGTGCTGTGAGAAGATATTGGTGACTAAAAAGTCAATATTTGTCTATATTCATATCGCAATGGCACAAACTCACCTCCCAGGTACAAATTCCAGAAAAATCATCGAATCAACAGGCACATTCCCACCCGCAGCCGTACCAATCACGGCCCAGAGAGCACTGAAGGCAATGAAATTCAATGATCCAGCTGCAGCGCAAAGAAATATACCAGCGATAAGAAGCGTACAGTTGAAAGCAGGTCGTCGACCGATCAGATCACTGGAAACACCCCAGAAAGAAGCACCCAGGATAAGACCGACATAGTATGCGACGGAGCTGTAGCTGACTTGAACTATATCCGAGAATTCTTGTTTAATAGGGGGTTGGACGCTGCCGATGCCTTGTGATGCGAACTAGATGATGTGCTCGTTAGAATTGCCTGCTGTCAGGAGATCCGCAGATATACATTATCGACTATCCATCCGAAGCCCGTAACCACGAAAAGGTTCCATTGAAACCTGGAAAAGTCAGCACCATCAACCAGACAGAGAGGAGTGTACTTACCTCCCCATTCCAATCTCCTCCATACACCTCCCCACCAACTCAGACTTCAGACGATACGCATGCGTAGTAGAAGAGCCATAAAACTGCTCAACCTCCCCATCGTCCAGAGCAATCACCTTGCCCGTATCCTCCTCAACAGAAATATCTTGCGGCAAATGCTTCGCGTCCGACCGAATGTCGTCCATGATTTTTTGGAAATGATCCTATGAATCGTCCCTTTGCATTCTGATCCGATCATCGTCTCATATACTCCCCAGGAGCCTAAGCTAAGGCTACGGGTTCTGCTTACGAAAGTCTCCAGCCAATAGCTCTTAGATTTTTAGAGCTGCCATTGCGATAGCAAAAGTGGGTGAATTGGTTGGAATGGGTTTAAAATGATACGCAGGCTTGCAGGCTGGCCACCCCACTCTTGCGGATGGGACAGGTGGGTGAGTTCGATGACGTTGAAACTGGATGAGTTGGAATTCGGACTCCGAGGTCCATTTTTAAGAAACAATGTAAATCAAGGTATTACGAAAAAGCTTAAGTTTTGCATTTCATGTACAATAATTCCAAATAACTATGTTCGAAAGGTTCAATTCGTACAGAGAAAAGATGGAAAGCAGGCGGATCAGATAAGCCGCTTGCAATTCCTCCGCAGTCCAACTACGGGTGGGTTTCAGAGGGAAAAAAACAAATAAACCAAACAGTTTACACAATTCAGGTGTTTATTTCCAACTAGAAGCTATGCACCGACAGCAGTCACAGCCGGCGTCGCATCCATCTTCTTCGACTCCGATTCCTTTTTGTATTTCTCCGCCCGACCATAACTCTCCTTGTAAGAGGCAGACACCATATCCTGCACCGTAATCGGAGGATACTTCGCAGCTTCGCCGGGCTCGCGACAATTCGGCAGACACTCGCAGAGATAGTCTGGGTTCCCACTGAAAAAGAACGGAATCGAGTACCGCTCTTTACCGGACTTATTGATCACCCTGTGCGTGTTGGATTTGTACTTGTCATTCGCCATGCGCATGAAGAGGTCGCCGAGGTTAATTACGTAGGCTCCGGGGACGGGTTTGACCTGAACAACCCAATGTTAGCTCGTGTCTTCGCTGGCGTTTGGGGATGAGAAAGGGAAATACATCAAGCCATTGACCCGTCGGCGCATCAAGAACTTGTAGACCATCGACTTCATCCTGAAGTAAGAGAGTGACGCAGCCGAAATCCGTATGCGCGCCAATTCCCCGATTCAGCTTCTCGTCCTTGTCTTTCGGCTGCGCGGGATAATGGAGATATCGCATGGTCGCGACCGCACCGTCAGTAAGTGGCTTGAAGAAGCTCGACTCGACGCCCAAGGTGAGAGCCACGACGCCGAGGACGTCTTTTGCGAGTTCGAAGACGGCGTGGTAGTATTCCATTGTAGTTTTCTGGAACTCCTCCTTGTCGGAAACAGTCTGCGGCCACTGATTGGGTCCACTGTTCAATTTCTTCTGCACGAAGTATGGGTGGTCCTCGGGGATCTCCTCGCCGATGTATAGTCCTTCTTTGAGCTCGGGGCCGGTGCCCGCTTCGAGCATTTGCGATCGGAGGAGTTCGTAGCCGCGGTTGAACGAGTTGTGATCTGTGAATGTGAGTGTTGTGTCTGCTGGAGACTGGTAGGATAGCTCACTCTTGTCGATCTGCAGCTTCTCTTCCAGTGGAAGGTCGAAAAAGCGCTTCGAGCATTCCATCACGCGGCGCTGGAGCTCCAGAGGGACGCGGTGGCCCGTGATTTGAAAGAAGCCATTGTAATGGCAGCACTTGCGCACTTCTTCTACCAGCTTGGCTTTCGCCTCACCATCTGCGCCGTAGAATGGGGAGAAGTCCAGGATTGGGGGTGCGATGGGTTGGGTCATTTTGTCTGCTTCGATTCGTTGTAGTTTAACTTGGGATGCGGTCTCATCAATCCTGTCTTTCGCGTGAATATATCGCTCCGACGCGTCAAAGAGAGTTCCTCATGACAATTGGAGATCGGACAGAAAGCCGAAGACCTGAGCATCGCGAACAATCTGGGGTTGTGGTGGAGGTGAGGGTGGGGGTGCTGTCAAAAATGGGGTGATAGTTGATTGTTGGCAGTCGATAAGACGATCTGTGGGGATGGCATGGCCAGGCGTGGCGCGACAGGGAATTGTTATCACGCCTGTATTTAATTATTGCTGGCTCTTCAAGAATACATGCACCGTACATACTAAGAGTACTGTAATTTGTGCTGGTGATATCCATGGATGGGGTGAGGTGTCGGGTTGTACAGTGACACGAGGGGGCTTATAAGCGTGCAAATAGTCCATCGATCGGTTTGCCGTGTATCCCTGTCAAATGAAAATGGTTTTTAACTCATTCATAACTGCAAAAATGAAGTCCATACCAACTAGCAAATTACCCGGTGAACCAATCGTGGGACAGAATGTTGTTTATGCCGACCCCGAGGCAGACAGGACGTATCGTCGAAAGGTTGATTTTTGGGTGCTGCCTTTGCTTTGCATGGTAAAAATAGTCTGTTCCGTTTGAAGCAATTGAGACTGATACCTACAGATGTACTTTTTCGATTGCATGGACCGAGTATGCATTGTCCCTACCCATTTGTTGAGTTATAATGACAGAATCAGAGCAACCTTGCCAACGCGAAAACAGATGGAATTGACGAAGACTTGAATTTTAGAGGGAATGATTACTCGCTCATAATCCTCCTCTTCTATATCCCATTCGGTCTTTTCAATCTACCATGGAACTTGTTGATTAAGCGTTATTCCGGGCGACTGATGCTGTCCTTTAGTGGGTATCACCGAAAGAAGTCAGCCCTGAAATCAGATCTAACACAGTTCTATCTATTCAGTGTCAGTAGTATGGGGCATCCTCGCTCTATGCCAATGCGCAGCCAAAGGTTTCGGATCATTACTCGCAATCCGTATCATCTTAGGTGTCTTCGAAGCCGGATTCTTCGCCGGAGCCACATACTACTTGACGATTTTCTATACCCGCGGTGAAATGGGATTCCGACTGGCTATAATACAATCATTCGCAGTGCTGGCATCCGCATTTAGTGGTCTCATTTCTTTTGGTGTATTCCAAATCAACAGTCCCAAAGTCCATGGCTGGCAATGGCTTTTCATTATTGAGGGCGCAATGACCTTGATTACCGGGATCATTGGCTTTTTCATGCTTCCGGACTCCCCACAGACAGCATGGTTCTTAACAGACCGAGAGAAAGAAGTGTCGTCGGTGCGGCTGCTGCGCGACTCTTCATCTGAAGTCGCTACGAGATTTGATCTCAAAGCTTGCTTTCGGTCGTGGAATGATTGGAAATTTCCTATTTGGTGTATCATCACATTTACATATCCCGTCGCTTATGCAACTGCGATGAACTTCTTCCCTCTGGTAAGCACCTTTGCAGTTTTCCTTCTGTTCCCTTTCTAATAATTAGATCGTCCAACGCCTCGGATACTCGGTCGTCAAGACCAATCTCTGGACCGTGGCCCCCAACCTTGTCGGAACGATCGTGCTACTGTGCGTCGCGAAATCATCCGACTATTTCCGAGAACGAACATTTCATATTGTCTTCTCGTTGTCAGTATCCCTCGTCGGGATGATCCTTCTCGCTGCCATCGACGTCCTCCAAAACAAGGGGGTGGCCTATTTTGCCTGCTTCCTGATGGCGGCAGGCGCATATATTCCCTCTTGTCTTGTTCATGCGTGGCACAACAACAATAATGTTCATGAGAACTCTCGGGCTGCTAATACGGGGTTTTTCGTTGGCTTGGGGAACTTAGCGGGGGTCTTGAGTGCAGCTACTTTTCGAACTGAATATGCTCCCAAGTCAGTTCTCTATCATCATTTTTAACAAAAAGAGTTGCTAACACTCGCACAAATTAGATATATCCCCACGCTTATCGCAACGTGCTGTTGCAACGCCGTATGTATTGTTTTCGTGACAGGACTGGGACTCTGGATGCGGTTTCAAAATCGGCGACGTGATCGCGAACAGGGGATGAGGCTGCGGGAAGACCAGGTTGATACGAGCCAGTTCAAGGAGAGCGAGGATAGTCCTGAGTGGCGATATTTCCTGTAGATAGCTTGAATTTCATTTTAGTAAGTACTAGTAAGTACTATGTGGTGGGACACTCCCAGTCGGGTAACCGCGAGGCCTTCGGTATAGTTCGTTCCAGGGCGTCAGGCATGACCAACCTCTCACTCCGCACTCCAATTCCTGTTGTCAATGAATCTATGGCGATTGGCCACTTTGCATGCAACTGCCCGATTAGAGCTGCCTTTAGACTATACTAGTATATACTAGTAGTATCAATAGTGGTCGCGCGAGACCAATCACTGGCCGCGTTTCCCCGCATCCTTATCAGTGACATCGGGCTTTATTCCGGCCGGCCTTCGACTGTTTTTATTGCGCTCCCGCCAGCTCCAGATCTAAAACTCGAATGTTTATATATATACCAGCTCATGCTATGATCATGAAGAGTCACGCATGCCAGTATCCTGGTTGCAGCAAACGCTTCACCCGCGCAGAGCATCTCCGCCGTCATGCTCTGAATCATGAACAGCCGCGCAACGGGTTCACATGTGAGCGCTGCTCTGTTCATTTCCAACGTCCTGACCTGCTAGGTATGGTGTAAAGAGCGGGAGAGGAAACAGAGGTGTGCTGTTACTAACACCGTTCAGCTCGACATATGGAGCGACATACCAAGCGAGACGAAGAGGCAGGAGGGCCGGGGTTGGGCGTATTGAAGACGCGGAAACGGACTCGCAGAGCTGGCGATGGAACGATCATTGTGCGTCCATCACAAAGAGAAATTCGGTCGGCGGGTCGCTCGACTGTTTCCACTGCTAGCTCTTCCGACCGGGTGCTTGTTGAGGATGAGGATCCTTTTCTTGACGAGGCGCCTCTTTCGCCTCCTGGTTCTGGGACTGATCCTACCTCGCTTTCTATCGATGACACCGATCCTTTCCTGGCGCCCATGATGCCAAGTGGGCCTTTCGAGCCGTATGTCGAGCCAGTACCGGGTCAGTTCGACGCTGCTGATGGATCGTTCAATATTGGACTTGATGGGATGGGCGATTCCTTTGGCATGGATACGGGTAACTATGCCCTCACCTTTCAGTGCCATTTTGGTTCTGACAATAGCAGCAACCGACTTCAATCTACCCTTCGCCGCGACGTGCAATTACAACTGGCTATTCGACGTCGCATCCCTCGACGACGCTTTTCACCATTTCGATTTTCCCCTCGGCTTCGACACAGGCCCTTTTCCCGACGCAATGAGCAGCGAGTACAGCCAGACCGTCAGCAAATACGACGGTGCCTCGGCACTTCTAGAAGTTGCAACAATGATGAGCAAAGAGAACCCGTCCAACCAGACAATGTCGCCCGATACTCCGGGCCTGATCGAGATGGACTGGATGTCAGGCTCCTCCTATCTGGGACCAAATCCCTCGCCTCGTTTGCCCCAACTCTCAGAAATTGCTCACCAAGGCATCTTATCTCTCGTACAACAAGCGCGGCCCATGGGGATCGACGGCCACCCGATGGCCCTCGATTCACACCTTCTTACATTACCGGCGCTACAAAGCTATTGCGATCTTTTCTTTACCCGGTTTAATGTTACATACCCACTCGTACACCAGTCAATATTCAATCCAGACCTTGTTGATCCAGTTTTCCTTGCTGCTGTCTTATTCATGGGCGCGACGTACAGCACGCGAGAGGCGCACCAGCTTGCCGTGGGCATTCACGATAAGCTGCGGAATCAACTACTGTGTCATCAGGACTTTTCACCACAGCCGGATCTCTGGGTCCTACAGACGATGTTGTTGATAGATTGTTTCGGGAAGATGCGGGCTGGCCCGAAGCAGAGAGAGCGCGCCCAGTTATTTCACTGTGTGCTCATCAAGCTGATACGTCGCAGTACTTGCTGCAATATCCAGGATTCGCCACATCTATCTAGATCGGAGGACCTGGAGCAGGCGTGGAGAAATGCCATGGATGAAGAGCAGCGGAAGCGTCTGGCTATGCATTGCTTTATGTGGGATACTCAGCACGCGGTTCTGTTCTCGCAGTCTTTGTGCATGTCTGCTTTTGAAATTAGATCTTTGCTGCCCTGCAGTGCATCTATCTGGGAAGCAGCATCAGCGAGGGAGTGGGCACGGCTAGCAGCCCGCGAGACGAACCGTCCTTTCCTCACCGTCCTCAAGGGCTACATAACCCCCAGCGCAGTCTCAAGGCCGCGTGACTTGAACGTCTTCGCGCGCACAGTTATCCTCCACGGACTGATGTCCGTGTCAGCAGACCTAAAACGCCGCGACCAAACGACCGTACGATCCGAGACGCCAGAGCGAGTTGGGGCCTGGACACCGCGTATGAGTCGATCGTACGATTTATGGAAAGTAGACTTTGACGCAGACTGTCTAGCGATGAAATTAGCACAGACGGCCGATCCGCGCAAATTCACCGGACTGAAAATGGCCGCCCATGCACTCTACCATGCTTCCTGTCTCGCGTTGAACGTGGAGGTTCTGGATCTACAGATTGTCGCCGGCGCCACGCAGATTCTGGGTCGGAATGTCACTCCTGCGGATCAGTCGCGGTCTCAGCAAAAGATTTTCCAGTGGCTTCATGAGGAGTCGAGTGCGTCATCTGTTGCTGCGAGACATGCTTCGCGTTTACTTCAGGATGCGGTGTTGAGTTTACATGATTGGGATCAGACGGATGCGTTTCATTTTCCGTGGTGCTTGTACTTGGCTACTTTGACCTGCTGGGTCTTCCATCGAGGGATGGATCTTTCGTCTTCGGAGAGCCGCATCAATACGGATCTCTCGTCGCTTATTGTGATGATGACCAACTGTCCCAGTACTACTGAGCTCACGGCGCTGTCTGGGAAGTACGATCCGAAGCCGTTGGCCGCGGCGATGGCGCAGCAGCTGGCTACAGTGAGATGGGCTGTGGTACACGATGCTATGAAAGTCTTGGTTGGGCTATCTTGAGAGTATGTGAATAATTTTCGGTGTTTGAATATGATGATAAATTCAATCTTGGCCATACTTGCACTATAGCCAAAGAACAATACCAGTTAAACATATCTGCTAGCTACTTTATCCCAATCTGAAGACTTCCAGCTATATGTCTGGAGACCCCTCTACCGACCAGTTTCTACTCACTTACTGTAAACGGGATAGTCTGTATACCCCTTCTCAGCAGGCATCGCCCCATAAAACGTCGTCCGATCATACGAATTCAACGGCAAGTTGTCCTTCAACCGCCTCGGCAAATCCGGATTCGCAATAAACCACCTCCCAAAAACAACCGCATCAGCCCCATCAGCGACAATCTTCGGACCCGCATTCTCCGCATTGAAATTCCCCGCAGCAAGGAATGCAATGCCACCCTTCTTCAACGTTGGCCGGAATATATCCAGCGAAGGCCGCTCGATCGCCAACGATCCGATCTTCGCGTCCTCGTCCAGCACCTCGTCGAAGCGAGGCTCGACCATGTGCACGTACGAGGGCCGGGATTCGCTTGGAAGACTTGCAATCTGCGAGCAGAGAGATAGCCAGTGCGCGTTTGGGTTGGAGTCGCGTGTGTCTTGGAAATAGTTGTACGGGGAAAGACGGATTCCGACTCGATCAGCACCGATTGCGGCAGCGACGGCGGTTAGTACTTCCAGGACGATGCGTGAGCGGTTTTCGATTGTGCTGCCGTAGGAATCGGTGCGGTTGTTGACGTTGTCGTGGAGGAATTGGTCGAGGAGGTAGCCGTTTGCGCCTGGGGTTGGGGTGAGTTTGATCCTTTACTATGAAAGTGAAGCACCTACCGTGGACTTCAACACCGTCGAAACCAGCCTCTCTCGCACGAAGCGCAGCAGCCGCATATTCTTGGACAGTCTCCTGGATCTCCTCAACCGTCATGGGCCGCGGCGGCGAAGCCGCATACTCGCTTCCATCCAGACCATTCCCAGTGATGGGAATATCGCTGGAACTGACAGCCTGCTTCCCATCGATGAACGAAGGAACAGTCGCTCGACCGACATGCCAGAGTTGACAATAAATGTATGCGCCCTTGGCGTGGACTGCGTCCGTCACTTTCTTCCAGCCAGCAATTTGCGACTCGGTGAATATTCCGGGGACGCCTGGGTATCCGGCGGCCTGGGGGGTTAGTTTGCGGATTGGAGATGTTGGTGAGTAAAGATCTTACATATCTGCTGATGGGAGTTGCCTCTGTCAACATGAAGCCTCCGGCTGAAGCGCGTTGGGAGTAGTATTCGACGTTGAGGTCGTTTGGAACGAAGACGCCATCTGACTCTTTGGTTGATCGCATGCGTGTGCAGGGGGCCTGCACGACGCGGTGGCTTAGAGATAGGGCACCTAGGCGCAGTGGTTGGAATAGAGGTCCGACGATGTCAATTGAGCCCATTTTGGCGGAATTGTAGATTGTGGTGAGCTGTTATCTATTGGCATTGGATACTGCTATTAAATAGCCTGAAAGGTAACACAAGGATACAGTTGTCCCATTATTGACATGCGAAAGTGGGATAATGGCGGAATATATCCAAAATTATTGAAGTTATCGTGTTGCATTTCCTGATTCAAGAGAGTACCCCCACTGTACTGCTCATGCGTGGATGGAGCTCGCACCTAAAGCCCCCCACCCTCGTCCTTAATTAATCCCCACATGAGGGGTCATCATTTTGACAAGTGGAACGACTAGAGGATATCAAAGAAAGCCGAAATTTGGTGATGGTACTCAAAGACATGACGGTGTGCTTTGTGGACTTGAGTACAAATTTTACTAAATTACTAGATGCTGCAAAAGAGAACAAGAGCCTGAAAATTCGATCATAACAACACCGATTCAATTCATAAAATTCTATTCGATGCCTAAAATTTACAGCATAAACGAGAAATAATCTTCTAGTCCAGCAACAGACTTCTCCCCTTCACCCAAATCCCAAGCTTCAACCCCTCCAACATACCCATCCGGCCGAACAATAGCGATCCCAACCTGCTCCCGCTTCAGGTTTCCAAACCACACATCCGTGCAGGACGGGGTATTCACATCGTCTAGATAAAGCGTCCACCGACTATCCTGTAGAATCTTCGGCAAATCCGTAATTTCAAACTTGGATTTGGCAGACTGCGTGACCATTGCGAAAGTAAATGCACTGGATACTTTCGTGTATCTTTGTGGCTGGATGAATTCGTCTGAAGGGGCGTATCCCCGCGGCCGCTTGGCATAGGACTGCTCTGCTAGACCGACAGCCTTGGACAAGAAAACAGAGCTGGCTATTCTATCATTGAACGTATTCAGGAAAGACAGTGAGGCAGGAACATCCGGTACGAAGAGGTATATGCGAAATTGGCTTAGTAGTGGGATATCGAGTTGGATATCGACCGGGTTCGCGTCAATATACCGAGTCACCTTAGCGGGCAACTGCAGTGACCCGGGACATAGACTTGACGATGCTGAAGCCCCCTTGTTCCGGCTCAACATGCCGGGGGCATACTCCGCCCCAACGCCAGAGATGAAGCGAATATTATCATCGAAGTTCTTAGAAAGAGCAGCCTCACCCTGCGCAAAGGCCTTGCAATGCTCCGTGTCAAAACTGATGAGGTCATTGGCGATCTTCCGACGCTCTTCCTCGTAGGTTGAGAGTAGGGATTGCTTCGCCAGCCCCCGGGCGACGAGGTTGAGTTTCCATGCGAGGTTGAAGCTGTCGTGCATACTTGTATTCGCTCCCTGTGCTGCAAGGGCTGAGTGACAATGGCCAGCCTTTTGATTTCACTATTAGCATTCATCATTTGAAGAGGATAAGTCGGCCATACATCACCAGCAATGAAAATCCTCGCATCTGCATCCATGAAGTGTCTCGCGACACGTTGTCCGACAACGTAGTTGCCAAACCACTCCCTGCTCTTCCACTCGAGTCGAAACGGCTGCATGGCTTTCCTTGCTCTGTCAATGACATATTCGGGTGTAGCTTTTGCGCGATCTACGCGCTCGCCGTCGGTCGCGCTCAGTTCGACATATAGCCGGGTCATGTTGCGCTCGCGGGGAATCCAGAGGATCGATCCGGCTGCGTGGGAGCGAACTGCGGCTTTGCTCCAGAGGTCTGGGAAGTCTGTGTCGATAACGCCTGCGGAGTATTAGCCAGGAATTGAATAGGATGATAGAATAGCCGCGCAGCTCACCGTCTAGAACTCCCCACGATGCGTTGGTGATATCGCCCTCAAGCTCGGCATCGGGAATGAAATTCCTCACTTTGGACCTTGCGCCATCACATCCGACCAGAAAGCTGGTGCGAATTGTTTTGGTTGTGTTGGTTAACACATCTTCATACGTCACGTCCAATTGCGCCGTCCCCGCAACCCGCGAGCAAGATGCGAAGCGACTGTTCCGGGCCACAAAGACGCCTCGAGACTCCATGTCGTCGATCAAGACTTCTTCCACCATTCCTTGATGTGCCAGCAGTATAAATGGGTCTGATGCGCCGACGAGGCGGTCCGGGTAGTGGGTTAGTCGACCGGTTCGGTGGAGTTCCTTGTCTGCGGTTGATTGCTGTGGAGTATTAGTTGATGAACACTGGAATCGAGAAGAAGACATACCCAGAATGAGATGTCGTATACACGCGCAGAATTCTTGAGAAGAGGCTCTGCAAGCCTCATCTGCTTGAATGTCTCGATGGTCTTTGGTTGCATGCCATCTGCCTTTCCGGTCGAAGTCTTCTCAGGGCAATCGTCGAGAATGACAACGTCCATTCCGTAGCGAACTAGATTGCATCTAAAAAGTGTCAGGATTGCGTTTTTTCATCGTAGAAAGTGTTCATACGCAAGCATCAACCCCGAAGGACCTGCGCCGACTACAACAACGGTAGTAGACGCATCCACGGGGACGGCGATGTATCCTTCATGGTCAGCACCAGGAGCCATTTTTCGTAAAGAGTCTTCTAATCCGGATTGTGATCTCTCCATATTGTGCAACGAATAATGCTATTATTATAAAATCGGCTCTCGATGTGCGGAGTAACAACCCCCACTCTTGCAGCGCAATCTCCGACTACCAGCGGGTGACCCCCCATCCACGATCACATCTTGTCCGGTCATGTATGCGCTCGCGTCGCTAGCCAGAAAAACGCAGGCCCCCATTATGTCCTCGGGCTCGGCTACGCGGCCGTTCATGGCTTCTAATTTCCAGCTTTCGAGGAGATGCGGGAACTACTAGCAATTAGGGACTTTCTTGGTTCAGGCACAGGGATTGTCGAACGTACTGCTGCGGTCATTTCTGTTTGAACATAGCCGGGTGAAATTGAATTGACACGGATTCCCTAGTGCTCATTAGATGTGCTTGGATGGACAGGATTGACTGAACTGACGTATTCTGCCAACTCCTTGGCTATCGCAGGACACATTGACCTGACGGCGCCTTTGGAGCCGCAGTATGCGCTGCAGAGTTGGCTGCGCACTGCAACATGGCTCGCCATGCTTGCTACCAGAACAATGCTTCCGTGTTTTGTACCATTCTTAATCATTTGCTTCGCGGCGAGTTGCGCTGTGAAGTATAGTCCGAGTACATTGATTGCGAGGAGGTCGTGGTGATCTTTGTACGTGAATTCGAGAAAGGGGAGGTGGCGATTAATACCGGCGCAAGGAACGCAGATATCGAGAGCATTGTCGAAATCATTCTGGAACTGTTCGAAGCCATTTTGAAGAGATTCCACTGATGAGACATCCACTCTGCTAGATATTAGAATTCGAGACCCAGTTTCAGAATTGATCGCTCACTTGTAATAAGCTGTCCGAGCACCTAATTCATTCGCGATCGCGTGAAACTCTTCTCCGGGAGGTATCACATCAAAAACTGCTACATTCGCTCCGGCCTCTGCAAGGCCGCGAGCAAAAGGCTAGCCCGCATCCACGGGCACCTCCAGTCACCAGGGCAGTTCGGCCTTGGAGAGAGAACTGTGAAGTCAGCCAAGTCAGAAGATGGGGGGAGGAGACGTCCGTACTCTGGACATAGTGTCAGTCGTAAGATCTGGATTGTTTGAGTGGGCGTAATGAGCTCTATGCTCTTCTATGGAATAGACTCACAGATTCCTAGTCCCAGATATAGTAACTTTGAAGATATCGGAATTCGGCATTTCGGACGTGGCAGCTAACCCCCATCTTTGGAGCTCCATTACCCTCGTACAGAACAAACGCGACGATAAATATCCCGATCCGTCAAGCATTATCTGCAAGTATCGCCTCAATACACCCCCAATAAAGAAATTGGTTCGTTTGCATTCCTCGATATGGCTCCACGCATCCACGTCATGCAGCAGCAAACTCGCGCCAAGTCGTGCCAGCTACGCATTCTCGTCGTCGGCGCCGGTCTCGCTGGCCTCGGATGCGCCATCAGTTGCGCGCTCGCCGGTCATACAGTTGAAATACTCGAATCTGCGTCGGAAATCAAAGAGGTTGGCGCGGGTATTCAGGTATTACCCAATAGTTCGCGGGTGCTGCAGCATTGGGGCCTGGAAGAGGCGTTGACTCCGCACATGACCATCCCCAGCGTGTGTAACTTCATCGGGTGGAAGGGGAATAAAATCTCCCATCTTAATTTTCATGAGTCTGAGAAGAATTATCCCGGGACGTGGTATCGGGATTTCCACCGTGCGGATCTGCAGCGATGTCTTGTCCAGAGAGCGTTGGATCTGGGTGTGAAGATGACCTGCAGTGCGCGCATTGTCGAAGTCCGTGTGAGCGAAGATGGAGCGACGGCCTCTGCTGTTGCGGCAGATGGAAGGAAGTGGGAAAGTGACCTGGTGGTGGGCGCGGATGGGGTGTTTGGGAGGTTGACCGAAGCTTTGCTGGGCCGCAGCGACCCTCCGGTGAAGACAGGTGATCTCGCCTACCGTCTTCTTCTCTCGACCGACGCCATGCGTAAAGACCCAGAGCTGGCGCCGTTCGTCAATCATCCACAGGTGAATTACTGGTTGGGACCTGATGCTCATGCCGGTATGTCTCGCGTTTTCCCACAATGTGCTATCTTCTACTTACTCGTCTAGTCAATTACGTGCTTAGAGGAGGCGACCTGTTCAACATGGTTCTACTTGTTCCCGATGACATCCCCGAAGACTCACTAGCATCGACTATAGACGGAAATGTGGAAGAGATGTGTGCTTTGTTTGAAGGCTGGGATCCACGGTTCGTTTTGCTCCTTCGATCCGAAGATTCCATCTAATGGGAGCAGAATTCAAAAGCTACTCAAGCTCTGTCAGTCCGTGCAGAAATGGCGTCTATGTATTCGCTTTGGCGACTACGACTGGACGCACCCATCAGGAGCATGGGTGATGATTGGAGATGCGGTCCACGCAACTCTGCCATATCTCGCCTCTGGGTACGTATTCACCACAGCTAAACAGTTTCGGTATACTGATATCAGGTGTCTAGAGCTGGCATGGCCTTCGAAGACGGCGCAGTACTCGGCGAATGCCTATCACGTCTCCCCCACGTTTCCAAGGACTCGCCCGAATTCCTAGAAGCGAAGAAACATGCCCTAGCCGTGTTCCAAGAATGTCGCAAGCAACGCACCAAAATGGTGGTCGAGCGAGGAAATATCCAGCAGTATCTATACCATCTCCGTGACGGCCCCGAGCAAGAAGAAAGGGACCGGAAGATGCAGATGGTGCCTACGCCCGAGGGAGAGGCTCTCGCTTGGCGAGATCCAGGTCTAGCTCCGAAGCTGCTTGGATATGACCATATTGCCGACGTACGTTGTCCTGCAATTCTTCTACGGTTACCCGCTAATACTTTGACCAGGTCGATCGGTGTTGGGGAACTGCCCACGGAAGTGACAATATAGAATCTCGCCTGTGACTACATAGTATGCTAAATGGGATCAAATGAAATTGTACTTTTGAAATGTATACGGTGCCCCTGATAGTTGCAAAGGGACGGCTTGGGGGCTTGGCCATCTTATCGCTGGACGGGGCCCCGCCCCCATCTTTTATTCTACAAGGCTGCTGATGTACGCTAGTCTAGCGCCCCTCGGACTGACAGCGAGCTTCCGAGACGATATGCATATCGAGTTGGATTCATCCCCGCTTTAGGATGCTCCCCATCCTTGAAAGTGTGACTGATATGACCTTCCCCGCTCGTGTTATCGATTATATAGGCGCAACGAGAGCTTGCTTCAAGATGAAGGCAACAACGATCAATCAGGCTATTGAAGATTACACATCTTGAATAATAATGTGGCGCCTATTCAACTGGTCCTCAAGCTCGCCCGCGAAAGAGCCACCACGAGGCCTTCCAGCATCATGGTATCGATCCGAAGCGCTCTACCAACTCGAACGGCGAGCCATCTTCTCCAAAAGATGGTTATTGCTCACCCATTCCTCCCGATTTGGCAAACAAGGCGACTATCTCTCATTCACCGTTGCCAACCTATCTTTCTTTCTCGTTCGAGACCGCGACGGAAACATCAATGGCTTCCACAACATCTGTCGACACCGCGCCTTTCCCGTCGTTCAGTCTCGGTCCGGATCCGCTTCGATTCTTAGCTGTAAATACCACGGCTGGTCATATGCTCTGAAGGGGAATCTTTCCAAAGCACCCCGCTTCGAAATGGTCCCTGAATTCGACAAATCTCATCATGGACTGCTACCTGTACACGTCCACATCGACAAAGCCGGTTTCGTCTGGGTGAATCTACAAGCAGGTGATCCGGAGGTGAGATGGGACGAAGAGTTCCAAAAGATCGATGAGCAACCACGCATGCAAGACTTTGATTTCGCGGACGATTACACATTCGACCACTACTGGGAAATGGACGTCGATGCCAATTGGAAGGGCTTAATTGAAAACTACAATGAGTGCTATCATTGCGCCACTTCGCATCCGCTTATTAGTGGCGTTTCGGATCTGCCGAGGTATCGGGTTGAGCCGAATGCGGGCTATATGGAGCATCATATTTTCAATAAGGAGCAAACTGATAGTCAGTTTCGGAGGGCTATTACTTATTTCTTTCCTACGACGTCAATTACCGTTACGTATGTGTGGTGAAGTTCTTTTCTGATGCTGGAGATTGTATACTGACTATGAAATAGGGATAAATTCTTCTACATTCAACGCATGATCCCTGTGACTGCTACTACCAGCAGAGTCGAGAATGAAGTCTTTCGGCACAAGGATGCAACGGACAAGGAATTTGAGGATATAAATGCTTTTTATCGACAGGTGCTCGATGAAGATCGAGAGCTTTGTGTCGGGGCACAAGAAAATTTGAGTGCAGGGGTTTTTGTCAATGGAGAACTTCATCCGAATAAGGAAAAGGGTCCGATCCATTTCCAGGAGAGTGTCAAGCGAATGGTCATGGAGCACAGAGCCAAAGAAGAGCAGAGCGGACGGAAGGAAATTTGGCCTGCTCTCCCTCAACTTCGCAGTACCATGACTGAAAAGCTGATTGAGGAAGAGAAGTTCTGCTCGCAGCTCGAAGCGGCTAGTTGTATGAGCAGGCCCGACTTTGCATGGTAAACGAGATCTTAGCTTTTATGGCACTATGTGGAATACTCACAATGCATCATATCTTCAATTTACCTGTCTATCAGTAAATCATTCTCTATGCTACCCAGTAATCACTCTTGACTCCCTAAAAGTTCCACTGCTCCAGCCAGTTCTGCATCAGAGAAGCAGAAACCGGACCCAGAGCCTCCATGGTCTTGCTAGCCTGCTTCGCCTTCTGTACATCAAGAGGAACGGACATGGCACCATGTGCCCCGTCGACAAGCCCACGGTAGAAGCTCAGTAGCTTGAGAGCTGGTTTTTCAGCCACTTCAGAGTTTGTTGGTTTTGAAATACCCTCGAGCTCGGCGACCCACGCAGAAAAGTCTACTGGTGTGACATCGTACTTTTGCTGGATGGTGGGAACAAGAAATGACCAGTCCACCTTGTTTGTATTTGTGAGGTGGAAGAAGGCTGAAGGGGACTTTGACTGGTCTCTGTGTCTGGAATGAATGATTTCGATCATGATTGAGGCGAGCGTGTCCTGTCCATGTTAGCATCTGGGAAGTTGAAAGGATATTGTCGACGTGACTTACCACTGGCACCCAGTCCACCGCCGTAGACCCCAGAGAGTTTGGAATCTTCCCCATAGCCTTGGAAGTAGAGATAATAGTCGGAAGCCATTCATGAGGATTCCACTGTCCACTCGGTGTTTTCGGGCCGGCAATCTGTCCCACACGGTAGACAGTGGTCGGGACATGACTCTTTCGAGATGCCCCCAGACAGATACGCTCAGATATATGCTTCGATTCACCGTAGCCCTGAGGAAGAACTACAGAGACATCTTCCATCGGCACCTCCGGTACCAAGGAACCCATCTGAGGAGTCCACCCGCCAACTGTGCTGATAGAGGAGACGAAATGGATGTGGGCGTTGTATCGGCTCTTCAGACTGAAGTCCACGAATCGGCGCATGCCGCTGATATGGGTGTCTTCGAATGACTCGACAGAGTGGTTGAAGTCCACTTTCCAGGCGTTGTGAATGATTGTGTCAACATATTGCAGCATCTCTTGATATTTGGCCTCGTCAAGGCCGAACTGTGGCTCTCCGAATGATGTTTGAAGGAATTCGACTTTTGTTTCCAAGATACTGGAGTCGAAGGTCAGGCCCTTTTCTTCTAGGCTCTTCCTCTGTCGGCTCTTTGCGTCGGAGCGGTTGAGACAGTAGATCTTTGAGATGGATGGGTTGTTGAGAAGATCATGTAGGAGGTATGTACCGAGCGAGCCAGTGGACCCTGTCAAGATAATGCTGGAGGGAGACACCGGCCCATCTTGAGGAGCAGTGCGATCAACAGGAAGATTGGCGGTGTACTTTTCCACCAAGTTCTGAATCTTCTCATCTCGAGGAACGATATCCTCAGACTTTCCTTCCAAGATATTGAGAATCACCTTGGCCAGACGCTCCACCGTGGGGTTGGCGTAAAGCGTTTGGGCCGTGATGACTGCTGGAAATAGCCCTGGTCGACGCGCCTGAATACCAATCTGCAAGGACTTGGCGATTTGGATCGTCATCAAAGAGTCCAGACCGAGACTGTACAGATCCTGTTCGATCGGTACATCCGACTTCTCAAGAACCCGTGAGACAATCTGGCAAATGTATGTCGCAACTCCGGTCGCATCAAGGATTTCGGGAAGACATTCTTTCAGTTCGTCTTCCAGACCAGCCTCATAGATTGCATCGATCTCATTCTCGTAGTCTCGAAGTACAGCACGTCTCTGCGTAGACCCCTTCGGAGTCATCTTGAATGGCTTTGCCTTGGACGCAAACCCAATCTTACTCTTCATGACTCGTCCATGTGCAGCAATCGTCTGATTTGCTGCTTGAATAGTCGGCCAGACTTCTTCGATGAAGAGTTTCGAGTCCAATTCCGGTGAGTCTGGGTTGGGCTCAATCAGAAGACCAGCTTGGAATCGAGACTGGCCAACAACAAGCGCTCTTGAAACCAGCGGGTGGCCTTCAATGATGAGCTCCATAGAGATTGGATTGAATTTCTCTCCGTTGCTCAGGACAATCACGTCGTCCTGTCGGCCGCTATACTTCCACAGGTTAGGGTTTGTGGGGTGCCGGATGTAGAGATCGTTTGTTCGGTAGAGGTCGAGGTCCGGGAATGTATGGAAGATTCCCTGGAAATCACGGTGACCCTCATGGCGACGGAGGACCATCTCATAGAGATCTTCACCGATACTCTGCATCTCGATGCCATATGAAGGGTTCCATTCGAAGTAGGACCAGTCGGCTGCATTTTCTGGGACCATTGCGAGAATCCAGCCGATTTCGCTGGCTCCGATGACTGAAACTATTCTGGTGTACTTGCGCAGTCGCTCACCAGTCTCAGGGGACAGTGGAGCTCCGCCAAAGTAAATAGACTTAAGACCTCGCAGACACTCAAGTGCCTTGTCGTCGTGGCTCATATCTTCTAGGACGGATGGGGGCAGGAGCGCAGCTGTGGGTCGAGTAATTTTCAGAAGATCAACCAAATAGCCCACCGAAAGCGGCTTGTCGAGGCCGATTAGGACCGGGACACTGTGGAAAATAGACATTGCAAAGGAGAAGAAACCCATGAGATGGAAAAAGGGCGTCGTCGCTAGAACAAGATCTTCTTGGGACATGTGCCAGAAGGAAGCTGACTCGCGACCTTCTGGCCAGGGGATTTTAGACATGGTGTCCAGGGTTGCCATGAACCCATTAGTGAGGTAGACTGGCTTTGGCATGCCTGAAAGCAAATTCAGTAGATGAACGAGCACGTTTAATAATAAATGGGGCTTACCAGTAGTTCCCGAACTGTGGATAATGCAAGTGGTGTTGTTCTCGACCTCCGGATAAGTCTTATCACAAGCATAATGACAAAGTCCGCTCTCATCGCTGATGAGCGTCTTGAATGTTGGAACCTGGAAGACTTGAAGACTCGGACGGAGCGACTGGACTTCTAAGACTCGTGAGCTTCTTTCTTCGCCGTAGAAGAAATGGGAACAGTTCGTCTTCTCAAGAAGATGAATAAACGCTTCGTCTGAGTTTCTTGTGGAAGGAAGGAATGCCTATGATGTACCATATTAGTATTAACAACGACGCAGCAAGCAGAAGAGACCTCCATACCTGATGGCCAGTCTTTTGGCAGGCAAGAATGAAAATGCAGTAGCGAGCGTCATTGCTGGCCATGTAAGCCAGCGTCTCTCGTGGCTCTCCGGCCCCGATAGTTCTTTCAATAAACCAAGCCATGGAGTTCACAGCTCGAGCCGTGTCCTTCATGGTCAATTTCATGAAGCCATCCGAAAGCTCATTCCCATTTGGAACCACAGCGAAGACTCTTTCCGGCTCATTTTGGGCAGCATGATCCACCGTTGTTGCCAGAAACCGCTTGCTTGCTGGATCCATGATGTATCTCGATCAAAATGTCAAGTCAATCAATCAAAAAGTTTGTAGCATGCAAAAAGATGCACAGAACGTGCAATGAAGAGCAGATGCGCCGAATGGGAATATTGCAAAGTTGTCTGGTGGGGGTAGGGGAGTGGGACCCATTTTATAGACCTGGTGATCCCAACCTGAACACATCCCCTCGCTCACCATGCCGGATCAGGCGGGCTCAGTTCTGCCCATTGTCGTGGGTCCGCGAGGCTTTGGTACATAGTCTGCCAATCGTTCCCGGGCCAATGGCCTGTTATCCAGTCAGTCCTCAAATAAGTGGGTATCGCTATGCTCGATTTCGTCGTCATAACGGCTTGTCCTCCCGCCATAACTTCGGGTGCCGCTTGCCGGAAGATCGACCGACAAGAGATTTTGTGACGAACTCAAAGGTTACGTCCATCTTGGTGGATCAATGAACGTTGCCGCTGATTCCTTGTCCACCGTCGTGGACTTTTTGTGTTCCCCCGGCAAGGCTGCCCGGCTCGCTGGTAGTCCACTTGCCACTAGCGCAGTACAAGGGCTGAGAGCCTTGTCAGTCACGTTGAGAGGCTCCACTAATTGCGGTTGATGGCACAGAGAGATTGTGCTCGTCCCTGTCAGTGGTCATCCTATTTTTGCAAAGTTGCAGCCGATGTCAAAGCCGGCCGTGGGCACGGGTCCACGTCTCAAGTAGGGCGGTTATCTCCGAGTCTGCCGCCGCGATGATGAGTGTTTGCTTGTTTCTGGGATTCACGGATGTACAAAGCTTGTTCGAGGCATATTCTTTGTGTACTAGGGGCAGTCGAGACTCGCGGCGCATCGAAGCCAGACCCGCAGATTCTCCGCTGTAGTTTAGCTGAGAAACTGCTGCACGAAGTCCCGCGAGGTCTCACCAAGATCCATAGTCCTTGATAGCTTGCATATTTCCTCTTTCGTACCATATCATCCGAGGAGTTGAGATCGGTGCCAGTCTTCCGATCAGCGGAGTATGAGAAATCGATGCTGTGTGATGTGAGGCGGGCATAAACATATCCACGTTTATGACGCACCACCCACCATTTCCTGCGACTTGTGGCTCCCACGATTACAAATCTTCTTCAATCGTACTGCAGACCCCTGCTAGTTGAGCTTGGCTAATTCTACTCCCAATCTGCACTAAATCCACTTTTCCGCCCGATTTCCGCGCGATGGTGACATCGCGTGCACGTGACTCGATATGAGATCGGCTACCGGCGCGATCACCTTTGCTTCTTCCGTGCATTGGAGCAGGCCAACACTAAATCAACAAGGGTGTTGCAGCAGAACCCCGCCAGAAACCCATCCCTTCAGCTTCTCGAACCCCAATTGAGCCCCAATGAAGCCTGCCTGGTATCTGGCAGCAGCGACGGCCTTCACCGTGGCCATCGCTTCTCCGCACCCCGCATACGAGCAACAACCGCTCGGCAACTTGCTCTCACAGCCGACCGACGGCCTCAGCCTGATTCAGGGACAGGATGACGTCGAATCGGTTATCAGGAAGAGCCCTCTGCTCTCTTTCCATCGCGATCTCGTCCAAATCGAGTCGATTTCGGGCAATGAGCATGATGTCGGTCTTTTCGTTGCGGAGTACCTCGAGTCGAAGAATTTCACCGTCGTCAAGCAGAAGGTTGAGCCGGTAAAGAAGGATGACGTTAACGATGACTCTGAACAACCCAAGACGAGATATAACATCTACGCCTATCCCTATTCACACTCGGAACCGCCTTCTGTCCTGATTACCAGCCACATTGATACCGTCCCACCATTTATCCCGTACTCGGTTCACGAGCCGACTTCGCAAGATGCGGATGATCTCGTTATCGCGGGCCGCGGATCCGTCGACGCGAAGGGCAGTGTGGCGGCTCAGGTTTTTGCTGTGCTGGAAACGCTTGAGGAGAACCCCGATGCGAATCTGGGTCTGCTCTTTGTTGTTGGCGAGGAGATTGGTGGCGACGGTATGAAGACCTTCTCCAAATCTGACCTCAACACCAATAGCGCCTACCACACAGTTATCTTCGGAGAACCGACCGAGGCCTCCCTTGTCTCGGGTCACAAGGGCATGCTGGGCTTCAAGGTCTTCGCGCACGGCAAGGCCGCGCACTCTGGATATCCGTGGTTGGGAGATAGCGCTGTCTCAAGCATGCTGCCTGCACTTCTGCGCGTTGATAGATTGGGCCAGATCCCCGTTGACGAGGGTGGTCTTCCTGCCTCGCCGAAGTATGGGCCTACGACGCTGAACGTCGGTGTCGTGCGTGCGGGTGTCGCGACGAATGTTGTTCCGGCTGAGGCGATGGCTGATGTCTCCGTTCGTCTTGCAGCTGGTACACCTGATGAGGCGCGGGAGGTAATTAAGAAGGCTGTGGAGGATGCGACGAAGGATGCGGATGCGGAGGTCGTGGTTGATTTTGCCAGTCACGGGGAGTCGTATCCGCCTCAGGATTGTGATACCGATGTTGATGGGTTTGAGGTCATTCCTGTCAACTATGGTACTGATGTTCCGAATCTGAAGGTCAAGGATGGCGTTAAGCGGTACCTCTATGGGCCTGGAAGCATCTTTGTTGCCCATGGTGATAATGAGGCTCTCACCGTGCGTGACATTAAGGATGCGGTTGCTGGGTTCAAGAAGTTGATTGAGGCTGCTCTGGATAGAGAGTAAGGATGACACTATTTGTATCTGTCCCATTGGGTAGAATTATATAGATCGATTCTGTCTTGAACATCTCTAGAAAGCAAGAAATTAATATCAAAATATTCAAATATTGCCTTCTGACTATCAAACGACATCCAGAGCGAGAGGTCCATGTGGCCAAACAGAGGGCATCGACTGCGCGCAGTAAGATGGAAATAAGGGAGCATATCTTTACCGTCACATTTCCACTCTCATCCACCTCACAATAGCCATGTCGAACTCATTAACGAGCATGTTGGTTTAATTGGACAATACAAAAATCTTGTAGACTGGCGCCTCCGATACATTTTTGGACGATCTCTAAAAAATTCATTATGTACTTCCTATTCGGACATATAGAATGCTCATAACCATGATAAAATGTCCTTATGAAATTTTTCGTGTATAGCAACATGTTCTCAGCCGACTCAAAGCTAGTCTGATATACAACACTGGAAAGTAAAACCAAACGCCAACCCTGTAAAGAAACCAACACTCAGATGTTATTGTTCAGCCTGGCGAGGCTTCCTCTGCCAGCCGGTCTTCAATTCACCCGTAGGCCTGAACCGCGGTAAAGGATGCGCCTCGGTATTGAAGACATGGTCTTCGAGGGAAATGAAGTCGCGATCCGAGAATAACAGGTAGAAGTACTTGAGAGTTTCGGCCATCCAGAAACTCTCCATGTTATCGCGCTTGTCGGCGGGGAGTTTGTCCGCGTTGGAAAGGGATGTGAATCCCTTGACACGGTGGATATTTCTGTTGCTGCCTGGGGTTGCGGCTGTAGAGGGCTTCTCTTCGTACACGGCTGTGTGCTCGACGAAAGACTTGAACATCTCCCACCCCCATTCACGGTACATCTCGTCGCCGGTGATGCGGTACATGTAGAAGAGAGATTCAACAGTCTCAGGGCGTTGTAAGTTGTGGCGGTCATTGGCGTGGATGACGATGTCCTTGCGCCATGCTTCTGAGCCATCAACTGCAGTGGTCAGTGGTTGAGAAATGCCTCTCATCTCATATGGTGATCCGGCCTTGGAAGGCTGGGGGTATTTATCTCCCATCATGACGGGCTCCTTATCCAGGACAAAGTGGGAGATTTCGGGGGCCAGGCCTGTTGCTGTGTTGATGTATGTTGCCCAGCAGGTCTTCATCAGCTCACGAGAGATGAGGATCTCCTCTTCCCGCTGCTGAGACCAGGCAGGTGACTTCCTCGCCACAGACAGTGGCAGACCACTCGTCGCACCCAGTGCAATAGTTCCGGGCATGAAGCAGGCCAGGTGATCCATCTTGGGCGAAAGGGATTTATCCAGGCCCGATGGACGTTCGCCCAGCACCATGAGCTGCGCATTTTCAGAAAAGGCAAGCAGATGCTTGCGGATGCCTTGCATAGACTCATCCCACATCTCTTTGTACACAGGCTCCTGTTGAGAGGTCTGAAGATACTGCTTGATGAGATACTCTGCAATAGGATTTAGTTAGCCTTGATAGTTTGCACTAGTTAAGGAGGCGATAAGTGGTCTCACCATAGTAGGAGTCACCTCGGCTACCAAGGCGAATGTTATCTCCTTTGAATTGACCAGACTGGGGGTGAATGTAGATAGGAACAAGGCCATCCTGCGGATGCTGCTCGTCCACAACTTCCATGACCTTCTCCACGGCCTTCCAGTACTCAGCTTCACCGGTCAGCTTTGCCAAATACTTGAATTCAAGCTGAACCGACGTTGCCTCGGCGGTGGAAGATGCGCCGCCATCACTGTGCGCTTCGATGCCCGCGGAGGTATTCAGATTAACACTTGCAAGTGGAATTCCAGAATGCGTCTCAAAAGCTCCAAGCAATCGGTCTGCCAGGTCAGTGGCCTTTTCAATGTACAGATCCTCTCCAGCGGCACCCGCATCATCGTCCTTGATTGGTGCGAGAGTCGGATATTGTGTTGAGAGGTAGTGTGCCGATAATAATCCTCCGAGCATGCGAATGGTTGTCTCGAATGTACTAACGTCGTGGTCCTGGTTATACTGTAGCGAGGTGGCGATCCATTGTCGCGCATGCCGGACTTGGGCTGTGAGGTTCATGATAATCATGGTGTCCAATGAATCGACGATGATCCATCCCATGCCACCTTCAACCATGTTTTTGTTCCTGCCTGACACCGGAGAGTATTCGTCGGCGCCTTTTCAATTCCTCCCATTAGTCCCTGTAAAACCGCAGATTGCTTTTATTTGTAGAGCTTACCCCATGCATCCTTTTCATAGCCTTCCCAGCTAACAATCAATGTGTCTCGCACTTTTTCGCGGCGCGCATTCCAATCGATGTGCTTTTCTGGCGCAGACGATTCCTGGAAAGTCTGAATCCATTTATATAGCTCGGCGCCTTTGTCTCGCGAAGCCGAGGGCTTCCATGTCGTCGGGATAGTCGACTTATTAAAAAAAAGGTAGACAATTGTACATAGACCCAACAGGGCCAGTAAGGGTCTCCATCTCTTCCTCGGAGCTGTCCGCCGCGGGGCGAAATGTGGTTTATCTTTGTACATTGGGAGAGCACGCTCGTTTCCGAAGAAGCTGTTCAATTTGTTGGGTATTCCGCCAGGATTCGAGGACAGGCCGAGACCAGCAAGGCCGCCCTGGGAGTTGTAGTTGGCGGGGGAGAGACGACCCGGTGGCCGTGGCGAGTGGCTAAGGGAGGAAGTAGGGTAGGGTGTCTGGAAAGACATGGTTATCCTGTGATCCCCCTCTTTCGTATCTATATCCTAAATATTCCGGACCTGTTATAGGAGCATGGGAGCGACTCGAGGGATGGTTCGATCTCGTTGGAAACTCGAGCTTGACGGCTGGTATCGAGTGCGACGGGTTGGGATGAGGGTCGGTCTAGCGCGTCGCAGGCAACTAGACTGTCGAAGCTGTCTGGGTGAGCTTCGAAAGGGTCCAGGTTCCGGTCAATATCGTCTTGCCAGGTGGTCCCTTGCGCGCGGTCTGGATTCCGCGGTATCACACGAGTTGTAGGGGCCAAAAGTCAACTCGAAACATGCCAGCGTGTGCTCAACGGTAATTTCTCCGATTGCGCGTTCCCGGCCAATCCTGAGTACGAAATGGATGGAGTAATGTCGATCACTCGGGCCACTGACACGGCTCCAGGAATTTAAGACAGTAACGACCTGCCTCGTTCGTCTCGTTCTGCTGCTGGGAGCTTGCGATCAGGGGTGCTTAGAAGCTGGGGAAGTGGAGAAACCCTGAATGTTCAGGTCCCGACCGAGTCCTCGTCACGGGGACACGGCGGGCGCTGCCACGACATACTGCGATGATAGTGGCATGTTTCGTCTCGTTTTTTTGCTATATTTGATGTTGGGCCGATCTTTACGGCGTTATTTTACTTGATCTGATTCGCACTATCATGATTCCCTTATTGGCTGCACTATGTACTATTGAAGTGAAATTGGGAAATATATAAACTGCCACATACTAAAACCGCACTCAAGTGTATGTCGTAGATGTATATCTTCAATATACCTCAACCTTGAGGCACTGAACCGTTTACACGGGATTTTTGCAACTTTGATCCTGTCCAGAACTGCTTTCTAGTTATACTCATGTGGCCTTACCATGGCTGCAGTCTCTAAAGAAATTTTACTCATACGATACGATTCGGAGCATGAAGATAGTCGTGACCGGATCTCAAACGGTTATAGGATTCGAACGGGCACGATAATGTGCCGGACCTGTCAGCAGGTACATACAATTACAGCTTCTGGTATTCAAGCTTGCCCTCCAGCTTCTTCGCCTCAGCCACCTTCCGTACCGCCTTGTTGAAGTCGTCCTGGTTAACTGCATCGCGGTAGTCCTTGATGGCGAACAAGCCGCTGTTGAAAGGGTTAGCAAAACCGAAAAGAAACAGGGCAAACGTAGGGCAGAACTCACGCTTCGGTCACCACGTTACGCAAATCAGCACCATTGAGACCGTCACTCATCTTCACCACACTCTCATAGTCGAGATCGCCATCCACTACTACTGTGCTGGTGTGGATCTTCAAGATCTCGAGACGGCCAACCTCATTAGGCAAGGGGATTTCAATTTTCCGGTCCAGACGACCGGCACGCAACAAAGCCGGGTCCAGGGTATCCGGTCGGTTGGTGGCCATGATGATCTTTGTCTTTCCAAGGTAGTCGAAGCCATCCAGCTGGTTGAGCAGTTCCATCAGTGTTCGCTGAATCTCTCGATCTGCCGATGTACCCTCCGAGAATCGTCGACCACCGATGGCGTCGATTTCGTCCATGAAGATGATACACGGCTCGTGCTCCTTTGCGTAACCGAACATTTCTCGGATCAGCCGAGCGGATTCACCGATATATTTGTCGACGATTGCGGAAGAGACCACTTTAAAGAGAGACCGGGTGTTAGTATCATGCCGTAGATCAGAACTCAGACCAGGGGTACTAGATCGGACTCACCCTTCAGGAAGTTGGTCTCCATTGAGCTGGCCACTGCCCGGGCAAGCAGCGTCTTACCGGTACCCGGAGGACCGTAGAGCAGGACACCCTTGGGGGGCTTGATGCCTACTCGGAAGAACAGTTCGGGGTTCTTCAGCGGCAATTCAATGACCTCTCGCAGCTCTCGGATCTGATCATTCAGACCACCAATTCCAGCGAAGTTGATTGACCCGGGATCCTCCAACGACATGTTGTACACCAGCGGATCGACCTCACGAGGGAGCATCCGCATAATGGTAAGAGTTGTCATATCCAGGGCCACACGGGTACCCTGCTTCATCTTGGCCTTGTCGACCTTTGAACGGCACCCAACCACATACCGGGGCCCCGATGACGCCTTGACAATAACTGAGATAGGTCAGCATCTGATCGTCTCGATTCAACAATTGATGGATTTATTGTTGGGACACGTACATCGTTCCTCATCCAGCTGTTTCAGCACCTCACCAATGATCTGACCAACACTCTGTAGTGCCTTGATGTTGTCTTCGGAGACATCAAACTCTCGCTGAAGATCCTTGATCCCCATGCGCAGCGACTTCAGCTTGGACTCCCATTCTCGTAGCTCCAACAAGCTCCTTTTATAGTCTTCGAGCGCCTGCTCCCGCTCGGGGTCACTGGCGCCGCTCATGATGGTCGGCGGACGAGAATTGAAGGGGATCGGGTGGAGGAACACAAAGACGGTAGGAATGTGTGTAAGATCTGTTAACGGATGCCTCTATCCACAAGGAGGGATAGTTCGATGGACGGATTGGTAGAAAGGGCAACAGACGCAACCTGGGGAGCTTCCAGCACCGCCCGTCGAGGAGCTTCCAACAGGATCACCTGACCACGCGCGTTGCCATCATGTGACTTGCATCATCAACATTAGTCATTTGAAGCCCCAGGCATTAAGGCAGAAAGTATGTCAGGCAACAAGGCTACAAGGCTACAAGGCATCACTCCCTCCAAGTCGACACCTGAGGCAACATAGGTGTCTTCGTCATCCATCGCTAGGCCTCGGGGGTGAATGCGACGTCAGAAGGTCCCCCGACCAATGGGTCCTCAATGCTGGGCATTCCCCTGTGCGGAAGCTTATACGGAATTTGCAAAGTCTGGGAGACCTGAAAAATCTGCTCAATGCAGGTTGCTGCGACAGAACCGAGCCCGAATGACCTGTCGAGCTAGTTCGTAGCCCACACATGAAGGTACCTAATCAGAACGGAAGCATTTGGAGGGGTAATATGACGCTCCCGAGCCGAAAAACGAGGTAACCCGGGGCAGAATATACATCATTGCCCAGCAGCTTCCGAGGGACGGGAGATCTCGCAGCAGCGTAGGCCGCAGACGGTCGGATCAGCCAGCAAGCGCTGGAGAAGGCCGTGGAGGCCCCACCGCCGCATTGGAAAGAATCGGAGGGCAGCAGTGACCTTTCCCGGGGTTGATGCCGCCCAGCAAGTATTTAAAGAATCGGGTGTTTCCGTAGTTATCCGTCTTTCTTGATCTACTTGCTGTTTACATCTCCCCCGTATTCTCTAAGGTGAGTTGCGTGCATCACATCATCTACCCCGCCATCCCCCAAACTGCCCCTCCTCCCCAACTGCTTCAGCAGTACTGCACCTCTTCTACACCTACACCTGCTCGTATCGACTACGAGGACCAATCCCCCGGACAACACATCTCCAAACGGGCCCCCGGTGACAATTGCCGCCAATTGCCCCAATCACCATCTGGTGAGCCCAAGCAAATCAGAACTCCCCCCCATTCCTCCCACTCGCCGGCCTGTCATTTTGGGTCATCGGTGAAGCTGTCCCCCCGCCGTTAGTCACACGCTGCGCCTGCCTATTAGACCCCCCAGCCCGCTGCTTTTCTCCTTTTCTTCCTGCAACTGACAGATTTCCCATCTTCTTTCAGACAAACTCCATCATGCCTATCGCCAAGGTTCACGCTCGTTCCGTGTACGACTCTCGCGGCAACCCCACCGTTGAGGTGGACGTTGTCACCGAGACCGGTCTGCACCGCGCCATTGTCCCCTCCGGTGCTTCCACTGGTATGTGATGGGTCTTCCCTGGATGACGATCATGGAGACACATTTTGCTGACAATGAAATCTAGGCCAGCACGAGGCCGTTGAGCTCCGTGACGGTGACAAGGCCAAGTGGGGCGGTAAGGGTAAGTACCATAATCTCGTTCAAGACCGAATGAGAAAGCAAAGCTAACAGACTGCTTCCATAGGTGTCCTCAAGGCCGTCGCCAACGTCAACGAGGTCATTGGCCCCGCTCTGATCAAGGAGAACATTGATGTCAAGGACCAGGCCAAGGTCGACGACTTCCTGAACAAGCTCGACGGCACTGCCAACAAGGGCAAGCTCGGTGCCAACGCCATCCTCGGTGTTTCCCTGGCCATTGCCAAGGCCGCCGCCGCCGAGAAGGGTGTCCCTCTCTACGTCCACATCTCCGACCTTGCCGGCACCAAGAAGCCCTACGTCCTCCCCGTTCCCTTCCAGAACGTCCTGAATGGTGGTTCCCACGCCGGTGGCCGTTTGGCCTTCCAGGAGTTCATGATCGTCCCTGAGTAAGTATCGACAACCCGAAGAAAGGAGGAATTTGAAGATGCTAACCATGGTTTGTTTTTAGCACCGCTGAGTCCTTCTCCGAGGGTCTCCGCCAGGGTGCTGAGGTCTACCAGAAGCTCAAGGCTCTGGCTAAGAAGAAGTACGGCCAGTCCGCTGGTAACGTCGGTGACGAGGGTGGTGTCGCCCCCGATATTCAGACTGCCGAGGAGGCTCTTGACCTCATCACCGAGGCTATTGAGCAGGCCGGCTACACCGGCAAGATCTCCATCGCCATGGACGTTGCCTCCTCCGAGTTCTACAAGACCGACGCCAAGAAGTACGACTTGGACTTCAAGAACCCTGACTCCGACCCCACCAAGTGGCTCACCTACGAGCAGCTGGCCGACCTCTACAAGTCCCTGGCTGCCAAGTACCCCATCGTCTCCATCGAGGACCCCTTCGCTGAGGACGACTGGGAGGCCTGGAGCTACTTCTACAAGACCTCCGACTTCCAGATTGTCGGTGATGACCTGACTGTCACCAACCCCCTGCGCATCAAGAAGGCCATCGAGCTCAAGTCTTGCAACGCCCTTCTGCTGAAGGTTAACCAGATTGGTACTCTGACTGAGTCCATTCAGGCCGCCAAGGACTCCTATGCTGACAACTGGGGTGTCATGGTCTCCCACCGCTCCGGTGAGACCGAGGATGTCACCATTGCTGACATCGCTGTCGGTCTCCGCTCCGGCCAGATCAAGACCGGTGCCCCTGCCCGCTCTGAGCGTTTGGCCAAGCTGAACCAGATCCTCCGTATTGAGGAGGAGCTCGGCTCCAACGCCATCTACGCTGGCAAGAACTTCCGCACCTCCGTCAACCTGTAATTGCAGCCTACCGAACATACAGGTCTGAAATGTTGGAGGCGATGAAGAAAAATGTGATGACTCGCCATCTTTTATGATTATGAATTTAATAAAATCTTCTGAATGAAAGACAATTCAAAAAATACACTCTCGTAGCAGCTCATACTATACCTGATCTGTCGATGATGGCACACGCCTCGATGTGCGTATTTTGTTTGTCATATATTCACACACCTCCGGAACACTGCATGCCCTCGACCTCATATTTTCTCAATTATATTTTACGCTCATATTATCTGTCTTCTCTTTCACTCTACAATCTATCGCCACTCCATACAAATCACGCTCGTCGGGCACCAAGGCCCCGAGATCACGTGCATCCCACCTCCGATATCCAGGTGGCCCACATAAAATTTGCCCTGCCCCTCCAACCTTTGTTGGTGCAGGTTCCTATCGCGGGCTCGTCCTTGTCCTCCGTTTCGTCTTGCGGACAGCGCATTCCTTCCTTCCGCCTCCGTTTTTCTTTCCATTCCCCGAACGCCCTTCATTTCTGCAAAAATGCCCCCCTCCAAGTGGGGTAAGTGCTTATCCTGCGACTATCGGCCGCCGCCACCATCGCTTTTGATCCTCGGGTATTGCGAGATCACGGCGCAACCTGGCTCTCGGTTGAGATAAAAAATCCTGCAACCTTTCAGCGACTCACCAGTTTAACTTTTAGATGATGAGGAGGAGAGTGACTCCTCTCCCGTTGTTGCTGCTCCCCGCCGCCGATTTGAGGATGAGGAGGATGACGAGGTAAGGGCTTTCCTACCAGTTCCAGGGTCAACCTGCGCCTACGAATATTTCCTAATGTCGTCTTTTTGAAACAACAGGTCCTCGACTCCTGGGATGCCGCCGAAGATTCCGAGGTAGAGCGCGAGAAAGCCAAGAAGGCCGAAGAAGCCGAAGCTGCGAAGAAGGCTGCCGCCGCCGCGAACAAGAAGACCAAGGCTCAGCGGATAGAGGAGCACCGCGACCAGCGCCGCCGCGATGCCGAAGCCAGTGGGGACTTCGACGCTGATGAGACCGAGGCCGAGCGCCGTGAGCGCATCCGCAAGCAGGAGCAGGATTCCGACCTTCAGCACGCCACTGACCTCTTCTCGGATATCGACATGAACCGTAACCGTGGAGCCCCCAAGGCTGTTGTTGTCACCGACTCTGCCGACCCTACCAACTCCATCGATCTGTCTTCCATGGCTCTGTTCAAGCCCACCACCAAGGATCAATTCAACCGTCTGTCCGATGTCCTCCTCCCTCTGCTCACCCCGCACTCCAAGAAGCCTCAGTACGCTATCTGGGCCCAGGACTTTGCTCGCAAGCTTGTCAAGGAGCTGCCTAGTTCCGAGATCAAGAAGATTGGCAGTGCGCTCACCACAGCTAGTAACGAGAAGATGCGTGAGGAGCGTGCGGCTGATAAGGGTAACAAGAAGACCAAGGCTGCTAAGACTAAGATCTCCCTTAATGCTAGCCGGGACAACCAGATCGATAAGAATCCCTACGAAGGTGATGATGGCCTTGGTGATGATGACTTCATGTGATGGATGAACAAATTCATTTTTCTTTACTTACTCGACTTCGTTTATTATTTGCTCCCACTCTTCATCGGGATGTCCCCTTTCTCGAAAAAGGAATCAAGCATCTCCGCAGAAAGATTCTCCATTTGTTCTCTGCCCGGTGGATATGTCTGCTTCTGTCCCGCCTTTCAATATCAAAGTGTGCATCCCTGCCCACCGCGGCCACATCTCAAATCACCCTGCATAAGTAAATAGATCGAATTGACCCTTTCAAACTCAACATACAAATTCAATTATTAGCATCTCGTCCATATACATTAGCTAGCTACTAGTCCATAAACCTGCTCACTCCTCGCCAATTCACCAACAAATCAATTAAACATTGAATCAAGCCATGCACTGCTCGCCGCCTTCCTCTCGCATTTACTCTTACTAATCATAACGATATGTAACGTAATCCACTAGCAAGTGAGACACACGGGCGCGTGAGACAGAAACCGCGGTCGCGCCCCAGCGCGTCAACCTCCTCATTTCAACTACCCACTATGCCCCCAATTCGCAGTCAAATTCCTCAAAATTCTATCAACCAAGAAGGTAGGATCCAGCTCGCAATACAAGCCTTTCAGAACGAAGAATTTCGATCAATTCGCGAAGCTGCGCGCCGATTTCAAGTACCTACCGCAACTCTCCATCGCCGATACAATGGCAAACTTCATCGGTCGGAAACCCGCGCCAGCAATTATAAATTGACTCCAACTGAAGAGGAATCGCTCCTACGGTGGATACTCTCTATGGATACACGTGGATCAGCTCCCCGGCCTTGTATGGTAAGGGATATGGCCAATATTCTACTAGCAGAGCGTGGTAGTCAGACTGTTGGAGTCAATTGGGTTTACAGATATACAGAGCGCTATGATGAGCTCAAATCGCGGTATTCTCGTCGATATAATTATGAGAGGGCAAATGCGAAGATCCAAGGGTTATTAAACCATGGTTCGACCTTGTACGACGCACGATCGATGAGAATGGTATCCAACCTGAGGATATCTACAATTTTGATGAAACTGGCTTCGCAATGGGGCTTATAGCCACTGCGAAAGTCATTACAAGAGCTGAATACTATGGTCGGAGGTCAGTTCTACAGCCAGGGAATCGCGAATGGGTCACATCGATTGAATGTGTGAATTCAACGGGCTTTATACTCCCACCATGCATTATCTTCAAATCGTCAAAGTACCAACAATATGCATGGTTTGATGACCTACCCGACAATTGGAGAATCGAAATCAGTGAGAATGGCTGGACTACAGACGAAATTGGGCTTCGATGGCTAGAAAAGCTATTTATCCCTGCGACTACTAGTCGTACTAGGGGTAAATATCGACTACTAGTTCTCGATGGCCATGGCAGTCATTTGACCCCCCGTTTTGATCGATTGTGCGAGCAAAATGATATTATTCCAATCTGCATGCCTCCGCATTCGTCTCATCTACTACAGCCTTTGGATATAGGCTGTTTTGCCCCCCTAAAGCGCGCGTATGGGAGCTTGATTGAGCGCAAAGCACGGTTGGGGGTCAACCATATCGACAAGTGATTTCCTTGCAGCATTCCCACAAGCTCGCAAAGAGGCCTTTAAACCAGAGACTATTCAAAATGCATTCGTCGCAGCTGGTTTAGTACCATATGATCCCGATCAGGTCATTTCAAAGCTTGATGTTCAACTTCAGACACCTACCCCCTCAGGTAGTCGACCAGGGAGCCAATCGAGCGCGTGGAGCCCTAAAACGCCGGCAAATCTCAAACAATTGAATCGACAGGGCTCTTCAATCAAGGCACTGCTTAAGAAACGTTCGCAAAGCCCTCCGACGCCTACGAATAAAGCTATTGATCAGCTCCTCAAGGGCTATCAGCAATCGTTGCATTCTAATGCAATCCTTCTAAAGGAAGTCCGCGATTTACGGGCTGAAAACGAGACACAAAAGCGAAAACGCAACAGAACGACTAAGCGCGTAGCTCATACGGAGGGTTTTACGGGCCAAGAAGCCAGGGAGTCGATGAACCAGGCTCATGAAGCTCCTAATACTGCCCCCGCGGAACCAGCTGCGTCAGCTTCCCAGCCAATTACACGCGCACCCCCGCGATGCAGCGACTGTCATCAAATAGGGCATAAAAGAACGCAATGCCCTGATAGGTCTAATAGATAGAAATTTGAAATCAATGGCGTTGTTGGTTTAATAAATTGGGTTGAAATTATAGTAGCTGGTTTTCTGTCTCACGGGCCCGTGTGTCTCACTCGCTAGTGGATTACGTTAGTTAACATAACGTAATTCCCTGCCGTTCGGAACACCCGCCCGTTCGGAACACCCCATCCAAAAACGCGTCTTTGTAACCACCCACCTAATTCAACCACCTACCATGCCACCAAAACGCGCCGAATCAGCGCAGAAATCGGCTAATCAAGAGGGCAAGATCTTATTAGCCCTTAGAGATATCAAAAATGGCCGTATCAACTCTCTTCGCGCTGCAGCGAAGCTATACGAAATACCACTCACCACACTACACTCACGCGCCACTGGCCAAACCTCACGCGTCGATAAGCGCCCAACAGGCCATAAATTGACCCAATTAGAAGATGATTCGCTTACTAGATGGATACTCTCTATGGATTCACGTGGAGCAGCGCCTAGGCCGTCTACTGTGCGAGAAATGGCTAATATTCTATTGGCTGCCCGTGGTGACGACCCTCCGGCTACAGTAGGCAAGAATTGGCCATCAAGCTTCGTCAACCGACGAGACGAGCTTCGTTCAACCTTCTCACGACGCTACGATTATAAACGCGCCCAAAACGAAGACCCAAAATCACCACGAACCTGGTTTGCGACCGTCCAACGTGTTATTGATGAGAATGGTATCCAACCGGGGGATATCTATAACTTTGATGAGACCGGCTTCGCTATGGGTCTTATATCTACACAACGGGTAGTTACAAGGGCTGAATATTATGGTCGGCGAGCGCTTTTACAACCGGGTAATCGTGAATGGGTTACTGCGATCGAAGCAGTAAGCGCTGATGGCTATTCGCTACCGCCTTGCGTGATATTCAAAGGCAAAAACTTCATCGCTTCTTGGTTCGACGAACAGCTTCATCTTCCAAAAGACTGGCGTATCGAGGTCTCGCCAAACGGCTGGACAACCGATGAAATTGGCCTTCGTTGGCTACAAAAGCTCTTTATTCCAGCGACTACAGCGCGTGCGAGGGGTGGATATCGGCTATTGATTCTTGACGGCCACGGTAGCCACCTTACACCTCAATTCGACCAAATCTGCGCTGAAAACAATGTGATTCCACTTTGTATGCCTCCACACTCTTCGCATCTCTTACAACCGCTTGACGTTGGCTGTTTTGCTATACTAAAACGCGCATACGGCCGCTTCGTGAGCGATCTAGCTCGTTGGTCATATAACACTATCGACAAATTCGACTTCCTTAATGATTACCCCCAGGCGCGTACCGAGGCCTTTCAACCACATATTATTCAAAGTGCATTCGCAGCTACTGGTCTTGTTCCAATTGACCCAGAACGGGTACTTTCGAAGCTTAATATCTCACTCAAAACACCGTCACCACCGAATAGCCGGCCAACCACCAGCGATAGCCATTTTAGCCCAAAAACACCCAGGACCGTCGTTCAACTAGAAAAATCAGCTTCGTTACTCAAAGATCTATTAAGACAACGGTCAAACAGCCCTCCGAGCCCATTAAAAACGCTGGTAGATCAAATCATCAAGGGCCATTACGAACAGCTTCATTCAACAGCGTTATTATTGCATGAAAACGCTAGACTACGCGTGGGTAATGAGAAAACACGCCAGAAACGCACACGGTCAAATCGGCAAATAGTTCACGAAGGAGGCTTGACAGTTGAAGAGGGTCAACAGCTAGTTACGCAGCTAAATCAGCTAGTTGAAGCTGATCGGGTCGTTTCGCATGAGCAGGCCGATGAGGCTATTCAACTAGCTCAGCCAGCAACCAGGGCTCTACCAAGGTGTAGTGGGTGTAGGGAAATTGGCCATAAGATCAATCAATGTAAAAATCGTCAGATATAGCTAAATTGATGCGTTTTGGTTGATAAATTTTTATGCAAAAATTTCTAATGGGGGTAGGTGTTCCGAACGGGCGGGTGTTCCGAACGGCAGGGAATTACGTTATACAGCCTCTTCTTCAATTTGGGAAATACTCCGTCCAAGATTAATATACCCCTCCTCCTCGAGGGCAAACAGCGCCTCTTTCAACCAAAATCGACAAGTAAATATACCATGGGGCCGTATCGCGCTCGACTGGAGTGGAACAATAGCCAGTCGATCGCCGAGAGCCTTGTGCAAAACAGGTTCTAGAGCGCCGATCTTCAGCGCGAGGAGCAGCGGTCAGAATGAGGGCCTCTCGGTTGTTGGTGCGCTATCGTATTCCCAAGCCGAGGGACCTTTGTCGTTTGCAACGCGGAAGAATGTCCCTTCCATGTGTGTGCGTGTGAGGAAGAGCTCCCAGTGGAAGTTGTAGCTGTCTCCGCGGCCATGAGGAGGATGTATAGGCAGTTTGGTTCGAAGACCATTATTGCGGGTATGTTTAGGTATGAAGAGTCCATGGCTGTTGATGGAATTTTTGGATTGGCTTTGAAAAACTTGAGAGGCTTGCTGAGAGTATAATGAGGAAAGGATGACTTGGGCTGCTATGCTTGAGGTGATGAGAAGGGAACAGGGGGGATTTCTCTTTAGATTTTATATAGAGAAGTGCAAAACCAGCTTCACCAATTTACACTCACTCATTCTTTCTGGGCCCCAACGCCAAGGCGCTAGGTTAGGAAATGGGTATATTTAAAAGGTCCTCTGTGTATTACGTGATGAACGTTCTGCTTCACGTGGCCATGGATTGTCGAAATACAAATGGCTTGCAATCCCCGGCGGGCAAAGTGGACAATATTTTCGCTTTCGCTGCCAAAACCTGTCAGCAGAGCATCTCTGAGCTTCTACATGTTATTCTATGTTAGCCCACCGGTCTCGTGACCTATAGGTCTAGACTCTTAGAATAATGAAGCTTTCCTGAGCTAAGCTCCGTACAATATTAGCCAAAGGCTTACTATACTCTACAACATAAAGTACATCTAATTTTATTCCTCTTCAACCACAACATTCGCATGCCGGAAATGACCTTCTGCACTTTCTCTTTTCGTCCCGACGACATCCAGACTCCATTCAAGAAAATCTTTGAAATCTTGACCTGCGTGTTTTTGCCAATTCCATTCTTACAAATGCTTTGAGCTCCGCAAAGAATTCTTCGATGGGGTTTAGATCAGGTGAGTATGGTGGTAAGTACAACAACTTGACAACGGCATTTGAGCATAGCTCTCCTATGCGTTCAGTATGGTGGAAAGATGCGTTGTCCATGATGAGGACAGATTTTGGCTCCGGCCATCTACCACAATGATGGAGGAGCTGTTCAATAAAGTCCTCGAACATGCTAGCATCTATCGATCCTTGGAAGACTCACGACATCATGATGCCATCCTGGCAATACGCCGGGAGAATCTAGTACCGCTGACCCCGCTGGAAATGGAAAACCTGGACAGGTGCCACGCCGCGGGGAGACCAGCCGTTCCTCTTGAAGCCAGCCCGTTTCTCACAGCCTCATTCGTCTATGAAGACTAGGTGATACGAGCGCAAACCTGATAGCTGATACAGATAGTGATCTCTTAAATCCGCATTTCGTTCTTGTGCTATTCTTTGAGCCACTTTCTTGGTCCAACCCTGCGATCGAGGGGCTCGACTGATAGTGTATGTGGATACTGTTGTGATATGAGGCTGGTGCAGATCAGGAACCAAGCCGAACTATCGGAATTAATCCCGAGATATCTATACGAAGAACCAAGTTTATTTCCAATCAAATTGGTCTTCTCGTTGTATATATATGGCCTAATGTTTCCCTCTGAACAATAAGACAATTCATACCTCTGAAGTACAACAGATACGAGCAGTTCGAATTCGTAATACAAGAATTCTGCCATTTCGTCCAAGTATAAGGACGGCTTCTCTAGCAAGTGGTCGCACAGCGCTTCTAGCATAAAGAGTGTGATCACACGAGGACGGCAACCGGGAATCAAGGGTACTCGGACATCGCTAAACATTCGTAGGTTGGCACTGTGGTTACGATTGAACGTTTACTCCAGCCAGCTGCTTCGGCCATCTGTGAAGTAGTCAGCGATCTGCTGCTGATCATATCGCGGATCATCTCAAGCGGATAGGGTGCAATCCGGGGCACCATAATGGTCTTTGTCGCGCTGTCAAGCGACGAAATTAGGGGAAGTGGCCGCAGGCTGCGGGGCATAACGATAGAATTCTGGGTCGGTTCGGGCCGACAGTCGACCGGGCAAGGGTACACATGATTAGTCATGTTGGCGCCTGAAGTGCACTCTGCATCACAACCTTGCACCCAGCCCCAAGCTTACCCCTCTTGATCTCCTCAAACAAGCCTAACCTATAATCCCGAACCCCGATTTCACACTTCAGTCGCTATTGTACCTGCCTAGGTTAGGATATTGGCCTTTACGCCGTGTCTTCCCGAATGGATGGTCTATCTTCGGTGGCGAGCGTTATCGCGGTTGTCCAAGTAACAGGAAGCATCGTGAAGCTTTGCGGGGGGTACATTCGAGAGGTTAAAGATGCACGGGACGAAGTTATTTCCCTACAACGGTCGATTGAAGGCATCCAAGGGACGCTACAGGACCTGCAGAAATGTCTTCAAAGTGACGACGGAAAGGCCCTACCTGCCTCCTCACGACTAGCCAACAATATTACCGATTGCCTCTCCGATCTCCGAGCCTTAGAAGCAAAGCTTGATCCCGGAAAGGGAAAGATGCTGATGAGGAAAGTGGGATTACGAGCACTGAAGTGGCCCATGAAGCGCGCAGAAGTGGAAAGCGTGAGACAGAAACTCGAGAGATATAAATCTTCATTCCTTTTGTCCCTACAGGTGGATCAAGCGTACGTTTATCCAGCACGACTTTATGACTCTATATGTTGACTTAGAATTTGGATAGGTCTCTGATGGTCGGCGTGGCCAAGAATACCGACCGCATTAATCAGAATATGGACCTTGGGAAGTTGGAAGGCGTGATGGAGGCAGGGTTTGAGTCATTCTCCGATCGAGACGAAGCCAAATGTCTCCAAGGCACTAGGACTGAGCTCCTTCAGCAGATAATGGAATGGGCTATGTCGCCGTCCCAAGAAAAATGCATTTTCTGGTTAAAAGGAATGGCTGGGACAGGAAAATCCACAGTATCTCGGAGTGTGTCCCAGTCGCTCAAGGACACCAACCACCTAGGCGCCAGCTTCTTCTTCAAGAGAGGTGAGGGAGACCGAGGGAACGCGAAGAAGTTTTTCCCAACAATAACAAGGCAACTCATTCTCAAGATTCCTGAGCTAAGGTCTGGCGTGCAGAAGACACTCAATAACGACCCTGACATTGCTTCAAAATCGCTCATGGAGCAGTTTGAGAAACTACTCCTTCACCCGCTGCTCAATCTTGACCAACTGGGTGGGCAATCTCAAACTGCTGTGATGGTGATCGATGCTTTGGACGAATGCGAACATGATCAAGATATCCGAAATATAATTCGTCTACTGCCTCTTCTACAGAAGGCAAAATCAGTTCGCCTTCGGATCTTCTTGACCAGCAGACCTGAACTCCCAATCAGACTCGGGTTTTCAGAGGTGGGGGACCAAGAATATCAGGACCTAGCTCTTCATGAGATACCCGAAGAAGTGACTGAACGTGACATACATTTATTTCTACAAGACCGATTTAAGAAAATCAAACATGACAGAAATATCTTCGAGGACTGGCCTGGCGATAACATCATCCAAGAACTGGTCAGAATATCTGTTCCACTGTTTATTTCAGCTGCCACAGTGTGCCGCTACATCGAAAATTCAAAATGGGATCCCAAATTGCGCCTCGCAGAGCTTCTAAAGGACCAAGCCAGATATGTGTCAAGAATGGATAAGACATATCTGCCAATTCTGACGCAACTACTCAATGATCAAGACAGTGATGAGTCGGAACAGCAGCAGCTCCTACAAGAGTTCCAGGACATCGTGGGTGTCATCATCCTTCTTGCAGTTCCGCTTCCTATAAATACAATATCGCTGTTTCTTGGGATAGGAGCGGACCAGATCAGTAATCGAATGGATTCATTCCGATCGGTTTTTAGTATTCCCGGTGACCCAGATCAGCCTGTTAGGATCCTCCATCTCTCATTTCGGGATTTTTTGGTCCAGCCTAAAACCAAGTTTTATGTGGATGAACCAAAAAAACACAAAGACATTGCGAAATCCTGTCTTAGAACTATGCAGAGTCATCTACGAAAGAATATTTGCAATCTTTCAAGCCCTGGAACGCGTAGGGCAGAAATCCATTCTGAAATCATTCACCAGAATCTACCACTGGAATTGCAATACTCCTGTCGCTACTGGATACACCATCTCAAGCAAAGTCAGACTTCACCTTCTGAGATAGAAGATGTGCGACTATTCCTCCAAAAGCATTTTCTGCACTGGATGGAAGCAATGAGCCTGCTGGGCCATATATCAGAGGTGGTGGGTATGCTTGATCTTCTCCACATGGTTATAGCGGTAAGTATATAGTAGCCAGCTATTCGTGAGTTGTTGTTCTTAGTTTGGCCGATTTTCTACATGATGCACATCGGTTTTTTTTGAAAAATCGCCAGATAGCCGATGAAGCACCTCTTCAGATTTACTGTGCGGGATTAGTATTTGCCCCTCGAACAGCAATAATTCGTACAGAATTCGAGCAAGACCTTCCCAGTTGGATATGCCGTTTGCCACGAGTTAATGAAAAATGGAGTGCAGATTTGCAGACTCTCGAGGGCCATTTAGGCGCGGTTGATTCGGTGGCCTTCTCGCCTGATGGCCGGCTGCTGGCGTCCGGCTCTTCTGATGATACAGTGCGGCTCTGGGACCCTTCCACGGGCGCCCTACAACAGACTCTCGAGGGCCATTTAGGCGCGGTTAATTCGGTGGCCTTCTCGCCTGATGGCCGGCTACTGGCGTCCGGCTCTTCTGATCACACAGTGCGGCTGTGGGACGCGGCCACAGGCGCCCTGCAACAGTCCATCAAGTGCCATTCAGACTGGGTTAATTCAGTGGCCTTCTCACCTGATGGCCGGCTGCTGGCGTCCGGCTCTCAAGATCGCACAATACGGCTCTGGGATCGAGCCACAGGCTCCCCTGCAACAGACTCTCAAGGGCCATTCAAGCTGGGTTTATTCAGTGGCCTTCTCACCTGATGGTCGGCTGCTGGCGTCCGGCTCTCATGATCGCACAATACGGCTCTGGGATCGAGCCACAGGCTCCCTGCAACAAACTCTCGAAGGCCATACAGACTTGGTTCGGTCCGTGGCCTTCTCGTCCGACGGCCGGCTGCTAGCGTCTGGCTCTGCTGATAACACAGTGCGGCTCTGGGAGCGGGCCACAGGCGCCCTGCAACAATCTCTCGAAGGTCATTCAAGCATGGTATCTTCAGTGGCCTTCTCACCCGATAACCGGCTGCTGGCGTCCGGCTCCTTTGATCATACAATGCAGCTCTGGGACACCGCCACGGGCGCCATGCAACAGACTCTCAAAGGCCATATGAGCTTGGTTCAGTCGGTGGCCTTCTCGCCCGACGGCCGGCTGCTGGTGTCCGGCTCCCTTGATGACACAGTACGGCTCTGGGACCCGACCACGAGCGCCCTGCAACGGTCTCTCGAGGGACATTCAGGTCAGGTTTGTTCAGTGGCTTTCTCACCTGATGGCCGGCTGCTGGCGTCCGGCTCCTTTGATCATACAGTGCGGCTCTGGGACACGGCCACGGGCTCCCTGCAACAAACTCTCGAAGGCCATACAGACTTGGTTCGGTCGGTGGCCTTCTCACCTGATGGCCGGCTGCTGGCGTCCGGCTCTTCTGATGACACAGTGCGGCTCTGGGATGCGGCCACGGGCGCCCTGCAACAGACTATCAAGTGCCATTCAGACTGGGTTTATTCAGTGGCCTTCTCACCTGATGGCCGGCTGCTGGCGTCCGGCTCTCATGACCGCACAATACGGCTCTGGGATCGAGCCACAGGCTCCCTGCAACAGACTCTCAAGGGCCATTTAAGCTGGGTTTATTCAGTGGCCTTCTCACCTGATGGCCGGCTGCTGGCGTCCAGCTCCTTTGACCGCACCGTGCGGCTCTGGGACCCAGACACGGGCGCCATACAAGAGATTTTGGACACTGAACGCGCTATCGTGGAACTCGAATTCTCTCAAGATGGTTCGTCTCTCAACACTAACCTAGGATCACTTAAGATTCAATCAAGGTGTAACAACACTATCTACAATTCACCTAATCCGAACCCAGAGATATTTCTACAGCATGATTTCTGGATAGCCTTGAACGGGAAACAAGTACTATGGCTCCCCCCCGAGTCTAGGCCTTCCTGTTCGGCCATAAGATCAAATACGCTTGCCTTGGGACACGCGTCAGGCCAGATTTCCTTCATTGAATTTTGGGTAGAATAGATGTCAATTAATCTGTATCTCCTTCCCTACATTTCTAATCTCTTTACAGAAAGATGGCCTGGAAGAGGAACAGAATTTGTTTGCTTTTCTTTCCTAGAACATGCTACATGCTTCCTCTACATTCCAATACAGTGTCGAATCTATAGGGTCTAGTCGCCACGGCTCTACTGTATCTCGCTGAGTATAGCGCATTCTCAAAAGGTGTAAAATTCCAATTTCTTAATTACCTATTTTAACATCATCAAGTCAGTTTAAACTCCTCTTTATTCACGATTTTCCTCATAAATTCAGTACGGAATTGTAGCTTCAGAACTTGGTGGGACTGCTAGCCAAGCTTTTATGCTCACATGCTGCGTGCCAGAGTCCACTGACTGACACTCAATTTCGGGGCTAGCGTCTTGGCGATGGACCCGGAATTAAGAGAAGAGTGTGAGATGGTGAAGCTGTTTTTGCACTTGGCTGTACATCACCTTTACACTTCTCCAGAATACAGAGGTGGCTACTAAAAAATTGTTGGGTAACTAATAAAAGGCCCGAAAACATGGCACCGGGATAACTAAGGGTTCGAAATGTCGTTCTTGGATATTCTATTTTCTTTTGACAGTTTTTCCCAGGCCGGATTGAAATGTAGAATGCAACTGAGCGTTTCTACCCAATACAGAAGGGCATTGCTTTGCTGTTGCTTGGGTGCATTCCGCATGCTGTATTCCGTAGTATAAAAGACTGGGGGTTTCTGTTTGATGCTTCGTCTGCATTTTGCTCTTGGTAACTTGCAGGATGAGAGGGAGGCTGCCTTTCTAATCATATCCTCGTGGGTGGCGATTTACAACCACCTCTTGCTTTTCCAGGGACAGATTTTCCTTAGTTTTTCGTCTCTGTGGTTCAAAGAGGGGATAGAGAGGGGAAGAAACTGTGGAATCTTGATTGTCCACAAACATTGAACATTCTCCAGACAGTTTGCTTTCGCTAGGACGACATGCATTGGTGGCAGCCCTACAGGAGAACAAGCAAATAACTAAAATTACCCCTCAATGAGCCTCAGCTCCGTACGTCTCGATCTCGGAGAAGAGCGAAGAAGATCTGGACCATGCAAGAGCAATACAAGACCTTCGAAAGAACTTGGACTGAAACCTGTCACATCCGTTGATCCTCATACCCACCAGTGATCCGTATTAACGTCCTCATGAGGCAGTAGTTTGCATGAAGCGCGGCAAATCAAGGCCCAGGAAAAGTTGTCGACTACCAGGGCCCGGCCATGACGACAGATGATCCCCTCACTTTCTGTCCACTCATTCCTCTCAGTTACCAGCAGGCTACCCTTTGTCTCCACTTGAATGTTGATATCTGGCGTTCTTTGTCTGGCATTGATGAGTGCCTTGTTGTTGTGTCCTTTTGGAGATTTACAACTCATCCTCTCTCTAGGTTCTCAGATATCGACTTCTAGTTCCCACCATTCAGCCGGAGTTTTACTTCTTGGGAATCTCTTGCCATGTGTCCAGTGATGAACTCCGAGTTGAACCAAATCTTCGCATGTGATAATGTCTCTTAGTAGCCCCTTAGGTTTGTGGAAGGGCCATGTGTCTACACACGGCTTTGCTAGAATCTGATTCTGTTAGCAGTCGACACAGTCGTAAAATATATGCTAGAAGGGGGGGGGTGATATCTTCTACTGAAAGACTCGAATAAACGAACTTGGGAACAGCCGTTACCCCGAGGGAAGGCATCAGGAATAGACATCGAATTGAGCCTCATTCTTCTTCGCACAACGCAGCATTACAATACGAATATCAAGCCAAGCGTAAAGTCTACATGAAATGGCTGGTTGTACTCAAGAGTCACGCAGGTTCTCGCGCGCGTGGGGCAGCCCCGATGCTTTCTTCGGTTACCACGGATAATAGCGGCGTTAACCATGAGTCCCCGGTCCAATTAAATGCATCATTTAATTCCCGTAGTGATAGTAGGCTTTATTATTGTACAGAGGCTCTAGAAATAGCGGTCAAGATCTAGAACTTCGCTCGTCTGCGATGGTTGATCTGTTTTCGTGAATGAAAGGCAGGAAATTGAAGACAAAATCCCAACTAGTTTTATCTAGCAGAATATCTACTTATCACTCATAACAACACTAACAGAAAAACAGCTAATCGAAGAAGACGAACGAATGTTGCTTTTAGCTCTGCTGACCTATACTCCACACGGAATAACTCTCCAAGACTCCGCGCCATCACCACGCTTCTCCATCTCACACAAATCCAATCGGAATAAAACATTCTAGCACCCGCGAGTGATCAAAACACCAGATACCGGGGGAAGAGAGGGTGTGAGTTGTGACAATCCCCGATTCCGGCCACTCCGTTTTGACAAACTATGTTGACTAGTAAACTAACTAGTGAAGAGGGGAACGCTCGATGGCAGCACGCGCTGAGACGTGCGGGTCGATTCAGCAGAAAAAACCACCACAAAACACACGCGTAGCAATCAGGAAATAGCGAGAACCTCAAATGTAGGGGTCAGGTCGGGGAGGTGTAAGAAGGTGCATTCTAGAACTAGCTATCCGGCCACCGTATACTGCCGGCTATGCCACATAGTCTGGATGGCACCCATGTAGTAGGGGTAGGGGGTCTCCCCACTACACTAGTTGGATCACGGGAAGTGGATATCCGCCTGAGGCACCACGTCCCAGTCCAGACTAGTCTCTAATCCTTGCCTTATCCCTGTCCAACTCGCGTGACGCTTGACGATTTGGCGAGTCGACGCACAACAATACAATTATGGGTATTGATGTCTAACCTACCTGTATCCTAGTGTACGAGTGGATTTATCTTCAGATGGCTCGCTAAGAAATGTGGATGCAGAATCGAGGAGCTGGTCCTTGCTTAGATATGGAGGTAAAGACAATCAAGCTGCAGGTTGAAGAATCTCAGACAGCCAATGTACTGTCCAACTTTGCTCAAGAAGAGAAAGAAATTAGAGTGCTGGAGGTTGATATCGCTAAGTGTTACGTCTACGCTAAGTTTGAAAGAGTACAACACCATCCGGGCGAGGGACTAGAGGGTAAATTGGAATGGAAAATAAACACATTGAATCGTGCTGGAGTGGGAATAGAGACAGTAAAAGAGAGAGAAATTCCACTCAGCCCCTTTTCTTCGCTCGCGTCAACCGAATATCAAACTCCGCCGACCGACCCACGCGGTCCCAGGCATATCCAGAGAGAGATGCCGGTCCCTACCCAGCCACGCTGCGGTGAAAACAAACAAGCGAACTTTGCGGAATCCACGTCCAGGAAGAAATGCGAACGCCCCCTTACCAAAATCGGCATATGGCTCGTCGCGACCTCAAATCAAAACGCGCCCACCTTAGGACTCCTCAGCGGGCTTGGTCTCCTCAGCGGGCTTCTCCTCAGCAGGAGCAGGAGCAGCCTCCTCGGAAGCGGCGGGAGCACCGCCCTCATCCTTGGAGGCCTCAGCATCCTGGCTGTCGGAGGAAGTCCAGAGAGTGAGATTGTCCCGTAGGAGCTGCATAATCAGGGTGCTGTCGCGGTAGCTCTCCTCGGAGAGGGAGTCGAGCTCGGCAATGGCGTCGTCAAAGGCCTGCTTGGCGAGGTGGCATGCACGGTCGGGAGAGTTGAGGATCTCGTAGTAGAAAACGGAGAAGTTCAGAGCGAGACCAAGGCGGATGGGGTGAGTGGGGGTAAGGTCGGTCTGGGCAACGTCGGTAGCGTTCTGAAAGATAGGGTTAGCTATATGTCGCACCAGCAGAGGGAAGCGAAGGATGTAGTCGAAAAGAGATGCCATACCTTGTAGGCCTCGTGGGCTGCGGTGGCAGCGACCTTGCGCTTCTCACCGGAGGCGAACTCAGCGAGGTAACGGTGGTAGTCACCCTTCCTATAATATCGAGTGGGTTAGCAATTCTGCATCGCATGGAAGAAAGAAAGCTCCCAAGAAGTCCTTCGGATGTCAGCGAAACGCACATCTTGTAGTAGAAGACCTTGGACTCGCCGGTCTCGGCCTTGGGGATCAGGGACTCGTCAAGAACGTTCAAGACATCCTGGCAGACATCCTCAAGCTCCTTCTCGATCTTGTCGCGGTAGTCCTTGATGATGCCGACGTGCTGGTCGGAACCCTTGGACTCCTCCTTCTGCTCGATGGAGGAGATAATGCGCCAGGAAGCACGGCGGGTACCGACGACGTTCTTGTAGGCGACGGAAAGAAGATTGCGCTCATCGACAGTGAGCTCGCCACCGATCTACAGACAAGTTAGTTCCGTGTGTCGGCGTGGTCGGGAAGACATGGGGATGGCGGTGTCGTACCTTGGCGACTTCCTGCGAGGACGGTTAGCACGGGGGCTCGAATGATAAACAAGAAATGGGGATGCGACATACCTTCATGTACTTGACCATTTCTGAGCGAAAACAATCATAACGTTAGCATACACTGTCATATCGGATCTCATCACACGGGCATTACATACCATCGTAGCGCTCGGCCTGCTCGCAGAGCCTCGCGAGGAACGTCTTGCTGGTGAGGGAGTCAGTCTTGGATCTTGGTTGGCAGCATCGGGTGGGGGTCGATGATATCCTTACTTCTCACGCTGCATTGCAAAAACAGAGGTTAGCGATGTGTTGACACTCAGTGAAACGCGAGAGACGATGGGTCAGGGTGGACGGGGTGAGAATCGGGGGAGCGGGAGGGGGTTGAGATCGCGATGGCCATGACGGCGCAGAGCGACAGGGGCAGAAGAAAAGAGCAAGCAGTAACATACCTCAGAACCCATGATGGATGTGTATTGAAAGGGAGATGGTTGAGAGTGGTGGGGTTTCGAGGAAGGGGAAGATGCAGAGGAGGAAGTTGGTTCAGAGGACCAAGTGGGGTGAGAGCGAGGGTGAGTTGGGGGAGAGTCATAACAAATACACCATTACGCCGTACCCGGTACCTGCACTTTACCCGTGTGGCCCGCGTTACCGCAGGTACTCGGGTACTTCTGGCGTACTTGGGCCGCCGCCCAACTGCCGCCTGGTAATGTGAATACCTCACGTACCAGACACCGCGCCCGCCCTTTTGGGCTTGTCATGAGCTGCGGCTCTGCTGCATCTGCCTAAGAAGGCCCAAAGATCGCTTAACGGGAGAAAGTCATGTTTTACAGTACGCAGCTTTCTAGGCATGAGTCGCGATTTTGTGGTTCGCCGACCGTACGAAGATCAGCTGAAGGCACGGTGGGCCCCGGCGATGCTGGACTCGATTTTCTGTTTAGACATCTCGACTTTTTATTTTCGAAAGTCCTGAAGCAAACTATACACAAACTCTGGCTACAACAACAGATTACCCGAAAGGTGGGCAGCTTGGGCGGAAAGTGTCGTGATGACGATGATGCAACAATCGAACCTTCCAGCACTCCGTGACAAGCTGGCGATGATGTAGTGGCTAGTCCACGCCGCAATACTCATCACATGCCGATCAGTCGAGTCTCCGATGCCACCTCATTATCAGTACAAGCAGTAGCAATAGCATCTCGCCTACGGGACTATTATTCTACTCAGTCCCCAAATAACTTCCCCCATTTCTACGTGTAGTATATTGGACGTCGCCGCGCCAGACTTGGCAAACTGTTGATGCTGACCCTGCACCGCCTAAGCACTGTAGATCTCTGCTTGTCGTTGCAGCCCGGCTGTACCACAAAAACCACCCATGCTGTCTTCCAAGTGGTTCTATGGTCTTTTTGGAACCCTCAAGGGCGCCTTGTAAAGTGAGGGCAGAATGCTATGTAGAGAGTAGTACTAAACCGCCCACCGCTTTTAGTGATGACTCAAAGGAAATACCCAAATGGGCTCTATCAACGATAATGCATGTCCCATTATATTGACAACACGACTCAAGAAGAAACAAACCCTCATAGTATCCGGAACCGTATGATTTTCCATAATAAATTGAATTCAACCTTCGCGTGCTCTGAATCAGTCCCCGCTGGTGGCTTCAAGCCGGCCTTCTATGCATAATGGTGAGTCCTTCATGCCAGCTGCCATCGAGCAAGTCAAATGATAATGATTCCGGCGACTCCCAATGAAGAGCTCACCAAGATATCCTGCATAGCATCAGGCTCAAAGCCAGGCCAACACACCGAGGCCCATGGGGTCGTACAACCTGCCAATGAGGGTTCGACGGACTGGCCCCCTCCAGCCATGCAAGTGTAATCGAGCTAGATTCAGCCTTACAAGTAAGGAGGAGTTAGCGTGCTTACAGTTACGCGTTGCCACCGGCCCGATATTGGTCACCGGAGAATTCCCCTAATGGTTCACGCGGGAGCTGTCAGATGGAGTCGGGAATCGGGGACCAGAGACGCTGGGTACACCGTTGTCAGATTTGCGCATGTCCCAGGGTCCAGGATCATTGCACTGGTGCTAGGCCGTTCATGATTGTCCTGTGTAACTGCAGAAAGAGATCGCTTGACCCAGCCCTGTGCAAGAAGAAAGCCGGGCAAACAGCTTCGAATCAGTCAGGAAGCCGCAGCGGCCATCCGGTCGACAAGGCTGCTCCGCAGGATGGAGGAGATCGACTGGTCCTTTGCAGAATGTGGTGTTTGTTGCGGACAATCTGCTTGCCAAGGGCGACGAAACACTCCACCTGTGGCCATCGATAGGGAAGAGAACGATGCAGCCTGGAGCCACCGGGCCCCGTAATAAATCCCAGCTCTCGGCAGAGATACCGGAGATCCCAGACGCAAGCCCCAGCATCGTGGTGGGAACAGTCAGGGAATTTGAGGTCCACACGAAATGCATCAGATAGCAGCGGGCATCTGGAAAAGACTGAAATCCATTGAAGTTGAAGCTGCCATTGATAAACCCAAAGAACGGGTTGGTTGCCCAGGAAGTGTACTCCGGACTGCGTCGTGTAGTCTCAGCCCTGTGGCCCCTGCTTACTCATCACAATGGGGAAACAACTGGATGAGAACACGTTGTGCCTCCGCGCTCCACTCCTCGCTGGGTCCTGCGATCGTGAGAAAGAAATCCTATATATCATTGACGCTCGTCCCCTCTCCAGCCTTTCCTGCTCCTCTTTTCCGACTTCCGGCTCGCCAGCGGTGACCCCCATGTATCGCTTCTAACTCTGCATCCTTCCCGTTTCCTTTTGTTACCCCAGTTTCTCCTCCACATCCTCCCCGACCGTCTCCTCAAGCGTTTCTCGTATTTGCGGTGAGCGAGCGATCTAGAACTTTCTATCATGGAAAATTCCTTCTTGCGCTCTCCATCGGAGGTGCTGAACCACTTCAATGTTTCAGAGCGCAGCGGATTATCCAGCGATGCGGTCCTCAAGTCCCGGAAGCAGCATGGTCCCAATGGTCAGTATTCTCCGATGGCGTGTTTTTGGCGCGTCAATGCGTCAAAAGGAAGCTCGATCCAGTGCTGACAGCCCTACAGCCCTCGCTGAAGAACCCCCAACCCCGATGTGGGAGCTGATCCTGGAGCAATTCAAGGATCAGCTTGTTCTTATCTTGCTTGGCTCCGCTGCCGTGTCCTTCGTCCTGGCTCTCTTCGAAGAAGGTGATGACTGGACTGCGTTTGTGGATCCGCTTGTGGTACGTTATCTCCAATGAATAGACACCTCCAAGAAGGAAGTTGAATCAATGCTAACTATCTGTCCCTCGTTCTACAGATCCTGACCATTCTGATCCTCAACGCGGTGGTGGGTGTGACCCAGGAAAGCAGTGCGGAGAAGGCGATTGCGGCTCTGCAGGAATATTCGGCCAACGAGGCCAAGGTTGTGCGTGATGGCAAGACGACCAAGATCAAGTCGGAGGATTTAGTTCCTGGTGATGTGATTGACATCGCTGTCGGTGACCGTGTCCCCGCTGACTGCCGCCTCCTCTCTATCCACAGCAACAGCTTCCGTGTTGACCAGGCAATCTTGACTGGCGAGAGCGAGAGTGTTGGAAAAGACACTCGGGCCATCAAGGACAACCAAGCTGTCAAGCAGGACCAAATCAACATGCTCTTCTCCGGTACTACCGTGGTCAATGGCCATGCGACTGCCATTGTTGTACTGACCGGTGGCTCAACTGCCATCGGTGACATCCACGACAGCATTACCTCTCAAATCTCAGAGCCCACCCCGTTGAAGCAGAAGCTGAACGACTTCGGTGATATGTTGGCCAAGGTCATTACCATTATCTGTGTTCTGGTCTGGGTTATCAACATCGAGCACTTCAATGATCCTTCCTTCGGCGGTTGGACCAAGGGTGCCATCTACTACCTGAAGATTGCCGTCTCCCTCGGTGTGGCTGCCATTCCCGAGGGTCTTGCCGTTGTTATCACTACCTGTCTCGCCCTGGGAACCCGCAAGATGGCCCAGAAGAACGCCGTTGTTCGCTCTCTGCCTTCCGTAGAAACACTGGGCAGCTGCAGCGTGATCTGCTCTGACAAGACCGGAACTTTGACAACCAACCAGATGAGCGTGGAAAAGATCGTCTACCTGTCTAGCTCCGGCAAGGCTCTCGAGGAGATCGATGTTGAGGGCACTACTTTCGCGCCTGTCGGCAACATCTCTCGCGATGGCAAGGTTGTGGAGGGTCTGGCCGCTTCTTCCTCCACCGTGAGACAGCTGGCTGAGGTTACTGCTCGTTGCAACGCCGCGAAGCTCTCGCACGACCCCAAGACTGGTCAATTTGCTAGCATCGGAGAGCCCACCGAGGGTGCCCTCCGCGCGCTGGTCGAGAAGATCGGCACCGAGGACGTTTCCGCTAACAAGAAGATCTTCTCCATGGCTGCCCATGAGAGAATGCACAAGGTCAGCGAGCACTACGAAAACCGTCTGGCTCTGGAGGCTACCTACGAGTTCTCGCGTGATCGCAAGAGTATGTCGGTTCTTGTTCGCGAGGGCAAGGAGCAGAAGCTGCTGGTGAAGGGTGCCCCCGAGACCATCCTGGACCGCTGCACTCACGTCCTGCAGGGTGCCGACGGATCGAAGGTTACTCTCACTCAGGCCCAAAAGAAGCTGCTTTCCAACGAAGTTGTTGAATATGGTAACCGTGGACTCCGTGTGATGGCCCTTGCTAGCCGCGACGTCAATGAGAAGGACAGCGTCCTTCACAATGCTACCTCTTCCGAGGACTACCTTAAGCTTGAGCAGAAGTTGACTCTCATTGGTCTTGTTGGTATGCTGGATCCCCCGCGTCCTGAGGTAGCTGCCTCCATCCAGAAGTGCCACGATGCTGGTATCCGCGTGATTGTGATCACTGGTGACAACCAGAACACTGCTGAATCCATCTGCCGCTCCATTGGCGTCTTTGGCGCCGATGAAGATCTCACCGGCAAGAGTTTCACTGGCCGCGAATTCGACGATCTCAGCGAGGCTGAGAAGCTCAAGGCTGTCCAGACTGCTTCCCTGTTCTCTCGTACCGAGCCCAGCCACAAGTCGAAGCTGGTTGATCTGCTCCAGTCTCTGAACCACGTTGTTGCCATGACCGGTGACGGTGTCAACGATGCTCCCGCCCTGAAGAAGTCCGATATTGGTGTTGCTATGGGTACTGGTACTGATGTCGCCAAGCTGGCGGCTGACATGGTTCTGGCCGATGACAACTTCGCTACCATCACGGTCGCGGTTGAGGAAGGTCGCTCCATTTACAGCAATACTCAGCAGTTCATCCGTTACCTGATCTCCTCCAACATCGGAGAGGTCGTTTCGATCTTCCTGACTGCCGCCCTGGGCATGCCCGAAGCTCTGATTCCCGTTCAGCTGCTCTGGGTCAACCTGGTTACCGACGGTCTCCCTGCCACCGCTCTGTCCTTCAATCCCCCGGACCACGATGTCATGCGCCGCGCTCCTCGCCGCCGCGACGAGGCTCTTGTCGGTGGCTGGTTGTTGTTCCGTTACATGGTCATTGGAATTTACGTCGGTGCCGCCACCGTCTTCGGATACGTCTGGTGGTTCCTGTATAACCCCAATGGTCCCCAGATCACTTTCTGGCAGATCGTAAGACTTTCTTTCTGTGAATTTCCTCCTTTGCCATCCTCTAATCACATTGATGTATAGTCGCACTACCACCGCTGCTCGGCCCAGTTCCCCGAGATCGGCTGCGAGATGTTCAGCAACGATATGGCCAAGTCCGCCTCTACCGTCTCTCTCTCCATCCTCGTGGTGATCGAGATGCTGAATGCCATGAATGCCCTGTCCTCCAGCGAGTCCCTCTTCACCTTCTTCCTAGGCAACAACCCTATGCTGGTATACGCCATCGCCCTCTCGATGGCTCTCCACTTCGCGATTCTCTACATTCCCTTCCTGCAGACTCTCTTCTCCATCCTGCCCTTGGACTGGGTTGAGTGGCAGGCCGTGTTGGCTATCAGTGCCCCTGTGATGTAAGCCACCGTCCATCGTTCGATTTAACCATTACTGACTATTCTTTCTACCAGTCTCATTGATGAAGCCCTCAAATACATGGAACGCCGTCTGTACAACAACAAGGTTGCCGATACCTTTACTACGCAGAACGGCAGTGCCAAGCCGAAACGCGCGTAAACGAGATAAAGCGAAACGGGCGGCAGGATGTTGCTGGCGATTTCGGAATAGAAATAGCCGTCTGCCTCCCTTCTATTCTACGGAAAGAATAGAATATCGAATCCCCTGTATTTCAGGTCAGGGGTTTTCACGCCTTTCATAGAAATGAATCTTGTATGAATTGTCTGATCCACCATCGCATTGTCCTCGAAGCTCCATAAAATAGAAATTTGTCGCATACCAATTCAAGGAATTTTCACTTTCTCTTAAGTCCTAGAAGTCTTCGGATTCTACGCTCTGTGCTCATCAATAGGCGGGGAGTGAGTATTCTCAAAATTCGCAAGGTCTACCGATTCTGGAAAATATGCTCTGATATTCTTTCCCTACAGCCCATCTCCACCTCCATCCACTCAACCGATTCCTAGCCTCGTCTGCCTCTTCTCTCGCCAAGGCCTTAAACCACAGTTGTTGCTGACAACATCCACATTCGCAAGTACAATGTCCGGCCCCAAATCTTCTCTCTTCGCACCTTGACCGCTTGACCGCTGGCTGCAGCATCTACGTTCACGGGCGCAGCACCCTCCAGCTTTTTGCACACTGCTACAGGAGAATTGGATGCATATACCATTCCGGATTCGATCGCCAGATCTCAAACCCTTGAGCGGAAGGTCCTGAGCCCAGTGATGTTTGGATGTCCCAATAATCTTCCAAATCCCATTTGTATGTATAGTCGATATAACATAGGCCGCATTTCTTCTCTGTCAGCAGTGTACGAATGTTGTTTGTCAGAACATTCATCGGTTCTTCTGCCTCTCGCAGCTCAGTAGTGCATATTTCGTTTCGTAGTCGCTTGATGTCTTCGTACGGAGTTTCTTCCTCCTGTGCGTTTTCTCGAAGACGGCCTTCCCTCCACATGAGACTGTCAATAATCGAATTTGATTGTTCCAATAATTGGATTTCCGGGGGATCTTCTTCGGTCTTGGTTCTGCGTAGCAGTAATATTCGGTCCCAGCCATGAATTAGCAGGCAAAGGCATGTTTGATGAAACCAAAAAAATGGCATTGGATTTGGCCAGGCTAATTGTGTCGATAGCCTGCCCGATCCTTTGGGATACTGCAAGCCTGGGTGCAAGTCATATCATTGGTTAGTGTCGGCTGCATGTTGGCCCCCAGTCAGGTGATATGTAGCCTCTGGCCTGCGCCCGCTGGGTGCAGTAGTAGTGAGCTGAACGCCTAACTTCATCCCCCTTTTGGTTCTTCTACGAGGAAGAATTACACACCTGTGTGCCCTGTTCCTGGGTCTGACCATCTCCTATACCCGGCCAGCATGGGACTCGGCTGATACCACCTTCTCGACAACGTGAACCCTACTTGCGTTTCAATATGTTTTGATGCCAGAGACCTCCAGAGACTTGACCATGGGCTCCAACGTTTGACTTGGAGACTTCAACTCCGGATCTCAAATTGGGATAGATTATGGCCCCATTTTTTACGAGTAAGTTCTCAGTGATTCTTTTTAGGTTACATCGCGATGATACTGATTGAGAGCAAGACCTCGACGAGGCGCTACCGATCGTGGAGACCAGGATGAGGAGACATGTCTCTCAGGCACGCGAACTGATGTGCTTCAGCAGATTCGGGACTGGGCTTCCTCCCCAGATGGAAGATCTATCTTTTGGTTAAATGGGATGGCTGGAACAGGGTAATCCACCATCGCTCGGAGAGTTGCGACATCCTTCGGCGAAATTGAGACGCTTGGAGTAAGCTTCTTTTTCAAAAGAGGTGAAACGGATCGCAGCAATGCTTTAACATTTGTTCCGACACTTGCACGACAGCTAGCTCTCTCAATACCCGAGCTGCGGCCTCATATCCAGCAAGCTGTACAAGATGAACCGCGCGCATCGCGACCAAGTGAATGAAGGAGCAATTTAACAGCCTGCTCCTTGAGCCACTACTGAAACTGTCTAAGGCACCTGGTGCAGAATGCTCTTCTCCGAACTCAACCCCATCTGAGTCCACAATTCGATCTGTGATTCTAGTGATTGATGAACTCGATGAGTGCGACGAAGAGAGTCAGATACAAATTATCCTCCAACTTCTACCACAATTTTACCAGTCGCATCATCTACGCATACGGACCTTTCTGACTAGCAGACTCGAATTGCCGATTCGTCTTGGCTTTTCAGAGGTGGCTGATCATACAGAATTAATTCTCCACGAGATCTCAGAGGAAGTGATGGTACATGATGTATCTCTCTTTCCTCAAGCATCGCCTCTTGGCAGTTATGAAAAATCGCTTTCTGCCTGCCGATTGGCCTGGAGAAGTTGCCATTCAATCTCTCGTGATGATATCGGTTCCGTTGTTTATCTTTGCCGCCACCGCATGTCGTTTTCTGGATGACCGTCATTGGGACCCAGTGGATAGTCTCCAAGTGCTCCTTACATCTCGCAGTGAAGGTTCTCAATTCGAGAAAACCTAACTCCCTGCCCAGAATCGACTTCTAGTGGGACAGATTGGATCCAGAATGAAAAAGCTCATGGGAGAGTTCCAGGGAAATCCTGAGTGCGATCGTGATGCTTGAGAGTCCGCTTCTGATCAATTCATTTTCGAAACTTCTCGGCCTCCCTGAGGAGCAAGTTGAACGGAAACTTGGATTCCTTCACTCCATTATAATGATTCCTGAAGATCCGACTAAGCCCGTTCGGATCTTTCATCTGTCATTTCGAGACTTCCTCCCTGACACTGAGATACGTGATCGAGGCCCATTCTGGGTGGATGAGAAAATGGCACACCCGAAATTGGACACTCAATGTCTACACATATGTGGTACCCTGAGAAAGAATATGTGCCACATCGATCAGGACACAGAACGCACAGCCATCGATCGCCTGACAATAGATCGCCATCTCCCGCCAGAGTTGCAGTACTCTTGCCGTTATTGGGCATATCATGTTACACGAAACGAGGATCCGATCGCTATGATGGACGGTGTGATATCGTTTCTTCGGAAATATTTCCTCAACTGGATAGAAGCAATGAGCGTCCTGGGCCGAGCCTCGGAAATAGTGGATGTGATCGAATCTCTTCTGTCAGAAACTCGGGTAAGTCGACATTAGGAATGCCCGAAGCTTTCACACAATATCTAATTTTGTATATTATCAAATACAGGATCACAAGAGATCGGAAGCTTCCCTCTTCCTACATGACGGTAAGCGCTTTGTTCGGAGGTTTATGAAGATGATCGATGAGACACCACTTCAAGTATACTCTTCGGCACGGATATTCACACCAAGGATATCAATAATCAAGATGCAATTCGATGCGGAACTCCTCCATTGCATATTTAGGCTATCCGAGGTGAATGAAAATTGGACTACTGAGCTACAAACACTCAAGGGGCATTCCAGTTCTGTTAATTGTGTTTAATTTTCCCCAGATGGACAAACCCTCGCATCTGGTTCAGCTGATGCAACTATCAAGCTTTGGGATACCACAAGCGGAGTTTTAAAGCATATACTTGAAGGCCATTCAACTAGTGTTGAATGTATTGCATTCTCTCTTGACAGATGTTCTATCGCATCTGAGTCAGATGGTGCAACAGTCAAGGTGTGGGACACTGAAATAGGTCTTTTACGGCACGCACTCCAGGGCCACTCAAGCTGGATTAGATGCATCGCCTTCTCTACAAACGGGTCTAATTTCGTATCTGGATCGAGCGGCAGAACCCTTAAACTCTGGGATGCTGCAACATGGTCTCTTCAGTCTACAATTTAAGGTCATTCAAATGAGGTCACTCACGTGGCATTCTCCATTGACAGCCAGACCGTCATTTCCAGATCTGAGGATATAACTATCAAGTCCTGGAAAGTTCCTTCGGGCATTCCAAAGCAATCATTCGAGGGCCACTCTGGTTCAGTTTGGTGTTCAGCTGTCGCAAACAGCGGTCAAATTCTAGCTTCTGGGTCATTTGACGAGACCGTAAAGCTGTGGGATGTTGACACAGGCAGCATTTTCTCTACTCTCAAGGGACATACATCTTTTGTTCGATCAGTGGCATTTTCTCCAGATGACCTTCTCCTGGCTTCTGGATCTTTTGATGAAACAGTTCGAAGCTGGGATGTAAGAACAGGAGTCTTAATTTGAATACCGACCTCGGGTCCCTACTAGTAGAGACAAAAGTGGGATCTGACAATGGAACGACGACCTGGAATTTTGGCATCTTCGTGCAGAATGGCCAGTGGGTAATTATCAACAACAAGAAGTCTTTGAGGCTTCCTCCCCATTATAGGCCTCCTTGCTTGGTGTTCAGAAAGAACTCCCTTGTTTTGGGACATGGATCGGGGAAAGTTTCATTCATAGGAATTCGAGATACTGAGTGGCCAGGGATGCAGGAGAGATTTGAAACTTCTCTACGCTATATTCACTTGTTGTCAATTTTGTGCTTTATTAGACGTAACTACACTGAACCTTATCGAGCCCGGCTCATAGATTGTGCAGAGAGGAAGTACTGTCCTTGTCTCAGCGGTGCGACAATACAGAGATCTACTACTAGTACCCTAGGCTAGGAAAATCTCACATCCACAGCCAAGCTCGTACAACCAATCCCCGTAACCCACCTTCCGCAGCATCAAATCAGGCTAAAAGCCCGCGGCTTCAACCTTAGCTGGGGGATTGTGCCGTGTTTGGCCAACCCCGCCCAAACCTTGGCGACGAACAAAGCTAGCCGCCCCTCGGCGCAACTCCGGCGTTGATTCCTGACTGGCGGGCGATTCGCACGGTCTCCATACCCCGTAATGATCGCCCACTGCCAACCCCGGATTGTCGTGTAGGGAGATGCAGACGCGGAGCGTCCATGACAGGGTGACATTCCCTGCTGCCACCCTGGCCCGGCCTTGAAATACCGAGCAGGGCCCGGTTTTTGTTTGCTTTTTTTTTGTGCTTCGTTTCATCCGGTCTTCATTCCTTTCTTCCGATTATCCTACCGTTACGAACCGGGCTATACGCTAGGGCTACATAGTCCTGATTAGCGCAGGGACGAGGCTCTCGGTCAAGATGGGTGTGAAGGAGTTCCTCAAGACTCGCTCCGGCCTGCGTGTCGATAATAGCAAGACCACACGAGCGGCCACTCTCACTTTGAGACAGAGTCTGTATCCGCTCGGCTTGGTGACTATTCTATTCTTTCTTTGGGTATATATGCACTATACCACGTTTCCCCCTAGGGTGCTTACTGGACCTTTCTTACGCTGATAATTGTAGGGCTTTGCTTACGGTCTCCTCGACACCCTCAACAAGCACTTCCAGAATACTCTGCACATTACGCGTGGGAGATCCGCCGGACTTCAGGCGGCTTATTTCGGGTATGTGACCAGCCTCTAAGTTGCCCAGCTAGCACTTCCTTTAAACACGAAAGTTCTTGTTGCTGATCAGCTCAGCGCATACCCCCTTGCTTCACTAGGCTACGCGAATTGGATCCTACGACACTATGGCTACAAGACGGTCTTCATCTTCGGCCTTACCCTCTATGGCATCGGTGCCTTGTGCATGTGGCCTGCTGGCCTGAATCAATCTTTCGGTGGATTCTGCGGTGCTACGTTTGTTATCGGATCTGGGTTGGGATCGCTGGAGACGGCGGCAAATCCGTACTTGACAGGTGAATTATAGTTTCCCTCCAACCTGTACATACTAATGAAATAAAATAGTTTGCGGTCCACCCCGCTACTCCGAAATCCGAATAAACTTCGCCCAGGCTTTCAACGCAATCGGAACGGTTGTCGGTCCCGTTCTTGGCTCCTACGCCTTCTTCACCGAGACAGAGGACGACGTCACGGCCCTCCAGCGCGTACAATGGGTCTATCTCGCGATCGGAATCTTCGTCTTCTGTCTCGCCTTTGTCTTTTTTCTTTCAAATATCCCCGAGGTCACCGATGAAGACATGGCGTTTCAAGTTGCGGAGACGCATGTCGATGAGCAGAATAGGCCCTTCTGGAAGCAGTATAAGCTTTTCCACGCAACACTAGCTCAATTTACGTATACTGGTGCGCAGGGTAGGTTTCTCCACGTGGACCCTTCCGCAGACTTGGTCCCTCTTACTAACTTGACACATACAGTCGCAATTGCGGGCTACTTCATCAACTATGTAACAGACACATGGCCGCCATCCGACAGCGCAAAGGGCGCAAAGCTCCTAGCCGGCGCCCAGGGCGCCTTTGCTGTCGGTCGATTCCTAGGCTCCGGACTGATGAAATATACCAGGGCTCGCTGGGTCTTTTTGGTTTATTTATCTTGCTGCGTAGCGTTCCTCGCCGCGTCCATCACGCAGCGGGAGCAGAAGGGTGTCGCGATGCTTTTTATGACCCTCTTCTTCGAGTCGGTCTGTTTCCCCACGATTGTTGCCCTGGGTATTCGTGGTTTGGGCCGTCATTACAAGCGAGGTTCTGGATTTATTGTTGGTGGTGTTTGTGGTGGTGCGGTTGTTCCGCCAATTTTGGGGCATGTTGCGGATATGAGGAATGATACTGGGTTTGCGATGATTGTGCCCACTATGGTACGTCTCAAACCTGATTGGTAATTCGGGAGCATTTGGAGCCTGCTGCTAACGAGTTTTCTAGTTTATGGTTATTGCCTGGACGTATGCGGTTGCGGTCAACTTCTCGCCTACCTATAGGGACACGGTGGATAAAGTTGGGGAGAGTACTGTGGGCTTGCAAAATGAAGCCGTTGATGAGGAGAAGGTTGATGTTGGGATGAATCCGGAGACAAAGGATGTGCCAGATCATCATAACTAGGCTATGTACTTCCTTTTTTTGTCGCACATGTCACATGTCATGCGTTCTTATTGCTGGACATATATATCTGCCAATCTGCCACGATACATTCGTTTGAATCTATTGCTCAAAGTGGGATTTATACCGAAACTCAACAGATACACCGTGTATTCCATTCATTATGCAGTTGCTATGCAAAATAAAGCAGTAGTCTATAGATAAACAATAGGCAAAGCAGGTCAAGTGAGGCAATATTGTGACTTAAGATATCCTGTAATCCAGAGAACAATAGATAAGAAAGACTCGAATGAGTGGAAACGCTTGCTTCACAGAGCAAGGGGGTGACAACCAAGAGGAAAAAAAAAAAAAAAAAAGCGAGTGTGTAGGGGTTAGCATCGCAAGACGCCGCATTCTGTAGCAGGTCAAACAGAGAATCAAAAAAAAGCCGTGGAAACAACTGCATAGCGTGGGGGGTATAACGTAAGCAAGAGGCAAAAACAGTTCTATCGTCTAACAAGGGCAAATTTAAAACAGATTTCAACGCCGATGTCCATGAGAGATATTAAAGCGTTATGCAGAAGTGACGGGTTTACTCGTCGCCTCCGAATTCTCGGCATTGTTGGTTGTAGCGGCGGCGGCTTCGTCTTTCGCGGTTTCGTTGGCCAGCACGACCGCGACAGCAGCGGCGGCCTCTGGTGGAGGTGATCGCAGAGAAGATGAGCGAGGTGGTCGGGCTGGACTACTTTCTAGCTCGGGTGCAGGATCCAGTGATGGCTTGCGAACAGACGAGGGGGATTCAGGTTCAGTAGTCTCGGAGGTTTCTCTGATAGTCGTCTCCCGGCTGGTTTTCTTGGGGACAGCCTCGTTGTGATCTTCCTCGGGGCCATCAAACTCGTCGACTTCTTCGATTTCATCCTCGAAGCCATCATCGTCTTCCTCTTCTTCTATGATCTGGCTCTTTCGCGCAGCCGGCCGGCCGGCAGGGATAGGAGGATTGGCTTCGTCACCGACCACAGGTTGGCCCGGAACAGGAGAGCGAACCATTTCACCAGAAACCATCAGGTTCGTTGTGTGGAGCATAGGACCCTTGAAGGCAGATCTCTTTCGTCGGGCAAACACCAAGCTCGACGAAGGAGAATAGAGTAGAGGTGCAGGTGCAGCCTCGTTGAAAGCGGATGGCATCTCACTGTCGGTTGCTACCTCCTTGGAGGCACCGCCGGGACCACGAACAAGTCGGATGTTGCTAGGGAAGCGAGCAGATGACCCGGGCGTGGTGGGTAGAACCTTGATGGAGTTATGAGGAGACTTGGAGATTCTGGCCGTTGGTGTTGCAACTGTGTCTATGCTGTTCGACGAAATCGAAGACGCTTTAGAGTGAGCCCGTGTGTGGTGAATACTTCGAATAGAGGACACTGAAGACGATGTTGACTTTCGACCTCGGAGCCCAGCCGAGGAGCGTCGGTATGATCCACGCGGCGTAATTGGGGATGGTGACAACGAGTTCCGATTGCTGGAATGACTGGTGTTCAATGGACGCGGCTGACGAGGATAGGAGTGTCTGTTCTGTCGATAAGATGCAGCACTGCTAGGAGCTAGACTGCTGGCAGCGGACATGCGTTTGTTTTGGGTTGGTGTCACCAGTTCTCCCGGTGGTTCTTCGGCAGTAGATAACGGAGAAGAAGCCTTCTTTCCAGTGTCTTGACTCTTTGCAGGGCTGAACTTCTCAGCCAGGAACTTGCGCGATCCAGTTGATTTGGCATTTGGGGAGCGGGCTCGTTTCGCCGACTCCACAAACCAATGTTTCAAGGACGCAAGCTGGCTCAAAAACGGATGATGGCGACGATTGGTACGACGGCGAAATATGCCGTGGTGTTGCGTCAGCTCTGGCTGCGAGGCACTAACATGCAGCATACTCGGACGAGATCGTCTTTTGTCCTTTGGCGGAGGGACAGGACGGCGTCGCATCGTCGAGTTTGAGCGTATAGAATCTTTATCAATAGCCGGTGGGGTGGTCGCAGAGGTAGGCGTGCGTACAGGCAAAGGCTCGGGCAGCGAGGGTAGTTCTGGAACTGCAAGCTGAGAAGGGAGGCTTCGCCTATCCCGGCGGCCTCGTTCTTGAAGCTGGGTGTCTAAATTTGCTTGACCTTCTTCGTCCACTTCGACCAAGGCTGAGGATAACTTTTCCAAACGACTGCTAGCAGCGCTGAGGCGGCGGAGGTTCTTAGCCTCGACCTCTCGCTGCTGTCGTTTTCGCTCCCGTTTCTGCTCTTTGCGCTGTTCCTTTTCAATCAAGAGCGCCCACCATCCGGCCAGGGGATCACATCGTTGAGCTAGCACGTTTTCGATGACCTCGTCGATGTTGACTCCGGCGCTTTTCATTCGCTGCAAAGTTGTCTTCTCGAGAGGCGTAGTAAACGGTGAAGGACGGGGGATCTTGAGGATGGCCAGTTGCTCAGGGGCGTGCTCTACGAGGAACGGATGAGCGAGGATGTCCTCTAGGCTAGGCCGAATCAACGGTCGTTTCGACAGGAGAAGATTGATCAAGGCCTTTGCCTCGTCCGGGAACTTGTCGTTGTAGTTGGGCTCTTCGGAGAGGATCCGTTTCTTGGTGATCTGGTCATCGTCGTCGTCGTAGGGTAGCTCGCCGGCTAGAAGCGCATAGAGAATGATTCCCAAGCTCCAAACGTCAACCTTTTCGCCCGCGTACTTTTCCCCTTTCAACATCTCCGGTGCGCTGTAGCATATGGTTCCGCAGAACGTCTGCAAGTAGCTTGCCTTGCCCTCATACTCGCGTGTAAACCCAAAGTCACAAAGCTTGACATTCTCGTGTTTATCCAGCAAAATGTTCTCCAGTTTGAGGTCGCGGTGGACGCAGGACTTGCTGTGGACGTAGGCGACTGCTCCGACAAGTTGAGTGAAGATCCGCTTTACTTTCTCGACAGGGAGAGGTCCATGATCGAGGAGGTAATTGTAGAGTTCGTCGCCTAGGGAGAGCATCACAAGTTAGCCCACGTTCGGTCCAGTTGACATCCATTGCGCCAAATCAACTCACCAGGACAGTATTCCAGGACCAGCCAGACCAGATTTTCCGTTACAACAACTTCGTAAAGACGCGCAATATGGGGATGAAGGAACTGGCGGTGGTGGTGAATTTCGCGCGAGAGGTTGGTGTCCTCCTTGCTAGAGGACTTGAGCACCACCTAGAGCAGCTGTTAGTATCGTGTGTGGATCTCGGCACCTCTGGCAATTGCTGAATCCGTACCTTGGAACCATTGGTGAGCTTGTGCGACGCGAGATACACTTTTCCAAACGAGCCCTTGCCAATCAATCTCCCTAGAGTGTAATTCCCCACGCTGCGGAGATCCTTGGAGGAAAATTCCCTAGCAACTCGCGCGTCAGCCAAAACCAGAACTGTCAATCGAGGAGACTGAGACCGGGATTTCCTTACTCGAGTAATTCATTGTAGGAGTTCGCAAGCTGTAACCGCACGCGACCAAGATTGGTCTCTCTGTTAGCCACACGTCCTTGCGATGGCGCCGGAGAATACTGCGGAGAGCTCTCCCCGCGGCGCCAGCAAGACAGTCCTGGACGCACCTTTTCCTTTTGTCTCTGGCTTTGCACCCCCGCTCTCGTCCTGGGCGGCATGTGTTATGATCGATCTCCGGGTTTGCCGTCGGCCGCGGAGATCTCTGCGCGTGTCGGGTAGGGGGTGGTGGAGGCGTGGGTTGCTCGGTATGGCCATTCAAAGGAATGCAGAAGAGGAAGGAACGAATGCCGACGGTTTTGGGTGGTTGCAGAGAGGTGGATTCAGCTAGGCGGCGGTGTTGGGGGGAGGAGAGAGAGAAGGAAGACCGAGAAAGGCGGGAATGCGAAGGTGCATACAAGAAAGTGTTGCCAAACGTCAACGGGAACGTGGACCGTGTGGAGACTCGGCTGTGGACTCGAACGGCCTTACTCAATTATATCATACGCGGCTCGAGCCCCTGAATGGAAATTGCCTGCCGTTTCATGGATTCGTGACTAAATTTGGCGGCGCTGACTCGTAGCTACGACAGGACTAACTACTCACTGGCAGTCACTAGTACCAGGCCGCTCACACTGGTCTCTCTGCACTTCACCCTCGTCCCCACCATCGCCCTCCACCTTCCATTCATCCATCGCGGATCCCTGTCCCAGCATGCGACTCGATTTATGCGCGTGCCGTTATTGGTGCCGCTGACGGTGTGTTGGACCAATCGTCTACAAATGTATTCCTGCAGGGTGATCGTACAAAGGCATTAATTCCGCATCGCCGCAGTGTGTCTATGTTCGCCACGGCAGTGATTCGAGATGCTCGATGACTCGTTCGGTCGTGACCAGCGCCGGGTCGACGCGAGCAAGACCCGGCTCGCCTTGAAAGGCCAGTGAAATCAAGCCAAAGCAGGAGTGGAGGAGATCTGGCTGGGGTCAGCAAAGTCGCCGCAGGAGGAACAATGTTTCGCCTTACCGGGGGGTTCACCCGCCGCCTTTCCAAAGCCACCCACGAGATGCTGCGTCTTCCTCAGCAAGTACCGCCGATTGCGAACGTCATCGATCACCGAGAACCGGTCCAGCATCTACAATGTCGTGAGTGGAGGCCATGGGGAATCCTTGCTTGAAAAAGGGTACCAACCTTCAGTGTTGCTCCGTTCCAGAACGAATAGCAAGTGTCCGCCACCTTGTTGCAGCGGCCATTGAACCCGGCGCAGTCTATCGTGTTGTCTGCCACCAGTGCGAGCTTGGACAGTCCTAGGATCATGTCATCTAGAGAACCGGTCTCTGCATCTTCTGACCGTTGATCCTGGGCAGTATCTGTCTCTGCCGACACCCCTTTCTCGGTCCCTTGATCATCCCGTTCACCCTCGTCCTCGTCCTCACCCTCCTGCTCGCCGAGATCGGCCGTTTGCCGTGATGTTAACCAGGCCAACAACGTCTCGAACTGCGGAGAACCAGGCGACAACAGCGTCGCTGGTTGGGTGTCAGTTGATGCCCGACGCAGAAACTCTAGAGATCCAATTGCACAATATGTATGGCCACCTATGTCGTCTGGTCAGAAAGATCGGCCGGAGAGGGGCTAATGCCGGGAGTACGAACTGTGCGCTTCACGGAACGGAGACTCAGCCATACCACCGTCGTAACTCTGAAAATTCGATATCAACGTTAGTAGACCGTCTTCAAGGCGAATTAGATAGCGAGTAGGGCAATAGGGTAAGAGAGCGAAGTAATCGAATTACCTGGCAAGCTTGAATAAATGTTATTAGTTTCGACACATCGATATCCTCCACATCTTCAACACCTTTCCCACTGCTCCCACGCAGAATATACCGTATCCCAGTTGCACAGCAGCAATACCGCAGATCCCGATCCCCAGCAACTTCCCCACCAGGTCCAAGAACTTCTCCAAAACTGCCATCCTCGCGCTGCAGCCGTGGAAGCCATCGGAGACATTCCGTCCGCTTGACACGCGACAGATCGTCTCCCAGAATTAGCAGATTGACTAGCGCAAAGAATGTCGCCGGCACATTCGCCGGGTCCCAGGCCTCATTCTCGACAGTTCGCTTTTCTGCGCCAAAGTCTGTCCCCGAGAACCCGCGAAATCCTCCCGTCGGCACCTGGCAGTGATACAGCCAGTCGATATACGCTTGTCGTTCCTCCGGGGTGGTTTTGCTTTGTAGGACGCCGAGAGTGTCGAGACCAGTCAGTGTTAAGAAGGCCAGTAGCATGCGATTGGAGTCATTGGAGAGATAGGCTGATGGTAGGAACGTCTTCAGACATCGGAGATAGTATTTGACATGTCGCTCGGTGTGCAGAGCGAGGTCGGCCATTGCAAATATTGCAGTATGAGCTCTGCTCTGTTTTTCTGTCAGATTTCTCGCACTGCGCTGCACAATCCAATTTGTGCCGATCTGGTGCCTGCTCCAAGTCTTCCGGCTTGATGTTGGTGGGGGACTCGAATCGCGCAGCAGCAGCTTGGTTCCCCACATTGCGCGGCTGGACACTCGGACCAACCACTTTTTGCCAGCAGGCTGCTGACTTCCTCCCTTGACTCCTCCATCTCCAATACCACGCCAAAAATGGTCCTCGTGTCCTCGAAAACGCTTATCCAGGCACATGGCGTGCTCCTGGTTATTATCGCGGGCTATCTGGTCAAGAACCCGGCTTTCATCACGGATTGCGATCTGGTGTTTATGATGGGCGAAGCGTTGAAGATTGTAAGTACTCCAACTCAGCACCAGCCGACAGCATTGGTTGCACTGTAGATTTGGATAAGATGAATCTAATTGAGATCATAAAGGACTTCCCCACCGTCACCAGTGCGGTTGAAAACCCTTTCGTCTTCTGCTCTGTCCCACTCTTCGCTACCGCCCTCTTCGACCTGATCCTCCTCTCCACCCTACCTTTCAACGATGCTCTCGACGAAGCACTGCATTACAGCCGACCCCTGCGCAATGGAAACCTCCCCGCTGAGGACCTCCAGGTCCTCGCCAGCTTGCCGGAATATATCACCAAGTCCTTGACCATGTATTGGAATGTTTGGATTAGTGTTGCTGCGAGTCGATTCGCGCTTTATGGTGGTCTGGCATTCTTCATTTACCAGGGACGGGATTCGTTCCTGGTGAGCTCCTATACGGCGACTGCTGCGGCGGAGGGTCTGGATCGGTTGAAGAGTCGGGTGGTTTTCACCTTTAGCTTTATGGAGATGATGACGTGGTTCTGGGTAGGTTTATCATGGTCTCCTCCGATTGTGGCAGTACTAACGGTTATTGCTTTTTTAAAGATCTTCGCTACGCTTCGTCAGGAGCGCCAGGAGCGGTTGACCAAGTTACTCGAGGACGCTCGTCGGGATGCTGGCGAGGAATAAGTTTGCCAGCTACAAACTGCCCCATGTGTACCAATACTAAATAGAATAATCGTTCGATTGTTTCATATGTCTCGACTATTACATGTGTCCATTAAGGTCATAACTTTCTCGGATCTCCGGCACTTTCAGAGCGTTTCCATCCGGTTCTTCTAGTCGTTTGATATCCCAAGATGGGGTCATAACGATGCCATAACACCCCATTGCTTGAGTTCTACGCATCTCAGACGAAGAAAGCAACGGCAGCAGCAGCTCCAGCTGCAGCCATCAGAGTGGCGTCCTTGGCCTGACCAAGAACTGCAGCGCCGGTGGTGACAGCCGCAGAGGAAGAGGCAGCAGTGGAAGATCCACTCTGCGAGGCATTGCTGCCGGTAGTAGCGGCCTCGGTGGTCTTGGTACCGGTAACAGTAGTATCCTTGGTGGTGCTGGCGTCGGTGGCGGTGGTGGTGGTGGCTGTGGCTGCACCACCAGTGATGGACGAGACAGCTGTCGAACAGGTAATCGAGCTGGGAAGATCAGTGACGCCGCCACGGGCACAGATGTTCTTGGCGACCTCCAGGGTAGCTGTGATTGGAATCGTACGTCAGTGTCTCTACAGACGGACTGTCTGTGGGGAGTATACGTACTGTCCTGGTCGTCCTCGGAGCATTTCTTAGCCACGCAGCAGGAAATGTCACTGATGAACGACTTGGTGGTACAGATGCACTCCACGTCGATGCCACAGCTGGCAGGAATGGCGTCGGTTGCGCAGTCTCTCTGCGTGCTATCGTCAATGCTGCCCTTCTCTTGCCTCGGAAAGCCTAGCGGATAGACCTATGGTTGACATACCGCGCAGTCAGGCAGATCGCCCAGGCCCTGGGCAAAGGCCGTAGACAGTAAAGCTGTCAGAGCAAGAGTGATCTGAGAAAGCTTCATGGTGGTGGAATGGCAGTAGAATGGGCGTGCAATTGAGGGTGAGAGGTACGGTGCTGGAGAGTTGCAGAGGGTAAGTTCAATAGACCCCGCCTTTTAAGGAAGGTTGGCCCTTTAGGCAGTCGCGCCAGGGGCTGCGTCGATCCAATGGAGCTGTCGTGTTGGTCGGCAGTGACCATTCGCACTATTGGACGTCGTGCAACCCCGAGACCGGGCGTTCCTTAAGGTATTATTGACTTGGTTTAGTGTATACCCTGGGATACTGCGATCAAGTAACGCAGCAGTGGTGGTTGCGGTGGGTCGGGCGTGGCATTTGCGTCGATCATGGCCATAGCGACGCAGTCAAGACTACAAGGCATGGTCAAGTGATATGAGATGCGTATAGATTGTAGTCACAAGAGCTTCCGAGATAAGGTGAGATGATGTTTGCTTTATGAGGATGTGGAGAACGGTGGATTTGAATCGGCGATGGCGTTGCGCTCTTCTACGAAGGTACTTGCGCAGCGCTTTCCTCAAAGGTCCCCAACACCACCTTCAACAACCTCCCAGAATATCATCGCGGTTCTTTTTCAACCATCCCCATTTGACTTTCACTGTCATCGGGACATCTAGTCTCGTCTTCTTCGAAACAACTTGTGCCATAATTCGCTTGTTTTTGCGCTAAGAAACCATGGTACGATCGTCTCCACGGTTTGCAAGAATGATCCTAACGAATAATGAACAGACATCTCCAGGCCGGTCACTGAGTACTCTCCCAGAAGAGATCCTGTCACAGATTCTGGATCAAAGCACGTTAAACGGGACTACACTTCATGCCGGGGTACAACACCCAAAGCGCGTCTACAGCGAGCTCAGAGCACTGGCCCTCGTCTGCCGTCGCATACATAGACTCGTGACTCCACTTCTGTTCGAGGGCATTACCTTCTACCATGAATATGTGTGTCCTTCATGCATCAAGGACCGCAGTATTGTGCCGCCTTGCCGACGGGCACTTGCTTTGCACCGAGTGTTGCGGGACAACCCTCCGCTCCGGGCGAAATGTCTCTCACTCGACATCATTATCGACGATACAGCCGATACCTCTGACGAGGACTTTCAAGTGGCCAATGATCTTATTACGTGGTTAACGCGAACTCGGTCACTTCGCTTCTATGGTGGGTTCCATGAAGGCGTTTCTGAGGGGCAACGGGCGAATGCGTTGGCTTTGATTCGCAATGCCAGTAAGGGCATGGTTCAGCTGAAAGAATTCTTGCTCGATGGCGATGAATTCAATAGTCGCGGACTGTCATTGGCAGAAGCCATGGAAAATATTAGCTTCCCCTCATTAGAGGTATTAGCGATGATCTCCAATGGACCTTCCGACCCTGCTGATCTCCGGAGGATGCTCTCCTCGAAGGTATGCTTACGAGCTTCAGAAAAGTCTGTTCAAAGCAAAACCGATGCTAACGATGGTTCAGAAATCACGCGGGGCGCCATTCACCTCTCTTACTCTCAAGTACTGCAAGGACCTTCCCGAAGCAATCGAGCAGTTTGTGTACTGGCCCAAGCAGCTGGTGGACTTCACCGTCAACACCTCTGGAAACAAGCTTGTCAGTCGTGTGAGTCTCCGCGATGCCCAAAAATGGCTATCCATCCACAAAGACACTTTGAAATACCTCTATATCGATCTCCTCGGCCACGATCAAGGCCTTCATTTCGACGCATCCATCTTCTCGCGACTCGAAGCACTCCGGCTCTCCCGAACTCAGCTCAACGACGAAGATGACCGCTGGAATAACGACCTCCGATGGGAACCCTCCCATGCCGACCGGGTTCTCTCCCCCAAGCTCCAGACTTTCGGCATGTCGTTTGGGATCATGGGGTGCTGTTTGATTAACAACTTCGGCGATAAGGAAGTCAACTGGCTGCGCTGCCTAGGGAAGGCTGCAGCTAGCAAGAGATCGGCACTGGACACGATTGAAATCCTCTTTAATCCGCTCAGTGCATACCCGCACAAGTATGGCGCTTATCCAGAGGATTATGGATATCCGTGGGATCGGATCAGTGGACTCCAGGCGGAGTTGGCGCGGTATGGGATTGATCTGGTGTATAATAGTCCGCCCTGGACGAAGGAAGAGTGGGAAGCGATGATTTCGAGATGGTTATCTGAGAGTGTAGCTGTCGGCTCATGAATTGATGAATCATATTATGTGATTGCCAGTAAAGATTACTACGTAATAATGGCATTGATGGCGTTAGTGATGAATCGGGAATCCGAAGTAGATCAGTGGAGAGCCTAGATAAATGCACATCCCTATGGCCACAATCTCCTCGTATTGCCCGTCATCGTATTGTATGCGCTCGGCCCCGCGCTCCACAGTGGAGATCCGATTTCCCCAGGTTCGCAGCCTAGTGTTCCTTTCAGACCTAAGGGTCCTCCAAGGGAGTAGAAACAGTTCCAGGGTTCAACGCTATCCCGCTTTGGATTGAATGTGATGCCTCGGCACCACCTGCCCTCAAAACTGGGCACTTCCACGATACCGGGCCGTCTCCACCCTCTCACATTCATCCGCCGATGCCCAATCCCACCGTGCAGGGGGCACTCTGCACTAGTTCGAATCTCCTCGCACCGGCTAAGGCCTGTTTAGCCTCCGGCCTCGGGGTGCTTTGCAAAACCTTGAACTCCCTCGTGCGAGCTTCGAGAACAACAGAACCCGCCGCAGGTTGGACTTGCAGCGCCTGTCCCAGCTTGCATTGAGAAGACGATCGGAATGGGGATTGTTGGTGGTTCGTATTTTGCTTTTGCTCCCAAGCTCGTTCTGCCGCCGACTCATCCATTGTCACGGGGGGTTTAAAAACCCTGCCGCCCGCCTTACTCATTCTCTTCTGGAGCTACACAATTCCTGCATCCTCGGCCTCGTGTTGCCTACCACGAGCATGGGTCTGGGAGTGCTGGATGTCCCTGACCATATCGTGGTCCCAGGTGAGATTACACTGCCGCCCCTCGCACCCCGCAGCTACACTAACAGCTCTGCATGGCCAGGCACCTCGAACATCTACGAACGAGACCGGGACTCGAGCGAGCCGTCGCCTCACACCTCTGGGCTGAAATATGACTGGACTACGAAAGAGCCTACGGTGCTAGTACCACAGCCCAGCGATGATCCCAATGACCCTTTGGTATGTGATCTAATCGGATGCAATGCGCAATTTCTCTTCTCTGGACATGGATGTCGGGAACTGACAGCGTATCACTAGAACTGGCCTCTATGGCGACGGGATGTGATCCTCGGCATTCTTTCCTTCGTCACGGTCCTTTGTACGACACTTAGCTCAATCATGGCCGCCAATACTGTCACAATCGCCGACTACGAGGAAATCACATTCGTTGCTGCTGCACTTCTGACCGGCTACCATCTTTGCGGCGTGGGCGTAGCGGGCATTCTGATCGTGCCCACCGCGCGCGTCTGGGGCAAGCGCCACCTATTCCTGATCGGACACGTCTTGATGATTGTGAGCTGTGTCTGGGCCGGCGCAAGTGGGAAAAATGTAAAGAGTCTTCTGTGGGCTCGAATTTTCCAAGGAGTTGCTTTGGCTCCGTTTGAGGCGTTGGTTAATGCCTGCATCGGTGACCTTTATTTCGTCCATGTAAGTGCCATGGGCGATGCGGACATAGCTTCGAATCTAATCTTATCCTTTTTAGGAACGAGGAAAACGCATGGCGGTGTCGAACGTCTCGCTCTTTGGTGCTGCCTTTTTGGCGCCTGTTTTCGTCGGCAAGATTACAAAGTCCATTAACTGGCAATGGTCCTTCTACTTTGTGGCCATCTTCCTCGCCGCTGCTTTGCCGTTTATGATCGTGTTTGTACCGGAGACTGCGTATCGCCGTGCCGACCATCTGAACACCGACTTTAAGCACAAGACCGGTCGTAATGAATCGACCGACTCACATTTGCCGCTCGGCGAAACCTCAAATGACGAACCCAAGGCATTCGTCAGTGGAGAGGTGCCAATCAGTGGAACGTCAAGGACGGAAGTATCCGCGGCACCCGTTCCACAAAAGGATACTCTTTTACAATCCATGAGACTTTTCAACGGACGAAAAACAGATGAAAACTTTTTCAAGCTCCTTCTGCGTCCCTTCCCCCTGTTTCTGCATCCTGGCATACTTTATGCGAGTCTCTCAACCTCCTCCTTTCTTTCGTGGCTAACAAGATGGCTAGGCATGTCTGATCCAAGGCGTCGTCATCGGCTGGGCAGTTTTCATCGGTGTTGTTTTGGCAATCGTATTCCTCGGCCCACCTCTCTGGTTTGAAGAGGACAAGACAGGCTACCTTTACACAGGTGCCTTTATCGGGTCTGTGGTGGGTCTGATCTTGGCCGGAGTACTCACCGATTACATGAACAAGGTGATGGTCAGATTGAACCGGGGCAGATACGAACCTGAGTTCCGGCTTTTGCTGGTAATTTTCCAACTCGTCTTTGCCTGCATGGGCCTGTACGGCTTTGGATGGACGGCGAATGACGTCATGAAGTATGGATGGCTACTCCCAGATGTGTTTTTTGCCTTTTTGATTATCGGGATGGTGATGGGTGCGGTTGCGGCCTCATTATATATCGTGGATGCACATCGTGAGTATTCCAACTTGCATTCATTTACTATGAACTATTTGCTAATGGACGCAGGTGAAATTGCCGTCGAGGCATTTACATGTCTGTTGGTTTTCAAAAACATGTTCAGTTTCTTGTTAACTTTCTACGCCTACGAATGGTTTGCGCACGGCGGCGTAAAGCACACCATGATCATCATTGGCAGCATTCAGGCGGGTATTTGCTTGCTGAGTATTCCAATGTGTAAGGAATACCTGAAAATCTTTCGCGTTGATTTCCTGCATTGCATGCTAATTTCCTGCAACAGATGTTTTCGGGAAGTGGAATCGAGCTTTCTGTGCGCGTTACGATATCCTTGAGATCCTACATCTCTGGTAATTGCTGCGGTATTTTGTTTCGGGCGGAATTCTGGAGCTTTCTGTTAGTTTATTCTTACGGTGTGTCATGTTTATGGAGAATAGAAGCTTGCTTAATCTCATATCTCTCGAGTTCAATGCGGAACAAATTATTATTATTTGAAGAATACGGCGGTCTTCTCTATCACACCCTACCAATTTTGATGTATCCTATATCAATACTGAGCTAAATATTGTTCCCTTGTCAAGCCAACTGGCATCAACTCCGCCACATATACTACCTCTATCGCTTTAGCCCCACCTTCACCCCATTAGCACAAGTGATAGTCAAAGTCAGATCTTCGGTCCAATCCGTTCCATCCCGATATTGATCTCTTCAAATTCCTGCGTAAACCGCACAAGTACATAGAGCGTCTCAGTAGATGCATACTGTTGACCCAAGCATACGCGCGGGCTACCACTGAAAGGGAGATATTGCTAAATACCTGGCATTAATAAGTGAGAGATGGGATGACAACGATTCAGATGAAAGCATCATACCCAAATAAAATCATTCTTTACCCAGCGTTCGGGTCGGAATTCCTCCGCATCTTCACCGAATAGATCCTTGCGATGATGCATTACGTAGACGGTGTAGATTACCATGGTTCCCTTCTCAATGAGGATTGGTGCGTTGCCATCGGGCCCTCCGCCGACTGGTAGGATTGTGTCCTTTGTGGCCATTTTTGCGTTGTTGGGGACTGATGGGTAAAGTCGGAGGGCTAGCGCGAAATGGTTAGTTAAACATGGGGTTTCAAGTTGGGGGGTCGCTGGTGCTTACTCTCGTTGACGCAGTATTTTGCGTATTTCAAGTTCCTCACCTGATCGTAAGTTGGTTTCTGACCATTGAGCTCTGTGATGATTTCTTCGCGAAGCTTTCTCCAGATATCGGGACGTTTCGCGAGACTGAAGAAGAGGCTGCTGATCAGACTGGCTGTTGTGTCCCGTCCGGCGAGGAGTAGACTGAGTAGCTCGTCGCGGAGTTTTCTCTATTGTCTGTTGCGAGAGCGAGTTCTTGAAAGAATGCCTTTCATCCTCCTTCGCCTTTTTTTGTGGCATCTTCCTGACATGCTTTGCGGTATTCAAGTGCTTCATGGACGTGTTTGTCGACGTCTTCTCGACAGAACCGGTGCGCTTCTACTGCTTTCGGGTCTGTACGACGGAATCGCTGCCAGGGACCTAGTCGCATTCCGAGAGCGATGTCATACAGGCCGTAGACGAAGGAGTCACTGAAGATTTGATCACCTCCCTCAGTGAGTGTATGAGATGATGTGCCAAATAGGAACTCGGTTGAGGAGTTCATTGTAAATCGGAAGAAAAGCGGCAGCAGGTCAATCGTTTCTGCATTTTCAACACTGTCATTCGAAAAAGGGATCCGTCGAAGAAGTTCTTAGATATGAGACTCAATAATGCTCAAGTCCGCAACTTGTGATTTATTGAAGCTGGGTCGTAACAATGCGCGCGAATTGGTCCACTCTTCACCGTCTGTTATGAAGACACCTCGTCCCAGCAATGGCCAAATGACCTCGGGTCGACTACGCAGGGAGTAGTCTTGAATTTCAGCGAGAGCATGGTTTTGATTTTCAGTGGGTGGATGGTAAAAACGCCTCGTCCACCTAGGTCGAGGACTTCGTGGGTATGGGCTATTGTGAAGTATCGGCTGGTAAATTTGGACAGATAGGCTTTTTGCTTGAAGGCTTTGGCGTTTTCGATGATAAAGGAAATTTCAAATAAACGGTCCTTGTATCGCGCAAGTAGTGGTTTGCAGCCATTCTCGCGGCTGAAGCGGCGTCGACGGATGAAGAGGAGGGATCGGGAGATGAGAAAGTAGGCGAAAAGAATCAAGGATGTGTTCACTATTATGAGCGTTGAGAGGGAGTTTTGTTTTGCCTTAATAGCATTCAGAAGGGAGAAGGCAGCCATCTTGTGACTGTCAAGTTCAATGGTGAGGACTTAGAAAGAAATAGGTCTTGGTCTCGACCAGCTGGATCCATCCACCCGGCTTGACAATCTTCATCAGCTCCAGGACACATTCTTTCGACTTTGTGCCAAGACCGAAGAGAGTCAACCGCTGGTGCACCAAGTCGAGCAGGTTTGCAGCCAGGATTTGGGCCATGGTTCCAGAGAGCTCTGCGCCACCAGCTTGACCCCCTCAGGTGGGTTTGGGGGGATTCTTTCGCCAGTGATGTCCGTACCAGTCAGTTCATACGATTCAGGGTGAGCAAGAGAGTGCCTGAAATCAGCCAGCCAGTAGCCTAGCAAAGGTACCGTCAGTCAAAGTGCCCACCGAGTCATAGGAACCAAGCAGACTTACCGTCGGACGTTCCGGTGTCGAGAATTCTCAAACCCTTGTGAGAAACATGCAAAGGTGCTAGGACCAGCTTGCCCATTCCGATCTTGAGGGCCTGGTGCTGGCCAGCAAGACGTCGGTTCTCGATAGTCTCCTCAAAGACATATTCGTACTTTTCGTTGGAGCCCATGTTTGCCGCAATGATTGCGTGAGAGAAGAAGGATTTAACAGAATCGATATTGAGTGTGTGTCTACTGTCGGAAATCATGAAGAATTATGTGACTTAAATAGTATCTCATTGAATAGTTCCCGGCTATCTGGTAAAATTCGACCACGTACCTGCAGTAGCCGCTGTTCCACCTCCAATCATGACACCATGATCATACAATACCAGAATATTTAAAATGATCGCGTAAACAATGAATAAAGTCGGCAACATCTTGATCGACAATAACTCCACAAGTAAGCTTACCTCAGGCCTAAGCAATTGGGGGGCGCCGCGACCCGAACAGTTTTTTTTTTTTTTTTTTTTTTTTTTTTTTTTTTTTTTTTTTTCCCTCGTATTAGCACCCGGTGTGGCTGAGCCTAGATTCCACCTGCGGAACGGCCCTCGGGCGTTGGCCGATACCTGAGGGAACTTTAGCCATTTCGCCTTGTTTTTGCCCTCTACAAAATTCTTGGACTTTTGCCAGTGGTCCTCATTGGATATCTGTTTCTGCAGTATTATCCTGCAGCATGCAACGCGTCCAGCAGGACCCACATCGCGCGACTAGTCCAGTAAATACTATAATGCTTAACGCATATCCCGCCGGAGCCATCTAAGGTCAGGGTCTACACTTTGACTCTTCTCGGTGGAAGATCATAGCATGTATTTCTTCACGATTCGCCATGACTCAGGCCTCCCACTGGCTCACAGTGTATCGGACTGGGGACCGAGGCTTCCTGCGGGCCGACGGCGCTTTGTTCCTTGTTGGTCGAATGGATGGAGACACTCAGGTCAAGCTTCGAGGTTTCAGAATCGAGCTTGCTGAGGTTGAGAATGCTATTATCAAAACTGCCGAGGGTAAATTAGCGCATGCCGTACTTAATCTGCGGGAAGAGCACGAAAATAAGTTCCTGGTAGCCCATGTGGTCTTCTCCAGTGGCAATGATCAGATTGAGCAACAGGCATTGGTCAACAAACTTCAAGCGACGCTCCCAGTGCCAGAATACATGCGCCCTGCAATGATCATCCCACTGGATGAGATTCTGTTGACTGCACACTTCAAGGTCAATCGCAAAGCGATCCAGGCTCTACCCCTTGATGCAGCATCCGTTGTGGGCCAGGCTTCGCTAAACCGAAAAATAACTCCTCGGGAACAAGATCTTGAGAGTCTCTGGCGAAGTGTTTTGCCTGTGTCTTCTCTGCACTCCATCACCTCTACCACCAACTTATTCCATGTCGGAGGCAGCTCTTTGCCTCTTGTCAAGGTACAAAGATTAATCAAAGACAAGCTCCTCGCTGCGCCAAAGCTAAATGAGCTGATGAATGCCGGTCGGCTGGCTGAAATGGCTTCTCTCATTGAAACAACACTATCATCCTGCATCGACTGGGATGCCGAGGTATCCATCCCAGAGTCATGGGAGATTGAATTCTCTAACATTGTTGGATCAGCTCCACGCTCTGCGCAGGAGGGAGTTCAGGTCCTCTTGACTGGTGCAAAAGGATACCTTGGAAGACATTTGCCACAACTCATACAGTCCAGCAACATTTCGAAGATTTTCTGCCTTGTGCGTCTTGGTACCGACATGGAAGCAATGTCAGCATCTTCCGACAAAATCACCCTTTTTTGCCGGTGACCTTGCGCTTAATGATTTGGGATTGAGTCGAGCCGAATTCGAACATTTCGCGTCCGAAACAGATGTGATTCTCCACTTAGCTGCCAACAGATTTTTCTGGGATGACTACGAAATCCTGAGAAGTGTCAATCTTTTTTTGGTGAAAGAAATTGCTCGTTTGGCGCTTGGTCGTCGCATCCCCATTCACTTCCTGTCGTCCGGGGCAATTCGCGTGTATGAGGACCTAGACGCACGGAAGCTCTACGAGAACACTGCCAGCGATAACGCCCGTCTGCCTCCTGATGATGGTAGCGATGGGTATGTTGCATCAAATGGACTGCAGACCACTTCTTGAGAAAGGTCTCAGATCATTTCCACCTGCCGATTACAATCCATCTTCCTGTCCCTGTTCGTGGATTAGGACCAGATCCAAGTTTTGCTGTGCCGGAGACCGACGAAATGGTCAACCAGCTCGTGAACGTTGTCAGGAACCTTGGCATCCGCTCTGCGATGAATGAACTTGCGGGATGGGCTGACACCATCCCCATGCATTTCACTGTTGAGATAGTCCGTACTGCGCTTCTCGACCAGGATAACATCTCCGCATTGACGGTGGTGGAGCATCCTGCTGAGAGACGTATTGATTGGCGACGATTTATCGAGGCACTCACGACAGACACTCAGTTGTGTGAACTTCCCTCTATGCCAACACTGCTGTGGATTGGAGAAGCAAAAAGGGCGGGCTTCAGTTATTTCATGCCGTCGCATCGTCTGATTGTGAAGAGTGACACTGGTGATATAGTTTCAAGGCGTTGAGCATGTGTAATAGAATGTGTTGTTCCTGTTGTTATTAATAAGTAGTTTTCTCTGGTGTTAATTCGAGAGGTTTGTGTTTATTTGCAATTCTTGTCACTGAAAATGTCTTGAATAAAGAGCATTGTAGCCTGAGGCCTTGAAGCACGTGTGTGCTTACTCAGCCACGTGATCTCGTCGCAAATGTTGCAGTAATCTTTCTGCCAGGGATTTCCGCCTGCTTTGCCATCGTCGCGTTGCGCCACAGAAGAACTGCTGTTCAGACTAACCCGCTTTGGACTAGCGTTGCTTACCAGTGGGTTGGTCAGCTGCGTAATTCCCGGCACAGCTGCAAATGATTCGCCGAGCCGGCGCTGACTGATGCCTTGCAAAGCAGTTCCTAATGGACAGTCGCTTGCGATGATCAATAAGTATTTATGAAGCTTGACTAACGCTGACTTCCATGATTCCAACACAATCTTGACCATCCACGCGAACCTTCGAGTCATGACCTCGCAGAAATATAAAAGGCTTCCATCTCATCCATGAAGCTGCTTCTGTCCATTTTAATTTGCATCACCGCAGTCTCCTTCACATACTGTCCTTCAATCCAGGACTCCTTCACCACATTTTTACAAGAGCACACACCAACAAGCCTGTCACATTTCTTCGCAAAGAAAATTAGCAGCAACAGTGCACACTCGGAACTTGAATTGGATAGCCAACCCCCTCCAGTCGTTCTTCCCATTACCAACATGTCCGCCGCGCGCGCAATTCGTCAAGTCTTCCTTGCCGTCGAGCAAGCAGAGGGTGCCGGCGCCCGCGTGCGCCGTTCCATCGGAACAGCCAAGTTGCGCAACTTCAGCCCCTTCCTCATGCTCGATCACGTCACCATCGGCAAGGGCGCCGGTTTCCCCGACCACCCCCACCGTGGCCAGGAAACTATCACCTATTTGCTCTCCGGAGGCGTCGACCACGAGGATTTCGCAGGTAACAAGGGTACCATTGGACCTGGTGATTTGCAATTCATGACTGCCGGCCGCGGCATCATGCATGCTGAAATGCCTCACGAGAACCCCGACGGTAGCCCCAGCGTCGGCATTCAATTGTGGGTTGACTTGCCCAAGAACCTGAAGATGTGTGAGCCTCGATACCGGGATCTGCGCGCTTCTGAGATCCCCCTCGCGACGGCCGACGACGGCCGTGTCTCGATCAAGGTGATTTCCGGCCAGTCGCACGGCGTGGATTCTGTCCGTGACCTTGCGTACACCCCAGTCTGGATCTTGGATGTTACCATCCGCCCTGGTGGTCGTATCTCGCAACCTTTGCCTCAGGGTTGGAATACCTTTGCTTATACCCTTTCGGGTGACGCAATATTCGGATCAAATGACTCGACCCGTGTCGTGAAGGAATTTCACAATGTCGTTTTTGAACAGTCTGGGGATTATGTCGAGGCCTCTGTTCCTGATAATGCCGAGTCGGAAGCTCGTTTCTTGATTATTTCGGGCCAGCCGCTTGATCAGAAGATTGTCCAGTACGGTCCTTTTGTGCTGAATAGCCAGCAGGAAGTTTATCAGGCTATGGTTGATTTCCAGACTGCTTCCAATGGCTTTGAGAAGTCACGGAACTGGCAGAGTGAGATTGGAATGCGCATGGCTCACTAGATATGCTGCAGTCCTCTTGGTTGTATTTATGAAAAGCATGATCGGTCGGCGTTATTATTGTTTTGAAATGGTTTCCATAAATTTTGAATGAATCATGGTTTCGTGTGTCCAAAATATGTCCAAAGAGAAACCAGAATATATCGCTCGCTTCGCTAGAAAATAGAGAATTATGGCCCCCAAAACATTATTCCAGCTGCTTGTTTTGACCAATTTCAAAGAGACGAGTAGTCAACCGGAAGCCAAAAAGACGTAGATGCTTCCCGCACCAACGTGCGCACAAAAGGCAGATCAATGTTTCGAGTATCAGAGCTTTATCTCGAGTATTAGAGCTCATCTTTGGGGTACAAAAATCGAGTGCCATTCTGACGTACTTCAATCTGCTGAAACCCCATCGATCATAAGCTTTGCGCCTACGGTCCCAACCACGGCAACGCCTTTCGGAATCAGCAAATCCCGAATCTTGAAGCAGCCAAAGACGACAATTCTCGTCAAGGCCGGGCAGGAGCGGAAGATACTTTGTACAACGTAATCATCCACAGCGACCTCGTTGAACGAGATATCAAGATACGCAAGCTGGGGATATTGTTTATTTCCTGCAAAGACAGTTTCGTATGCCTCGCGCGAGATGTGACGGCATGATGCGACATTCAGCGTCTGGATCTTGGAGCCGGAGTGCTCCATCAAGGCAACAAACCCATTTGAGGCAAGACCGACAGGCTTTGGAGGGCCGGCAGGGTTCGACATGTCCACATCTCTGAGTCCGTGAAAATCGACGTGTGTCAAACCGGGATTGGACCAGTTGTGGAACAGTGCAGTCAAAGCTTGATCTGTCAACAAGTCGTTGTTGGTGATTCGGAGTTTGACGAGCTGTCGACATTTGTCGTGGATAGATTGCAGGAGTTGGTCCTCAGAAAGTTTGAAACCTTCCAGAGACAGCGATTTGAGGTTGGGCCCCGCTGCATTGATAATACTGAGAAGGGGTGCCGGGTCTGTCTCTTGGTCAAGGCAGAGCGAGAGATGTTCCAGCGACTTCAAGTTTGAAATGGCCTCCAACGCCCGGTCGCCCAATTTGGAGAGCCATTTGAGTTTCAGGCGCTGAAGTCCAGTGCAGTTATTGCACATGATCTCGGCTGTTTCGTCGTCGAAAGCAGAATCAAGGTTCCAAAGCTTGACGCTTTGAAAACGTGGACCGATTTTGGTGAACACCTGGCGCCAACAGTCGTCAGACACCAGATTTGGGGAGTCCAAGTGAAGGTGTCGGATTTTCATGTCGCGTTCAATCATGTATTCAAAAATTTCGTTCTTCATAGGCGTGACAAAGCGGAGATTCAGCCTGTTCAAAGCAGGCATGGACGCCAGGATTTTATGATAATCATCGGTGTCAAGATCTAGTGTACATTTATTAGTATGCTGCCATGATTGAAGCCGAGAAAAAGAAACAAGGAGGTTGCACATACTTGCACAGTCATAAATGTTAAGCTCCGTATGCTGTGGACGGAGAAACAAATTCAAGATCCTCGAAGTGACTGCTCTTCTGCGGGACAGGATTTGACTGAGACGATGCATCAATGACGGAGGCAAATCACCAAATTCTTCGACGTCGGCAATGTTATCCGCCACTTTCTGTAAGAGAAGTCAGCGAGCTTTTCGGCATATGTACCCAATTCGTGAGGTCAACATACCTTAATGCACGTCTCAAGTAGGCTCTGTGCACCGAGGGTGGTCACTCCATCTAGTATTTTGGCCTGATTTTGGCGGCGCCCAATGCCGGGGGTGCGCTTTTTGGCAGGCACTTTCTTTTCCGCATTGGCTTGGTTCTTCGAGCATTCCGGACAGAGGAGACCGCCATTTGGGCCCGTCTTGCTATATGGTGTGACCGTGAACCGTTTGCCACAGATCTCGCAATTCTCCAATTGGCCAGGTAGCGGACGTGACTTCTCATCCATCATCTGCTTGGCCAATATATCGTCATCATCGTCCGGGTCCCCAGTTCGTCGGGCTTTGCGACGAGCGAATTCCTTGCTCCTTTTGATTTTCTCAATGGCTTGTTGACGCTTGCGCTTCTTCGCTTTGTCTTCGGGCGATTCGGGCTCGGGTTGGTATTCGGGGTCTTGATTCTCTGCATTTTCAGCGGTTTCTTCGTTGGCATGCTGCTCTGATTCCGCCACTCGACGAGCATGATCGTCACGGATTTGGTTTGCGTCGATGTTGTTGGACTAGATAAAGAATTGAACTGGTCAGCCCCGGATCAAGAATGGCAGACCTGGAGGACGATCCACGTACGGCAAGAAAATCCGTCAGTGCCGAGCGCCTATTCAGCGTCTTGTTAGTACTTTCGCAAAGGCTGTTGGATTTGGGTGGGAGAGTCATACGGGCCCCGGATGTTCCTCGCTGCCCGCCGGTTGGGTCGGTCGGCCCTGGAAGCGAAAGCATCAGTACTGGCAGGAACGAGGGGTCTCTCAGCAGTCCAATTCGTACATCTTGGCTAAGTGAGTCGGGCCGGAGGGAGAGTCTGGGTGGCGTTGAGTCCTGGAGGACGAGAAATGACTGGACCCGCGGCAGTTTCGCGTTGCACTTAACGCGAGGCTCTTATCGACGACGTGAGGCGATAACGAGTAACCATCAGAACTTCGAGACGACCACGGGGAAACAACGCACAGAGGAAGCGGCAGGGAATGAAGCCGAGAAATCAGTCATCGGCAGAGTTTGGGAATTGCCAGGTTTGCAAACTCGGGGTCGACCGATTGAAGAGTTTTCTTGGTTCAGGCACTTCTCGATCGATCACTTCCGATCACTGGCACTCTTCCCACTCTCGCCTCCCCCCTTTCCACTCGCTTCACTTCTCGCGCTTCGAACGCTTCGAACGCTTCGTTCTACACTCGCTCTACTACGACCCCGTCGGCTGGGTAGGCTGCTCCGTTAAAATAACGATTTCTGCTTGCCCTGCGCGTTTGAGAAGACGGTCCGCAGACGGTCCGCTGCAGAGCCGCGCCGCGCTTTGGTGATAAATTTGGATTCTGTACAAACCCCCGTTTTCCTCTTCGACTTGTCTCCTGGCTGGGTCGTTGGACATGCGCTGACTTCGTTGATTTTGTTAGAAGTGAAATCGAATCTTCCAGGCCTCCTTTCCCCGCCATTCTTTGGACCCCCCGAATCTGAGTCTACTTTGCGCCTTCGTCCCCATTCGCTTCCACCATGAAGAGAAGGTCCCAGGTCGTCTCGATCCCCGATTCCGAAGATGAGGCACCCGTCAGTGAGACGTCATTAAGGGACTCCTCGCCCCTCCAGCGATCGCAGCCCCTGCGCAAGGGCGGGTCATCTCATACCAAGAACCAGACCCACCGTGTCATTCAAGATTCCGAGGACGATGAGGACCCCATCGATCTAGTTGGTCCAAGAATGACGAGACAACGCTCTGCTGCCAACCTGGCTACCAACATTGCCGTGGTGGTTCCTACATTTACTACAAGCCATGGATCGCCAAGCGACTCCGCAGGGAGTTCGCGGGGAATTCAATCTGCGGACGGGGTCACCGGGCTCAACACGCCGGCAACCAGCGTTAGTACGGGAGTAGATTCAGATGCCAAGAAGCCATCGACCCGGGTGGATGCATCGGCGCGCGCCCTGCAACTGCGAACGAGTGCCAGAAAGCCGAATACCCTTCAGCGAGGCAAGAAGAGGCGTGCTTCTGTTCTGTCGTCGGATGGCGAAACTAGTGACGCGGCACTTGCCCACGCTCTGCAGATGGAGGAGTATGAGAGCTCATTGCCCAAAAGTCCTAAGGGCCGGGGAGCAGGCGTGTACAGTTCCAAAAAACAGCGGGTCCAGGACGAAGATGACCTCGCGGCTGTCATTAGCGATGAGAGCTCCCCTGTGCCTTCTCTCGAGTCTGACAATGATGACGATGATGACTTTGACGTGTCTGATAGTGAAAACGAGGATGCCCTTGCTGGTGGTGCAGGCTCTGTTCATGTCCCAAACAACCTCAATCCGAATGTCAATCCTACGACACACACCGGCGACAACGGGCCAGAAGCGATTGAGTTGGACGATGAGGAAGACGAGGAAGAAGCTGGACCGAACTGGTGGGAGCAGCGTAAAGCTCGTCGGGTAAGTTCCACTGCCCTAGCTTTCTATGCCAATCAACTAACCTCTCCCAAGGCCGAACGAGACCGCAAGAAGCTGCAAAAGTCGCACCCTACGCTTACCACTATGTGGGATGATCTGAAAGCCCAGCCTATCCTCGACCCAGAACCAGCCAAGCAACCGACGTCGATCACTCGCAAACTGAAACCCTTCCAGTTAAAGGGTTTGAGCTGGATGACTGCACAAGAGCAAACATCTTACCGCGGCGGTCTCCTAGGCGACGAAATGGGCATGGGAAAAACCATCCAAGCTGTTTCTCTCATCATGTCCGACTATCCCCAGCCCTTCCCAACTCTCGTGATCGTGCCGCCGGTTGCTCTGATGCAGTGGTCATCTGAAATCAAGGTGCGATCATAATAATTTCCATAGCATTCTATGCTTGGGTGATGGCTGATCTTGAAGTTAGGAATACACCGATGGCAAATTGAAAGTCTTGGTTTATCACGGGTCTGATTCCAAGGTGAAGAAACTCACCCAGAGTGATATCCGCAAATACGACGTGATCATGATCTCTTGTGCGTCAAAAAACCACTCTTCGGCCACGAGAATATCTTTTGACTAATCTGCCCCACAGATTCGAGCTTAGAGTCCATGTATCGGAAGCAGGAAAAGGGATGGTTCCGTGGCGGGGGTACAGTCAAAGAAGACAGTGAGTTCTTAGATGGAAAACTTGGCTTATATGGCAGTCACTTATCCTCTCACAGGTGTCATCCACGCGATTCATTACCACCGGCTCATTCTCGATGAAGCCCACAGCATCAAGGTAAGACAGCTGCTGATCTGTTACCCATATATACTTGACACCCATGCTAATCTTTCTGTTAGCAACGTACCACAGGTGTGGCGCGAGCCTGCTTTGCCCTCGAGGCGAACTACAAATGGTGTCTCTCAGGTACTCCCGTGCAGAATCGCATTGGCGAATTCTTTTCTCTCCTTCGATTCCTACAGGTCCGACCTTTTGCCAGCTATTTCTGCAAGAATTGCCCCTGTGAACAAATGCAGTGGATTGCAGATTCAAAGGGGCGCTGCACCAATTGTAACCATACGTACGTTCTATTTTGAAGGGAAAGTCCGATTGACCTTGATGCCAACATTATTTTTAGGGGCTTTCAACACATTTCGATCTTCAACAAGGAGATCTTGAATCCAATCACGGAGGGAAGGACTGCGACTGAACGGAAAGATGGGTTGGCCAAGCTGCGTTTGATCACGGACCACATCATGCTTCGTCGATTGAAGGAGGAGCATACTTCGTCGATGGAACTCCCGCCAAAGCGGTAAGTGTGCGGTTCCCAGCGTCTCTGTGAGTAGGAACTCATGATGATTTGCTTAGGATGACTCTTCACAATGAATTTTTTGGAGAGATCGAGCATGATTTCTCTCGTAGCATCATGACAAACACGACCCGACAATTTGATACCTACGTTAGCCGGGGTGTCATGCTGAACAACTATGCGAACATTTTCGGCCTGATCATGCAGATGCGCCAAGTTGCGAACCATCCAGATCTAATCCTGAAGAAGTCCGTAGAGGCTGGTCAAAATGTCATTGTGTGCCAGGTCTGCGACGAACCTGCAGAGGATGCCATCCGTTCCCGGTGCCACCACGACTTCTGTCGTCGGTGCGCGAATGACTATATCCAGTCATTTGAGTCCGATGAAAACTCGACCGTGCAATGCCCCCGATGCCACATTGCTCTCACGATCGATTTGGAGCAGCCGACGATCGAGCAGCAGGCCGACAGCACCAAGAATACATCGATCATCAACCGAATCAATATGGAAAATTGGACATCGTCGACGAAGATCGAAACCCTTCTGTATGAGTTGTACCAGCAGAGGAGCAAGAGCCACACTCCGAAGTCCATTATTTTCTCTCAGTTCACATCGATGTTACAGCTTGTGGAGTGGCGCCTGCGCCACGCTGGGTTCAATACCGTCATGCTTGATGGCACGATGACTCCTGCGCAGCGACAAAACTCGATTAATCATTTCATGACCAACCCGGACGTGGAGGTCTTCCTGGTTTCCTTGAAGGCTGGTGGTGTGGCCCTTAACCTGACAGAGGCTTCTCGTGTGTTCATTGTCGACCCGTAAGTACTACCATCATTTCGCTCTTCCCTTTGTGGAGACAACGTGCCTTGCTAATACACCTCATGTAGATGGTGGAATCCTGCGGCAGAATGGCAGAGCGCCGATCGCAGCCATCGCATCGGCCAGCAACGACCTTGTGTGATTACTCGTTTGACGATCGAGGATTCGGTCGAGTCCCGCATCGTTCAGCTCCAAGAGAAGAAGGCGAATCTCATTCGGGGCACGATCAACAAGGACCAAGCGGCCGCTCTGGAAAAATTGACTCCCGAAGACATGCAGTTCTTGTTCCGTGGCTCCTAAATGTCTCTTTTGACACCAGTGGCGTCAAATCTCGCAGTCGATCTCGCCCGACGTCACCAAACTGCCGTCCCGAACAGAACGCGTACCCACGGCCTCTCCACCACGAAATGTCTTGATGATCGTTTTATTTTTCCATTCTTTCCGCATATTATCTCCGATATCTGGCTTTCCTTTCTCTGTTTGCCACGGTACTATTTTTTTATTTCTGAGAGAGCATTGATTGTCTTGTTCCTAGCGTGTACTACATAAAACTTCTTACATCTAGAAATGCATCCCATAGTGACTTGCTGATTCGGCAAAGGAAAAGTTGCAACTACACACCTTCTTGTCTCCTACATCCACTCGCCGATTTTTTCAGTTTTTCAGATACCTGCTTGTACTTCAGGCTCCTAAGTATTTATGAATAGCAATGCATATTTTTTATTCAATGTACACAAATCGGGCTGTAATTACGTATTACTTTACATCAGATGTCAATTTCGTATCCGGGGTAGCACCAAACGATCTCGTCAGTGACTGAGCCAAGTACATGATCTGATAGCTGACTGGACGAGGGGTGTTCAAGATAGCAATAAATATGGCGGAGTGGTAGTTGGTGACTTAACTAGCACCCAATTCATAGTGCTCGTGGTATGTGTTAAATTGCAGAAATTGAAACATCCTCAGTAATGACTATTGCACCGTTCCCATCGTAAATATAGATCAGCAGGAAGTCTCGTGGGAAGAAATTCATTGGGTCCTCGTGCCAAGTCAATTGGCGTCCTGTAGGGCTCTCACCAGGAACAAGCACGATGAGATCATGGGCCCGGCGTTACGCTGCTGCCTATTTAACTCGGTAGGGACTGGTAAGGCTGATGCTTGGTTCGCCGCGTGAACGCCCCACCATCCCCTGGACATCATTCTTCTTCACTTTCTCTTCTCCTCGGCCCGCTCTGTTCCTATTCTTATCGGGCCATGAGGTTACGCCCCGCGTGTGGTCTCAGTCTGGCTTTAAATTGATATTGATCCCTCATCCCCCACCATGGCGCCCAAGGTCGACCACTATGGCCCCAAACTAGTGGAAAAGGCCGACAAACTCCAGCACCGTTTGACTATGAAGGATGATGCGCAGCCCGCCGGAGGCTTCGATGCGACCCCGATCCCCCATGCGCCGCCTGGATATACTCTCAAGTTCACCTTCCACCGAGGGAAAGACCTTCCGATCGCCGACTTTGGTAGCTTCTCCTCAGACCCGTATGTCGCGGCGCAACTGATCGTCGACCTCCCGCGCCGCCATAAACAGGATACTCCTGTGCGATTCCGAACGCCCACCGTGCGCAAGGATATGAATCCAATATGGGACTGTGAATGGATTGTTGCGAATGTCCCGGCTTCGGGGTTCCAGCTCAAGGCGATGGTCATGGATGAGGATCCCGCGGACCATGATGATAAACTCGGGATCGCATTTATCGAGGTCGGCGCGCTGTCAGAGAATTGGCCCGGGATTAAAGAACAATCGTTCAAGGTGAAGAAGCGCTTTGGTAGTAAGCGCGTGTATGTCTTCACCAATGTCTCCGCATTCGCGACGGGTCACCATCAGGAGTCTTTCTTGATTCTTAGTGTGGAATGCCTCGGGCGAACACCGGGCAATGAGGGGGGACAAATGTATACTGCTGGTCCGAATCACTGGTTCAAGCACTTTTCGCCTCTCATCGGCCGACTCGCGGGCACGAAAGACCGGATTGAGACACAGGATGGAAGTGGAAAGGCCATCAGTCGATATAAGTAGGTTGCATGTTGGAACTCCAACCTGCCTCTCTCCGCACACTGACGGGTATTTGAACGTAGCTTCCAAGCGATCCAAATGCAACTGTCGGGGCCAGTCCCTTCTGAGCTCTATCATCGCTATGTTGAATTCAAGCCATTCGTCGCAGGTATGTTCCAGGCGCAAAGTCTGCGAGGACGAATCCTACACAAGGCGCTGCACCATCAGCACCAGCGTATCTACAATTTCGACCGATCAACCCTCCACGGAGCCTTTCCCCAGCCGTGCCGCGAGTTCGCCCAGAAGTTCCTGGAGTTTGTCAACTACGGCCAAGGCGGACGGATCTTTACCTATGTCATCACCCTGGACGGACAGCTACGGTTCACCGAAACCGGCAAGGAGTTTGGAATTGACATGCTCAGCAAACACACGATGCATAGTGATGTATCGATTTACATTGCTTACTCGGGCGAATTCTTCATCCGCCGGCGCAAGTACCGCCACCACCGCCACCAGTCTCGTTCTCGGTCGCGCTCGCGCTCGCCGCAAACGCGCGCTGATGGTGAGGAATTGCCGGTTGAAGAAGACGGAGAATTCGAAGCGCAGATTCCTCAAGAGGTTTCGACCGAGCCGGCCGACTACGAACTCTTCATTGATAATGACAGTGGGACGTATCGACCCAACTGTGAGAAACTGCCACTTCTCAAGCAGTTTCTTGCCTCGAACTTCCCGGGTTTGCATATTACGACCCTGGACTGCCAGGCAGATGCCGAACGGATGGGCGAGATGAAGCAAGAACAACGGGACTTCAAGAAGGAACATGGTCATCTGATCACGTATCTCCAGCAGAGCAGCGCCTCATCCCTGTCAATCTCCAGTTCCGACGAGGAGGAGTTGAATGAGCGCAGTGGCGAGGCCTCGAAAAAACGAGGCGATTTGCATCGCCGGTACCACGAGATGCGTGACGTGAAGGGGCAGATGATGAAGTGGGTCGAAGCCGATGGCCATGCTGACCGTTCGAAGCACAAATATGTCGCTGGGCGCGAACGAGCCTCCTCGACTGGCGAGATCATGAGGTCTTCCACGCCCGCCAACAATGGGAAGGTTGCCTAATCCTGCATCCTCCCCTTCTCTGCTCTGTCCTTTTGACCCGTTTTTCAAAACCGTTTCCTAACCTGCTTTCTGCCCCGTTCCCGGTCCGTTCTCTGATTTCTATCATCTGTATGCCTTCCTATCGTCTTTTATCTCCTTGGTCTTATTCTCGGTCTGGTACCGAGTGTTACGATGTTCACGATTGGGTTAATGCCGCGGCCACGATTCACGCGGGGACAGTGTATCATAATCGAGCATAATCGCTATCATTAGTGTAGGGTTATTAATAGAGCTGGCGGTCCTCTTTGCACCAACGTGGCCCTTTCGTGCTCGAGTCGCAGTTGACTCATTCTGTAGAAGTCGAAATGCTGGCGCCTCTGGGCGCATAGAGGCTGAAACAAAGACATTGCTCCGCCCCCGCTACACGAGATTAAAGAGGAGCAGGACATCCCGTGCGATACGCAATTTGGAAATGCGACGTCTAGTCACAAAACACTAAACGAAGCAGAAGAGGCGTCAGTTGGTACCTCCCAGGTCAAGTGCGGCGCTCCACTGTTCGCCCGAGAATCCACCCCCTCCTTCAAATCGACGCGATCACCGATCCCAAGCTTCGACTCCACCTCCGCCCCCCTCCCACACCCAGCCTCAGCTTTTGCTGCTCACGGATGACCCTCTCTCGATCGCTTCCTCCCTTCTGGCCATCCGACTGCTGCGCACCCCGTCGATGGCCGATTGGCTTGGTGCTGATCCAAACTCCCGCCGTGACCTGATTGCCTCTGCCTGCGCTGCACCCGCGCCATCATGGGCAATGTCGCCAGCCGTCTCGACGATGCGGGGAACTTGTTCTTCAAGGACCAGAATCGCTGTATGTGCTCCCGGACTCGACTCGTCGCCTCGGCGAGAATTCACCTCCATACTAACCAAGTCGCCATTTCACAGTCTCGATCGCATCGGTCACCGTCAGCAACTCCCGACGTCCCCTCCTAACTCTGTCCCCGAACACGTTTCCCGCCGTGAGATATATAGCGAAGCGAGACACAGGTGACGACACTCCGATTGAATATATTCAGGTAGGCAAATCATGCCCATACTGGCAGACCTGCTAAGACTAACTTGGTTGATCCCACACAGGATCCCGACGTACCTTCGTCTGCTCCGGTCCCGACCTTCTTGCTCCGCCTCTCGAATGATGATGAGCTCATCTTCGATTTCACCTTCATCCTTCGTCAGACACAGACCGGCAACATCGCGGGTTCGACCGTCAATGGCGTCGCGACCTCCCTCCCTGAAGTGGCCAACACCAATCTCACTGGGCTCACTTTTGCCCACGCGTCAAACTCGAAGGAACTTGATAATTTGATCACGCGAGAGTTTCACGCAAATCCGAATCTCCAGAACAACTCCAACGTTCAGCTCATCGGGGACTTCTCCACCGATGGGGCGCCCTCCGTCTCGTTTGGCTGGACCTGGAAATGGAAACCGCCGAAGACCACGGAGGACAAGGGAGGTGGTTGGCGAAACAGCTGCAGTTTCTTAGATTATGACCAAAGGACCAACCGTCTGAATACTCTCGCCCATTTCTCCTTTTGGGTGCACAACTCCGTTCGCCTCCTGCCGAGCCCGTCGATGTCGTCGCCGCGCCTCGAGCTACCCGTCCCTCCTCCCCGCAGTCGCATTCCATCGACCCAATCCGTGATCTCCCAAGCGAGCGACAGCGAGAATGCCTCGAATCAAAACCTTCCTTCCATCACTCCGCCCGAGTCTACAGACGGTATGCCACCGCCTCCCACTGCGCCCCCGCCACCACCTCCCGTCAAAGTGGACCTGGCGACCCGCGCCGGAGATGATATGAATGTGGAGGATGGCCCTTTATTCCGTGCTACAATGAAAGCTTTGGAACAGAAAACAGGGAATATGCGTGCCAAAATCAAAAAGGTCCTCAAAAAGGCAGAGGCTGCACAGTCCGCACAGTCGCACTGCAATGAGGCGATGGAAGGCTTCTTGGGATCATTGAACGAGGCCTCGACCTCGAATGCCAATGCCATTCAGCCTGCGCTGGATCACTACTTTGAAAAGATTGCGCGCCAGATCCAGAACTACGAACAGTTGAACACTCTTCAGCTACAAAAGCTTGTCATTGAGCCCCTCGTCAAGCTGTATAACAACGACATCAAACAAGCGGAGGCAAAGAAAAAAGAATTTGACGAGGAAAGCCGCGATTATTATGCCTATGTCAGTCGATACCTGGGCCAGCGACAGGACTCGCTCAAGGAGAAAAAGCGCGCTGAGAGTGACTCGAAATATCAAGCGAAGCGTCGAAACTTTGAGCTGAGGCGCTTCGATTACTCCTCCTTCATGCAGGATCTTCATGGAGGTCGCAAAGAGCAAGAGGTGCTGTCGCATTTGACTAAATATGCCGACTTCCAAGCCAAGAATTTCTTGGCGGCTGCCAAGAAGATCGAAGAAATGGTCCCTCAGTTGGACGCTCTGATCCATGAGGTTAATCGGGCAGACAAGGAGTTCCAATTCAAGCGGACTGAACGTGAAGAGATCCGCAGAGCGTTGGAAAAGAACAGCAATCCCTACCTGGAACCTGAGGTTGTGGCTGGTGCTTCTGGCATGGCATCTACATCTACCGGGGCTGCCAACGGTGGTGCCTCGAACGAGACTGAGCTGGGTCGAGCTGATAGCACCGGCTCCCAACTACGCGGTGTAATCAGCAACAGCTCGTCGGTCTCATCCCAGGCAAACGCCGGATCAGTCAGCTCGGCTGCCGGCATATCTGCTCCTACTGGCGGCACTGGTTCTGCCGGCGCATCGGGACAAAACCGTTTCAAGGGAATTCGTGACCTCGAAGAGCCAGCTGTCCCAGGAGCCGATCGCACTGCTGGTCAACAGCGGAAAGAGGGGCTCCTGTGGGCACTATCACGGCCGGGTTCACACATTGATCCTAAGGGCATCAATAAGCAAGCATGGCACAAGTAAGCTTTATTCTTGGCATTTCTTGGCTGATTCAATCCGCTAACACTCTCTTAGATTCTGGATCGTATTGGATCAGGGAAAACTCTCGGAATACAGCAACTGGAAACAAAAGCTGGATCTGCATATGGAACCCATTGATCTTCGAATGGCATCGGTCCGTGAAGCTCGTAACGCAGAGCGACGCTTTTGTTTTGAGGTCATCACTCCTCAGTTCAAGCGCATCTACCAGGCGACTTCGGAAGAAGACATGGCAACTTGGATCCGATCCATTAATAATGCTCTTCAAAGTGCGGTCGAAGGCCGCGGCATGCCGCAAGCACCACCTGTCTCGTCATCCGGAAAGTTGTCGACTGGTCGTGACATTGGCTCAGTACTTACTGGGAAAAGCTCCTCGGTTTCAGGCCACCATGGGTACTCGAATAGCTCCAGTCAAGCGAGCGGCGTCAACCGTCGCACTACGGTTGGAGCGAGACCGAGCTACGTTCGCCATGATAGCAACAGCTACGAGGAGAATCCGGCACGACTCCTCCAAGTCGTGCGCGATGCCGATGAAGGGAACAACTGGTGCGCAGACTGTGGATCCTCTTCCAAAGTCGAATGGGTCTCAATCAATCTCGGAATTGTACTATGCATCGAGTGCAGTGGCATTCACCGGTCACTTGGTACGCATATTTCTAAGATCCGTTCTCTCACGCTGGATGTGCATTCCTTCTCAAACGACATCGTTGAGATTCTCCTGCAAATCGGCAATCGGGTCAGCAACATGATCTGGGAAGCAACACTCGACCAGTCCACAAGACCAACCGCCGGTTCTAGCCGCGAGGAGCGATTGAGATTCATCACAGCAAAATATGTCGATCGAGCCTACGTCGAAGGACTTCCATCTCCACGTTCCCGCTTCGCAACTCCTGACGAAACCCTCCTCGCTTCAATCAAAAAGAATGACATCCAAGGCGTTCTCTACGGAATTGCTCTCCGCGCCAACGTCAATGTTCCAGATCGTTCACGCAGTACTCCCGCCATCTTCCTCGCGTTGGCCGCTACCGACCCCGCCTCCCCCGGACCAGCATCTACTCCAACGTCTCTCTCCGCCCGATCAAGCACAAAAGCAATCCCCTTCCCCATGGCCGAACTGCTGGTTCAGAACGGCGCGGAGATTCCTCCCCAGCCTCCCTCCATCCCTCTTTCTCCCGCAGCACAGCTCTACCTCAGTCAGCGTGTGACTCGGAATGCAGGATTCAGCGCTCCTGCTCCTCCCGCTCCGCCTTCTGTTCCTGTAAGACCCGCTCCGAATGACACACTCGGCTCGCTGCCCACTATTCGCTCGGCGAGTAAGGATTCTTCGTCTTCGTCTGCTTCGCAAGCCCCGGGTAACTTGGATAAAGAAAAGGAGAAGCTGTCTAAGCGTGGGAGTGCTGGTGCTCGGTTCGCGGGTAAGGTTGCGTCTCTGGGAATTGACAGGTGATTTACTTCTTTCTAGATGCATCTTCCCTTCCTTCCTCTCCTCGCCTCGTGCTGTCCTTTTTAGTGAACTGGATGGACGCCTGCGCATAATTTTAATTATATTACCCACCCCGCCTTTCCCCCTTTCCCACACTAATGAAATTCGCATGAACATTTCTTCTTCCCCTGATGACTCTGTGTATGGCTTGGTTTGGGCTTTGTGTTTTTCTTTTCACTTTCGTGGGGACCTCATGGTGGACCTGCTCTTTACCCTTCTCTCTTTCTTGCTTTTCCTCTCTTGGTCTATTTCCCTTCTTCGAAAATACCAACAGGATGGCTCTTTTCTCTTCTTTTTTGTCTATGTGCATCTTACGCCTCCATCGATATACCGACTTTTTCTTCACGGTTGGAGAAATGAATGATTTCCTCGGTGGGCTACTCATTCTTTGTTTCTTTCGCTTTGGTGAGGATAGGTACTGTTATACTCGATTTTCATCTTCTCCGAGGCAATTGAGGCAATTGTTTGGGCGGGCTAGCTTTGTGTACCGATAACCAACCTCGCGAATATCCCCCGCACGGGTTCTTCTTGCTTTGAAGTTTTGTCTTTATCCCTGTAGATGAAAATTCTATCATAAGTCGCAGAGTTGTATTTAGACTACGGCAATATCCTCAATATCCATGGATATCCACATATCCTCTCCGCTAATTGCGGATATGGTATGTCACCCAACATTCTCAACCCTCACTTTTGTGGATATGGTATGCCACCCAATATCCTCTGGATATTTGAGGATACTCAGTGGATATGAAACAGGCCAAACATGCCCACCTCGTGAATTTTTGAGCGTGCATTATTTATGCGGATTACTTTGTATTTTTCAAGTAGTCACAGTGTAGTCATTATTTCTTGAAGTTTTTAATTTGGTAGACACAATCTTATTATTTTCATACTACAGACTATCTCAAATCAATCTGAAATTCATCAGCTTGCGTAATTATCGTCGCAGCTTTCTAACTGTTTTGCATCCTCAATACTAGGCTCTTAATCGGCTCTTGATTCTCCTCTTCATTGTCTCTAATTAGCTCGAGAGTTTTAAGCTGGGGCATCCCTTTCCGGAGCTTTACCTAACAATACAGCTTCTCTAACAGAAAGACACTCTGTAATAACTGCTCAACCTCAAATTTAGTAGCGAACTAATAAAGTATCAGTTCTCAGATTATACTTAGCTTTAATTAGCCACGACGATAGTGGCAGATATCGCGAGCACTATTAAATAAATGCTCAACACCTACGCCACTAGCTAGGATTGAGAGAATATCCTGCGCCATTCTTACAAGAATCGGAAACTCATACTTATGCTCTTTCTAGAATACTCAGTGAGAGGCGTCATCAAGATCACAATCATCATTATCTAGGGCTTCTCTAGTGGCATCTTATAAGACCACAGTATCTAAATCACAGCGAATTATCTCTTTATATCGCTAAAACTCTCGCTTAAGGACTCTATAATGTTACGGACCCTGCGACATGAGGGGCCACCGCTTACTGATGGGCCGCCGAGAGCCAACCATTCCTGGGAGATATACCTGACTCCTAGTCACGTGCACAAGAAAGCGGAAGCGGCCTCCTCATCACCGCCTTATCCAAACATTTCACTACAGCATTAAAGCATATAGAAAAGAGAGGCTTTAAATATGGTTACTATATGCACTGTATATGAAATATTGAGGTTACAGGTTAGTTGTTCTGCTAGCGCGTACTTAATCAGCAGTGGTAGCCAATTAAAAACACGAAAAGTGGGGAGCGTGTGTCGAAATTCCGACACACGGTGGGGCTGGTCACGTTACTTTTCTAGCTAGGGGCACCCAGCTGATCATGGTCCGGAAAGTAACGTGACCTGACCCACCGTGTGTCCAAATTTCGACACACGCTCCGCCCAGCCACCTGAGCGTGTGTTGAAATTTCGACCCATGGTCGCTTAATTTTAGCGTGAAATTAGCGTACACTAGTTATAAATACCCCTGTGGATCAATTGAGGTTCACCCCAAGCCCTTTCCTCGCGGCGGATGGGACGGCGGTCCGCATCAAGCGGCTCGAAGTATGCACGGGGGAGCTGCTCCGCTGTAAAGGTGGCAAAGCTGGTATGGTCGACCATCTGACATAAGTGAAAAAAGGGTGAACAGTGAGGGGAAAGAAGAGAAGACGAGATGGCTAGAGAGAAAAAAGACGCAAGTGGTGGGTGGTTGGTTGTATTGATCGTTTATATATTTTGGACGAGCTTTGTTGATGTACCATCAATGAATGGGACGCGCTTTATTCACTGATGGCATCAAAGGAAGGAACTCTAGTGAAGTAAGCGCGGCCTATTCACTGGCGCAACCAGACATATGCAAAATTAGGCCTACGCTCGTGTAGACATACTCGAAAATTATATATACAATATACACTGTATATACAGACACTGAGGTTATAGATGGGCCGTTCGACTAGCGCGTGCTGAATCAGTGGTGGCAGCCAATAGAATATGCGTAAAAGTGGGGAGCGTGTGTCCAAATTTCGACACACGCTCAGGTGGCTAAGCGGAGCGTGTGTCCGGAAATGGTGAAAGGTTGTTCCGGATGGGTGGGTCAGGTCACCTTACTTTCCGGACCACGATCAGCTGGAGCCCGTATACCCCTAGAGAGTATCCTAGAGCCACGACCACGTGACTATTCATGGCCATCACGAGGGTCCAAGGCCGAGTTCCAGCTGATCGTGGTCCGGAAAGTAAGGTGACCTGACCCACCCATCCGGAACAACCTTTCACCATTTCCGGACACACGCTCCGCTTAGCCACCTGAGCGTGTGTCGAAATTTGGACACACGCTCACATTTTTTCATGTTTTTAATTGGCTACCACTGCTGATTAAGTACGCGCTAGCAGAACAACTAACCTGTACCCTCAATATTTCATATACAGTGCATATAGTAATCATATTTAAAGCCTCTTTTTTCTATATGCTTTAATGCTGTAGTGAATGTTTGAATAAATAAGGCACGCGCTATTTGCTGCTGCCGTCAAAGGAAGTTTCGCTAGTGAATAGAGAATAGCACCTTCCTTCACTGTGTATGAACAAAAGATGAATCATCTTCAGATTCAACCTTATAATTCTATAATCAATATATGCCCAACATGTGTTAAGATAACTCACCACAGGTGGATTAAAAGCTAATGCTCGAAATGTAGTTACTGGATCGTTAGACTGAGGGGGAAGGTCTTGAAAATCGACCAATGGATCATTAAATGTAGACTCAAAGCGTGTTGCAAAGTCTGGATGATTGAAGACAAACATATTTTGGCAAATATGTAAACAATAGGATTGTAGGATAAATTGGTATTTATAATCAGTCTACGCTAGTTTCACGCTAAAAATAAGCGACCATGGGTTGAAATTTCTACCCACGCTCACCCCAGCCACCTGATCGTGGGTAGAAATTCAACCCATGAGTGGGTCAATTCACGTGATTTTTCTAACCACGCTCAGCTATGCCCCCTAGGGGTATATACTGGGGTATACATCGATTCCAACGGCGACTCTAAGAGACACATAAGGAGTATACGGGGAGGATTAGATATATATGGACACCCTTTTACACACATATATTTAGTTCTTCGTGAATAATCATATATTGTTAGTTAGATATATCTTTGATTCTATCTTCACTGTTCGACCAAGCCAAATATCCTACAAGTAGGGGAGCTCTTCAGACTAACCTACTTAGCGCTCTACCTATTACACCCTTCGAAGTTACTCAACAGGACCCGAATCCGTTCAGACTTAGCATAGCAGCAGTACATTTGCGAGTCAGAACTTAAAGGTTAACCGAATGGTGCTCAGAGGGCTGATTCCGGCATCACCAGCACATATTACAGTTATACCGACTAAGAACTAGTAATTTGTTGACCAAAATTTGACCACTGACCGTGACCAGATAGCAACGCGTAACATAAAATAGTGTTTAACATAGTCAATTTCACCTTAACTGTGAAGGGCTACGGCCGAATTGATTCAATTGAGCGCGCCAAACATGCAGTCTATCTAAAGCTTGGAAAATTTTAGAAATAGAGAGTGGCCAGTGGTGACTAAGTATCCTGGGGAGTTGATAAATCACATCGCACGGGCTTGGCCTGGGCAATAGATCGGGACCTGACCCGTTACATTAACGGTCTGTTAATATAAAATATCGAAGTTTCTTTAGTAGGCAAAGGATCGATATAAGTGCATAAATATCACTATATAATTCATAACTAGTACCAGTGTGATACTTTAAGAGCTTCCTTTCTGCGGTTCAAAGAGCCTACAGCATACGCTTCTTCTAGATAACTCCTTTGTTATTCAACTTACTCTTAGCTTCACTAAGATAAGAGAAAAGCAGTTAGAAGTTAACACGGTTCAACACCCAACTTCTAAGGCTGCGATCATATTCACCTTATCAATTAGCTAGGACTCGGGATGAGAGGAAAATGGAATTTTTTATCCTTATGAGTGATCTGCCATATTTACCCCGCTTAACCCCGCTTTCTTTTTCACCGTGTTTATCTTTTTTGTTTCTATTTCGGTCTATTTATACGAGAATCATCCTATAGACCCAGGCTAAACAGGAGTGAGAATGGAAGTCATCCACTAAAGGTGGTCATTTGCGAAAATCGACAACAATCTGCCCGGTAAACACACGAGAAGACTCTACGGTTCACTACCAAGGAATCGGGCGTATCTGTTGACACAACTACGAACGGGCCACAATTGGCTGTGTACTCATGTCAAGGCCCGCCGATTCCGCGACGACGACTACTGCTTATGCGGCGCTCAAGAAACGGTCACTCATATGTACACTAGAATTTTTGTTTTATAAAACCCGACCTCATTCTCTAGCTGTGCCTAGTCTAGCACGATTGCCTTTTTCCAGCTTGACCCCCATGGGCATGCGATGTAGGGGAGAATGGGTTCTACCCCTGTTTGGTGCAGTGGTAGGACTTGATTCAGCTTCCCAAACGGGGATTGGGACCTAGGGAGGCCACGGATTCGGAGGCATTTTTGAGTAGGATGATCCATAGGTAGACTGTGGCAGTTGATCCTCCGGCGGCGGAGAATTCGTTTCTGGAGATATATGCTCAGCGGTATGATATTAGCTTCTGGTTCCGCAACCGGTCTTGATACTGTGCAAAACAAGCCAACAACAACATCAGCGATTGTTTTCTGAATCACATCCATTGGTTTGACAATCCACTCTGGGATATTCCCTTGTTTATTCACTGTGGCCCACACTGACGCCGCATATGTGATGGTTGACACAACCAAGGCCTGGTACAGCTGCCGAGCGTTTAGTGACCTCAACCCTTTCAATCGCATCAACTACTGGCTTGCTTGGATGCCACTCTTGGTGGCTCTGCCAATATGTTCTCGGAACCTTAGTTTCTGGTCACATATGACTCGTAACAGTTTGAGTGTATTGCTTGGGGCGGTCTTTTGTTGATCGATCTTGAGTGATTGCGCTGGTTGTGCGTTGCGGTAGGCGCTGCTGGTAAAGTGGACGTATTGAGTTTTCTGCGCCTCAAATGTAGCTCCAGACTGTGCCGCCCAGTTCAGTGCCTTTGGTATAATATGTGTCGGGAGGGTCTCTGCATTTGCATCTGATGACTGGCCCACAGTGAGGGAGGACTGGTCATTTCCCTATGGCAGTGCCAAAAAAAAAAAAAAAAAAAAAAAAAGGCGGTAGTTTCCCTTGGTGTACCCTTGGTGGAGATCTACACTATCCAGTGGCTCACAATCAACACACACTAAAGGCAAAGGAACACACAGAATGGGCAAATCAGGGTGCAGAGAAATGCACTCTGACAGACTTCATTTCTCCACTAGGATATATGACAGGTTTTTCGTAATATATCAGGCAAGGCAACAAGAACCACTCATGACAGAAGCATCTCAATCTAGCTAATCACACTCGGTAGTTTGTGGTAGGTCCAATTGGATTGTATTGGTATCCTGAGAACTTGTTGAACAAACCCTGATCAAAATTTTCAAGCCCGACGCATTCAAGTTCATCAACGAAATTGGTTGAGTTGTTGACAGACTCCAGCGGCCCCTTTAAAAAGATGTGTAATGGCCTGTTGTGCAAGAGCGAAAGTGAGGCATGCAAAGTTGTCGCCCTCAAACAAGTTCTTGACATTCAAGACGCCACCGGTGAGGTCCTCAAGACTGATGCCAGTGAATGAGTTCACTGATCCGTTATTTCCGCCGATTCTCAGGGCCTTTGGGTATGCGAGATATCCAATACCGATGTCTACTAATGAGTCGGTCAGGCCGTAAGGGGAAATGGTTGGGCGCTTGTACCAGTTTTTGGGAATGCGTTCCTGTCCTTTGTGCCAGATGAAAGAGCCAGGGTAGCCTGTTACACCAAAGAATTGTTTGAAACTATAACTGTCCTATCAGCTGTTAGACAGACACTTGTTCATATACAGACTGACCTACCAAGTATCCGGATGGCTCCTCTTCCGAGTGATTTGACATTAAGTTGATGACCAGGTTGTATGATCCTGGTACGATCGCTACTGTGGAAAGGGTACCGGTAAAATAGTATGGATTCGTCTTTATGGAGTGTTCTTGGACTGCTTGGTAAGGAGCACGGATCTTGTCGAGGGTATATCGTTGGTCTAATCTATTTTCGGAAGTATCATTGCCAACAGCGGCATAGACGGCTTCAAACCTCTCGACGGAAAGAGAATGTGCGTCACCGTGGGTTCGTGAAAGCGTCAGGTCGGCCCATTGTCCCGTCACCCTCGAAGCTATTGTGAGAGTAAGAAAGGCCCAGGCCATTTCCAAAAATAGGTACGAGTGGATCAGAATGAGGGCTGCCGATATAAAATGTTCCATCCATGAGATCGCCATCAGTAGCAACTGCATACGCGGCAAGCAAAGCACCCAGCTCAATCCCTAGGTTGTATACTAGATGAATTAGCTAATGTCAAGAGGATTAAATATGAGGGCACGACTTTACATTTGTTGAGGCCGCGAGCTGCCTCCTCGATCGAAGCGACTCCAGAACGAGGCAAATAGGCGTGATTGGCTGTGGCATTGAGTCCTGGCATGGCCCGCGAATTTGGTCTGGAGCCGGCACAACATATGCATGCTCGCCTTCCACAGACACAAACTGATCGTTTGCATCGAAATAAGGACATGGGGTCGTAGGCCCACAGTTTGTTTCCGCTCGGCTGAAACGCAACGCGTCTTTCGGATGCGGAAATGGCCGGAGTCGTAAAGGTTGAAGATCCTCTTCTCTGAGCATCATTAGAGTCTGCGAAGCCAACCGCGCCAGTCTATGGTAGGCTTCAACTTTGAGATTACTCATGACTGGAAGGCAAGACCCAACGTCACCAGTGTGAAGAGAGGGGGTAGAAACTTCAGGGTCAATGTGCAAGAGAATTTAGGAGCCTACTGGACATGAGAAAGTACTAGCCCGGCTTTACGGAAGCACACATCTATGTATAGAGAGCCTGACTGCCATAGGAGCAACTTTGATTCCTACTTGTATGACTATTGAAAATTTGCTAGTACGTCAGAGCTGAGCCTCGTGTAACCACCTTCTGCGATTGGAGCCCCCCACGAAAAGCTCAAATACTTGATAATGATGAAGATCAACCGATATCGATCTGCCGCTATGTTAGTATCAAATAGCGCAATCAAAGATGTCTTACGAATTTCATCTCAAATAATGGGCCCAGAGAATTGATTACTGACCGCAATCTATTTTCGTTGGACTTAAAAAGGTATCGGGCGGGAAAATATCAGTGTTATCGGAAGCCTTCAGCAAAGGCTTTGCGGGATTATTCCCTTGTAATATAACCGGTGTGTTCTGTGGAACGGTGTTATGGAACGATTTAACTAGTCAGGAATTGGTGTTTAATGACTCCACGGGTGGAGCGCTTTGGAATGCACGCTACCGAGATCTAGGAGCTGAAGCAATTACCTTAGTACAATCTATGTGCCTGCGTTTGTTAACAAGTATCTGATGTTATAGGTTCTAACTCAATATTGTCTGAGTCTCACCATGATGCGATGCTCGCCGCAGTGGGGAGCGTCAGTGAACCGCAATAAACACATGTGCTACTACCAGAAGCCTCAAGCCAATCTTTAGCGTATCGTTGAACTGAGCTTTGCTCTTTCTTTCCTGGTGGACACTGACCACATTTAGCCGTAATCATACTCTTGTATGGATTACTTGTGGCTCAACTTTACTACTTTAGACTTCATGTCTCTGCCCTGGATGGAGACCATATCATCATCATCATTTGCGAGAGCACCTGTCCTTGATCGGAAATCTTTATCTTTCATCCCAGCTTATCTATTTCCCTTGCTATTTCTTGATTATTTCCTTTATTTCTTATTTCTTTCTTATTTCTTATTTCTTTATTATTTCTTATTTCTTACTTCTTATTTCTTGTTTCTTATTTCTCATTCCTAATTATTGATTATTGATTATTTCTTATTTCTTATTTCTTATTTCTTATTTCTTATTTCTTATTTCTTATTTCTTATTTCTTATTTCTTATTTCTTATTTCTTATTTCTTATTTCTTATTTCTTATTTCTTATTTCTTATTTCTTATTTCTTATTTCTTATTTCTTATTTCTTATTTCTTATTTCTTATTTCTTATTTCTTATTTCTTATTTCTTATTTCTTATTTCTTATTTCTTATTTCTTATTTCTTATTTCTTATTTCTTATTTCTTATTTCTTATTTCTTATTTCTTTATTATTTCTTATTTCGTACTTCTTATTTCTAATTTCTTATTCCTCATTCCTAATTATTGATCATTGATTATTTCGCATTACCCATCACTCCATAAAATCACTTGCTCCGTTTCCTCTGCAGCTTCTTGCTACTAGTTCCAAACTCGAAGTTTGTGATTGATGATTATTGACCAATTCTATTGAACTCTATGCAGATAAAGAATCCACGGTCAGCTCTATAGGTGAAATTACAGACTATAAACAGAATCAAAGTACAGACATGGACCAGAGCAAAATAGCACTTACTGGTTCTATAATCCAAGATGAAATTGTTTTATCTCCTGACCTTACCCCTCCTTCTTCTCAGTCCAGTTATTACTGCGGCGAACAATCTTGAATATGAATATATTGTTGTGGGAAGTGGCGCAGGAGGAGGTCCTGTAGCATGCAGGCTCGCCAGGAACGGCCACAGGACCCTGCTTATCGAAGCTGGCAACGATCAGTCTGACAATCTCAACACTACGGTTCCCGGATATGAAGGCATTGTCACTGAAGACCCAGCTGTCCGATGGGATATTTTTGTCAATCATTACGAAGACCAGACGCGCGCGCAGCGAGATCCAAAATACACATGGGAGACCGCGCCATTTGAATATCATGTTGGACCCAATCCTCCTAAGGGTGCCAAACCACGAGGCATATTATATCCCCGTGCGCAATCATTGGGAGGATGCACTACACATAATGCACTTATCTGGATCACCGCGCATGACAGTGACTGGGACAACATCGCAAGCTTGACTGGAGACACCTCGTGGACCCACGACAACATGGGCCAATATCTTCAGAAGGTTAACGAATGGCTTCACGTTGAGCCAACTGACCCCACAATTTTAGTGAGCGACCAACAACTCACTCAGCATTGTGTGGCCGGCGCCGCCGCCTTGGGAGAAGGCCCAGAACCTGTCAACGCTGTCAGGGGATTTGCGAACCTTCTGGCGAATGATCCAAACAGTCAAATCAACCCAGCACGTGATTCGACTCAAGGATTCTTCCAAGTGCCCCTGACGATGACTGCGGGCAATCGTTCTAGCGTTACCGATTTCATTAGAAGCACCGTCGCGGAGGGCTTCCCCTTGGACGTTCGCACAAATTCCTTCGTGACTAAAATCACTTTTGATCAGTCTGGGGCCATTCCAAAAGCCACGGGGGTTGAGTTTCAAGACGGAGAGTATCTCTACCGAGCAAGCCCTCGAAGTCTCAACAGCCGTCCCGGAAAGCCTGGCTCAGCGGAGGCGACAAAGGAGCTTATCATATCTGCTGGCGCATACAATACGCCTCAGCTGTTGAAGCTCAGCGGGGTTGGTCCCAAACGCGAATTAGAGAAGTTCAATATTTCTGTTGTGAAAGACCTTCCAGGTGTCGGCACCAACTTGATGGACCGCTACGAAATTCCAGTCAATGTCCGGCATAACAAGGACTTCTCGATCCTTGATGGCTGTACTTTTGACGGTAAGCCTCATGATGAATGTCTCAAGAAATGGGAGAACAACCCCTATGTTCTCAGCCAACGCGGAGCCTATGCCACAAACGGTCTCGCGGCAACTCTGGCTGTCACCTCGAAATATGCCTCAAGCTCAAACATTGATATGTTCATATTTGGTGGTCCCGGCAACTTCCAAGGATATTTTCCCGGCTGGGCGGAACAGGTTACCGCGGACCATTCGCACTTTTCGTGGTACACTCTGAAAGCACACACACGGAATCATGCCGGCACCGTGGAGTTACAATCGACAGACCCATTCGACCAGCCCAAGATCAACTTCAATTACTTCGATACCGGGACTACAGTAGGTGGGGCGGACGATCTTGATGCGGATTCAATTGTCCAAGCAATCAATATTTCGCGAAACGCGTTATCTGAGTACTACAACTATGATATCCTGGGTGGCTCTCCATTCGTGGAGGAAAGCCCCGGTCAAGAAGTGGCAGGCGACGTTGAACTAAAGCAATACGTGAAAGACGTCGCTTGGGGTCATCATGCATCTTGTACTGCGCCTATCGGGGCTACGAATGACCCCCTTGCCGTGCTCGATTCGGAGTTCCGAGTACATGGCGTGCAAAATCTCCGTGTCGTTGATGCTAGTGTCTTCCCCGAAATCCCAGGTGTTTTCATCATGGCGCCGATCTATGTCGTCAGCGAGAAAGCTGCAGACGTGATTTTGAACGGCCTACGCTGAAGATATATTGTTATAGTATGTTTTGGATACAAGTTCAAAGGAACCTCATTTATCTCGTGATTCATAAACGCATTCCCAGTAATCCCAGCGGTGTAGTATAGTAGTTAAGATGCAACCCTCATTCGCGAAAAGCCGAATAATTGGAGCTGGGATGCTGAAGCCAATACCTCACAGCGGAACTATTGGCCATACAAAGAACAAGTATGGCGGCATTCAAGGTAACTTACTTTCGACCCAAATACTGTAGAAGACACTCGGTCTTCGGACTTTGACGTACATTTTGTTTCCTTTAGGGGCATTTGATTTAGCTATATAGCTTTGTTCAGCTTGTGAGTATTATGCAGATGATGTCGAAGACTGCGCTCATCGACAAAAGTTTGACCATATCCACAGACTAGCCTCGCGCCATGCTCCTGCTCTCCTAGTATATACTCATCTTCAATGAGCTGCTTCAGATTGCTGCTTTTGAGCTATTGATGTACTCGATCTTCTCCGGCGAGATCCTCATTCCACAGGCAGAAGGGGCAGTAGCCGGGCCGGATCACTGTGTTGCGGTACATTATGGAATGACTTCATAATGCTGCTTTTTCTATGACTAGATATGAGAATAGCAGTGGACTCGCCATTTGACTTGCTTGCAACCATTTCATGCACTCATAACAAAATTTCAATTGTGACTCTGGGACGTAAAGATCTAAAGCTATTACACGTTGAACACATTTGCGTATATGAGCTCTTCTGTCAGGCTTTTTTAGACTAGAAAAAGTCAGCATACATTTTATCGTTATGTTAAAGAGTAACTCAGTATTTAATCTTTTTAAGGCAGTATTTTGCTGGACATCGACCTTGTACCGGGCTTTCTTGTAGAAGATAGACCACATCGAAATCACGCTTACAGAGGATTTTAGATCGTACACGAAAGCTCTCTTTCAGAAGATATCAATGTTGATATTTTGACAATTTCGGGCATAATTAAGGATTGAGGCCGCGTGGAAACGTCGTTGTCACTGATAACCGGCCCCTCTTTGCCCCTATTGAGAATTCTTTGGTCTTGCCTCTCTCGTACCTTGCGGTTCTGGTGTTCTTTTAGGCATGCAATGCGGAGCCAGAGCAGAGTCTTTCTGTAATTCAGCTTTTTGGTAGCTATAGAGTCTTTGTCGCCGTTCAAGGCTTCAAGTTACTCGATCCGACAGCTGATAGCGACTAGTTTTGGCGTCTGCAGAATATTCGCCTTAATCTCCGCGGGCAGTTCCCCTGGATACATGCTCATAAAATCTCTCGAAACCTTAGAAGTACTCGTTGTGATTCGACTGTTCTTCCTCCCCTAAAACGGCTGAAACTGTATTAGAAAAAGAGCAAAATAGCAAATACTCTTTAGGATATATCCCTGCACTTTTATGCCTATATATCTGAGATACTAAGGCAGATATATGCTTTCCTGTGCCAGTAGTTAATGAATGTTTCTTTAACGTGCTATAATCTTTGACCGTCCCACCTTCAATGACACTTCCAAGATATTTTCGAATTCTATAAACAGTTACACTCTTGCTGTATCCAGCTATCGTGACGATTCCAAGCAGTAGTAACTCACAAAACCGCTCTTTATAGAGCGGAACATCTTGTGGACCATCAGTTGTGACATTCCAGAGAACAGGCTTTTTCAGGTATTCATCCTTCTACCGTAGTTCAATAGGCTTTCCGCTAGAAAGGTCATACTTAGCCAAGTCCTCCACAGTCGTTATATTAAAAGGTGCACCGTGTTAGAGGGCAATAGCTAGGAGTAAATAGCCAGACGCGAATTGTAGTCTCTTTGTGTCACAAATGCCGAATCCGAATCTCCATTTTTTGGTTAGCAAGAGTGTTTTCAATTAAAGCCAGCCGGATCAAGGTTACTTTTTAAGTAACTTACACTGCGTAATCCGGGCTTCGATTCCCTTTAAGCCACTTTTGGTTCACTTTCCAGTCCACCTTCCAAGGTGCCTAAGCAGATGGAAAAAGAACCAGACCGATGTCCTTTGTAGGTAGTTAGTCAAGCGTAATCCCAGCATAGGAATGTAATCACCTGATATGTTAGCCCTTTTCGTTTCTATCCTCGTGGATTGGAATGAAGGCTCCGGTTCTCGCTCCGGTGAACAGGTATAATTGAAGAGCTAGCATGATGATAGCCTTGAGTAATCCGGGCATGAACCGGCGATGATCCCCAGGCCACATAGAGAATATCATTCGGAGAAAATCTTTCTTGGTAAAGCCGTGGTCTGGATCCTCAACAGTTTCAATCGTCCCTTCATTTTCTGTCAATGTCCTCCTTACCCACTGTCTTTCAGTTAGTCTGGCCAGAATTGCGGTACTTAGTGAGGGCTTGCGTTGAAGACTTCGATTCGGTCTTTCTTCACAATTTTGATTCGCAGTTGTTCCTCAAATCAACCGAACAATCTTTCCGCAATATTGAGAACCGATGTCATCACTGGCCTCCCGTTTTTACTTTTTGTTCCTCGCGCATGGTGACTGTACCAGCGAAAAAATTCTTTGATGAGTGTATGATCTGGAGTCGCACAGCCTGGTCCGGTGTGGCAACCCTTGATTCCATTTTGTTCAACGAATCTAAAAGCCGGTCAGAAGTTTATCCGACGGATCCTCGTGTACGAGTGCATGGCGACCCTTCATACACTGATGGACAGCTCGGCAATACACCCTCTTGGTCTTGGGCATCCTTTTATCTTTGCCTCGGATGCGGTCTTCAGCTGCAAGCGCCGAAAACATAGCCGTTCTTTGCCAGTCGCGTTCGGCATCCCTCGTTGGCGGTTTCATCTTGTTGAGCAAAAAAGAGATTTCGGCCAATGACCAGAAAGAATCCCAACAGAAGCCTGGTGATCTTGGACAACAGATATTGGAATGAAAGAGAAATGAAGATGGTGTGAGAATCTGGCATGAGGGATATAGCTTCTATTTGTGCTTCAGTACTCTGGCACAGATCCTCATACTCCAATGATAGAGGGATATTTTTTTTGCGCCACTTCATGCTTTCACGCGTAATGATTCGGAAGGAAAACGGAATTGGAAGTTGGAGCACCTCAGAAAAAGGGGCATGGTGAAAATGAGGGCCATCAAGATGTGATCCACGAAACAGCAGTACGGTGCGGCCCTGCTACTCCTTTGGGTATGGTCTGAGCGTAGTCTGGGTGCTCAGTAGATGCCTCTCCTCATCCTCTGAATAGTCAGTCAGCGCTCACCAGGTCTGCCTACTCCATCACGTGATTGGTATGAGCAGCTCAGTGTCTGAGCCCGGACTGAAATTTACTCGGTGAGCCCGACTCTGAGCGCCCTCACTAAAGCGGCGGCGCCAAAAATAGGAAAGCCTCACCTGGCAAAGGAAATCTGGTACGTATAGTGACCTAGGTACGTTCATGTCCTGCTACGCGAAGAGGCTTACCTGATTTACCCACCTCGGCACCTAACTAGTAGCCTAACCTAACTTAGCAGGGCTGCTACTTGGAACTGTACGAGCAAGCTCTTCAAGAAAAATCCAGCGAATTTATCAGCTACGCTGTATGAGTCAGTTGTATGTCGCTGCCTGGCAATGGCGAAATTCAGTTGTCCCTCTAGTCCAGGTCATCATCTGATGATACTGTGTCCACATCTGCAAGATGGCAGACGACCGAACGTTGGACACCACACGGCGCCGGCGACGAGTGCTGCGGTGGTTAGGGAAATGAAGATACACTTAAAAAAAAAAAAAAAAAAAAAAAAAAAACATATCTGTCAATTCCAAATCAAAGTCAAGGGAGCTTGTTTTGTTGTACTGGAAACCTGCGGTGGATGCCCAACCTCCGGGCTGGAATATACAAAGAGTTGAATCGCATGGAAGGCGCCTGAACGAGAACGACGAATCCAACCTCCTGTAAGAGGGAAGGAAAAGCTGGCTCCCCGACTGGAACCTTGCAGATCCCTGCAGATGCTTATTCCCAACAGGGAATAAGCTGGCCTGGCTAGGCCTCACTGCCACGGCGCCATGGCTACAGATCAACCAGTGAATCCAGTCCTGATCCATTGATCTCCGTTCGATCTGCGAGCCTTCTGTGTCTGCCCCCCCTCCTCGTCCAGGAAGGAGGCAGTGCAGGTTTGTCACCGGGCGAGTTTACACTGACCACTTTGCCCCCTCTTCTGTTGCTGAACGGCGCAAATGTAAGGCTGATCGAAGCAGATCGGTGGCTGGTGATTGGAAAACAGCCCTCCGAAAGCCCCGTGGTGCCCCAGTGGGAAGGGAATCCGCCTGCAAGTGTCTGGAGAAAGGCTGCGCGTTTTGCCGAGCTTCCGCTAAGCTATGTATGTGCTATGTGAGAAGCTCTGCCCAGTGATGCCCCATGAAAGACCCGGAGCTGGAGCTACGCCGAATTCGTTAGCGTAGAATTGCATAGCCGAATCCTGAGTGAACTATGCGCGCAATGTGGATAGACGTTTGCGATTCGGTGCCTGGCTACATCAGCGGCGTTGGCGCATATCCAATGGTGCAACGCCATAGATGTCTCAATCGGAGTTCACATTCCTCGCGCAGGTGGTTAAACCGATCAACGTTTTGGTGGTCGACAGCACTGGCTGTGGTTGGGCGACGCAGGAACGTGGAGCAGTCGGCGTCTTTGTCAAACTGCCAATGACGTCATGTACCCGCTCACGGCCCGATGTGGCGGCCTCAGGCGCAGGAGAGATCACACAGGACGGATGGTTCTCGAAGAACTGGGAGGGGTGCTCGTTTGATCATCCTCCGGCGCATGTACATGCAATCCCACCATACATTATCCTGTATCATTCTGGGCAGCAGGCGTGTAGAGTACATTCATGGGGTATCGAACTAAAAGGCCTCGGGCCGCGACCTGTCAAAGCACTCTTGGTGGACTTCCGCTGTATGGACCTCGCAATGGCACCGAACGAGGAGGCGACCATTTTGTGTGGGTGATTTGACATGGATGGGCAATAGAAATAGCTCTGGATCAGCCATGCACGGTCCAATGGTCCTCCCATCGAGTCAATGCCCGCCCGAAGTATATTATGGAGCACAGATTAACTGTCGGGGTTTCGTACGTGGAAAGTGTGCTTCCGAGATACAGAGAGTCGGCCTCCCCGGGTGGCGATGTCAATATTGGCCCCGGGGCCGAGTGGGGTCCGTCAATCGATGATTCGATTGACCGATGGTCTTTGGTACTGTAGATTGGATCGACGAGGGTTTTAATGCAGCGAGTGCTGACGACCGCTGTCACATGACTCGGAGAAAGAATCCAGAATGTGGCATCGTAGCTCATTGGCAAGAGCCAGGACTTGGGGCGGTGAATCTACGCAGAGAACGTGGATCACTGAGGACGCCGAGGGAGACTGGAATTTGATATTCCTTGAGAACCTATAGAGAAGGAAGTAAGTGGTGGCTCTGCACAGAAGGTCAGGGAGAAGCGGCCCGGACATAACTTCTTCATACCACGCGGCAGCCTGGCGGTATACATACTTGCGGCCTCCTCGTCGTCCGAGATCGTCACCCAGCGCCTGCCAAGCGTCCCCTTTCTCAACATGTGATTGCCACCAGGGCTATTGTCGCATTTTTGGACTGCATGAAGGCCCGGGGCATGCCCAACTGCCTATCTGCAGTACAGCATATCAATTCCTGGAGTATTGTCGCCTACCGGAGACCATGATTGGGCGGCATCTCAGGCCGATGGTTACCAGCGGTGGAGCCATGCCAACTCTTCAACCTCGTCTGCTTCGTTTCCCGCAACCCGCCTTTAAAGTATAATGGCCCACCTTCTTTACGACACTGTGCTTCTCATTGGACTATTCGCTTCGTGTGGCGCCTGAGCTCTCACAGGGACTTGTTGCACTCGTTTGGCCCCAACCGGTGGGGAGGAAAATGTCCCGAGGCACAATTTCGCAGTTCTCACCAGCTACCCACGAGGTCGAAATACACCTCCAGCGGCGGGTTCCCACCGTACCCGACAGAGTGGTCTGATCGACCTGGTGCCTTGGGTCACCTCCGGGACTCCAATCGTTTGCGCAGCTTCGTACAACGCTTCTGCAGGATGCGTCCGGGATTTCCGACAGAATTACAGATGGTTCCTCCCAGCTTGCATTGGCCATCTGACCTGAGAGGAACATCTGCCTCCTCAATGCGGTAACCGCCTAGACCCGCACCACTGCGGGATTTGGACGGGCAGGCTCCACTCTATCCAGGGTGATATCACGATCGGGCCTAGTGGGAGTGTACCGGCTGTACCCAGCGTACCTTATGTACTTTGTGTCCCTGCACCAGGATTTTGTGGTATTCGACTCAAGTTTCGCCTTGCGCCTGTCGAACCCAAAGCCAATTCTTTCCTACCTTATGCCGTACGCCGGAAGAGTTCCGGTCCCTTGACAGGGGCTTGCCGGATGTAAGTGCAGCTTGGCATACCCTTTCCACAGTACAGCATCCGAAATTGGCGCTCCAACGGTAATACCTGTATTTTTTTTTCCCATTATTTTTTTCCCTCTTTTGTAAATACGTCCCCCCTCTCCACCTTTCGTCCTTCGAACCCTGTATCTAACCCACCCCTGACAGTGGCAAAACTGGCGCAGCACTTGTGGCGATGGTGCCGTCATTGGGCGCTCGAATGAGCATGGTACTGATACTTTTTCCTGCTCGGTGAGCTTGTCAGCGCCAATCGCCCTTTTTTGGCCCCGTCCTCGAGGGGACTCGCGTACTCACACAATGCTGTGCACAAGTTCCATGGAGGATCTTCAGTTAATTTGCCTTCACCACAGGATCCTCATGGCTAAGACAAATTCCGACATGCCAGTATGATTGGCCTGTGTCCATCAAAGTCCTGGGCGTTTTTTGTATTTGACATCTGGATTCATAGATCCACGGGCCGGTCAAGCCTCCATCCCCACAGCCCCCTCGAGCCATTTCCCTTTCCACTTTTCCGCATGAATTGAGGAAAAAATAAATAAATAAAAAAGTCACAGCAGGACCCAAAACTCCTCAAGCGCACCCACCGTTAAATGACAAGCATTTGTCACCTTGTATTGGAATTTTGAGTGACGCGGATCGGTGGAGGCAGTGGTCCCCTACGTGAAAAAGACTCCAGTCCATTTGGTTTGCGTATGCTTGCTGACGCCGGCGCACACAACATCCCTGACCCACCAAGCGTATACTCTTCCGAATATTTCACAAGGGGTGAGCCCGATCCTCTTCGGTCCCATCCGCACTGGTTCCTCTAAACGCACGATCCTGGGAATTTGTCGCTCTTCGGCCACAACTCGCCAAGACGACATCGGGTGCTCAAAGGCCCTCGAGCTCCGCCACTAGATCGAACGACTTGAGTTCGGAAGCTGTCAGCGGTGCATCGCATCAGTCGGCGTGTCCTTGGGCCTCTTTTCCTTTTTTTCCCTTTTTCTGTCCTTCTGAAAGCCAGTTGCCTCCACTCGGCTCTCCGCGGGGAGGTATACCGTCGATAATCCGAGGCCTCGCCTCCGGTCGATTCTGACCTGTCCGCAGCCTATTTTAGCCTAAGGCGTGTGCGCGTGTCGCAAGCCACCCCTCGGCTTTCTTCCTGCATTTCTATCGCGGGCTTTCGGGACGCAATCTGTTGTGTCTGGCACCTTCTGCCCTTTCGGAAACACTCCATCTGGTCACACAAGTCGCCTTCTGGTCTTGTTCTCCTGATTCTCCGGTCCTCCTTCGCCAAGATCTCGGTATGTTTTTTGCGATTTCCTTGTAAAACATTCTGCACTTTCCCCGGCCCCTCAATGCGCGGACCACCCTCGCGATCCCCTCTGTTTCCTGTGCATCGGATTGCCGCAGCCCTATGAAGACACGAGGACGAATCATTTTGCTAGCGGAATTTGCTTCCCCTCACTTTCGGGGTTTGGTTTAGCCCATGCGATCTCAGGCAGTGCATGGTTCATCCCTCAAGGTCAGAAATCTGGTAGGCTGCAATTGCAGCCCCCAACGAGCGTTGAGTTTTGCGGATCATAAACCTGCGCCTCTCTCCAATGCGTCTCTGAAGGGATTGGCAGCTCCAATCCCCACTGGTGCTCTGGCGGACTGGTGGTTGCTCTCGCCCTCCTCCCATCTATATTGCATTGCTTACCCCGTCCCACCCGGTAAAGCTCACCGGTCTGGCCTCGTCGAGCGCAATGCTTGCAACAATTCATGTTGCTGCCCACTTCTGCGTACCCTAAATCGCCTTTGTTCGGAAAAAGTTTTTATGCCCTTTCCTGCAGTTCCTTGTTTTCTCGCGTATTGAAGGGTGGTGTTTTGCATTTGGCGTTATTAGCTTGCCCCCCTTCCTCGCATTGTGGCTTTTTTCTTCACACCTTTCACGATCCTCCATTAACCCCATTTCAGTCATTCTGAACAGTACCAACTCGCCTCGATTCAACTACCCAGATCCATCTGTGGAATTTAAATTGCTTGACCGCTCTACATATTCGTTTTGACTTTCCTGCAAGGCCAGAGCTCCGACAGGTCCACGCTCTTGAAATTCTGACCATTCTTGAGGTACGTTGGTGGTCATTGGAATCTCTTGAGCGGGCCACTGACCGTTTCTGTTTCCATTCAGCCGGATTATACTCCATTTCTATCCCATTCTCACTGATCTCACGGACCGGGCCCCATGGGCGATGTTCCTTCTGGAAAGGTTAACTCATCCCGAGGGGCCGATGGGATACCCGCGACACCCGAGCCCGATGTATCCAACACGCCGCCAACTGGTAAGTCCTGATCCCGCCGGGCTGTTGGATCCAGACTGCATCACTATCTGCAATGTGGCGAGCAATGGCTGACTTGTGCTTTCTCTCCGGCACCAGGAATCACCAATGCTGGTCAACCCACACAACTAGCCCATGCCAGGTATCCGACAAGCCCGATAGGCTTCCCGGCCCCCGGGCGATATGCGCACTCATCTGCTTTGGACATGGGCAATATGACTTATTCGCTGCCTGGTCACCAGTCCCAGCCATCATCGTATGAACAACAGCACCTCATTCACCATTACCCGGCCCACGCCCAAGGCTTGGTCTATCCTATACCGTCGATGGGCCATTATCCTGGACAGAACCCGGGGACAGGTGGTCCATACGGTGTCCCTTACGCACCAGCATATGCGCATTACCCCATACCACAACACCCGGGAACGGCGCCGTATGGGGGTCATTATACTCCTTTTGTTGCAAACCCGTCAATGCAAAATATGGGCCCCGGGCACGTGCAGGCTTACAGTGCTGGCTACTATCACCCAACCTACAGCACGCCTTACGGAACAGGCAGCCACCCTTTGGTCAACCCAGTGCGACATCAGGGACAACAGATTCGACAAAATTCTCGTGGATCCTCCTCGACAAGTCCTACAAAGAGAGATTTGGATAAACAAACAGCGGAGGCAGAGTACGATGTGTCCAAGACCATTGTGGATGGATCCAATCCAGTGAAGCTGATGGTGCAAGCGACACCGAACGTGCCTGGTGAGTAGAGGACCTCTCGTGTCTTCTTTTTACCAACTTTCCCACTTATCTCAGTGAACAGTACTGACATGTTAATTTTTAAAGATGCTGCTCCTCTATCCCACACAATGCCTTCGTCTCCAAATCCACCACGAGGTCCCCCACGAAAGCCGAAACAATCCGGTCATGCGCTTTGGGTGGGAAATCTACCACCGGGTGCCAGTGTTATAGATCTGAAAGAACATTTTTCCCAAGATGCCGCGGACGATATCGAGAGCGTGTTTCTGATTTCGAAGAGCAATTGTGCATTTGTGAACTACAAATCTGCGCCCGCGTGCGCCACCGCACTGGCAAGATTTCACGATTCTCGCTTCCAAGGTGTACGTCTGGTTTGTCGGCTACGAAAGGGGTTTACGACTCCAGAATCCTCGTTGACAGTGGGTGTTGGTGGACCGGGTTCACGCCTACGGTCAGAAGAAACGCCTGCTCCGCCAGTGGATGAGACGACCGCCGCCACATCGGAGATGACTTCTGCCGCTGCAGCCGCCATTCGGGGAGAAGATGCTCGATCTGTGGATCGGTATTTTGTGGTCAAGAGCTTGACGGTGGAGGATCTTGAACTCAGCAAGCTGAGTGGTATCTGGGCGACTCAGACTCATAACGAGACCAACCTCAACCAAGCCTTTGAAGTGAGTATCGAGCCCGTCGTCTGCCTTATTCGATCCATGCGGCTGGACTTTCCACTAACCTGATGGTTAGACTACTGAGCGCGTGTATTTAATTTTTTCCGCCAACAAGTCCGGTGAGTATTTTGGATATGCACGGATGCTTTCTCCGATCAGCGACGACGAAGAACTAGCGCTGGAGATGCCCGCCCGCCCCGAGCCTGTGCCCAGCACGGTCGAGAAACTCGAAGTGACCCTGACGGCGGCGACGGCGAACGCGCCCAAAGGCCGGATCATCGACGATGAGGCTCGGGGCACGATTTTCTGGGAGGTGGAGTCCTCCGAGGATGATGCGGATGACGCGCGCAGCGAACGCAGTGTTGAAGGCGGTCTCGGTGAGGAGGAACACGAGAGCCAGTCATTTGGTAAACCGTTTCGCATTCAGTGGCTGTCGACTGAGCGGGTGCCGTTTCACCGCACGCGTGGGTTACGCAACCCGTGGAATGCCAACCGTGAGGTGAAGATCGCTCGCGACGGAACTGAAATCGAGCCGACGATCGGCCGAAAACTGATTCAGCTGTTCCATTTGCCTTCGCATTGCTAAATATCCCCCGATTTCCGGGTCCTTTTCCCTTGAAAGGGCACATTCACGGCGGTGTTCTGTCCGTCATGGCATGATCAACTATATACTTGCAGGGGAGGACGGGAGAAGGACGACGGAGGGCGATTGATCACGGTGGAAAATATGGGAGACGAGTACTTGATGTACGTCTATTTCAATTTTTTTTATTTATTTATTCCATTCTTCTTCCGACCATGGTGCCACCGACCGCTATTCAGCCAATTGTGTTGTGGTTCCCTTGGACCCCCTCATGAAACGAATCCATTCTTCGATTCCTCGATCTTACGATGCAACTTATGATGGGGTCTAGATCGGACTCGGAGACGATGCGATGCCCTAATGCCTCGCATCCGCTCCAATCACGCGTGTTGTAGTAAGCGTAGTCTGGGCCGATCGTCGTATACTAGTATACTACATACAGTAGTAGGACTGCTAGTTCGTTGTCGAGCGTAGCACTGCCTCTGGTAGCCCCCGGAGGCTATTGTAACCCATCCACAACCCTAATCGTCTCGTCAAATCCTGGGTCGCCGTTCGCCCACCCCGGTCTCCACTTCCCAAAACGGCGTCGGTCAAGTGCATGGCATCACCACTCCACTCTCCATTGATTGTCACTGGCCGACTGACTAAGACGCCACTTCCCCGGAATTCACAAGCTTAGCTTGAAAGCTTCCCCCTCCTTCTGCACTTTCTCACTTATTCCTCTGCAGACCCCTGCTGATTCCCCCCCTCTTTCACGCACACACGCACATTCTCTCGGCCAATTTCCCTCTTTCCCTCTCACACCCATCTGTATTGCTTCCTCTTCTTCATTCTCGTGATCTTCCACTTCTTTCCCTTCCCCCGTGATTACGGCAGCTTCTTGGGATCATTGCTCCCCCCCCACCTCCCTCTCCCCCTATCTGGCTGCACGACACTTCTCTCTTCCGAATATCTTCTCATGAGAAGGGCGGCGAGTCCGTCCGAGATCCTGTTTTCTCTTTCAACCGTCGAACCTTTTCCTTAGACTCTCCTGATCTCATTTCCCTCTCATCATTTCCGCCACCTCCATCTCTCCAACGTACTTTACATCCACCATGTCCAACGATCGCTCCGATCCCATCAACGTCCCGGATGCCGACCCTCGCCCCCGGCGGGCCTCCATCGCCGACCTCTTCGCGAAGCAAACCAATTCGAACAACTCTTCGGGAACTCAGCCCGTCAACTCGCAGCAGGCGAGCCAGCGTCGCCTGTCCATTACCACGCTCGGTCTATCCGGCTCTCCCACCCAGGCCTCAACCTTTGGAAATCGGGGCTTCCGCCGCGGCAGCATGTCCAGCTCGTGGGGATCCAATGCCCCGAATCCCGAGGATGCCGTCGCCGATGACGCAGATGGATCCTCCCCCGGCGCCACTCCCAGCTCCCCCTGGGCTCGGCGAGTCTCCTTCGGCGCGCAGGCGCTCCGTGAGGCCCGCGCAGGAAGCATAGGAAACGGTAGATACCCTCCCCTCGCTTCTCGTTCTGGTTCTACTTCCGGCCCTCCTTCGTCTGTGGCAGGGGTGCGTCGCTCGCCTCCCTTGGCCAGCGCTAGCTCCAGTAGCGCCACCCCTGCCACCTCTACCCGATCTTCCGCTGCCACTGCAAGTACCTTAGCTTCTCCACTGGATGAGAAATCTAACCCGTCCCGCCGACTAGGCGAAGGTTTCAACTGGTCTGAAGCCCTCCGCTCCCGTGCCGAGCGTGCGCCTTCCATCGGTGGCCCCGTCTCGCCGCAGAATCATTCCGCTCGTCAATCCAACAACCACCAGCGTGCCGCGTCCATCGCCTCCATGGAACAACCTCTGCGGGAGATCCCCAAGCAGCCGAAGCAGAATAAACCCGATTTCTTCCAGGAGAAGATCTTGCGGGGCGACTTTATGGACTAGACAGGCAGTCCGTGGTCTGATAGCATACTTCTATACTATCCCGTGAGGGCCTGTGGCCTTCATACTTGGGTACCTGGGATATGACCTCTTTTCCTTTCCTTTCAACAGCGTGCTTTCCATCATGTGTTTTTACTTTTTTACACTTTCCAGTGAGGATACGAAAATGGTTCCGACCGTCTATTTCATTGTTTTCGATGCACATTTGACGATAAGCGAGAAGATGAAAGATTGATTCTTATTTGACTTGGCTTTTGGATGCTCATTGCTTGCGTGGATCTCGCAAGCTCTCTTCTTTGATGATACTTTGGGCCTGTGTTTACTATGGCACCCTCATCCTGGAGCTGGGGGTTTTAAATTGTCTGGTATATGAACTCCAAATTGACATGAAATTTCATTATTATAACAGATACAAGTCTGATCCCGATAGATGTCCTCTTTACTATATGTACATGTGTATCGATTACTTTACAATCATGCCATACGTACCTTATAATGCGGTATCCCTGATGACCACACACCATCATACTTATCATCCCCGGAGCCCCGCCATTTCTTCACCTTGATAGCTACCATCCAAACTCATCCGAAATCTCAACTTAGGCCGTCGAAGGCCCGGCACCAGTCGCATCCTCTGCATGCATATGAGCTGGGGCCTCGCTTTTCTTCGTATTAGCAGCCGCCTGCTCCTCCTTATCATATCCCTCTGCGAACCCTCGATCCATGAGTTGAGCAGTGGTGAGCTGATGCTCTGGCGCAGGTGGCACCCATTTGCTACTCTTCCACGGTGGCACTCGCATCACGTACATCATGTCCATCTCTTCGAGAGTCTTGTCTTTGCCCTCAATCACAAAGAAGAACACTATCAACACGGCGAAGAATAAACATCCGGCAAATACATATCCATACGCAAAGTCGATGTCATGCGTGATGAACGGCGTGAAAAATCCAATCAGGAAATTCCACAGCCAGTTTGACGCCGTTGCCATCGCCATTGCTCGCGCTCGATACCGAGATGGGTATAATTCTGCCACAATTGCCCAAACCATCGGGCCCCATGTCATTGCGAATCCCGTGATAAAAAGACACGCAAATACCACCATCGCCTTGCCGGCACCTGGTGTTGCCGGTGGGTTGTTTACGTCCAGGGAGAAATGTCCCACAGACGCGAATACCATGAAACAGATGAACATCCAGATTCCGCCTGTGGTAAGGGATTTGCGTCGACCAAAGTGTTCAATGACATACAGGCCACCGAATGTCGTGCCGAAGTTCACGCCTCCTAGAATCATTTGCGTTACGTATGTGTTGCTGATTCCGGCACCATTGAAGATAACCGTTCCCTATAGTAAATCATATCAGTACATCATTTCTGCGTGTACACACACAACCGGGGTTTTTTGTTGTATGAGAGACTTACATAGTAGAAGAAGTAGTTAGCTCCGGTAAGCTGCTGCAATGCTTGAAGAACAACACCAAGAACAATCCGGTATGGCATTCGAGGTGCCTGGAATATCTCGACCCAGCCATGCCAGCCCCCCTGCGAACCCTTCTCCGCTTCCTGTTGCTCTTGAATTTCGAGAAGCTCGTGTACAATCACCCGATGATTCTCCGGAACCCCATAAAGCTTCGACATGGTTCTTTTGGCAGATTCGACGCGTCCATTCCGATAATCATGTCGCGGACTTTCGGGGAAGAGTAGAATTCCAAACCCTAGGGTCAAGCCCCAGAAAAAGGTAATTCCGAGGGGGATTCGCCAGGAGGCCGAGTTATCCATCGAGTGGGTGCCGTAGTTGATGCAGTAGGCGACGAAGATTCCTAGTGTGACGAACAACTGATAGGAGCTGGAATTGATTAGTACATGTCATTTATACTTGATGAAATTGTTAACAAGGATGAGGGGATATCTTACCAGACCATTGCACCGCGAATATGTCGCGGTGCAATCTCACCTTGATACATGGGAACCAGCAACGAGCATGCTCCAACTCCAAAGCCCGTTATGAACCGGCCCATCATCATCTGGTACCATTTTCCGGATGGTGAGGAGATTTGGATGATCAGGCCTACGTGCAGCATGATACACCATGCGAAGATTGACCATTTTCGCCCAATACGATCGGCGAGTGGTCCGGCCAGGAGTGCACCGATTAAAGTACCGATGGAGAGCTACCACAGCATATTGTGAGCTATCTCTACACCACAATTCTTCCCCAAGAGTAACTGGAAGTGAAGCACTCACCATAGAAACAAGCAGACCAGAACGAACATTACTGAACTTATAAGACCCATCCGGCTTCAACTGCGCAAATCGTTGCTTGTAGTTGTTCATCTCCAGGAAGCCGGAGATTTGTCCCGTGTCGTATCCAAAAATGATTCCACCGATAGACACGAATGCTCCCAGCGTCAGGGATCGCCAGGTGACCCATGGCACTTTGGATTCGTCGAATGAACTGCTCCGTCGCTTTTCGCGGTCCACCGAGCCCCCGGATGTATCTGTTAATGGCGGGGAGCCCGTTCCGCTCATTTCTTTTGGCGAGAATGGGTTCTTCATGGCGCAGATGGGAAGTAAATTTGAACCTGAATATTACAGGCGGCCCAATTTCATCTGTTCGTGGCGAATTTGATTGTGTTGCTTCCAAGAATAAGAGAATGAGGAGGTTCGATGACCACAGTAAAGAAGATGTGCATTGGCATAATCTGTTCCTTTTAAAGTGAATCTGCCTTAGGCTCCAGTTCTGCATCATAGGTTGCCACGATCCAGCGCATCCTGGAATGATGCTCGTCATGGATCAAAACGTCACTGGTTCAGGGATAGTGGAGAGATTGTTAGTTTAATCCGGCCTCGAAATATATACATAGGCTTTGGCGCTGAAATTGATGCCGGCTACGAATCATCAGGCATTTGTAAAGCACTAAACCCGATTACAAAATAATGGAATATAGACTCTTGTTAGATCATGACCCAACTTTTCTCGATACCAATGCCATTTTTCGAGATAGGTTCGTCATGCTGCCACCAATGGGTCAAAGTGGCGGCCACGAGTCGTGACGTCAACCACCGGGGAAGTCAGGGTCTTGCATTATTTAGTGGTCAGAACCGGCGGAAGGTAGACGGGAGGCGCTGGCGGGGTTTGGTTGACGCAAAATTAGAAAATTCTAGATGATGGCATAGAACCCATTACGATTTTTCATGGAACTAGTGACAAGAGAGATTAGAAAAGTGGAAGATATGGTATTAAACGAGTCCAAAGAAGATAAATAGATGGCGCAGGATGAATCGGGCACCCAGATACAAGAATGGAAAAAGCTGGGGCCACTGCCGATATAGATCTAATAGGGAATACCGTTGGTCATGAGCTGGAACTGGTCATATCCCTTCGTCGACACGCTCATGTAGGATTTCCGCACAAGATCCCGCATGTATTCAGCCGCATCTCGCTCATTTTTATCGAGGACAAACCGGTCTCGGAAGTTCTTCAAGGTCTCGGGCTTGAAGCACGGTAGTCCGCTGTCCAGCATCAGGGACACAATATGGGCCAGCTTGGTGCTGTAGGGACGCGAGGCCAGGAAGGCCTTGACGACCAGGGATTCGAACCAGCGGTAAGGTTGTGTGTTGGTGGGGTTGTGCGAATTGTGTCCCGGAAGACTGATGCCTGAAGTGCCACTGGGGTGGTGGGCTGGGCTGTGAGTTCCACTCATCACGGCCACCATCTCTGAGGTGAGCTTGAATGGTGCCCGCTCGAATCGGACGCCGCCGGGGGCGATGTCGAAGCAGAATCCAAAATCGATGTGAATGATGTGGCCCGCATCGTCCACCATGATGTTGCCATTGTGTCGGTCCTTGAATTGTAGGAGGTAGGAAATGACCGAGTATGCGGCCATGCTCTTCACAAAGTTGGTACGGGCCTCTTGGAAGCGAATTGAATCTTCACCGCCGTATTTGGAGACGAAGTAGTCATAAAGTCCGTTCACTGCCTCTCGGCCCAGCATGTCTCGCGAGATGGAATTGGGCAGCACGTCAATCACACCGCAGCCAGGTGCGGTGGAAGTGACCCGGTACGGGAACACCCAAACATCGAGTCCCACGCTGGAGAAGATGCTTCGGAAAGCGGCAATCATCTGCAAAGCGAGCATGTCCTGCCGGCAGTCGTCACCAACCTTGAAGATGGCCGACTGCCAGATTTCATAAGTCTCTTGCTCTGCGTCCTTAGAGCGAACAGCCACCTGGCGCTGCTGGTCCGAGTCGTGAACCAGGCCAGAAGAAGCAGCTTTAGCATCAAGGCGAGGCCGAGTCTTCTGGATTCGGAACGTTGCCATGTACGGGGCCTTCGCGTGACTCTGCAGAGGCTTTCCAGACTTCCGATCGATTCCCACAACCACACCATCGGGGTTGCTGGGGAGGTAAACTCCAACCTCGACCTTGATCTTGCGCAACTCCTCTTCGATCTTTTCTTTCTTTTCGGGTTTGCTTCTCTTGATATACGGACGTAGCTTGCCGGAAACGCCGGTGATCTCACTGAAGAAGGAAAATTCCCTTTCGTAGAAGTCGCGCTCCTCGTTCGAGAAGCTCGAGATCAAGTTGTCGATGAAGCGATCTAATGTTGGCTTGAGAGGATCTGGCACCTGGGAATCCTCGTCCTTATAAGAGTTCGCCTTCATGTTCCAAATCACCTGATGCGCGAACAGCTGGGACAGCTTGGCCGTTTCCAGAATATAACGCTCAACATAACCCAGAGCATCATACCGCAGAGCCTGAACCAGCTGGGGCACAAAGTAGAAGCGAACATCAATGGAGTGACTCTCCAAAGCCCGCATCGCATATTGTAGAATGAACGGATGGTTACCATAGGCCGGCAAGAAGTATGTCAAGGCCTCCGTAGGGTTGACTGGCGCCCAGTACAGCAGGTACTTGAGTTGGAAAGTAACGTCCGAAGGCAAAGAAGAATCGAACATGATTTCGAGAGCACTGGACTCGGTAATGGCCTTCTCGGGGAAGTTGAGAATCAACCAGCGGACATCGTTCTGCATCTTGGGCGACGGGAATCGAGCAGCAAGCTGAATGGCAAGCCCAGGACTTTCGGTCCACGCTAGTCGCAAAAAAGAGGCAACTCCCTCAGTAGGGGTTTTGCCTCCAAGCGAGGGCATATGATGCTTGCGCTCTGGTTCCAAGGGGAAGAGCCAAACTCGGAGACGCGATCTCTCATGTTCGATAAGGATTTGCAGGAGATCTTGCTTCGCCTGCAGAGACTTATAGGAGCCCTGGGATTGAGAGGCAATGTCCGCGACACTGCGAAGGATAGCCAACGTATCACCGAGAACTCTGTCTTCTGCCTTAATCTGCAAACGATTACCTCCAAATGACCACCTCGGGGTATGCTTGAACCAGGAGAGGGCGGCAGACAGAATTTGATCTTTCAACTTCCAGGTCGCAGGGCCGTTGCGTGGGTTCGAATTCTGCAAGACCTTCAATCCAAAGACAATGATGCGGAAGTGGATCTCTCTGGCCAAGGGATGGCTTTCAGTCTTCGCGAGAGCCACAACTGTACTGCTGACTAGACGGCAGAAGAGTTGTTGATCTTGCAAATTTCCGAGTCGAACGGCATTAAAATGACTTTCGAAGAACTGGAGAACACGCATATGTGGCGACAGCGTGTTCTGTGCATCTTGTTGCTTCTGAAGCATCAAGGCCTTGTCTGTTGGCAACAGTTCAATCTTGGCGTGCAATGGATCAAGACAACCAAAGGCAGGATCAAAGAGCCCTTGGCGGCACTGGATACTTCTTTCCCAGGCCTCGACAACCTCTGCAAGGATTCGAGGCTCAATGCTAGGGTTCTCGTGGATAACACCGAGCCAAAGAGAGACACCCAGCTTGATTGTTTCTTTGGTGAAGATTCGGAAGGGTAGGGCAACAAGATAGTGAACAACCGACAATCGAGGTTTGCTACTGCTGCAGATGAGACCCGCGGCCTGTCGAAGAATGTCTCTTACCTCGAAAAGAGGGATCTCGTCGCCATTGACACTACGCCCGTAGAAATGCGAGAGGGAAGCTTCGAGGCGATCAGCAGATTCGGGGGAAATTTCGGATTCCGGCTTGCGGCCACTGATCCCTAACAGGTCGCCACGGGGTCCATCGAGCAAAGACATGTCGGGACGGCGGTATTTCTGGCGAGTGGTATAAAGCGCCATGAAATCGGAAGCCAGGTTAACATCGCTGCTGTCGTGGCTATCGAGAGAGCCCAAGCGCGGATCGCTTTTTGGGATTAGGGATCCCATCTCAAGGGCGAAAGATCGACCCATGGAGATATGTCCATAGCCGCCATCATCGTCGTATTCAGACAGATAGGTTTGAAGAAGCCCTTTAATGTCCAGCGGGGCGAGGTTCAGCACAGCTGTGACCCAAGCCTTTGCTCGCTCAAGGAATCGATTCAAGGTCGCCTTTCTGAATGCGTAGTTATCAGGCAGATCGACCCTGACAATGCCCATGGGCGAGAGCAAGGATGGTTTCCACTCAAACTCATCAAGCTCACCCTGGAGACAGGAGGACCACATCACTGTAAGAATCTCCAAGAGAGCAAAGAGAGAATGCTTCTCGCATAGAGCCGAAGGGCATTCACGAATAATCTTATCGGCACATTGTGTCGCGATGCTTTGGACTCTTTCAATCCGGTGGCAGCAGGCAGTCAAGAACCCAGCCAGCTGCTTGGACAAGAATGGCGCAGAAAATTCATCAAACTCCCCAGAGAGTGTCCGCGACAGGTAGCAAGAAACCGTCTTATCAGCGACAGCACTCATACAGACAACCATCTCTGGCGTTGCAAGAGATGGGTCACGGAAATAGTTGAGGATCTTCGTGCAGTCTTCAGATGATGCACGAAGGCTTTCGATCAGTAAAACAGCGTTGAGGAACACCGATCTGGGATAATCTAGCCGTTTGATGTCAGATTCGCGGCCTGCAAGTTCCGTAATCAGAGTTCGTTTCTGCTCTAGAACACGCTGTGGCCCGGAGCCTCTCCGAAGTACAGTGTTGAGCTCCACATCGCTCTCAAGAGACTCCATCCTTTCTTCCGCGATCAGTGGCGGAGAGTGACTGGCAAGCAAACGGAGCTCTTTGAGATGCTGCTGCGCGACAGCCGAGTTCAGGGAAATCCCATGAACGGCTATGTTGAACCAAGCATCTCGAAACAGAGACATGATAGTATCGTCATACTCAAGTGCCGGGTGAGATGTGTCCGACGAATCATTCGTAGACGATATTAGGAGGGCCAGCGGCTTCAGGAGGGGAGTGATATCACCAGGAGCAAAGACGACTTCCCTGTGGCGCTCAGTTTCGAGATCCGGCACATCGCCCTTGTTAACAATACTCTCCAGTAGATGAATCAAATATATTCTGTAAAGGGGAGATTGGCGGTCCAGGGTCACTGAGAGATACGACATGGCACATTGGACCGCATCGGAGATGCTACCCAAACCCTTGTGGACACCATCGAGATAAATGCGAGTATAAAACTTCAGGAGTAGCTGGAACTCAGCCGAGCCGCTGCTTAGAGCGAGAACGGCAGTTTCTTGAATGATATATGCGTCCACTGAAACGCCGAGCTTGCCAACTTTTTGAAGAAGCATGGACTGCGCCAAAGCGCTAATCTTGTCATCGTTACAGCTGGTGGAAATGGTCACAATGGCGTGAATGACATTTCTGAAAGTGAGGGTATCATCTTGCTCAGCAGCAGAAAGAGACGCCTGGCTGCCATTGGCCTGGTTGTAGGCACCAAGGTTGGTATCCGTAATGAGTTGTTCCTGGGCGGATGAGTCCCCAGTAGAGTTAGGGCTCAACGCATTCCCCAACGAGTACAGAGTAGTGATCACGGCATCCTCGGATAGTATGCTAAGGATTTGGGCTAGGCATCGAGCAGCCACTGCGACAACTGGCCCTGCGGAAGTTCCGCCTTGAGTCAGGAACTTCAACAAGCAGCGCCTTCCAATCGAGGCACCATCGGATGACATCCTAGCAAGGATCGCCGTACATTTCAAAGCAATTATAGCAAGGCCGGCGTTTGACATTTGCTGAGGATCGTTAAGGGTATCCTCGAGCCAGGACAACAGCACGTCATTGTTAGTCGCATCTTCACCCAGGACAACACAGTTCAGGAAACCAACTAAGGCTTCCCCCTTAACGGAAAATGCAAGTCGCTGTTGCGAGGGGGAACCGACTTGCAAATAATCGGAGCCATCCGCAAGCAAATTGATTTCCTCGCCGATGAGGTCGGTGATGCGCTCAATCAAAGCGATATCTGCATCACCATAGCCCCTTGCAATGCTCATACCTGCCATATATTCATCCAAAAGCTGGTCATCGGTCAAGTTTTGGGACTCGATCAGGGACGCCGCGGACGATTTGACAAAGCGCATGAAGCCTTCCTGTACCAACATGGCACCCAGGGGGCGGCCCTGAGCTGCATAGCGACGAGTATATTTCCTCCAGTCCTTGAAACTATTCTCACTGATGCCAGCGTTGCGGATGGTGGATGAAGCTGTCTCGACCGCAATCATGAATGGCTCAGAGAGCATGGTCCGAAGGTGATCGATAATGCGAATCTTCTCACTTGCTGACCAGATAACAGTGTACTTGGCCGATGCCTCTAAGAAGCCGACCAAAGATACTGCAATGGACAAAATGGCAATAGATTCGTGGACGACACCCCGTCCTCCTGCCTCGGCTGAGGAGTATTGGAACGGCGTCACTGCGTTGATGGCCTCAATGCAGTTGTTCAGGAATTCGGTGGCCGCAGTGGTGGCAATCTTGCGCAAGGACGGGAACCTCGTACCCAGCGACAAGAGTGCCGAGGTGAGATTGTGTGCGAGGGTTTCCCATGGCGATGGCTTGACGCTTTGGAGGAATGGTGATGGCCGAAAGAGCTGGCTAGGAGATTCGGGCAGATAGCGGGACAGCTGCGTGACCAGTCTGGTCGCACGTTCTTGGTCTTCCACAGACGGGGCGGCTTTACAGAGAGCCAAAAGCACATCGAGTTCGCGAATCCCCTGTCGATCTATGTCAGCTGGTAGCCTCAGGAGGGAGCGCATCCGGAGCGGCGCACCATTGGGACCCGCGACGTGGGGGATTGGTCTTTGAGAATGCCATTCAGAGCACCATCAGCTTGGCGACCCGGGCGAGTCTGCTGGGAGAGACGAGTGAGGTCCGATTCATTGCTTCGGGAAGGCGGGTTGACGGCCAAGGCGGCCAACTTCTCGAACGCAGAGCGTCTGATCCCGACCGAGAGACTGCAAGGGATGCATGCATTAGCGGAAAGCTTCACAGTAGGAGCCAATTTGACATACCCGTCCATCTCGAGCGTGTGTGGGAGGAAACCGAAAGTGACGAGGCCGGTTGAGCAGGCGACTCTGGGGAAGGGGGGAGCTCGGCACGTGTCAGCGCGCGATCTCGGTTCTGCTGAGCCAGCAATCGCGTCCCTGTGGAATGTGACTTTGGTTTTGTTTCTCGGTCTGTTTACTCAAATGTAGTGTGTTGGTGGTCTGCTTGATTTATATTTTCTCCTTTACAGGCTACGATCGGGTGGCTCTGTATACACCTAGAATTGACGGTAGATGTTTGCTAGTCTAAATGGGTGAGGCTCTGGTGTTTGCTGTTGGGGCGGGCGGCGAGCGCGCCTCGTCCTCGACTGGGGGAGCCTCCAAGCTCTCCTTTCACTTCCCGCGCCTCGACAGCCTGCTGCCCCGGATTTTCAGTCGCTTCTTTTTCGGGCGCAAGTGAGACCTCACGACCTCTGAATCCTTCCACGAGGACGGTTTCCGCTCGTCCCTTCAGTACATTCTCGACTGTGCCTCGGCCGTCGATGCCGCAGTAAAACCCAGCTGGCTAGCATCGCTAATTGGCCCTGTGGATAGCCTCTCAGACCAGGGGTCTGTGTGGTATGAACAAGAGCCATGGCGCCTCGTGAGAAAAGCTCCCTCAAAAGGGGAAGAGTGAGTATACATTGATCCCAAATATGCTGGGTTTCCATTGCTGACCAGCGTCACTCTTCGATGACAGGCCAGCGCCGATGCGGACTCGCAGGAGTTGAAGAAACCTCGACGCTCCCAGAGAGTTTCGAGCCAGCGACAGCTGGAGACGCCGATCGATCATGACTATTTACCCACGCCGTTGACGCATGGCAACTCGACCGCCACGGACATCCGCAAGGAAGTCACGGCCACTCCTCCCGACAGTCCAAGCCATGCCCCCGACCCCTCGCAGGTCCCATCTTCGCCTCCCGGAGATACGCAGGCCCTGTCGCAGTTTGTCTACCCCCCAGGGCTTTTGCTGACGACGTGGATGATGAGAGCGCGGAAGGAGTTTGGGGATATCTCCTCCCGTTGGATGACAATGTGAGCGGTCCATTCGTTCTCAAGAAGAGAGATGGCTGCGCGGGTCGTGACCGTGCTTCGAAGAACGGCCGGCCTGGGGGTTATCTCATCGGCCGCCACCCGGAGTGTGGTAAGTTCAAGTGGTCAGTAGCATCAGCCTGAGAAATGCTGACCATCTCGCAGATCTGATGATCAACATCCCCACCATCTCAAACAGACATTTTCTTCTCTTCTCGGAGAAGAGAAAGGGTGACGTCGTTGCGATGCTTGAAGACCTGTCGAGCAATGGGACGTTTGTCAATGATGCAATGGTGGGACGGAACAAGAATCGCGAGCTCGAGGACGGTGACGAGGTCTCGATTCTGAACGAAGCACGGTTTGTCTTCCGCTACCCTCGGACACGAGATACCCATGGCTTCCGCCAGCAGTATCGGGTCCTGCAGCAGCTCGGGAAGGGCCATTTTGCTACGGTCTATCTCTGCGTGGAGCGAGCTACTGGGAAACAGTATGCTGTCAAGGTATTCGAAAAACGCTCAGGAGACTCGCAGAAGACCCAAGGAGAGGCTCTGCAACAAGAAATCGCTCTTCTAATGGGTGTGAACCACCCAAACCTGCTGTGCCTAAAGGATACATTCGATGAGAATGATGGAGCCTACCTGGTTCTCGAGTTGGCCCCGGAAGGCGAATTGTTCAATTTGATTGTGAATAAACAGAAGCTCAGTGAGGCCGAAACTCGTCATGTGTTCCGCCAATTGTTTGAGGGCTTGAAATATCTGGTAGGCCTACGATTTGCCGCCCGTGGCAGGTGAGGCGACGTTAACTCTCTCCTGCAGCATGACCGTGGAATTGTACACCGAGACATCAAGCCAGAGAACATTCTCCTTAAAGACAAGAAGTTGAGCGTCAAGCTGGGTGACTTTGGACTTGCGAAGATTATCGGAGAAGATTCGTTCACGACGACCCTGTAAGTTGCACGCTTCGGTCAGCGCGTCCATTTTGTTCCATATGCATAGTCATGCTAACGTTGATTGTCTCAGTTGTGGTACCCCGAGCTGTGAGTTGATCTACAATGCTATATAGATAAACGGTGGCTAATTTTGCAGATGTTGCGCCCGAGATCTTGCAAGAGACGAAGCGCCGGCGGTATACAAAGGCCGTGGATGTCTGGTCGCTGGGTGTGGTTCTTTACATCTCTCTTTGCGGTTTCCCGCCCTTCTCGGATGAGCTGTACACAAAGCAGAATCCCTACACGCTCGCCCAGCAGATCAAGATGGGGCGGTTCGACTACCCATCGCCATACTGGGACTCTGTGGGGGACCCTGCACTGGACTTGATTGACCGAATGCTCACGGTGGATGTCGAGAAACGAATCAGCGTCGACGAGTGTCTCGAGCACCCCTGGCTGACCGAGAAGTATCCCAGCCTGACTGACAGCACCGATGGCTTGACCGGCGCCCTCGGAAAACTTGATTTTTCCAAGCGTAAGGTCGAACGCGAGCGCACCTTGCTGAGCACCGTCAACGCCGCCAACTTCAGCGAACATGTGGAGGGCAGCGGAGCCCCGATCAAGGTCTTTCATAAGAACGAGGCTGGAAAGCGCGTGCACAACCGACCTGCTAAGCCTAAGGCTTCGCAACGTGAAGCGTCGCCAGGCGATAACAGCGCCCCCAAGGACTTTGCCAATCTCGGGGAGCGAGGCGATCCGGCGCTCTACGATGAATGAAGCGGTGCGGGGACTTGTCTCCATGCTGTTGTTGGGGGGGATTCTTTTCTTAATTTTTTTTTTTTTTTTTATTATTATTTTTCATACTCTGGGTAACCGTGGGCTTGTACTAGGACGGGGACACTGGACAAAACGGGAATCATGTACATTTAGAAGGCGTCGTCGGAATCATACGTTATTTCTGTTCATCTTTGCACGTCGTGCGATCGCCAGGCACCGCTGGGATATCGGTGGGCCAGGCGCCCGAAGTGGCGTGACGAGGACTCGACCTGGCACAGCCTCCCCCAATTGACCCATTAGCGAGAGCCGATTGAGGCCCAGAGGTCTTGATCGGTTGATGGGACGAGCGCAGGAATAGTATGCGACCATGCAGGCACGCCAATTGCGAGCCATCCCCGTAGATGAAAGGCGGAAAAACAAGAAAAAAAAAGTAGTGTAGGAACCAGGGGGCGGGTCCCCTTTCACCGAATGACAGCGGAGATTATTATTCTGCATCCTGCCCCTGCCGCCAGACTTCTTCCCTCCTCCCCTTCAAGAGAGCCAGTCCTCATCTTGTCGCCATGGGTCTCTTCGCCAGTTTCCTCGACAAGTTCTGCGAGCATTGCTCGTCCCAGTCCATCTACACCCTCGTGTCGGTCGGTACATTGTCCATCATCGCGCTGTCTGTCGTGATCAACGTCCTGCGCCAGTTGCTCTTCAAGAACCCCCATGAGCCCCCCGTGGTATTCCACTGGTTCCCTTTCGTGGGAAGCACCATCAGCTATGGTATCGACCCGTATCAGTTCTTCAAGGCCTCCCGCGCAAAGGTGTGTCTCTTGTGATCTTCACCCCCCCCCTTCTGATCAGGGACCATGACTAACGTGGGCTTCTCCAATCAACAGTATGGCGATATCTTCACATTCGTTCTCCTCGGCAAGAAGACTACAGTCTATTTGGGCACTAAGGGCAACGATTTCATCCTGAACGGCAAGCTCCGCGACGTCTGCGCCGAAGAGGTTTACTCGCCACTCACCACCCCCGTTTTTGGCCACGATGTTGTCTATGACTGCCCCAACTCGAAGCTCATGGAGCAGAAGAAAGTGAGATTGCGACTTTGATAGCCCGTTCTGGTTTCATTTACTGACACGAATTCCGTAAATAGTTCGTGAAGTTTGGTCTCACATCTGAGGCTCTTCGCTCCTACGTGACCCTGATCACCAACGAAGTCAACCAATTCGTCGAGGATTCTCCCGCATTCCAGGACCCTAAGGGCACCTTCGATGTCTCCAAAATAATTGCAGAGATTACCATCTATACTGCGTCGCGCTCGCTCCAAGGCAAGGAAGTCCGTGACCGTTTTGATTCAACTTTCGCCGAGATGTACCACGACCTGGATATGGGCTTCGCTCCCATCAACTTCATGCTGCCCTGGGCCCCACTCCCTCACAACCGCAAGCGTGACGCTGCGCAGAGAAAGTTGACCGAGACTTACATTGATATCATTCGCAAGCGTCGCGAAGGTGATGGTAAGAAGGACTCTGAGGATATGGTCTGGAACCTAATGTCGTGCACCTACAAGAACGGTACCCCTATCCCCGACAAGGAGATTGCCCACATGATGATCGCTCTATTGATGGCTGGACAACACTCGTCCTCGTCGACCGCTGCTTGGATTGTCCTGCGCCTGGCTACCTGCCCCGAGATCACTGAGGAACTCTACCAGGAGCAGCTTCGCGTCCTTGGTAACGATCTTCCCAACCTCACCTACGAGAGTCTTCAGAAGCTCGATCTCCACTCCAAGGTCATCAAGGAGACTCTCCGCATCCACGCTCCGATCCACTCCATCATTCGCGCCGTCAAGAACCCGATGCCCGTCGAAGGAACCCCTTATGTTATTCCGACCACTCACAACGTCCTTTCTTCTCCTGGTGTTACTGCTCGCTCTGAGGAGTTTTTCCCGAGCCCTCTCAAGTGGGACCCCCACCGCTGGGACGAAGTCCCCGTTGCTAAGGAAGACGATGACGAGGAGAAGATCGATTACGGATATGGTCTCGTCAGCAAGGGTACCAACAGCCCCTACCTTCCTTTTGGTGCTGGTCGCCATCGCTGCATTGGCGAGCAATTCGCTTATGTGCAGCTGGGTACAATTCTCGCGGCCTTGGTGAGACAGATGAAGTTCACCACTCCCCCTGGCAGCACCGGCATTCCAGAGACGGATTATTCAGTAAGTTATTCTCCAAGTCATGGGGTCGGTTTATGCATTATACTAATATGGCTAATAGTCCCTATTTTCCAAGCCGCTGGGCAAGTCCTTTGTGCAATATGAGAAGCGCGGAACCAAGGCATAGATGGAGCTCGGATTACAAATTCAAGCAAGAGAAGGGAAAAGAAAAAAGAAGCAAGAGACTCGAATTTTGGCACCTTACTATTTTAATGACTTTTCAAGATGTCGTGAGAGCACCCTGCCGCATCGATGTCTTTGAACGACTGTACGCGTTGTACATTATTCTCTTTTCATTCATATGTTTCTTTCTTTCCGTTCCGTCATATCCCTTCTTGCGATTTTCGTTAATATTGCCATAGAGAGGTCGTGTCAATACAGCTTCCTATCAATTCAAAGGTATTGCTACAATTGCACCTCCACTATGTTCTTGTTATGTTGACCGCACTTCTACCTGATTCTTGTCCGGTCACACATGATTGTCTATGCGACATCTACCCGGTCACTACGTGATCAGCCATCTGGTCACCTACAAGAGATCCACTCTCTGGTGCTTCAGAATTCAAGGCAAAGAAAGACCCGGGTTCAGATTGCTTTCTTGTACAAAGGAGGCAGGCTGTCTTGTACTCGTTGAATCAGAATTCCGTAGAGTACTATCAATAAAGATTTGGAAAACCACGAAAGGGTTGTGGCTGCAGCAAATTCCTAATTTAATCGGATACAATTCAAAATGTTCAGATCCTTGGGGGTTGGTAGTAATATAGTATGGTACATTGCAAATAAGAAAACACAGGTCTCACAGGGCTGAACAGATATGCAAGAAACGCCAACAAACATCCTTCAGACTGCTTCTATGCCCGCTTTCTTCGCTCCTCGAGTCTCTTCTTCGCCCTCACCTCCACCTGTCGTCGTTCACCACCATCGACCTTGCGTCCACGCTTATCTTCCCACATACCCTCCTGAACGGAAATGGTTGCAGCAGAGCCGTGGCTTCCCTTAATAGGCTGGAGAAATGGTCCCATAATCTTGGTGCCACGATGGATCTTCATGTGCGCGAACTGCTTCAAACTTTTGGTCGCTTGGTGCGTGTATTCGGTTGCATCTGGTGCCAAATTCACAATGGCCTTCATCATGCCTGGTGTCAGGTTTGCAGAGGAGGGCCCGACAATGGGCTTCTTGGGATCCTTGGCTGGCAGGGGAACTTCCACTACACGCAATTGAGCCACTCCATCAACGACATGTTCCAGATCGCCTCCAGGGCCGTACAGTCCATTCCGGAACTTTTCGCGCTTTCGCAAGAGATATCGTCGCTGGCGGGCGGGTTCAATTCCAAGGTTGCGAAGCTGGTCCGAGTTCGAAGAGAAGAGTTGCTCCCAGGATGTGATCTTGCTCGCGTGCTTCGACATTTCGCGGCCGATCAGGGTGAGGAATGTTTGGACATCGGGGACAAACGGTGTCGGGGAGGGCACCGATGGGGTCGTGTTTCGGGTGAAAGGGCGAACAAATTGTCGAGAAATGCTGGTTGTCTGGATGATTCGAGAGGGAACCAGCCGGAGGAGCGGATTGCGCATCGCCATGGTTGTGCTGCTTTTTTAAAAGGCTCCTTCTCTCCTGCAATTGGGTACCTGCTTGCGGTTTTATCTGAGATAACTCGAGCCGCAAACAAGCTTTGCAGGGGCAGCGGAGAGAGAAAGGTTGGAGAAGGGGAGGAAATGAGGTCCGGGGTTCGTCAATTCATTCGTTGCCGCGGGTTGTCCGCGCTGAGAAATTTCGGAAGCGCCAGACAGCTCGGGATCAACAATACTCCGAGATCAAGCATTCTACGACTCCGACCGTCGCCCTTTGAACACTTTTTTGTCTTTCTTTTCAGTCCGAAATGAAATCTTGAAAGCTTGGGCGAACAGCTTTAAGTGCTGACCCCACCTTCCATTCTCTTCTAGGGTGTCTCTCGCTGGGGGTTTCCGCCGACCACTTTCAGATCGCCGCAGCCATGGCACTCTCACCGTTCGCCTCACGCTCCCCTTCGGTGGCCATCTCATCTCCGAATACCGCCCTCAGGTTGAAAGCTGCTGCTGCGCAACCCGCGGCTGGGTCTGCAATGAGTGCAGTGCCTGCAGCCCATGCTCATAGTGAACTCACCGAGCAACTCAATGATTCAGTAGCCCGGAACTATGAAAGAGGTTCGTTATAAACCAAGCCTCTCCCCACATATGCAGCACTACGAACTCGGAACTTACGATCTTCAGGCAAGAAGTTAGGTGAGGGTACATACGCCGTAGTCTACCAGGGACGCCGCCGAGACACCGCAGCCACCGTCGCCATCAAAAAGATCAAAGTCAATGCCGACTACAAAGATGGACTGGCCATGGATGCTATCCGCGAAGTGAAGTACCTGCAGGAACTATCACATCCGAATGTCATCGCACTCCACGATGTCTTTTCCAAGCACGAAAATCTTCATATTGTCCTGGAGTTTCTTCCCGGGGGTGATCTGGAGATGCTCATCAAGGACCAAGACATTCACTACGGCGCGGCGGATATCAAGGCCTGGATGGGCATGCTCGCCCGAGGAGTATGGTTCTGTCACGAGAACTTCGTGCTGCACCGAGATATCAAGCCCAACAACTTGTTGATAGCGGCGGACGGCGAAGTCAAATTGGCTGACTTTGGTCTGGCCCGGTCGTTTGCTGATCCCTATCTGAACATGACCCACCAAGTGATTACTCGCTGGTATAGGCCCCCGGAGCTGCTGTACGGGGCCCGACAGTACTCCGGAGCGGTGGATGTATGGTCGATGGGCATGGTGTTTGCGGAATTGGTGCTGCGCGTTCCGTTCGTGGCGGGCAACACGGACCTGGATCAAATATCCAAGATCTGCGAAGCCTTCGGCACTCCGACCGAGGAGAACTGGCCCGGGGTCACTCAGTTACCCAATTACATTCCGACGGACGGCAGTCACATAATCCCTGCGTCAGGACGGGACTTTTTCCTGCGGCAGTTCCCAACCGCTGGCCCGGTGGGTGCCGATCTGCTTATGTCGATGTGCGCGTTAGATCCTCGAAAGCGCACCACAGCTCTCCAGGTGCTTCAGCACAGCTGGTGGACCATTGACCCTCGGCCGACCGAGAAGGAGGCTCTCCCGCAGAAACGCAAGTCCGCCGAGAAAAAGATGGGTGACGATTTGAGCCGGCGCGGAGGGGAGCTTCCCGACGACAGCCCGTTCAAGAACGCGGCGCGACAACTAGATTTTGGCGCTATGAAATAATGACCACCTCAATTGACGACCTTGGCCCTCGGGGCACCATGAATTGTGCATTGCTGTGAACTATGAATTATATGTCCCGCGCGGGGAGGAGTTTGTCGTAAATTGTGACCCCTGTCCGTCCTTTGTTTTTGCCTCCCATTGTCCACCTAGACTCTTGGTCGTATCATTTCCGTCCTCATCTGCATCCCGCGATGGCGCTGCAATATGCATGCAGATGCAGCGACTATTCGCTGCCCAACCCTCTCGCAACTGACAGCCCTGGTAACGCGTAGGGGCGTTTCCACAAAACAGGAAGGCGATTAGGAAGGCTGTCAACCCGTCAACGGCACGATCCGCGGCGCGACCTACTTCATAGGTGCTTGCCTCTTGTCGGTACCTGTCATGTCGCACTGTTCACTGGAGGCCCCGTCCACTGCAAGCCATCACGACGGCACTTCGCGGTGTCCCTGTGGGGGTGGTGGTCGTCGCGTTGCCGGATCCCCTTGCATGCGCAGATGCAGATCTGTATTTGGTAGGCTCCTTCTGTGGGATGGGAGGTGCCCTTGTCCCTCTGTCCATATCCCCGTGGTGGACCCCTCGGGGCTGAGTGTTCTGCGGCTTCGAACGAAAGGGCCGACGGTGGGTCTGTCTTTGAGGAGGATCAACGTTGGAAGGTTCGCACATGGGACCCGAGGGGTTCCTGTCCCGATTTACCTCTCCATGCAACGACCAAATAATCGGCCCAGGATCCACCAGGAGGGGGGGGCCAGGTACCTGACTTCCTGGCGCGCCGGCCAGTGGCCATTCGCCCCCCCTTTTCCAGCCCTTGGATCCCCCATCTTCACTCCTCCACCAGCCTGGCCATCATTGGGCGCGCGAAGCTCCAGCTCCAGCCCTCGAGACCACCAGGATGGCCCGGCCTTGACTCCTTCGAGACTTAGACTGTGATTGTCCACTTTAGCACCACGCCATACCCTCTCCGACTGCCCCTTTTCTGTGCACTGTTACTGCACACACGATCTGGGGCACCTTGGATGGGGAGTGGAAAGGGACCTGGACCTGCATGGATGGGATACAGTCGGTATGGAGTAGATGCAAGTGCCTGGTCAATACAGGGGCCGCGCCAGACGGTGCGATTGTAAAATAAGACAAGTAGCAAAGATAATAACAATGGCGCTTTTCCCGCTCTGCGGGGGAAAGTCCTCACGGCGCTATCGCGAATTAATTCTCCTCTCCCATCACACTTCTTTTCTTCCGCTTTCTTCTTCCATTCTCGACAACCATCCCAATCTCAATTCCCGCCGTCATCCCTGTTCGACCTCTCCGTGTCTTGCGCCAGGTTCGCAACGGCCACACTACGGCAGTGGCGCTCCGTCCTTCACAAACTCTCGCGTCCCCCGTCGCGATCGCAACGCATGGTGGTTTGAAGCGGTACGTTTCCGAGACTGGCATATCTGCCCACGCTCGAAGGGGAAAAACATCCACCACCCACGCAGGCCGCCCCGGCAAAAGTTCCAACGACGCGGGATCGCTCGAGGCTGTTGGGATATTTTCCCTCCCTAACCGAACCCACTTCCATCTGCATGTGTCGGGAACATTTTGGCTGATCGAAGCGCATCGACAGAGCCGTTCGAAACCCCCGCCGACTGTGTGATCCCAGGCCCAGCATATACCTCGTCGTTTGCTTGATCTAGCCCGCATGGCCCTTGCGTGCTCGACTGTCATCCACCGACTGAATTGATATTTGGAGAAGAACGCTTGCGCCTACCATTCTGCCTCTCTTACCCTTAAGCAATGGCTTCGACATCCACCCTCCCACAACCCTCACGGTCGGTGACGAATCCTCCGGCCGGCGCGTTGCCTCCGCTGCCCAACCCCAAACCCAGAAAGAGTCTTCCGACACCCGACACATCGCGGGCTCCATCTCCCTATCAGCCGTCGAAACTGCGAGCCCCGTCAAGCCCGAAACCCTCCCTGGTCCGATCGCCTCTATCAAATTCCAATTCCACATCGAATCTGAGTACCGTTCGGTCAGCCTCCAGTGGGCGTGCCCCGGGTAGCCCCGACAAGTCTCTGCGCCGGACGATAAGCATCGCCTCATTTCCGCAACCCCCCAAAGCGGGCACTCGCCCATCGACAGCAGCTTCGGTGTCGGGGCTTCCCAGCTCCAGTTCTACGGGCAATGTGAAATCCAAACGGGGCTCACGTCTCAGTACAGGGACCACCAGCAGCTATCGGAGCTCAAAAACGCCCTCGCTTTTGAATGGAAGCGCAGATGGAAAATCCATTATGGTGGATGCGCGAGATCCAGAAGCCTCGCCGGGCCATAGTCGAAGCTCTTCAGCTCAGGGTTCCTGTTCGACCAGCGCAACAACGTTTGAAGACGCCGAAGATACGATGGCTGGTGGAAAGGGAGGCCCCAAGCCCAAGGAAGCCAAAGGAAATGTGATCGTAAGTGTGCGTGTTCGGCCTGATACTTCAACGAGCGAAACCCCGCGCAATCACGGCGAGTGGTCGGTGGAGGGGCGTCAAAGTCTGGTTTCTTACCGGGGCAAAGAAGGAGGCGACTACTATTACGGTGAGCAGTCCCGCTCTGGTTTCATGATTTCCCTATTTGCTGTTTCAAGGGCTTGCATTGACTGACATCCGTCGAACGACAGATAACGTGTTTACCACTCACGAAAACAACGCCAAGGTTTACGATTCGGCCGCCAAACGGCTTGTACGACGGGTCATGGAAGGTTACCATGGAACGGTCTTCGCCTATGGTATGACAGGCACCGGTAAAACCTTCTCGATGCAAGGAACCGCCACCTCTCCGGGTGTAATCCCGCTGGCCATCACCGATATCTTTTCATTTATTCGAGAGACACCTCATCGCGAATTTTTGCTTCGAGTGAGTTATTTGGAAATTTACAATGAGAAAATCCACGACCTCCTCTCTGCTCCTATCGCCAATGGGCCGGGAGCTCCGCAGCAGGAGGAGATCAAACTCCGTGAAGACAGCAAACGCGGCGTTTATGCGACACCTCTGAAGGAAGAAATCGTGCAGAGTCCGACCCAGCTCCTCCGTGTGATTGCAAGGGGAGACCACGCTCGTCGGACAAGCAGCACTCAGTTCAATTCTCGCAGTTCTCGAAGTCATGCAGTGGTGCAGATCGTTGTCGAAAGTCGTGAGCGTGTGCCTACGAGCAACTCGCAGGATAAGCGAGCTGGGATCGCACCGGGAGGTGTTCGAGTATCCACTCTCAGTTTAATCGATCTTGCTGGGTCAGAACGTGCTGCGGACGACAAAGAGCGTCGGACTGAAGGAGCCCATATCAACAAGAGTTTGCTGACCCTTGGGAATATCATTTCGGGGCTTTCGGACAGCAAAGATAAACAAGGAAATCCCGGTGATGCTAGGCATTTGCCCTATCGAGACAGTAAACTTACGCGATTGTTGCAACCGGCTTTGTCGGGCAACTCGCTTGTGAGCATTCTCTGCACGATCCAGTTGGTGTCAGGTGTCAATGCAAACACTGGTGAGACACTCAACACGCTGAAATTTGCTGCTCGAGCGAAGAACAATATCGTCAGTCATGCAAAGAAAGCTGAGGAAGCATACGGCGCCGGTGGAGGAGACTCGGGAAGCCGCGTCTTGCTAGAACGCTATCGTATGGAGATCCAGGCTCTCCGGGGTCAACTTGATACGCAAGCCAAAGCCCAGGCCGAAAAGGAACTCAAGTGGGACGAGCAGCAGTATGAGAAGGAGGCTCAGGCTCGTCATGAGGAACAGGTTCTGGAAATGCAGCTGGCTCGAACTGCGCTTAAGGAACGAATTGAGCATCTCAACCGTTTGATCTTAAGCTCCAAGTCAACCGGCGTGAACAGTCATGGGAGTATGTCGGCTTTCGGCCGGCTATCGAGAATGTCCAGCATCGATACCGGGGGCACACGCTCATTGCGATCTTCGGCCAGCCAATCCACACTGGGCGCTGCCCATTCCTCCATCCGCCCGATGTCTTTTATGTCGGTCAACAGCAGTGAGCCATCGGGAACGATACCCTTCGCGGGTGGTTCATTTGGGAATGAGGAAGACGATGATCTGGGCGAATTTGGCGACGGGAAGGCTAGTTTACAGCGGCAAGTCACAGCATTGCAGGCCGACTTGGGCGATAAGAACCGATACATTTCTACTCTGGAACGGCGGCTCCTTCAGGCCAGACGTTCAAGTCACTCTCGCATGTCGATGGGAGTTAAATCCAACACCTCGACGATTTCCGAGCATCCAGATGCAACGGCGTTGCTTCGGGAAAAAGATATGGAGATCAATGAGCTTCGCATCCAGTTGGACGACAAGGATCGAATGTTGGCTGCCCTTCGGTCTGCCGCTCGACACCGAGACCTCGCTACTATTACCAATGATGCACAGTCACCAGAATTGAAAGGCAAGCCGGATTCACACACTGCGCCCAATAGCCCACCAGATACCAGCGGCGTCACGGATAAAACTGCTAGTCCAGTGACTCCGGCGCCAACTGCAAATGTGGGCAGCAGAGAGGATCGGAGGCAGAATATGGATGAGGTGTCCAAAATGCTGGACGAAATGATCCAGGGTCGGGTGGACAGCGGCCATCTGGAGAGGAGCTCTCTTGGGGCAGTCAAGAGGGTGTCGAGTGACAGTCGCCGCATATCGACATCGGCAGAAGTGCCAGGGTTAAAACCCAGCACGCCTGTGCCCATGGATCCCACTCCTGACTCTCCGCCGAATTGATGAGGCTATGATATGCCTCTTTTTGTGTTTATCGTTGATTTGATACCCCTTCTTTTCTTTTTCTCTTTTTTTCCTTTCAACTCTCGTATCTCTTTTGGATTTTGGAGTATTTTTGAACCTTGCAGCCTGGTGCGGCTTTGTATTTTTGTGTCTTCATGTAATTTTACTTTCCAATGGCAGTGGTCGAGGATGTTTGGGGCAGCACGAACGGTCCTAAAACCCCACTACATCGACTGGTCTTTTGCGCTCAGACTCTGTTCTACTAGTCCCCGCTGTGACACATTGGCACATGAAAGTATCAATCGCTTTTTGAATCTGTGGGTTTTGAAAGTAGCCATGACCATAGTGAATAAGACAGCGGTCGATCGTCAATTGTGCTAGTGGTTCCGGAAGCAGCTTCAAGGCATTGAATCTACTGGTGCCTTTGTAATATATTCAAACCCATCGACAATACTGTGCACTTTTGAATCAATCATAGTAAAAGTTCAGTCGACCATTTCCTTTGGAAATTGATACATACAATCACACCCCTTCAGACCACAACCCCTCACCGTCCCTTCTGCCAGGTTTTCGATTTGGGTGTCCTGGTGTTTCAGAAGAAACCTGAACTTTCTGGGGGAAATATGGGGAAATATTCTAGCTCAAGGCCCATTCATTTGGTACTGTGGTAGTACATTACTCCAGAGACGCTATTCAGGCAACTGATCACGTAGGTGACTAGGTGCATGATCAAGTAAGTAATCGGAAGGGTGACTGAACAGTGAGCCTGGCAGTCGGTAGAATGAAAGTTTCAGGTTATAAAGACCATGGTGCAGGTGGCATCTGGCGTCGAAATTAGTACCTTGTCTGATCAAGGCTCTAGTCATGACTTATCTGAGCGAAGCCATGACAGGCGTGGTCTGGGACAAAGGGGGTGTGGGAGCATCATTCTCCTTTCCAAAATATGGATGTTTATCTATATTACTACTACTCTGCCTACTACTCAATTATTGTTCGTGGTACTGATGTATTATCCCTCTCCCGTCTGAAAATATCTAAACAAATAGACCTGATTGTGCGGGCTTTGGTAGGCGCTCCCACATGTCGTCACTACAGGCGATAGTTGTCTAGAATGATTGTTGAGAGTTCTACAGGCTCGAGTTCCTTTTTTTTGGGTCGGTAATTCCGGGCCTTTGTTGGAATTAACTCATCTTGGGCGGAGCAAGAGGTCTTGTAATTCATTGTCCTGGTATAGCCATATTTCCATAGTCGGTGTTGCCGGTCTCTTCACTCGACTAGCGCCTCAGGCCTACCTACCTTGGGGTAGCTGATTGCCGCGGTATCCGTCTACAGACCCGCTTAGGCACATTTGGTCTTTGTGTTGCTAAGCCAATAAGAGTTCAGGCTGTTGCTCTAGAATGTTGTGGTGGGTTATTAGTAGAGGTCTGAAATAGTAATTATCTGCGATTCCTCCGGGTTAAATAAAGTATCGATAATATGTGGCGGTCCTATTAATCCTATGGTTTAATGGTTTTTATTTTCCGTAGCTGAGTAGTATCTATTGTGAAGGGCTACGGCCGAATTGATTCAATTGAGCGGTGCCAACATGCTGTTTATCTGAAGCTTAAGGAAAGTAAACATAGGGGGCATATAGCGGTGAACTGGATACCCCAGAAGCTTGGCGATCACGTGGTGCACGGGCATAGCCCGGGCTATATCCTGGGCTTCAGCCCGTTACATCTATGGCATCGATATTTTCTATTCTGGCAGTAGCACGGGCTGGCTGTAGGGAAGCTTAAGTGCTTTTGGAAACTTCCTATGCGCTTGAGACGTCTGGAACATATAGACTCAGAAATAAATAAACATACGAAGTAGTCTAGCACAAGGAGTATTTGGTTTAGACATAACTAGGGGTTATATATAATCGTAGTGGAGTAGTTACATGAGAAATGAAAACCCTATACTTAATAAGCAATTACCTTTCTGCCTCTGTGAACATCTATGTTGTGAGGTTGTTTCCTTTTGTTCAAAACTGAAGTTAATACCGACCTGCTACATGCATTACCAGAGAAAAACAGTATCGAATGAAAATAAGCGATATTAATTATTACCTAGTCAAGCTATGACTAAACACCAGTCCCATATGGTGTAGTGGTTAACATCGCCGTCTTTCACACGGCAGCCGGGGGTTCGATTCCCCCTATGGGAGTCAAATTTTTTTTTCCCCCAAAGAGAGGGTTGAGAACTCGATATTCTTAGTAGACCCTATTTCTCATCGCTTTATAATCGCTCCTTATTTATCACAAAATGACATCCGAGGATGTCATCCCGGTCTGTAAATAAGCACTCCCTGGCATTCGCCCCGGCCCCACTTCTCACAACTTGAGTAATCTCCTTGCCAAATTAATATCGTATATGGAATATCGTATATGGAATGAATGCTGGTACACCATTCACGATAGCCCAGATCGCTAGCAAGTACGTATTAAGTGGTCGCCTCGCCTCGGTACACTATATCTCATACACGTCACATCGCGTGATCACAACATCACTGTGATAAGTAATATCCGAGCATACCACTACTACAACAACTGTACTATATGTGTAGCAGTAATCGCGCATACTACCAGAACATACCTTCAACCGGGGCTGTGGGTATATTTCACCGAATGAAGATTAAATTTTGCTTGGAGCCTCGACAGAGGTTTCGAAGCTAATGTGAATCCGGCGTATCTTGCTTGGAGAACCAATCACATGTGCGTAATTATCAAACGGGTTTGTTGTATCTGGATAGTGGGACTGAGAGAAATTGAACTCGATAAGGTCTCACGTATCACGAGATAATTTCCAGTTCACCCGTTCTTTCTTTTGCATAAACGTCCTTCCATTGGTCCCACAGTCGCTGGAGCTCTTGCACATATCGATTGTGGAGTTCATCGATATATTGATCATCGATCTTGTCTCGATTCTGCTGCTGCATCACAGGAATAGGACGCCCGACGACAATGTTCAATGGGCGGCGATAGGGCATAAGGCCCACGTCATAGTTGAACACACCCCGCGCATGGAATAGCGGGATTGTGAAACCCATCGTCTGTTTTACCAGCATCTGAAGTTTGTGGATGATTGGGTGTTGGTCTGAGCGGACTTGTTCGTAAAGATCATTTTCACCAAATGCGAGAACAGGGACCAAGTCCGCGCCAGTGCGGATGGCTAATTTGACGAATCCTTTGCGGCGCTTCAGTACTAAACGCATGGAATGCGGCTGAGCATTGAGAGATTCACGAGCACCGCCAATAACAATAGTGATTGCTCGCCCCATGCCTTCGCCATTCCCGCCACCTTTAGACAAAAGGTTTTCACATGATTCCCTGGAGACGCTCGCAAGGCCCATGGCGAGGGCATATTCTCGGTAGAATGGAATGCGGAAATTCGAGTCCAGTGTCAACAAAGTGTTTGTGATGCCAGGAAATAGCTTAGAAAACCCGAGAGCCTCGGTTCCGAAAGCGGCAAAAGCACCATGTGAAATGATGCCATGGGGATGGTAACCAAAGATATACTTCTTGGTCGGAGGGAGTGATTCTTCCCGGTGAAGTTTGGCGGGAAAATAAGACGCATAGATCGACCAGATTGGAAGTGACCTTAAGAAGTTACTGCGGCCCTTGAGCTCCCCTGATGTAGGTGCTGTTGAGAACAGGGAGATATAGACCAGGTAAGGCAGCAGGAGTGGCCAGAATAACGGAATCGCACAGGTGAAGAAGAAGCTGGTCAGAAAAATGGCGATAGTAAGGGTATGACACAGAACAATAAACGTCTGCAGGCGTCGCTCCAGGCCGACATTTAGCGGTGCCCAGTGAATGCTGAAGGAAGCCGTTAGTTCCGGGGGCTGGACACGCGGGGAGGAAAGAAACATTACCGTTTTCGCTCCTTGTTCTCCGTATGGCTGGATGAGGTGCTTGTCGAGGAGGCTGTTCCTCTACCAGGAGAAGCATTCCCATTCATCTTTCTCCAGGTTGAGTTGAAGCTATTGATGGAGAGATCAGATGAATTGCGGCCAGGAGTCCCAAGATGACGTCGTTGGCCCTGGAGTCACATGACTAAACTAGCCCACGCGGGCTGAATATCGATCATCCAAGCCTGCGTCTGTCGTCTGCCACGATAACATGGGGCTAACTGGTGTCAGACGTGAGGCTCGATGGGAGAATGGACCACGCAGATGATCTGAATTTGGCTAAAGAATTTCGCATCTCCCATGCATCGGTTTTAGCATATTTCTAGATTTAAGAATTATAGGACTTGTGAATGATTCTTCGCTGTTCCAAAAAACCAAGAGGAGTCCAAAAAAAAAAAAAAAAAAAAAAAAGAAAAAAGGAAAAGAAAAGAAAAGAAACATGAGATTCCATTGCTCCGAGTATTTAAATCAAGCTCTGAACGCCATTCCGCTGGTGAATGTCTATATAAATGCAAGTCTAGTTCTTACGCTTTGACCATGAAGATCTAGATAGTAATCACCGATTAGTACCGTATATCCAAAGCCACGTGCAAAGTAGGCACAACTCACCTCATTGAGTGACTTTTCGTCCATGAGGGCTCTCTTTTTCTGAGCAATATGTCGGCTCCGGAAAACCTGTCGTCCGATGGGTCGCCGCTCTCGTGATGTTGTTGGTGGGTTCGCAACATCAACTTCTTGAGTACTGCTCTTGGACTCTTTCTTGGGAGTTGGTTCGGTTTCTCCGCTGGTAGTCTCATCTCCATCGGTATCCGCCTTTCTCTTCTTAGACTTTTTCTTCTTCTTGGCCTCGGAGACCGAGGACGAACTGTCGACATCGTCCGATCGAGAGCGGTCTTTCTTCGAGGACTTGGACTTGGACTTCAAGTTTGACTTGGATTTGGATTTAGATTTGGACTTGGATTTGGAGTCGCTGGAAGGATCAATATCTTCGCCTGACTCCTGCTCGTTCGTGTCTGACTCGTTCTTCTTTGGCGCTTTCTTGGGTTCAGATGCCGGCAAGGCTTGCAGCTTCTCTTGGGCTAGCATCCCGCCGTGAACGAAACGAACTTGGGGAAATTTCAGGGCAACGTATCGGGCTAGCTTGACATCGTCCCGTTTCCGCTGATCCTGTTTTAATTCCCCGTCGGACTTTCCGTTCAGACGACCTAAAAGTCCCTTGAAGGCATCCAGGCCAGTGGGTTCACCCAGTGCGTCTCGGCCCCCGCGAGCGCCCAACCCCAGCGTGTCGTCTTTGATCGTGACCTTAATATGAGAGGTGCTCGCCGAGGTCAAAAGATCGGCATGCGCCGCATCTTTGGCTCCCAATCGATTGCCCGGGGCCCAGCCCTGAGCGCTCATAATGCGGTGGCCGAAGCCCGACGTGGATCGCGCCCATTGCGTATTGTTGGGATCATGGGAGATCTTGGTTCTCCTGTGGGTGAGAAGAATGAGTTAGCGGAATAATTTCTTGACGACAGAATAGTGTGCGCATACTTTTTCGGTGCCGCTAAACCCATGGTCGTCAGCGAGTATTGCAGGTGACTATCTGCGGGCAAGAAAATCGCGAAGTCGAAAAAAGTTTCAGATGCGGGAGATAGCTGAGTCAGCTGCCGATAAGGTGCCGGGGCCCCAGGCCGTCACGGCGGACCTCAGCCGCAACAAGTCGAGTATCGCCGAACAAACACCTCGCCACTGTTCGGTACACTCCAAATACACTTTATTTTTCTGGTGGCACATTGTATTTCCTGTGTGATATCTGGAATTCACAGCGGCTGCCTTGTTCCCACGCATGGGAATTGCGACAATTGGAGGGTGCTCAGCAGCTGAGGCGTAGCCTCTGGCAGCGCAAGTGGTAGGTCGTGCAGGGCGGACATTCAATTTCATCTCGCAAACCATGTTCAATCTCCGGGTGCTTTGCCGAGATCATCCGCAACGGACACTTGCTCTGAAGACGTCCAGCTATGTCTTGATTTTCCACTACACCGCCGCCGGGGCGGGAGCCAAGACCGCACCACGCTGTCAGGTTGAATTCTCGGATGTTTCAACCGTGGATCTTGAGGGCTATCGGTCCTTGGGGGCTGGACATGGCACGCTTGGAATGATCACGCTAGGTGAAGATGTCTTCGTTTGCGTGGTTACGGGTTCTTCACAGGCCGCCACCGTAAGGCCAGGGGAATCTGTGTCGAGGATCGACAACGTAGACTTCTGTGCGTGTTTAAAAGAAACCACACCCCTGTTCCCCGGTCATCCATTCTGACAGCCGTAGATTGCCTCAACCGTTCTGAATACGAATCTGGCCTGGACTACGAGACCAACGCCCAGTTCGCGGCCGAAGAAAGACCCGGAGTGGATGGCAGAGAGATGGTGACCGACCATCCATTTCTGGCCCTCAAGAAACTGCTTGGAGATGGAAGTTTCTATTACAGTCTGGATTTCAACCTCACTGATCGTCTGCAAGACCGGTTAGTCAACCATTCGTTATGAAGGAGCCCTCGTTTAACTTGACAGCAGATCGGATAAGTCAGCAGCTTTCGACGTCGACTCGCTAGACGAGGACATGCTTTGGAACTCCTACATGATTCACCCTCTGCTTTTGTTTCGCAGCCACTTGCCGCCTTCCGAAAAGGGCCATCTCGACGCGTCCCAGCTGTTGACGTGTGTGATCAGAGGGTATGCCAGTACCTTAAAGATTCCGGCGACAATACCGATACTTCCCCACGTGCGGACCAATTTTCCTTCTATGTTGACGATTATCTCTCGACAATCGTCTCGACGTGCCGGCACGAGATTCAACTCCCGTGGAATCGACGACGACGGGAATGTGGCCAACTTCGTAGAGACCGAGGTCATCTTTTGGGTTGCCCCGGGCATTGCTTTTTCCTACGTGCAAATCCGTGGCTCGCTTCCTATCTTCTGGGAACAAACACCGGGTCTAATCCCTGGGCAACAAAAAATCGAAATCACGCGGTCTAGCGAGGCGACCCAACATGCATTCAATCAGCATTTTGAAACCCTCGAGTTGGCCTATGGGGCAGTACATGTGGTCAATCTCCTCAGCGAGCTTCGATCGGGAGAAGCAGAGCTGTCGGCCAAATTCCGACAGCATATTGTCCGTAGCTCGGTCCGGCAGAAGGAGGGATCCGAAAAAGCTGCGCATCATAGTCTTTTGCGAATGACAGAATACGACTTCCTTGCAGAGACACGCGGTCCATCTGGCTATGAGGCAAGCAGCCAAATTAAATATGAGCTGGCGGACTCACTAGATGGATTTGCGTACTTTCTCTCTGAGGACGCCACACGCCCTACCGGGTCTGTTCACAACGGCGAAGGCACCCTGAGTGCCTCTTCTGTCATTCTGCAGCAAGAGGGCGTTTTCCGAACCAATTGCTTGGACTGTCTGGACCGGACAAACCTCGTTCAGACTATCATCAGCGCAATGGCTCTGGAATCGTTCCTTTCCCAGCAGGGTGGCAGGCTTAGCTCGGAGCTCCAGATGCGGCATTCTACTATTTGGGCCGACAATGGCGATGCGCTCTCGAAAATATATGCAGGCACCGGAGCTCTCAAGTCTTCTTTTACACGCCATGGGAAAATGTCTCTTGCTGGAGCACTCGCTGACGCCCGGAAAAGCGCCACTCGGTTGTATGTCAACAATTTCACGGACAAGGCCAGACAGAAGACAATCGACCTTCTATTGGGTCGTCTGGCAAATCAAATACCGGTACACCTATATGATCCGATGAATGATCTGGTCACCGAAGAATTGAATCGGCGGGCTTCAGAGTACTCGTCCACCAAACATGTCCGATTGTGGGTTGGTACATTCAACGTTAATGGCCGCGATGCAAGACCGGGCTCCGATCTTTCGCCTTGGTTATTTCCCCCTGAAGACCAGTCCCGTGAAGATCCCACCATCTTCGCCGTTGGGTTCCAAGAAATCGTGGATCTAAGCCCTCAGCAAATCATGTCAACAGACCCGGGCACACGCAAGGTTTGGGAGAAAGCCGTCCAAGGCTGTTTGAACAGACGCTCAGCAGAGAAGGGAACCGGCAAATACGTTTTGCTCAGGAGCGGACAGCTGGTTGGAGCCGCCTTGCTGATCTATGTAAAAGCGGACGCGCTGAAGGATATCAAGAATGTGGAAGGGGCTGTTAAGAAGGCAAGTTCTGTCCGACAGCTGGTTAATTTTGCCTAGCATCTCCGCTGACTGCTTTGCAGACTGGACTATCCGGGATTGCTGGGAACAAGGGTGGCTGCGCCATTCGTTTTGAGCTCTCAAACACGAGTATATGCTTTGTAACAGCACATCTGGCAGCTGGATTCGCAAATTACGACGAGAGAAACAGGGACTACGAGACAATCGATCGAGGATTGCGATTCCAGAAGAATCGATCAATTGCTGATCACGACACGGTAGTCTGGCTCGGAGATTTTAATTACCGCATCGGCTTGGGCAATCAGATCGTGAGAGACCTTGTGTTGCAGCGTGACTATCAGAAGCTCTACGACAATGATCAGGTCTGTTACAATGCCAATTTTTCTTTTTTTATTAAGCTTTGGCTAACAAACTGCAGTTGAATCTGCAAATGATTGCTGGGAGAGCCTTCCAATTCTTTTCAGAAGGACCTATTGGGTTTGCACCCACATACAAATATGATATTGGAACAGATCACTATGATACTTCGTAAGGTTCCATCTTTTTGTCCCCCTTCCTCTAACCCATCCCCGATCGATTAACAAAGAAACTCATTCTCGTACAGCGAGAAAGCTCGAATCCCTGCATGGTGTGACCGCGTGTTGTGGCGCGGAGCCAATATGCGCCAAACGCAATATAATGTGGCCGACTTGAGGGTGTCAGATCATCGCCCAGTGTTCGCAACCTTCGACTGTCTGGTAGAGGTGATCGATCATGGGCTGAAGGATAACCTGAGACGGTTACTTTACGAACAAAAGCAACGGGATGCTCTCCCCGAATCGGTCCACCTTTTGGATTTGGACGATGAGGACAATATGCCGCAGGACTCTATTGCTCCGGGCCTCCCGCCAGCAAGCTCTGACCGAAGTAAATGGTGGTTGGATAATGGTAAGTGGCACAGCATTTTTCTTCTATTTCTAGTAATGCAATTCATTCTCATTCAAATTACAGGTGCGCCTGTCAAGGCAACGGTGAGACCGCCTCGGGAAGGACTTGTTGCAAATGTCCAACGCAACTCCAATCCATTTTCCTCTGATGCCGAGCCTGATTGGGTAGCGAGCTCTGTATCAAAAGGCAAGAGCTCTCGAATGGACCGAAAGCCAGCGCCTCCGAAACAAAGAACCTTTGGCGAGGGATCGCCTGCAGAGAGGCAGCCCGGAGGTAATGGAGGGTCGACAGTCCCCCGGTCGCCGCCGGCTATTCCTCGAAAGCCCATCTCTTTGAGCTCCCAATCGATGCATCGTGCGCCCGTTGCGGACTCTCAGACTGATGTAGCTCGTGACACGCCACTGCAAGGCAGCTTGAGTCTATCTAGCTCAGTGGGAGTAAATTATGGCAGTACGCCTGATCTTCTAGGAGATGCTGCGAGTGCGCAGATCGAGTGGAAGCCGCTTCTTCCTCAACGATGATTCCAAAGTCTACGAGGTGTGGCCTTGTACTGTGCATTGCCAACCCTAGCAACATCAAAGGCACGACTGGCAGATGAATGGGACCGACGATAGAAAGCAGAAGAATGCTGATTACCACCCTCGAAGTTCAAGAAATATATTCAACTGGTATTTTTGAACATGATAGTAGTATTCGTTTCTGTAACCCATTGGACCATCACACCCCCCGACCTCGACTGTAGGTTTCGTATGAACAACGTCCCGGGCGAATACCTCACCAGCACCACAAACTAACGAGGGTCATACATGCATGCAGACCTTTAGGATCAGACGGAATCCAACTTAAAGTATTAGTTGACGACATCGCAAGATCGCTCGAGTGATAACCCATCGAACTGGAAGCAATAGGCTCTCTTCGATTTGCAGTCTTTTCATCCAACACCAGTCGGCTTTCGCAGGAACAGAGCAGATAGTGAGACAGGATCAAAAACCGATATTATGGGTATAAAGCAGGTCGCTATGGGAGAAGGAACAGCCATCACAGAAAGATTGCCACTTTATATGCTGGTTGATGTGGAGAGCCTTTTCTTACGAGGCGGGTTCGGGCTTTTTCTCCGTCTTGGGAGCTGCTTTTGGCCTGGGAGGTTTCCGCCCGCCCACTATCCAACTGGCAAAGCCTGAAGGCTGACCAGGATTGACACGAGGTTTCTTAACGGCTGTGGGATATGTCAGGTTAATGGCCCGATAAAGGAGTATAATATACATGCCCAGGGAAACTTACGTGGCTTGTCTTTTTTGGGCTCCGCAGGTGCTGGAGCGGCTTCCTTGAGAGGGTCTGCAGGCGGAGGATCTGCAGGAGGAGGGTCGGCTTCTTTGGGCTTCTCAGGGATCGGCCACATGTGCATGGTTATGCTCCAGTCTGGCTCAATCACGGTCTCCCAGACCTGGGGGAGAATGATATCGCCATTGGGGCCAACAAGATCATAATGCCCATCAGCAACATGAGGTCCAATGACCTCGATGTGGAGGAAAGCCTGTTTAATCAAGTCTTCCATCCCCTGGTCGTTGCGGTTTAGTAGCTGCTCATTCTTTGTCTGCTATGAGACATCTGGGATATTGGTTTCTTACCTGCCATGTTGCGCACAGCTCGAAAGGAAAGCTGAATTTTCTGCCCACGGCATCTTTAAATTTGATAGGCTTCTTCTTCTCTGGGGGAGCTGGCTCCGCAGGTGCCGCCGCGCTGGCGGCTTCCGCTGCGGCAGCTGCAGCAGCGGCCGTTGCAGCGGCAGCGGCCTCTGAGGCAGCGGCAGCGGCAGCTTTTTCGGCTTCCTCCTTGGCTTTAGCAGCCTCTTCTGCCGCTCTCTTCTCAGCGTCCGCTCGGGCTAGAGCGGCGGCCTCTTGAGCGATCTTTCTGTCATGAGCAAGTTGCTGCTCACGGGCAGCTTTTTCGGCGGCCTCTCGCTCAATCGCAGCAACCCGAGCGGCTTCCTTGGCCTCTCGTTCTGTGCGTTCATCCAGAATCAATTTCTCCAGCCTTGCAATTGCTTCGTCCTTTGCTGCGTCAGCAGGTGGCGGAGCAGGGGTGGGAGCCGGGGCTGAAGCTGGAGATTGAGGCGCAGGTGCAGGAGTCGGCGCAGGCGGTGCCTCCGGTTGTTGGGTTGGGGTGGGAACGTGTGGGTATTGTGGGAAATAAGATTGTGGGTGCATTCCAGGCATCATAGCGTAAGGGTCGCGGTAGTTGTAGTAGGCATTGGGCGCATAAGCCACCATCTCGTGATGGAAGGGAGACCCAGCGAATGGCGAGGGGGGAGCCATGTAGGCTCAGCGGGTGTGCTATAGCTTGTTGAGATGGGTCGCGTGGATCAATACGCGCGTGGGGTGGCTGGCGAGAAGGGTGTCGTGGGAGTGCTTGGTCTTGCGCATAGAACGGATGCATCGCGCCACCGTGGGGGCCCTGGAACTGAGCTCCATAGGGATAGCCATACGGCTGGGGCGCAGGATTGGCATGCGGGTGCCGGATGAGCTGATCTGACTGGAGAGCGCCGCTTGGGTGCGCGTAGGCACCATGACCGCCGGGTGGAAACCCATTGAAGGTTTGGCCGGACGAAGCGCTTTGCGCATAACCGCCGGGCGGGGGCGGGGGCGGCGCTGGGGGCCATCGATCGCGCGTGGCCCGAGGATAAGGGTTTGCGAACTCCTCCGAATCCGGACTGCCGGGCGACTCTGGAGAAGCCTGTCGCCGGACTCGAGACGGCCCATAGGAGTCCATGTGCCGACGCGATTGTGGGCGACGGGCCGAAGCCGAGCGAGAACCGTGGATCGAGCGGTTACGTTGCGAGGTCCTTGGTCGAGAGGCTGAATCAGACGGTTTCAATTCTTCCTGGTATGGCAGGTATTCCCACTCATCGTAGTCTTGGTATTCATGGCTCCCTGAGACTGAAGGTATTGAGACCTGCACGCCCGAGGACTCCTCCTCGTCAGACAGAGAGTGATCCGAACCGTCCGGATCTGCGGGGTCAATCTGAATGCTGAACCTGGATAGGGGGGCGGGAGAGTCAGCAAGGACAGAGGGGCGGGTAGAAGATGTAAGGACAGAAGTGGGAGCGAGAAGGCGAGTTGGGCGAGATGATAAAAGCGGGAAAAAGGGAGAAAAAGAAGAAGAGGGAGGGGGGCTGAGGGAGTCAAAACATACGTCATAGAGGTAGAGCCTCTGCTCTATAATGTAAGAATATATGAAAAGACGGGATCAAATGTAATGTCCCTCTCTCTCTCTCTCTCTTGGTCCACGGACTCAAAGCGAGGAGGGAGTGCAGCAGCAGGGATGGATGGTGGGGGTTGGTGGTTTATTTTTTTTTTGGCCAGGGAGTCGCGGCACGCGGGGGGTTCGCATTGACTCTTTGAGCCCCGCTAGATTGAGATCCCTTGCGCCCAGGGGGGAGGAACACTGTCAATGTCAAAAAAAGTACCGGGGAGTTTCAAAGGCGAAAAGCAAAAAAAAAAAGGAAATTAAAAGGTCGGGGAGAGGGCTTTTTTGAGGGGGGGAGGTGTTTTTTGCCCGATTTTGGTTTTTATTGGGCTGAGTTGGGCATAACGGGTGTAACCAACAGGTAAGGCAGTGTTACTGTATGATTCATTCCCTTTTTTCTTTCTCTCCATCCCTTTGGCTTCTCGATGATGGCTGACAGGATATAGATCTGCTGCCCGAGAATGCCCAATCATTGGAACTCGGAGACTTATCGAACGATCCAGAATTGGGTTGAGACGAGTCATCTATGTACTTCCCATGCGCAATGCAGGGTGATCCAAGCGATCAGCAGGGCAAATGAAGGATGGAACTGGGTCTGGGCCGTCTTTCATTGACAACTGGCATATTAGATGAGGGTATCCACGAGAATATTTGGTACAGAAAGGAGAAGTCACAGAGGAGTAAAAGCAAAGGAAAACCAAAAGCCAAACTATTGAGCTTGAGCCAGACGATTCAGCAATTCTTTGGCCGCGATGAGTTCGCTGCGACTCGATGCCCAATGCTGATCATCGACCGATCGAGACTGGACGATCTCTCCAAGTCGCTGAAGAGCAAAGCGCTTCAATCGATCCAGGGTAATCCTGGAGGGCACTGGCGGGTCCGAGGGGCGCTCGCCCGCGTGTTCGTTCTCGATCATTCGGGAAGTTGCCTAAGAAAAGATTGGCAAGTCAGCGAGAGGCGCCCAGCGATCAATCAGGCGGGAATAGAGCCCCAACGTACAAGAGCCAATCCATAGAACCCGCGCAGGTAATCATCACAGAGTTCGATGCTTCGACAGAAATGCTGCACCGACTTGCCTGCAAGTCGGGATGCGTCATCCTCACCAGACGAGGAGCTGACATACAGAAGCTCACCAAGCCGGGCATGAATCTGTATGCTTGTTAGTCTCAGCCTTAACAGGCAGCAAGCCACCAAGCAATAATGTTGCCATACATTCCAAGAGTTAGGTGCAATCAGCAAAGCCTCCTCCAGGCTGAAGATTGCTTGAGAGCTTAGGCCTTGGGTTTGATAGAGATCGGCCAGTTCGCACCAGGCCTCAGCATCGGTGGGCAAGGCTTCGAGGAGTTGAATGAGGGCGAAGATCGCATCAGCGGGTCGGTCGAGAGAACGTAGCAGAGCAACTCGCCGCTTCATGATGGGCTAGTGACTTGTTAGACTGGGAAGACCCTGGCAGAGGGAACAAAACGAACCACATTGACAGGGTTTTCAGATAAAATCTTCTCGTATTCCTGCAGACACTTCTCCAAAGCTGCTCGATCCTTCGCTGTCGCCTCCTGATACAGACCCCGAAGTCCCATTACCCTCTCGTTGGAGGGACCGAACCGATGGCTGAGGCGATCGAGGCATGCTTGTGCAGACTGATCATCACCTGTGCGAAGACAGGCAAGTAGCAATTGCTCAATCCGGCCATACTCCTCGGCCGTACCCGTAGAGGATGCCGAACTCGCGTTCATCGGATTGGGACCCAGAATGACTGGTGCCTGTTGAGCCAAGTGAAGTGCAGAGATCAGATCTGATCCATTGATGTCACGGATATCAGCAGAAGCACCCATTATCGATCTCGAAACGGCTCCCCTTGGAACCGAGAGAAAGCAATTGACAGAGTAGAGCTGTAATTCGAAAGACGCAAGAAACGCTTCCCTCAGACCAAGTCTCTTGGGGTGAATTGCCAGGTCCAGCTAGGCGGAGACTCCGCGGAGTGGAGCCCCGGCGATACACGGTCCCGTGATCCTTTATCGCTCCCCGCGTAAATGACATCGTTTCCTTCCATGCGCATCGCAGGCTCTCTGCGACGCGAAGAAACACGCTGCTGCCCAAAAGCCAGTGGCTCATGTCCAAATCCATATTCCTATTAGGCGTTGGCATCCAGTCGCCAGGGAAGCAAGCGAAATGTGAGCATCGGAAGACCGGCATCGGTATTGATGACGGCGTCGGAAGAGCTGTTGCTATACAGACCAGGAACTAACTCAGTACTCACCAGGTTCGAAAAATCACTCTATGACCTGATCAAGGGTCTCCGGAGCCACAAAGGTGGGGAAGATGAATACATCCAGAATTCTCTTCGTGAATGCAAGGCCGAGATTAAATCGCAGGATATGGGTATGCGCCGCCATATGTCATCCCCACCGCCACGACAGATGAAGATGATATTGACCTACCCGTGCAGATAGAAAAGCTACGGCACTCTTGAAGCTGATTTATCTCGAAATGTTTGGATACGATATGTCGTGGGCGGCATTTAATGTGCTGGAGGTCATGTCGTCGGCGAAGTATCTACAGAAGCGAGTGGGCTACCTGGGTGCCGTGCAAAGTTTCCGACCGGACACCGAGGTCTTGATGCTGGCAACAAATATGCTCAAGAAAGTCTGTCTACCCTTTCCTTTTCCCTTTTATATTCAGAGATTGTGCCCGTGGAATGTCCAGAAATCCCTGACCGAATGTTCCCAATTCTAGGACATTGTATCTCCCAATATCCCCAGCTTGTCCTTACCGCTGGCCACTCTACCGCATATACTCACACCATCGCTTTCCATGTCCCTCTTGCCCGATATATTATCACGCCTTTCGCACTCCAGCGCCGTGGTTCGCAAGAAGACAATCGTCTGTCTCTACAGAATCTCACTCGTGTACCCGGAAGCATTGAAGCTGGCATGGCCCAGAATCAAGGACCATCTCATGGACGAGCAAGAAGATAGCAGTGTAACTACAGCTGCCATCAATGTTGTGTGTGAACTTGGATGGCGGCGGCCCCATGACTTTCTTCCGCTGGCACCGCGACTTTTCGAGCTTCTTGTGGACAGTGGCAACAATTGGATGGCAATTAAAATCATCAAGCTCGTGGGTCATCTTATCATGCTACTTTTAGAGTACCACTGGATCTGACCCGCTATTTAGTTTGCAACCTTGACACCACTGGAGCCGCGGCTAACACGGAAGCTTCTGCGACCATTGACCAATATCATCCAAACCACGACGGCAATGTCACTGCTCTACGAGTGCATCAATGGCATCATTCAGGGTGGCATTCTTGACGGTGAAGACAATTTGCAAGAAAGAGATGAGGTTGCAAGCCTTTGCGTGGGGAAACTCCGCGGCATGATCGTCATGGACTCAGATCCTAATCGTAAGTTACTCTAATCCGTGTTCCCGAATCAGTCTCTAATTTCCAATGGAACAGTCAAATATGTTGCCCTTCTCGCACTGAACCGCATTGTGACGACACATCCCATGCTAGTATCAATGCAGCAGGATGTCATCATGGAGTGCTTGGATGATGCCGATATCTCAATACGACTACAGGCTTTGGAGCTGGCAGCCGGAATGGTCACAAGCGACACTCTCCTGACAGTGGTCAATCGCTTGGTTGAACAACTCCGATTCGTTTCGACCTCATCTCCTAAAGAATTGTTTGTTCCGGAGGCTGAAGACTTCGAAAACCGGAAGGTATCTCATGTTGAAGCGGAGGCTACGATGATCCTGCCCAACGACTACCGAACCGAAGTTGTTCATCGTATCCTCGATATTTGCGCACAAAACAACTACTCGGAAATAACCGATTTTGAGTGGTACGTCGGCATTCTAGTTCAGCTTGTCGGTCTTCTCCCACCATTGGAAATGGACGACTACTGGTATCAATCAAATACGACCCAAGAAACTGTATTTGGTTCGAAAACGACTGTGGCATTCCGAATCGGCGCGGAAATCCGCAATATAGCTGTGCGGGTCAAGGGCGTGCGCTTGGAGGCGTGTCAGGCCGCTGAATCTCTTCTGCTCGTTGACAATCGGCCAATTCTGTTTCCGGTTGGTTCCAGTGTTGGCGAAGATGTCCTGGGTCCCATTTCCTGGGTTGTCGGTGAATATGCAGAATACCTCCGATCTCCTGCTCGGTCCCTACACTCGTTAATTGACCCGGGTAATATTGCGTTACCCCCCAAAACCCTCCAGCTATTCTTGCAGGCGATACCCAAGGTCTTTGTGCAAGCTATTCGGGCGTGTGAATCGAAGGACTCGTGGAAAAGCGAAATATCCCTGCTTCTTGCCCGCATTGTCGAGTTCCTTGAATCCTTGGCAGCCCATCCAGATCTGGATGTGCAAGAAAGGGCCATTGAGTTTTTGGAGGTCCTTCGCTTGGGCTCTGATGCATTGCGCTCCGAGGCGTGTGAGGTGCCATTTCTTTTGACCTCGGTCATTCCAAGTTTATTCGGGGGTCTGGAGTTGAACCCTGTGGCTTTCACTGCTCAGAAGAAAGTAGTCTTGCCTCCGAGTTTACGGCTGGGCGAAGCGTTCAATGATGACCTACCAGGGCTCTTTCACTGTCTGGACAGCTCGCTGTCGGATACGGATCAGCACAGTACCTTGCAGGATTTCTACTATATTCAAGACCCATCTCCACCCACGAACAAACCAGTCTACGATCCCACTGGCGCTGGGGGATATCTTGATATTTCCTATCAGAATACCCTGGGGGAAATTCCCAATGACTCCGCTGGTGACAAGCCGAGGTCAGAGCGTCGAGAACGCTATCGAGATGACCCCTTCTATATCGCGCCTATTGGTGTGCCTCCTGGTGTATCTGCACCATCGCATGGTTTTCTCGGACCCTCCAGTGGTGAGATTTTCGATATTGACACCATCCCGATCGTTGACCTGAAATTGGAAGATGGGCAAAAAGGTGACGTGAGGGGTGAGCCACCTGGAACCCGGCGGCATCAGCCTCGGAAGTTGGAGGTTGCTGGGGACGAAACATTTGGGGTCGAGGATCCCCCAGTTCGAGATTCTTTACTAGGGAATTGTGGGGTTCATACCGGCAACAAACGCTCTGTGCTCCAGATAGACTCCAGCAGTCTCGGGGTTTCAACCCCGGGGGCAATGGCGAAGGAGATGCCGTGTCACCAGGCGACGAGGGAGATATCGAGATGAAGAAAGCCATGCAGGATGTGGAGCAAGTACGTTTGCGTATGCAGCGTGCATCTGAACGGATCCATCTGGAGGGAACACCAGCTGAGGGTACGCTAGTCAAGAAGAAAAAGAGCAAAAAGAAGCATGTCGCTACACGGGCCAGCCATAGCGATGCTACATCCAAGGGGGGTGAGCACCTGGAAGCAAAAAAGAAACGAAAGAAGATACACAGGCATGAAACTCCAGAAATAGCTTAGACAGTATAATACAATGACTTTCTCCTTTATCAGATCAAACCAGACCATTCCTTTTCATCCACTTCGTGTCACTATCTTCCTCGAATCGTCCTGCTGGCTTTAGGTGGACGTTGGTGAAGCAAACCGATGGGCGATGGCGATGGCGATGGCGATGGTATGGGATATGTATGCATAGCACCAGCGATAGTTTCAGATCAAGGAGAGGGGGGGTATCGTTTAAATGAAAACGGCCAGTGGATTGTCTATCCGGTGAGGCGCGAGAGCATGGCGGCGATGGAGGTCCAGAGCTCTGGAACAATTCTGAGGAGCTCCAGGAGAAGGCCGCCGCAGACAACAAAGGCGAGGACAACTGTTCCAACATTGATTAGAATGAATGCTATGCGGAATTGCCTTGGATTGAGAGATTCACTTACCAACCCAGCCGGCCGAGACAGGAGACTTTGTCACTTGCTTGGGCTTTATGGTTGACCCTCTCCCACGCTTGGCCGCTTCGTTCTTTGCGAAGCGCTCGTTTGCGCGGCGTTGTTGGGGGGTTTGGGCCTCGAATTCCCCGGGTATGTCAGTAACGATCCTGGTTCGTCTGATCGGATATTAATATATTGGCTTACCATGGTTATCGTGGATTTCAAGGTGTGTTAGGGAGGGTTGGTTAGTTGGGGAGATTGGAGGTTATCGCAGATCGGCCATGTCTCCGGGCGGAACCAAAGAGGCCACGTTGTAACCAATGCCTACGCATATACTAGTAAGCTTGTCTCAAAAATCTCTCTTGCTGAGCTTGCGATGGTTACTCATAAGCACTCAGAAACATGCTGCCCTGTCAATTCAAGCTTTTGCTGCTTGGTTGTCCTCCGTGCCTGGTTCCTGCTCTTAAGTGGTCGAATTTCCCGTTCTCGGTTTCCCGCTCCATTTATGGTTCGTAATCTACTACAGGTAGAACAGGCAAGGGGTTGCTGGTACCCTCTCTATATCTACTCGCCTGAAGCCCCTATATCTAGGGATCTCTGTTATGTGCACGTAGTGTTTTTATCATGTAAATTCCTACTACAACAACCAACACGTATACGGTATACATCACTTAGCTGCACCATGCTCCTAGCCAGGCCAGCCCTTAGATACTGTAAAAAAAAAATTCTCGAATCCCTCTCTGGCACCCTTTCCCTGGTAATGGGTAGGATGGGAAATGGATAATTGAATCAATAAACAAATAATAACTAAATAATGCTTAATTAATTGGCCCTGTGATTACTGATCCTATACCAGTAATCGATTTCTCTAGTGGACAGTGGGCCGTGGCCACTTGCCAATAGAAGCCGTGCAGCCTGTACTATACTACCTATATATTAGAATAGTCACTGCAAATGCAGGCCTTGTCTACTTATATAGCTACCTCCTTTGGGATTACAAACACTGCTTTACTCTCTAGCTTGCTAGCACGTAATACTTGGTACTTAAGTGAGCAAGATTCAAATATGCTTAATATTTTGAATTTGTGGTACTATATGTTACCTTCTCACGGCCCTTACCACGCAGCATGGCATTATGATACCCTCATTAGTTCAATAGAGAATATATTAGCAAAAACTCTATAGTTTTGCAAGAAAACTATATAGATAAACTATTTAGTTTAATCTAGCTTCCTGCAAGACCTTATAATCTCTATATGATATATATTAGTAGTTAAAGAGAGGGCGTTATTAGTTAAATATTTAAGATATATAATGTTGAGATCGGCTACGACGAAGCACTGAATTTTGAATGAGGGGCACCTAGACAAATCGACCTCAATGGAATTGAAAGAACTTGACTGTATCAAACTGTCTACATGCGATTCTGGGGAAATTTGTCCCCGAACGGGCGGCAAGCCCCTGACAGTAGTAAACCCCCACAATCGGACTCGATCGGTGCTCTTCCATGAAGATCCCCCGAATGTAGAATATAATGGCGGCAAGAGCGCTTGAAGCGCATATCAAGCTCAGTGCCTCCGGTTTCCCTGGACAGGCATGCCGACAGAAGTTGGGAATGAGGCATCAACTCGGTGCCTTGTCCTGGAACCTCAACACACTCATTCGGCATGGCGAAGGGTAAAGAAGAAGGGAAAACGAATCAAATAAAACCGTGGTCAACGAATAGAATATTGATCCTGATTGGTCAGGTCAAAATACTGCACCCACTAAGTTGTGTAGGGTGGGTGGCACCCCCGGAGGTGTTGCGACCGGTACGGGGTTTCGTGAAGCTTGAATAGCTTCAGATTTTTAATTTTTTAATTTTTAATTTTAATTTTAATTTTATTCTTCAAAATGGAGCATTCACATGAACTTATCATGCTTGATCTTGGGAAGTGGCCTAGTTAAGCCATCGGCAACCAACTCGGTTCCTGGAATCTATTCCAGGATGACTTTGCCTTCTTGCACCTTCTCTCGAATCCAATGGTGGTGTACCTCGACATGCTTGGTTTTGCTATGTGACTTCTGATTTATGGTCATGGCTATAGCGGATTGACTGTCCGTATGCAGGTATAGTGGCACTTTGTCGTCTTTGACGGGTCCTAACTAAGTAGGCGTTGAATCCATATGCCTTCGCTACCTGCCTCCGACATTGCCATATTTTCGGCTTCGGCAGACGACTTGGCCGTACAGCTCTGGCGTTTTGACGACCAGGCAACTGGCCCCCCGCCACGAAGAAGATGTAGCCAGAACGGCTTTTGCGGGTGTCAGGGCATGAAGCGTACGAAGCATCCACGAATCCTTGTAGGCCGACGTCTTCGGCCGAGTTCTGGATGTTGAGATCGGCTGAATGGTGCAGACATGGCGCGAGGCGTTGGGCAGCTTGACGATGCTCCTCGTTCGGGTTTGTTAGGAACGAGAGATCACACTTAAAGCGTATGCGATGTCAGGACGGCAAGTCGTCATGGCGTACATGAGTGAGCCGACGTCCGACTAGTAGTCGCGAATGGCTGACTTGGTGGCTTGATGGCTGTCTGGGGCCATCTTTAGCTCCGATATTAGTGGTGTCGACGGTTTGTGGCGTTCAAGGTCGGACGTTTTGCAAATATCTCTCGTGATTGTGTCGTTTATAGGTCTTCTGGTTGATGCTGAGCTTGCCTGCATCCCGATCGTGCGTGACCTTAAGGCCAAGTTAGTGGGTGACGGGGCCAGGGTCAGATATAGACCATTTTGTGGAGATGATTCGCTTCACACGGTCGACACAAGACCCCTGCATTTATCTTCGCCGCGATGTGCAGGGGGTGGTCTTCATCTTCGTCTACGTCGATGACATGCTCATCGCAGCTTCGACGGAAGACTTGATCAACCGTACGAAGCGAATCATCTCCAGAAAATGGTCTATATCTGACCCTGGCCCCGTCACCCACTAAATTGGCCTTAAGGTCTACCCGAGATTCATCGGAAGGTCGGGATAGACCCCGAATGCCGACATAATTTTATAGAATCTCTTAAAATATAATTTTTTGTACTAGATAATTAGTCTAATTAAAATACTAGAATAAAAAACATATTATTTTATTTAAACATTACTTATATAGTTAGATGGATACTCTATTATATAATTGTAACAATTATTAACTATTTAATTTAAATATATTAATTATATAATATAAAAAATTTTAATACTATTCTGTTGGAAGTCAAAGTAGTTCAACACCTGACTTCTAAGGCTGTGATGTAATCCTGATCAGCTCACTGGGGAATAAGAGAGTTAGCTCGTGTGTAAAGGGGAGAGTACGAAATTTACCCCGCTTTCGCTTATATTGTTTGTCTGCTTGTTTGCTTCTATTTTGGTCTATTTATATGAGATTGATTCCAACGTTAGCTAGTTAGGCAGTTGAAAGTTCTCATCTCTGAATATTAGCTGTTCTCACCCATCTTATCTTTCCACGTCAATCGAGGTCCAGCACATGACTAAGACGAGTCATAGACCCCGATTGCTGACATATCCTATCCTATTCTGTAATTTATTATAATTAGGATATTTATTAACGTAATCCACAAGCGAGTGAAACACCCAACCAATACCGAATTTTTAAAATAGAGGCCGTTCAACCAAAACACATTAATTAATTCAAATATAGCGATTTTTACATGAATTGATCTTGTGTCCAATCTCTCTACACCCACTACACCTGGGCCAAGCCCTTTTGGCTGGCTGGTCTGGCTGATTAGGCAGATCACCCTGCGTATGTTACACTACTCCGTCACATTCAACTGGTTGGTTTAGGTGCTGAGCTAGCTGTAGGCCCTCTTCAACTGAAAGGCCTCCTTCATGTGGTATCTGCCGATTCGATCGTGTGCGTTTCTGGCGTTCTCATTCGCTGCACGTAGATTCGTGACTTCTTGCGCTAGTAGCGCTGTGTTATGTCGCGATTGATAGTGGCCTTTGATAATCCGATCTAGTATAATTTTTGACGCAGTCGGAGGGCTATTTGACCATTGCTTTAGTAGTTCCTTAAGTATCGAAGCTTGCTTATTTAGTTGAACGGCAGTTTTAGGCGTTTTTGGTGTTAATTGGCTGGATCTGCTGCTTGGCCGGCTACTCGGTGGTGTTGGCGTTCGAAGTGAAATGCTGAGTTTTGAAAGCACCCGTTCTGGGTCAATTGGAACAAGACCAGTAGCAGCGAAGCTACTTTGAATAATGTGTGGTTGAAAGGCCTCCACATGCGCCCGAGGGTAATCTGCGAGAAAATCGAGTTTATCGATATGGTTGTATCCAACGCGTGCTAGATCGCTCACGAAGCGGCCGTACGCGCGGTTAAGCACAGCAAAACATCCAACATCAAGCGGTTGTAGTAGATGTGAGGAATGTGCAGGCATACAAAGTGGTATACTATTGTTTTCTTTGCAGATTCGATCGAATTGAGGTGTAAGATTGCTCCCGTGGCCGTCAAGGATCAATAGCCGATATTTCCCTCGTATACGCGAATTTGTTGATGGAATAAACAGCTTTTGTAGCCAGCGAAGGCCAATTTCATCAGTAGCCCACCCGTTATTTGAGACCTCGAATCGCCAATCTTGCGGTAAGTTATCGAACCAGGATTCGTTGTAAATCTGGCCCTTGAATATCACACATGGAGGTAGCGAAAAACCATTAGCGCAAATTGCTTCGATTACTGTGACCCATTCCCGATTTCCTGGTTGTAAAACTGATCGCCGACCGTAGTATTCAGCTCGAGTAATTACTTTTTGCGCTGATATAAGGCCCAGCGCGAATCCAATCTCATCAAAGTTGTAGATAACCTCTGGTTGAATCCCATTCTCATTAATCTCGCGTTGTATAGTAGTAAACCACTCTCGTAACGATTTTGGGTTTTCATTTAGGGCACGTTGATAATCGAAGCGTCTCGAGAAGCGTGTACGAAGTTCCTCACGACGTTTAACGAAGTTTGATACCCAATTCTGACCGACGGTCAAAGGGGGAGTCGATCCACGCGCTGCAAGAAAGACATTGGCCATTTCTCGTACAGTAGCGGGCCTAGGCGCTGCTCCACGCGAATCCATAGAGAAGACCCATTCAACAAGCGAATCCTCTTCTAATTGGGTCAATTTATGCGAATTTGCGCGTATGTCGACGCGTGAGGTTATCCCCTTCACCCGCCGGG